GCTACTTAGACTATGTGCACACGGTAACGTTTTCGAGCGTTTTCATTTTCGTTTTCACGCCAAAACGGTTTCAAACACCGTCAATTTACAATAGAAGTTGAAGATAATTTAACATATTAAGCATATTTTCCCTTGGATCGTGTGGACAGGGCGTCAAATCGATAAACTGGATAAAAACGATTTTGAAAACGCTCGAAAACGACGCTCGTGTGCACATAGTCTTAATTGCACTGATTATCACAGTATTAAAATCCTCACTTTTTGTAGCTAGAGTCTTTATTGAGCAAATATTTTATCAGATTTATCAGAATATGAGCGAGTCATCAAGTAATGCTACAAGTCAAGATGACTCACCGGATCATGATGTAGACGGACCTGACGACTGGGTCAAAGTATCCATAAAAGATGTGCCCAAACACATTGAAGAACATGGCTTGGAAGGAATAGAAGAATTTTTCAAAACAAAACTGGATAAATGGAGAGATGTGGAAATAAATATCGGCGTAACGGGTGATTCAGGGACTGGCAAGTCAAGCTTTATCAATGCCATAAGAGGGTATGTGATAAACAATACAGTTCATATTCATTTAGATGCCTTGCCAACCTAAATGTTGTTCGATCGCGAAATTCAGAAGCACATCGTACTTTAAAACGTATAGAAGTTCAATTGTTCAAAAATGTTAATAAACCGCATGATACATTCGCTTTGTCTTACACATTGCCTTTGGAATTCGTGCTTATATAGGGACTGGTCATAATTTAGCAGGGGGGGTGGGGAGGTGGAAATAGTGGGGGGGTCACATATTTTTTAGCCAGAAAAAAGGGGGGTTCATAAAATGTTAGACAGTTATAAGGGGGGGGGTTGCTTATTTCTGGTTGTAATTATTTCTTTTATACATGCTTAGACTTTGAGTTGCACTGCATAAGCTTTGCTTAGAACATTAAAAAATAAAATAGCACTAAAATAGCAGTAGTTGTAGCGAACTACACAAAACTTGTAGTCTACCCACCCTTGGAATATATATAAGTGGACGTATATAAATTAATTTTATTACTTTATATAAACGTTGTCAGAAAAATTTTTGAAGGTGTAATTACTATTTTGAATTGACGGTGCAGATTACAGTAGTTTCTCATTTTGAAGCAGTGTTTATCAAAACGTTGACGGATGGGGGGGGGGCATTTTTACCGTCTCGAACAAGGGGAGGGGGCATGATTTTTTGTGGATAAGGCAAGACAGGGTTGCAAAATATCATTCCTTAAAATATTGAATTACACCTCCCCACCCCCCCTGCTAAATTATGACCAGTCCCATAGTTACATTAAATCTTCAATCCTGTGCGACGTGTCAATGCGCCCATACACGGCCACATCTTGTTAAACGGCGAAATAGCCACGATATTATCAAAATAAGACTAAAATCTACATGTATTTAGTATATTCTTATCCCCATTCAATCTAAACTAAATCGAACAGCAACAGCAGGCAAAAGAACGGTTTATTTGTTCCTCTTGGAGGAATTGCCGTATCATACGAGCGAACTGAATTAGCCAAAGCTGCATGTGCACCACAACTCTTGGGACACAAAACTGTGACGTAGATAGATACGGTCACATACACTTTTCAAATACTACTACATTTCGCGCCAAAACACATTTGCGACGACGAAATATAGAATAAAATTAAAAAAAAAGAAAAAAACCACCGTCGACGGAGTTGAAAATTCGCCAAGGTTTTGTTTATCCGGTTATCACCAGAGCGCAATGGTGACTCCTGCACTTGGGACACAAGACGTACGGTTCTGTATATATATGTATATATCTCGTATCTGAACATTTTAACAAGAATCCATGAGCGAAAATGCCTTATCTGGTTGTGCACATGTAGAAAATCTAGAAATACCACCGACATACTGCTAGAAGTGTCAGTTTACACGCAATCTATCTTGCATATATCCGCTGTTCTAAAAAGTCGCTTACATATAATCTAATTTTCCAAAATTTTAAAAATATGTATGATCCCACATATAGGCAAGAATCTCCTAATCTGAATCTAATATTTTGTAATAAATTTTTTGTTGTGCTAAAATACTCAGGTATAGTTATTAGCCTAGCTGCTCTATCCCACTTCTAAATTTTTTTAAATCCAGACTAGCAAACGATGACGATGGTGCGGCAGAAACTGGCCCCACGGAGACAACAACAGACCCGACACAGTATCCTCATCCGACAAACAGCAAAATAAAATTTTGGGATCTGCCTGGCGTCGGTATGTTGGGCTAATAGAATAAAAAAGATTCATTTACAATGTTCGCCTTTTTATACAATCTTTGAGTTTAATAAATTCTGGTCAAACTGTATATACAAAATATGCAAATTGAGATGCATTGAGGCAACTAAAATTTTAGGTACTCCAAACTATCCCGCTGAAACATACTGCGAAAAAGTTGGTTTGAAGAAATACGATACATTCCTGATCCTAGCAGCAACACGATTCACTGAAAATGACCTCAAGTTAGCCAGAATTGTGCAAACCATCAAGAAATCGTTCTTTTTTGTCCGCACAAAGATCGATATTGACGTCTGGAATGAAAGTAAAAAGCGATCGTTCAATGAAAAGGCGCTTTTGAAAAAAATAAAGGAAAATTGTTTGCAAAATTTGAAAGAATTCGACTCCAAAGAAGAAGATGTTTTCCTCATAAGCAACGATAAAACCGACAAGTGGGATTTTGCTGGTCTCACGCAGGCTATTTTAGATGTCTTGCCGAAGCGTCAAAAGGAGAGTTTAACATTGACCATAAATTTGTTGACAACTCGTTCGAAGAATATCTTGAAACGGAAAGTTGAAATACTTCGAGGTAGACAGAATAACTTTTAAACATAAATATTTGTTAATACTTCCTCATGGCCACAAGCTATCTGTACGCGACTTTGTCGATCATTAAGTTTCGATACTATCGTTATAGTAAAAGAAATTGAATTAATTAATCGTGTGTACAGACTGTACAGACTTTAGTACGATTTCCGTAAACGATCTATTTCGCTTTTTGCAAATCCCGAGTTAAAGACGCGGCGCTTATGCGACAGCGGCGCTAATTTCAAAGCTAGTGAAAAGACTAGCACGTACTCAGAAATTAAACGCAAAGTTGGCTGTTGGTTCCCGCTCAGTTTACAGTATACACGGTGAATCAACGACATGCGCAGATGTAAGACGCGAAATGAATTAGAACAGAAAGAAGAGAAATTTAAACTATTACAACTGTTATAAGAGCCCGGTTGTGAAAGATATGCAACAATAAAACTATAATGTTGTATACTTCCTGTGATCAAATTCTCAATCGTGTTGATGTAACGGTTAGCGCCGCGTTCAAAAAATAATCTATGGCGTTTATTTATACATTTTTAAACAAGCGCGGCGGCGGCGCTCATTAAGTTATTTTTGGTAACGGCGCTTATTCGGATAGGTCGGCTCAATCGATCAAATGATACAGTGGCATCAAATACACAGGAGAAATTACAGCAGATGTTTACGTGTTCCACTTTTTTAAAAATCAGTTATTTCGTTTGCCTAAACTACATTAAAAATGGAATTGCTCTTCAGTACCTAAGCAGAAATAATTTAATGAAATCGTTATAATCATTCTAAACCTAACTTAATGAAATCGTTCATTAAACTAGGTTTAGAATATAACGAAAAACACGAGTCTTCCCGCCCACATGCATGCAGACATTATTAATCTAACAAATTATTATTATCCAATTATACTATTATCATTAATCTATAGCAGCAAAATAATCTATTCGTTTTAGGTCGAATTTGGATGGTCGCGGCCGCTTCAGGAGCCGGTGCCGTGATTCCAGTGCCTGGGTTGTCAGTTGCACTTGACGTCGCACTTTTAATAAAGGAAGTGAATTTTTACAAAAGCCAGCTTGGTCTACCTGATGAAAACTCCTACGAGTTTGACAATATGACTCCAGAAATCAAGGAGAAGGTTCGAAAGTTTTGTTTGACAAGCGCAGTGCAAATAGGAAATCTTATTGTAGCTTACACCGCAAGTTCCGCGGTTGAAGAATTCACACGATTCATACCGTTCGTTGGTTCTGTCATTGCGGGAGGAATTTCATTCTCATCCACCTATTATTTTCTTCATGGTTGTCTCAACGAAATGGAAGAAACTGCGTTGGAGTTTCTTGAAGATCTGAATGAAAGACTTGCAGATCTGCCGATAGACTAGTATCTATGGAAACGTTTATCACTTTTACTGCTTTAAAAAGAAGTTGTACTTTACCTTTTTGTCATTTTTTCTCAGACACTTTAAGACTGGGTCTTGGTGTCCAAAACAGACTATTTCATATGTTTAGTATTTCGGTTGTTCAGTATTACGAATATGTAACCAGTAGCTGCTAAGTCGTTGTTTATCAAATTCAATTTTATAACATTTTACCACCATGTATGGATTTGTATGGATATATTACATTTACTAATATTTGCTATTACATGACGTACATACTTTAATTAAACAATAATTATTACACTTTTGTTGTTTTCGCTATTTTTTTCACTAAATCCTCACTTTTCTTCGATTTCTTACAAATAATAAAGCGGAAAAGTACATGGAAACAAAATTAAAAGTTTAAACACCTATACCGGAAACACAAATAATCGAAAGAGGTGAGTACAAACATATTTTTGAATTTTGAACTTTTTTTCTATCAATCCGAATTCTGGATATAAGAGTACTTTTAAAAATCCATGCCAAATCTATGGTGATATAAATAATAAATAAATAAATCATTATAAATAACTTGAAATTAAATTGGAAATATTTTACATCAAGTAAATCGCTTCAGTTTGGCAATAATAATATGGCATTTTCGCAGCATGAACCATTTTCAATTTTTTTTATATCCGTGCCAGTTCTTTAAGGATACTAGTAGCATTTGTATTCTTGAAATTAGAGCCTTAAAAGATATGTAGTTTTGTACAAACTTAAGGGAAATATGTCAAAAGAAACCGTAACAAACTCTGAGCCTATGGAATCACAAAAGATGGAGGAAAACAGCTCTAACAATGCATTAGATGACAAAGCAAATAAGACGGCTGCGTCCCACAGCATGGAAGCACAATCCAGTAGCATTGACAAGACTCCAATTCCGTCTGTTACTATCTTCAATGAATTACACCACAAGCAAAACGAAAGCAACGTTGGAAATGAAAGTATTGAGACGTCAGAACCAGCAGGTTTTAACGAGACCGAATGCATAAAATTCGCTGAAAAGTTGTATAAGGTATTTCCCTTACGACTTGTTTGGCATATAGAGTGATTTTATACTAGATTTTCTCACAATGATGGATATAAACTGGTAAAAAAGTTATAAATATCGAGGAATCAATTGTTGTTTTTTATATTTGGCACTGATCTCTAAATTTCTGGATCACGCATCTGTTACTTTCGATTATACATCTTACACAACGCGAGCACCTGGGTACGAGTCTGTAACAAGCCTTAGACTAGAGCGGCATTGGTACTCCAGTTAAAATTGTCGTTCAGTTTGATTAAAAATATTTGACAGGTAGCCGATTGGTTTCTCGTGCAAATCGTAAAACGCGCCAAAGTGCTATCGCCTGTGCAATTCTGTCGTTACTGCCTCATTTCCAAATCAACGCTAAATAATAACTCACCTATTATACGTCTTTCCATGGAGCATCCCAAAAAAGTGACGTAAGCTGTCAATGTCTGATGTTGATCACATCACTAGAGCTGAAACAAATGCTTTCACGTTTCTAGATCGTTGAAGAATTGCGCATTGGAAGGGTAATAACTAACATAAATATCAACATATTGTGTTTGAGATTACTACGAGGCAATACAATAATATCTTGCCGTAAAATGCACGATAAAGAAGGAAGAATTTAGAAAACAATATTTTCAATAAATGTTAGGTAAGTGATAAAGAGAATGAGTCACGAATACAGAAATTGATGGCGGAGAAAAGCGACCTGGAGAGAACAAAAGTAAGTGCATGGTGGTTGCCGAAGGAATGGCAAAAATGGCAAATTGTCGGAAAGGTGTTGGGCAATGGCGACTCTTTCTAACTAAGAGTGTAGCAAAAAGGTCGAATTATTCCTTTGGTTCTTTCTGAAGGAGGATGAAGTGTCAAAAAACCAGGAACTAATTCAAAAGCACCGCGTGCAGCAAGATGAAACAAGGAAACAGGTTACAAAACTTGTGTCACTATATTCATCACTGAATCGCGCGAATCTGTATATACCACTGATATAGCTCCCTATCGGTTTAAATTGTTTACAGTCTTCACTCCTAACGGTCTTCCCTATAGTTTATGCTTATACTTGCAGTTGAGTAAATGGTTTGCCGATGTTCATCGCGCGGTTTTTTCAAGTGATAAAATTTCAGTTTAGGCTGTTGAGTGCTGTTGGCAAGTTTTACCCTTTTTAGCATTTTGATATGGCAGTATGTGGGATCAGAGAACTAGCTGACAATTTGTCTGTATGAGTAGTACCATAAAGGCTCACGGAAACATCTTTAGTTGTCCTCCACCATAGCAGTTGATTTCAACAACATTTTCATATTACAAATTGCATTGCTGCATAACCAGATTTGATACAAGATACTGAATCAAAATGTCGTTGTTGTAAATTTTCATAGTTTGATGACAAACTTCGCTCTTTCCAAGAAGAACAGGTAATCTGTTTTCTTCATGAAAACATCTTTCTTGATATTTCTGAAAACATTAATATTTTGTATTCACATAATATAATACACAAGTGGGTTCAAAGTAGGTGCATAATACCCACCTACACTCAACCGAAAAAGGGAAATTTATTTATTTGACTTTTAACGCAAAAACAATGGTGTAACACAACAAACTACTAGATGTGCATGGATACATTTGTATTTGTTATAACTCTCAAGACAAAACATATGCTGGAGAATCAGAGTGGAGAACAAGAGATTAAAGCTTTAAAGGATGAAATCAGATCACTACATGTAAGTTTAACTGAACAACCGAGCAAATAAAAATGAAAAAAAAAAAAAAAAAAAATCGTGCAGTTGCAGGTGTGTTCCGTGTATGGACCATATCTATGGGACTACATCAAATAGGTTATTTGTTTATTTTTATCACAAGATCAACAAGTACAGCATGGAAAAGATGATCAAAGATCAGGTAAAAAACAAAGGCCTCCTCCAAAATTTCCATGATATTTTGACAGCTATATTTCTGGCATAGAACATATGTAGAGTTTCTGAACTTCACTCAGACGAAACGAAAAAAAGGGCAATCATCGAGGCTTAGCTGGCTGCAAACTGAACAAAAGACATGTATTCTTGACGTATTTAGGAACGCCAAATCCAGAATCATGGAACATCGAATACAAACTATCTAACCCAGTTAGCAAAGGTTGAGAACCAGTGTAAGGATATCTTTAAACAATGCACGCAAGTCCTGGCAACCGTGGATAAGGTGGACGCAAATAGTAAGGGTTGCTTACATATTTCTGTTCTCCTTCAAAAACAATTATTGTAACAGCTTAAACCCTGGATGCTTGAACTATAGCTCAATTCCACTGATGATTTTCTTTAGTGAGTTCATCAAGAAAACTAAACAAGAAGTTGGGCTTCATGAATGAGCATCAGAAATGTATCTTGCTAACGTACAAAGAGAAATACGAGAAAACGAAACAAGAATTGATCAGTTTACAGGCTTGTAATGTTTCATCTTCGTCTGAGGGAGAGCAGGGAGCCAATAAAAAGGAATCAAAAGACGTTCATTTGGAAGATGAGCTGAGAATGGTACAGTATATGGTAACTTTTTCTTCTACGTAATTTAGGCAGGAAGTCGAGAAGTGTGTTTTAGCATGAATGTCAAAGCAGATAATTTAGCATTAGACTTGAGTTTAAAGATATAGGTTCGACGTTGGATTTAGACAAGGATTAGAACTTAGAATTAGAGTTGCTTATGGAAACGTGGAAGAATTATGGTAAGAATCAAGGAATTAGGATTAGAATAAGGGATAGAATTAGAGAATATAATTATGGTCTTGTAAGGATAAAGTTATTCCATTTTCGGATTTGTTTCATTCCAAGCAAAAAGAACTTTGTCAGCAAGTACAAGTGCAACTGAACGATTCGAGACAAGAAATTCAGGTAGGGATTTGAAGTAAATCAAAATATCATTCATATTTGCTTAAACAAATGGGTAAAACAAGCAAACATTTGGCGGGCTTTTTTCAGGAGCTACTGAAAAGTCTTGACAATGCTCACTCGCTGTTGTCTAAACACGTCGAAACCAACAACAAGTTTGCAGAGTCAGAAACGATGCTGCATTTGGAACTCGACGACCTCAGAACTGAATGTGAAAGTTGCAAAGAAGAACTGAAATCTGAGAGGCTTTCTGTACAAGAAAAAGAGGCTAAAATGAAGGAGTTGGAGGATACGAAGACAGAGCAGGTAATGAGGAAGATACCAAGTATTCTTAGATCATAATGGTTCATAAGAGCTCTAGAATTGTTGCGGTCTCTTTAATAATATCGGTCATCTTTACTGAAGGAAAAAGAATTAAACGCGCAGATAAAACAATTACAAAAGCAAATTGAAGCAATTGTTGAAGAGAAAAAATCCTTGGAAGAACTGAACACAACTTGGTCACAGAAGATTGCTGAACAGGGCAACGAAATTGAATTGACGAGGGAAAAGATGACAGAAGTGGAAACAACGAAGGAAGAAACTGAACAAAAATTGGCTGTGAAAAGTAGTGAGGTGGAAGTGCTCGAGGAAAAGTTGAAAACCGAGGTAATGATGTATTCAGTATAATAAAACCTATACTTGGTTGAGTGAAGATCGTGTCCACGCTGGTCCAACTTAGCTAAGTTTCTCCCACTCGTGCAGGCTCATATTGTCAGCGGACAACTTACATAAAATTGAGAGCAAGGCGTAAAACGAAAAGCTTTTAATTTTTTATGCGAAGACCGCTGAAAAACTGAGCCCTCTTTACCGGGAGAAAATTTGCCGAATATGACCAACGTGGTCTCAGCCATATTATTAAACCTCTAGGTTAGCCGATATGAAAATCTTCTCCAGGCTGCTCAGGAAGGGAAGGCAATGAAAATGAACGAGGCGAACAAATGGAGAGAAAGGACGACAGAATTGTTGAAGAATGAAAATGAGTTAAAAGACGAGTTGGATAAAGTAAAGAAGGAAAGCTTGATAAAAGAGCTACAAGATCAAGAAACACAAACCGAGGTTTGTAGATCGAAAAGATTATAGAAATTGATCTATAGCTCAAATCTGGGTATAGCGATTACAACTTTTTTTGTAGGTCATTGAGAAAGTAAATAAAGAAATCAATACGTCTGTATCTTTGAACGAAAACAGCACAATCTTGGATAAAGGTTGGTCAAGATGGTTTGGACATATATTTGGGACTGACAAGTACTAGCAAACGTTTTTTTTGTAAACGGTTTGCAGATAATTTCTTTCATTTTCAGAGAACCAAAGTAGCACAACTGAGAAGACTGTAGCACCTGTGGCCAACGATAACATTGAGACAAGTTCGCCCACAACAAAGGAAAGTGCTACGGACAACGTTTCTGAAATACAACAACAAAATGCTGCCACAGCACAAATATCTACTGAGTTATCAAGTGGTACTAATAGTAAACCCACAGCACACGAGTCAACAAAAACTGTCGCGAATCAAAAACAGATAGAAGACTCCACCGTTAAGAAACATTCCGACGAAAACAGTCCAGTAAAAGGACAATATTTCCAATCTACTATGACAAGTGAACAAGGAGTTACTGCAACTCCACCTGTTGCACCTATGAAAGAAATATCCACAGTTTCGACTAAATTACAAACAAGTTACGCTTTCCAGAACAATCTGTCACAAAACGAAGATGTCGATTTGAGTAATACTGCCACCCAAAAGAATACATCTATTATACCAAGTGAAGATGCCGTCAGCTTAGATCGTGAAAGCACAGAAATGCTAGATGAATCACGTTTACAAGAAAATAGTAAATCCCTATCAATTGAAGGCGATACGTTAACAAGTAACAGTCGTGTAATGCTAAGCGGAAAAGGATGTCTAAAAAGTAAAACGACCAAATCTACGCACGGGACAAAAGGAAATGCTTTAGGTCGAAAAGCGTCCCAAGAGAAACGCGCACCATTGCTTGCTGTCGTAAAACCAAGTTCACAAGGTACGTTGATAGAATCAGCTTCAACACGAACTGGTGTCCAGGTCTCGCCTCGTACTCTTTTCCAGACCCCCACCTCTGATTCTCCGACTCGGTCGAAAGGTATGGCTGAAATACCAGAGAAGACTAATACAGACGATCAGGAAATGGGATTTAGTAGCGCTGGAAGGGTGGCTACCAACCAAACAGTATCTAAAGCAAAACCCACCACAGAAGAGATTTCAGAACCGGAGGAACCTCTCACAGGAAGCATTTCTTTACTAGGAAAGCTGATGATCCCTGACCAGAACAAGCAGAGCGAAAGCAAGCAAGAAAGCAAACCAACTGCCGGTGACGATTTTTGTTTTTCCGATGAGGAAGAGAGCATCATTCCTCGAGCTATTGGAGATCAAGTGAATCGTATCGAGATTTTTCTTAAAAATGAAAGATTGCGATTGAGCAAGAAACGAAAGTCAATAGATGAATGAAGTTCTTAGACTTTCTCTCAGTTCTTAAGAGTTTATAAGGAATTGCCGGAAAAGGATAGGAAAGATATAGTCAAGTCACACTATGTTATAAAGTTGCTTCTTTTTCAAAGATTTTCCAAAATGTTTTTTGTTTACATAAGACGTATTAATAATGTCGACAGGACATTCTCGTTACACGTTATATTTTTAAAACTTTCGAAAAGTTATTTAGAAAACGGAAACTGTAGATTATCCTCGAGGACAACATATGTCATAAAATGATAGTTGGAATTTTAAGTTATGATTGTTGTGTTTGTTCATGCAGTATGCAAAATTCAAGGTTTGTGATCATAACAATGCAACTAAGATGTTGATAATAAAATCCATTCGAGATTTATATGTTCATGTATAAATATTTTAGTGTAAATTTACATTAATATATAAAGTTCCACACAACAGTTAAAATGAGAAAACATATTATTTACTCACACTTCCCTAGGCCCCAGACTCACCTTGATATACATATAATTTTCAAATTTATTTTTCTTGGGATTTTTGTAAGTATTTTGAATACGTATACACCATTCCTCCGCCATGAAGCATCAAAACACTAATGAAAAACAACCCCATGACCATAAACAATGGTACTTTCGACAAACCACCAGATAAGACAGACTTATCATGTCGGAAATGAACAAAAAGTGCTCTACCTGAGTACGGACGATTCGTCCAGTGTTCCCTCAAATAGGCCAAGGGAAACTAATGATACTAAAACCTGTGACGAAAATGTGTCAGTACTTTGACTGTATATACCATACCGCAAAAATTATATTTTGTATTAAAAATAATACTTTCATTAAAGTCAAAGCAAATCTTAAAACATGTCGACTTCATACAAAAAAGATTGCAGATTATACCAAAGCTTTTGTGTCGGGTCTCAAAATATTCTGTGTTTCGCAGAATATAATGAGATTGTGACTGTGGTCTAGAAGGACTTTCTGTGTTTTTAAAAGAATTTAAACTCAACAGATCATGTTATTTTTGTAGGTTATCAAAATTTACTTTATTTATTTAGGTGAAATTTTTAAGTAGTTTTCAAGCCCACGCACTCCTGTTTGTCTAGTTTTTTCAAGGACTTTTTCAAGTGCTCTTAATATTGGCCTCTCAATTTGAGCCTTTCAATTTTTCAAAGACCTTTTCAAGTGCCCATAATATTAGCCTTTCCATTTGAGCACTTTTTAAGGGTCTCATAAGCATCTGAAGAACTTATGAACGTATAATATGTCACATGGACCAAAAACGTTCATTCATCATAATTTGCATAAATTTTCATAAAAATTGACATTCACTGATTTATTTAAGTGTTTTTCAATATTCAAGTTGCTTTGAGAATACAAAACAACTCCACGAAAGTAGAACAAATTCTAGCAGTTAATTTGACTAATTTTTAGTCACCTTTTATAAAAGCTAGAATTCTCAAGTTCAAATCTATTTCTTAATAACAGTATGGAAATCAATTAAGCGGTGAGGTTTGGGGAGGGACTTTCCCTCAAATGATTCGAAATACATTAACAAAATCATTACGTTACCCTTCCAGCGGCAATTCCAGTTTCACAGACGTCAGAAGATTTCTCTCGCGTGAGGAAGTAAGGCAAAACAGAGGCCAAAAAATGCAAAATTCCACTGCAAAATTTAGCAAATAGTTTAGTAAAGTTATAGATGGTAGTACGCTTTTAATATGGCAAAAATTTACAGCTCAGTGCAGCTGTATACGAACACTAAAACAGCGATTATATGAAGTATATACCTGAACCAACATCCAATGATAAATCTTCCATGATGACGAAACGGAAATTCAAAAAAATGGATCCACTCCCCCTTTGAATTATATAAACATTATATTGAAGCGTATATTTTAAATTTCTATAATGTAATATATGTTTTAGGAAACAGCATAATATCAATTATTATTATTAGCTACTATTCTGGTACGTACTTGTCGCAATGCTGAGTACAGTAAGTGAAGTGATACTAAAGGAGAAAAAATATAAGGACTTCGTTAAACAAAAGATCAATAGGCTACAATTAAGCTGTACTTTTAGGTTTGAATTAAGCAATATTTCAATTTCACTCAAGTTCCTGTTTAGTTACATTGATTAAACACTGATTATCTCAAAGGTCACGTGTTGTCGACGCTAATGACATGCATTGTAAGAGACAAATACTGTACATATATGCAGTGATACCCAGGAGCCTTACCAGAAGAATGAATTACAAAAAATCCTGTCCAAGCCACTAAAACGTAAAAATAACTTAGTGCATGGTTATAGATCGATTGTGACGGTGTTGTCAAAATTCCTCATATAATCACTAAGTAATCCACTTGCTGTTCTTGCTGTATGTATTATCATACAATGAATGAGAAGATTGTGTAAAAGAACTTGAAACAGCAATGAGGAATTTAGTTTTAAACAAATGGGCCAATTTGCTTTCACTTTTTAGGCTAAACCAATCAGAATGCCTACATTTTCAATACTTTATGTAAAATAGTGAATTGTGTACCTTTTCACCGAAAGTTGTCAATATTTTTGTATTCTGATTGGGTCACTGAAAATGTAAACAAATTAACCGATTGGTCCAAAACGAAATGTTCCCTTGTTACTGGAAACCGTAGAATATGCGAGAAGCAGCGAATATAACGTTTAGCTACCTTAATTTCGTGTCTTTTATGATTTCAGCGAGTACTGCATAGAGCCCTAGAGATAAAGATCTTTTTTCAAATTCAATTTCCACACAAATGGTGTGTAGATTTACATAGTATGAAATGTTTAATGAAGTCTCATTGTGACTAGTGTGACACGTCCCTTTTTGCGCTATAAAACACAGTCACAGACATTACATTTGTGTCATTCATTACCTGAACAGATAATATATAAGGAAACCCAATTATAGGCGATTGAGTTTGTCTAGAATTGAAAAATGATGCATGGGCTTAATTAATACATGTGATATCTACCGAGAGATGCGAGATCTGGACAGTAGCAGACAGACTATAGTAATAAGTGAAAAACCCCAGTTACTCTAAACACAATTTCAGTTAGATTTGGCACAGATGAAATTTGGACAATCTAGGGAAACCTTTATATGGGGCAACCTTTCTATAAACTTCAACTACTATTTTAAAGTCTATGCAATGTGGAACGAATATTAATTTTTAGACAACCTAATAGTAGGACAATTTTAAAATATTACAGCTTACATTTAGGTTAGTATAAAAAAGATAAAAAGCTCCAAATCCAATCATTACCAAACTAAAAATAGCATTGAGATCAAGTTAAAAGCGAATATATATTACACAGTGAGCCTATCCCTAATATAATATCATCAACGGCTTCAACCATTCCCTTTGAATTATCACTCCAGTTTTATTAGAGTTCACTTTCAGCAATGTTTATTGACGTCAGTAATGACAAAGTAGTGATTAAATGCTGACATCTACTATTTCATGTGATGCAGAAAAAATAGTACATTCTCACCTAACTTGAACAGATAAGCTTGGAAGCTGCAAAAATAATATTATATTAATAATAATATTACAGATATTAAATAATCATTGACTATATGACCATGCTGAAGCAGTTTACATGAAGTACTCAAACATACCAATTTTGACCTCCATAAATTACAAAATTCCATAAACAAATATGTTAAATTTTGAAGACCAATAAATATGGGAACAGCCTAGAACAAAGTTAAATAACAGTCCAAATTGTATGTTAGATAAAGCAGCGAAGATTTCATTAAATACAGTACCATATACTGTACAAATATTGGTACGGTCTTGCAAACCTACCAGCTTCGACAATGAGACAGAACCAAAATACATTACAGCCGTATGTAGCACCATGCAAGGTAGCCACAGCTTTATTGCACCTCTTAAATTAAAAAATAGAATTTTTTTAAAATGATGCCTGGTTTTGGATTGTTACTTTACTAATATATTTACTATGAAAGGTTCCTTCTTACTGAATGGAAATATTTGTTTATTCTCACCTATCAATGCTCGACAGTTTAATGTAGCCAATAGAATGAGCAGACATCAGCAGAAACATACAAATACCACACTGCCAACTACAATGGTATGAAACCAATAGAAGCGGTTTAAATATTCTGAAGCATCTCAGCCTTTGTGCAAATCTGCAAAAACCTATATTCTATACTATGCCATTTCCAAACCAGAATTTTTTGGTTAATTATTGAAGGTTAATGCTTGTTTATTTTGAGAAATGATGACTGATGATTTATGGTGGTAGATCAGTTTATTCAGTATAGTAGACTAGTATATTATGGTGGACTAAGTTATTATGTTAGACAGGGCAGACTTTATAGCATCTTTAACATTATGGTAGACTGCCGACAGCTGACCAGCCTAACTAAAGCTGGGTACAGAATTATTGCAATAATTATACCTGATGAACAACGTGGGGTATTGAAACTGCAATACAGACAGCACATACTAAAAATTCAAAACGGAATAAATTATACAGAAAATCCGGCTAATAATTTGTAACATTAGAATGATTAGATTGCATCCGTGGTTGAATTTCTACCTCATAAAACCTTAGTTTTAAATCATACAATTAATCAAACTGTAGGAACATCACCCAAATTTGTACCTTGTTAATTAAAGTATGCAACGAAGTACAAAAAACTAGTAAAATAAAATTATTTGACCATTTCTTCTGTACTAAAGTCCCTCGCTCCTTTTCCTCCATGTTTTACAAAGACCTTTTCTCCGAGGTTACAAATCCCCGGCACACACTTGGCGGGAAATTTTTGGCGGGAACAAAATATCCGGTTCTGTCTAAGGATGACACATGAACAAGTACATTTTACCAAAGGCAGAGATAAAAAGATGATTGAAATTAATACGTGGCATTTATTTTCCCATTCAAATTAATTCTAGTATTTCTAAGTTGTGGTTATATCTTTATAAAAAACATTTCACACAGTTTTACTGTCCACCATGGGCAAACTTTATAATATGTTAGTGAATAATGTTCATAAAATAGATTCATCATTAACGACCGTTTTACTTACAATAAATTATTTGCATTATCATTTAATTGAAAAACTGTACTGCATTTAGTGCATTATGCTATTTTATAGCCAAAATATTCTCACCGACGGTGTGTTTATCCCATTTATTACACGTTATGTGCGCCATTTGTGGTCAGCCTTACACCCATATAAACGCCTAAAGACTATATACATTCCGTTTTTGTCGAATTTAATATACTTGTTATATGCTTGTTATATACTTAATACTTTGTTATTGTTACCATCGCAGTCACAGGCCAACTGATCTGGTGTGATCAATTACGAAAAAGATGGCGCCGGTGTTTACATTCTAACATAATGTTTACATTTTAACATAAATAAGCGTGGCACTAAATGAAAAGAAAATGTCCTACTCGATTGTTTGTCAACTTGTTTTTTTATCAGTTCCGACAGCTAAATTTTGAATAAATCAATCACCCAATGAATTACAATTACAAAACTGAATTTTAATGCAGCCGCCATCTTTTTGTAAACACACCACAACTATAATCGAAAGTTTATCTGGAATCTGAGCTATTATACAAAATATTTACCGTTAGTAATAATTTAGGGAATGATAGTTGAAATGGCCTGGTTTCAATCATTGGAATTTATTAGCTACAGTTATAAAATAAATCTTTTTATGCACGAGGCAAAGTGGGCATTGTGGTGTAATGTATTTGGCTAGGCATGTTTGCCTGTAGCAAGTTGCCAAGATTTGTGGCGATCTGCGTAAACGTTGGCCTCTCGTCCGGGTCAATTTTCCAACATTCTTTCATTATCTCGTAGCTGTGGAAAATTATCAGTTGAACATGAATTGTAAAAAATAGTTAAAAATATTGCTTTTCAGATCTCCTTTTTCAAAATAATGAACATAAAAAATTTAAAATATGTTATAAATCATCGCATTTATGGTGAACAGGAGAAGAGTTTGGCTTGTCCTATTGCAAACTATGTGACTTGGTATTATTACTACAGACCAGCAGTTTAGGACTCCGCCTGAAGGCTAAAAATTACTATCAGGAAGCAAAATCGTTATAACTTACATGACGTCTGGACAGTAATAAGGTTTTTGCAATCTGTACCCCTCGTTAACCACTTTGTTTACAACTTGCCTGTAAGTGTCCAAGTCATTGTACGGCCGGATACCTAGATAAACGCGGGGCACAAGTTATCAACGAGGGTGTAGAAGCCTACCAATTAAAAAAAAAACCGCCTTTTTGTTTCCCAATCTTGTCTTTCAGCATGACTGCACGCGCATGGTTTAGACCTTTCCTGTATCGGTATTCAACATATTCCCAAACGCTTTCCAACTCTTCTCATAACTCCCTCATAACGCAATTTTGGAGGCCATGCGCTCTGATAAATACAACTGGGTAAAAACTGTTGTCATTCAAAGTAACCAGCGATATTAGACTGGACTTGAATCCTAAATACTTTGGTTTCATTTAAAATCAGCCTTGTCAAATTATGTTTGAAATGAAACAGGATAATCCGGTTATGTTTTTGAAAAAAAATAACACAGTAATTTTGTCAGCTAAAATCGAAGCAGAATTCAAATATGACTTATATGAGATTGATAGGAAAGGGGATGGAGACTGTTAAAAAATATTGTAATAACGGACACAAGGATATATGGGTGATCCTAAATGTATGCTATCCAGTATTCCGTGTGAATTCGTTACCTCCACTTTCGATCTCCCATAGTAAAACTCCAAAGGACCATCTGTAAAAAGCGATGGTTAATCATGGTAAGCATTAGAGTTTTCGTGAATGAAAGCATTTCTGGAAATCATTTTTAGCCTGCGAAGTAAGATATCATAAAAAGACTTACACGTCACTCTTTGAGGTGAATTCCTGCTTACGCAATGTTTCCACAGGCATCCATCTTGTTGGGACTGGCTCGTTCTAGGAAACAGGGGAAAAATCCAGGAAATGGACAAATGGTCATTCACAAACAGTGATCTTGCGCTTATATTTCAGCGAATCAGCGCTCAGGGAGTTGTCGTAATTGAAAACCATTCTGCAGTATTTAATCGATTATTTATTTTGTTATTCTCTATGAAACCAGTCAAAATTGCATGATAATCTTTAGTTAGTAAAACCATGGCTCTGACATAAATTTGAAACCGAAATAAGGCATATTTCAAAAGATATTATGTTGTTTCAACAAAGAAACGGTTACGGTTAATTATTTTTAGTGCAAGTCTTTTCCTTCGAGACGTTTTTTTGTATCTTCAGCGGTTCATTTTTCTATGGCATGAATGTAAGACTGTGGTAATTTTAAATCTTACCTTGCGAAAACTTTGAATAGTTTTGAAAGTAGCGCTGACGTCACGAGACCGACCAAAATCAGAGACTTTCGCTCGTAGTTCTCCATCCAGCAGCACATTGCGGGCTGCGAGATCACGGTGAATAAACTAGAAAAACAGAATTATTCATTTTTTTCAAAGACTACTATCGAAAGGAAACACTCATATATGGGAATTTGAATAAAGGAAGATCACTCCCAGCTTGTTCGTTTGTAATAACATTTAAGTCCAGTTGATGCTGAATATTCGTGGCGAACTATCACGAGTTGTGACAAAAAGACGAGAACATTCAAACCTACCCCTTTTGTCGCCAGGTAAGCCATGCCATTCGCGATGTCGAATGAAATTCTCAATCTGGTGACGTATTCTATCGTCGTGCCAGTTCCCTTAAGGCCCTGCGAGGATAGATCAAGTCTGTTCTTTTTCACGTAATTATACAAGTCACCGTTGGCACAGTATTCTACCACCACATTGAATTCACCTGCGAGAGAAATGAAGAGCATAAGATGAACATATGGATAGGCACCCTAGAATTAAGCCTCCAGCGACGATCCTATTTTAAAATTCCGACGCTTCAGTATACAAAAGCACGCCATACTTGAATCTCGACCATGGTCGAATTCGTCATTTTCCGGCTAATTCGACCATGGTCGAATTCGTCATTTTCCGGCTAATTCGACTATGGTCGAGTTAGTCGTTTTCCGGCGAACTCGACCATGGTCGAATTAGTCGTTTTCCGGCGAACTCGACCATGGTCGAGTTAGTCGTTTTCCGGCGAACTCGACCATGGTCGAGTTAGTCTTTTTTCGCCGAACTCGACCATGGTCGAGTTAGTTGTTTTCCGGCGAATTCGACCATGGTCGAATTAGTCGTTTTCCGGCGAACTCAACCACGGTCGAGTTAGTCGTTTTCCGGCGAACTCGACCATGGTCGAGTTAGTCGTTTTCCGGCAAACTCGACCATGGTCGAGTTAGTCTTTTTTCGCCGAACTCGACCATGGTCGAGTTAGTCGTTTTCCGGCGAATTCGACCATGGTCGAATTAGTCGTTTTCCGGCGAACTCGACCATGGTCGAGTTAGTCGTTTTCCGGCGAACTCGACCGTGGTCGAATTAGTCGTTTTCCGGCGAACTCGACCATGGTCGAGTTAGTCGTTTTCCGGCGAACTCGACCATGGTCGAATTAGTCGTTTTCCGGCGAACTCGACCATGGTCGAGTTAGTCGTTTTCCGGCGAACTCGACCATGGTCGAGTTAGTCGTTTTCCGGCCAATTCGAATTCGTCATTTTCCGGCCAATTCGACCATGGTCGAATTCGTCATTTTCCAGCCAATTCGACCATGATCGAATTCGTCATTTTCCGGCCAATTCGACCATGGTCGTATTCGCCATATTCCGGATAACTCGACCATGGTCGTATTTGTCATTTTCCGGCCAATTCGACCATGGTCGAATTCGTCATTTTCCGGCCAATTCGACCATGGTCGTATTCGTCATTTTCCGGCCAATTCGACCATGGTCGTATTCGCCATATTCCGGATAACTCGACCATGGTTGTATTTGTCATTTTCCGGCCAATTCGACGATGGTCCAATTCGTCATTTTCCGGCCAATTCGAGCATGGTCGAATTCGTCATTTCCAGCAATCATTTCGTCTTTCGGCGTACTCAGTGTTAAGTCTTTGCAATATACAACACTCAGTATTGCAATTGATGTAGTGGAATGAAACATGTAAATAAAACTTTCACTGCACGATAATTTTTGTAAAGTGGAAATCTTTTCCAGATCGTATACTAACCATCTCTTGTTTGAGCTCCAATCAAATTCACAATGTAAGGATGAGAATCCATATTGGACATGTTCTTCAATTCAGTTTTCAAACTTTCTCTTTCGTTTGTCGTCGCTTCTCCTGCAAAAAGTGGAGAGAGTTTTCAATTGATACTATTCCATAGCAGTTTATCACGTCGAGACGTCCAGCTCCCGATTAAATGGGTAGCATGCTCAGTCCATCTACCATAGGTCAGTCATGGTAGCACATACTCAAACTCAGGGCTCTATAGTGGAAACGCCATGCTAATAATGCTATACCACAATACTCCCCCTGATCCAATGTACGCCTGTCTTTGCTGAATAAGATCAAGCTTTTCATTCTTAGCAACAAACTATATGTGAGTAATATTTTGCTATGATATGTATGCAAGATCAAATCCTCACGTTTTAAAGTTTTCACAGCGCAAATAATTTCTCGGCGCCCTTTGATCACCTCTCCCATTAGTATGACTCCAAATTGTCCAGACCCAAGAACATTGTCCCAGTAGATCTTCAGCTTATCCTGGGGTATTTCCCACCACGTCGGTCGCTCTTCGGGAATGATCGGGCTTAATTGGAAAGCTCCATCCTAGAGATGTGAATACAAACAACGCTCTTCGCTATTATCTTTCATGTCAATATTTAGTAACTTTGCAATGCTTCAAGACAAGTTTCAGACATGAATGTACATATATGTACCTGGGAGATCCTGCTATTTCTTTGGTGATCATTTAATACGTAGACTTCTGGTCCTGGCTAAAGTTGGAGGAATGCGTTTTGTTCGTTAGCTCATTCAACTACAGTAAAGTGTGAAGACACCGGCATACAATCACAACTCATATATCGGGAGTTTTTCGCGTTCTTCCCAAGTTCGTTGATTGGAAATCGCAAAGTCAGTAATCAAAGATACTTCAAATCATTTTTCTGTTGTATAGTAAGCATTGTACATAGTTAAAATCAAGTTCTACTCTATGCAACTGTCTGTAGAACAACGCGGAGAAAAGTTCTTGGAGCATTAACTTAAACAGTTTAAAAAAAGACATCTGATAGCTTAAAGCATAGCCATGCATGATGACTGTTGTCCACTTATTTCTGCATGTATCACAAGTTGTTGTTAAAAGTAGATGTTTACCCGATCTGATGCCGTAGATTGTCTTGGATTGGAAACGCCGCTATACCTCTGGACGTTTGTATTTACAACCTAGGAGAAGATGAATATGTCAAGATGACTGACTTTTCATTAATTTTGTAAACTTGCATGCGTTTCTATATATACCTGTGAAAAGTGAAGGTACTTACTACCGGTCGCCCGTCAGAAAGAGCACTGGGGTAACCACTTTGTCTATGAATTATTGCCGCTGCAGTCTGCATAAGATAATGAGTAAGAGTGCAAGAAGTTTGACGAGCTTTCTCTGATGGAAACCATGTTGATACAAGTTGTTTGAAAGCAAATTTTGTGCTGCACCCTGTCAACAGCTTTGTTGACAGTGGGTGTTATTGAACCACTGTCAACCATTAACAATTACATTTGCAACAAAATTGATGGTTCAACAGGGTTCAACAACATTGTTGACAATACTGTTCAACAGGTGCAGCACAACATTGTTCACTCATGATGCGACATTCATCAATCAAAGTTTCTGCCGTGTACTACTTCTTGCGAAAACGCGACCCAAATTCGTCGTATTTTGCGCTTGCTTACTTTCAACTAATGCTATTTTAATTTGTCGCTCTGAATGGCGGTCAACAGACTGTGACCCTGCAACTAATATTTATTGACAAACCTACTAGATAGATCCTAACTAGATGTATTTTTTCAATTCTGTTTACTTTATAATAAACGTGCTGAGAATTGATGTACTTTTCACAAAAAGGAGAGCCTCTTTACGAGGGTTTCGTTCAAAACGTTTGACGATGCCGTGTGCGGATATCAGCGCTTTTGTGTACCAGTTTGTTAAACAATTGCCTAGTCAGAAGCCCAACAATGGGATTCGTCAGATGGCGTATAAGAAAACAACACCAAGTTTGGCGGGAAGATGATGAATCTCACCTAACTCCCTGATTGTCTCTGTGTTTACTCACCTCTAATTGCCCTAAAGTAGTTGAAGGATATCCTCCTTGGACCTCGTTTCGTCTTTGGGCGCCATCCATCCTTTCAACCTTTAGGAAATAAGGGATTTAGTTCCCCATGGAAACTAATACTAGTTGACAAAAACCTAACTATATAGATCCTAACTAGAAGTATTTTTTTCAGTATATGCACGCTGACCGTCCCTATATATAGGACGCGAGTCGACGCCCGCTTCTATTAACGTGGAAAGCAAAAGTACGTCTTATACCCCTTTAGCAACCTGAGCTCCAGGAGAATCTTTCATCTGGTATAAAGACACGATAACCACGATGGTAACAGTGAACAGAAAAAGCAGACCAACGCCCACAATGATATATATGATTGTATTGTCCAGTTTATCCACAGAATCTATAAAGAAGAGAGATATATTGAGAATATGCAAGTTCTTTGGAATATGCAAGCTCTTTGAGAATATGCAAGTTTTTTGAGAATATGCAAGTTCTTGGATGCTTTCCTTTATATACTGTAAAAACAGCCGAACCGGTCCATTTGTATTTCAGTACAGGCAGATTACTGTCATTTTAGATTGTTTAATTCAAGAACCCTGCATCCAAGTGTATCGTTATTTATATCTGCCTATAAGACTAAAAATACAGTTCCTTGTTTAAATATTAAAATCATATACGACATGCTATGCGTGATTCTTTCAAGGTTTAATATTTTTAAATATTTTTCTCTCAAGGCCCGTTCACATGATGCAACTCGGTCGGATTCATTTCACTTCTGACGTATGGAATGTAGTTTGTTATTGATATAGCAGTGCTACATTGGTTTTAGTCGATCTAGATTTGCTGCCCGAATACATTGCAAGTCGACAGACTATAAAACATCCATCAGAAGTGAAGTGGATCCGACGTAAATGGATCGTGTGAACAGACCTTTAGGAGCATGACAAATTCTGGGAATTAAATAGCAAAAGATCTAGAATTTGATAAAACGTTAAGTAAACTCTTTGCCAGAAGTGAGCTGGTATACTAGCTTTTACCATACACTGACCGTCTTTTGCTGTTGGTGTTGTTGCAGACTTTCCCACAGAGTACAAGAAAAACAACAGAAATCCGTGAAAAAGCCAGCGAGGGCAGACATGTCGATGAAACATGATCTATAATATGATTCCGAGTGGTGACGTTAGTTTTTCTTAAATAGAATGAAGTTCATCAGTATTGCTCACAGCTAAAAGCGATCACTGTAATAACAATTACCAAGTCTTTAGCGAATTTGTGTATTTTATTTATTGATCGCTCAAGTAATTTTGGCATCTTTGAATCAGGTGACAATATTGTGTCTATCACTTTCGATACTATATTTACAATGTACGCGGAGAAAGAAATTAAGCCTAAGTACAAAAAATGCGAACTATATGTACACAAACGTCTTCGCATTTTGCTGTGGCGGGAAATATACATTTAAAGCCGCCGAGGGGAAAGTGTTACTGACTATATCCTCGACGCTCGAGCTCATGTAATTTGTGATACGTATATAGCGATAAATTCAAAGTACACAAGGAAGCGAATATAAACAGAAGTGTATAGATTAAGAGAGCTTAGTGATAATACGACATTCCAAGACTTGAAATAATTTGTTTAAATTGAACAATTAAACGACTTTCTCAGTATCACTCTCTTAAAGGTTAACTGTCAATATACAGGGCGTAAAGATGTGGAAGAAAAGGTGAAAAGCGAAACCGCTACGTACGCTGTCTTGCATGCGTGACTATCGTGCACAGAAATATGCGGGTCAAATACAATTAAAAAACTACTTAATGTCTTAAGCTTGTTCAGAATTCCGTGACACGATATGCTGTACAAGGCAATGAAATAAAGCTGAACATATCCGTTGTTTTTAATAATTTAATCCTAAATTATGCGAACACAACAGATGTTTCAACGTTATAACATACAACATATAATGTCGAATGTTTATTTCAAGACAAAGACAAAATTCCTACCTTATATTACACAGTCTCAACACGCCAGATAATGAATCGAAAGTGCGATAGTTAATTCTCGATATGTTCCTGGCGTTTTCAAAGACAATTTGCAATCATGGCAGAACTAACACCATTTTATTACGTTCAACCAATTCGTTCTGAAGTCCGGAAGTTCTATTCCCTGTGATTTTTATTACCGCGTATCAACAGTATTCAAATTCTCTTTAAAAATCAGTTATGCGTTAAGTGGTTATTTAAACCACAAAGCGTGGGTTGGCAACGCTGTATAATAAAAGTTATCTTGAATAAGAAGTGCAAATAATTGTGACACATCCACAATAACCCCCCCCCTGCATATTTCGAATAAAATCCGAATCATTTTCAGCTGCGCGGTTTTAAAAAATGCGTTTTATCCATGTTTTAATAAGATAGTTTATACAAGCGTACAACAGTTTTAAACGTCAAAAGCGTGTGCAAAAAGGATATTGAACAATTCTGAATGGCTGCTTGATGATTTGTTGCTGACATACAATGCTAAAGCCGTTATGTATTCCGCTTATTACTCATTGTACCTGTCGCTACTGTAACAAATGGTAGATGTGAAATAGTCAAAGTTAATCTTGTCTTTCGTGTGAGGTATGGAAATCAATATTTTATTTTACAGCGTTGGTGCCAGAGATATGAAATGAAACACTTTACTCTTTTACATCCGTCTCTTGTCGTGGTCGCGACAAACAGCGACTGACTCAGAAACTAGGAGATAAAACCTTGACTAATTGTCTGTTACGTATATCTATCGATCTATATTTGTCGTATCATGCCCTCCATATTTGCAATTATTTTAATCAATATTTGCTGAATTCATCAGCCGAGAAGTGTTTAGTTAAGGTTTGACATTTTCACTGGTCAGTCGAGCTGTTATTGTACAGATACACGGCCATACACGTCATCATTCGTGATCTAAACATAATCTCAGTTCGGCAGAAAGAGATGTCAGATCTTTTATCATCGATGTCGTATTCTTGATCGAGATACCCAATGGAGGCAACCACTATATGCTTATCACACTAGGGCTAAAGATCAGCTCGAAAACTATCCAGAATTGATCCCTCAAGTCGCAAGAACGAGAGAAGCTTGCTGGGATAACTGACCCACGATATCGTTTGTTTAAGTGTCGGCTCTCGTGCGTGGGTCGGATCACAGTTCGGATGCACGCGATGACAATAGTCACGAATGACTTAAGTGGCATGGAAGTGGCATTGGTTTGGATAAGATGACACGCAGTACACAAATGACGTGTGCGTGCTAGGCGCATGTACATTATAGGTATATGCTCACATTGACTTCAAAACACAACATTTTTGAGCAAAATAAGGTGAATGAAATTTAATTGAAATATATAATATAAAATGAAATATAAGGTGAATGAAAAACAATTTAAAGATTCACAGTATTATCTATTTTTGCATTCTATATTCAGTAAAACAGTAAAATCATATCATCAGCTTATATAAACATCCAACCATACATACACGCGACTCTATTAACTGTGTAATTTTGCAATTATCTTTTAATATTTTAGCTTTTGTGTGGATGTATCCTAGAGCACATTTAATCCCAGTTGAATAACGATTTAAAGTAAGCTATAAATAATCTAGCTTCCCCCCGCTTTGACATTCTAATCTCGAGTAGAGTCAGTCGACCTGACCTGTAAGCAAACGCGACGCGATATTTTAATGTCCAAATGTGGCGGAAACCTGAAGTCTGAGATGATCCTTAACGTACATCAAGAAAAAACAGTTTAGAACTGATAGAGCTATATAGGAATAAATTTAGTTTTAATAGTTTAGTTTACTTTCCTCTTCCTCCTATAGTAACACTGGATCAATAAGAGATGATCCTTACTGGATCTCTAGGAAGAACAATTTAGAGCTATATCCAGTATAAATAATTTATATTAAATATAGTTTAGTATTCCTGCTGGAACGGAGAATGAACGAACAATTTAAGGCTATCCATTATAGAAATTAAGTACAAACTACAAAGTTGCTATCAAAATGGATCTTGGTCGACTGGTCGTTGCTCAACAACTGTAATATGATAAATTACCAGTGTTTCCTATCAGCCCGTCTGTCATCAAGCAGTAAAGGTAACACGACCCCTCGGAAGATATCAAACATAATATTGACATTGCATACATGCAATGTTGGCTTCATTCCGAGATGGCGATAAACCTGTACGAGCAAATTTTGCGTGGAAATCTGTTGAAAACAGCTACAGCTGCGTCCTAATAAGGCCAGAAGAATGGTAAATTCACTTTCCACGCGTGAACCTCGTCCTGAGCACGAAAATTGTTAGGTAAGATTATATGTAGATTCGACTATCTTACTTCATTCAAACGATGATGTCTCGCATCAAATTCTGCTGAATCGTGCTTTATATAACAAAAAGAAGATAACTATTTGCGTTAAAGGTGAACCATTCTAACCATTTGGTATACAGTTATAATAATGCAAGATAGATTGAATACGAAATTACTGCCTTAAAAAAGCGAGAATATTATTCATACACGTAAAGTTTCATACTGGGATGAAGTATTCCGGTATATAGACGTATGTATATCGACCATTAAATTGGATTAATTTTCTTTCGCAATGCATGCCCGAATCAATCGATATTCGTGTCCGTCGTATTTCGCAGAAAACGCAGCAAAAATACATTTTAAGAAGCAATATTTGTGGAAACTGACGGACATTTTAACCAAAATGCTTGTTGCTGTCGACCCAGCTAGCTACATCAGAGCAAAGCGCACTTCCTTATTTCTTCAATGCTATTAGATTTAAGTATTATGTGGTAAAAATCTCCATGTATAGTTTGCTTCGGATCGCTCTCCCTATAAGCTATAGCAGCCGTGTAGTAGGCGAAAAAAATTCAACGCGTGGTTTTTGAATGACATTCTTACCACAACACAACCTATATATCAGCATTGTCATCGCCTAAAGAAGGACTTTAGTGCTGTAAGAAACACTTTACTCTTTTACATCCGTCTCTTGTCGTGGTCGCGACAAGCAGCGACTGACTCAGAGACTAGAAGATACAGCAAATTTAACGTGTGGTTTTTGAATGACATTCTTACCATCAACAAAATCTATATATCAGCATTGCATGTCATCGCCTAAAGCAGGACTTTAGTGCTGTAAGATTTATACAGATTTATAATATTGAACGATGTACTTTTTAAGTCTCTAAATTCAAGCTATCTATCTTTAGATATATGTTTTCTCATCCCTTTGTGAAAAACTGCACGTAATTTTGAAACAATCATAATGATAGGGGGATCATAGGCCATGTTATGGCTGTATCGATTATTCTAATCACCTTTTTCTCTTCCTTTGTCGAAGAGAATTACTTAATTAAGATAATTGAAATATAAGGTCGAAATGAAAGGACAGATCTCTATCTTAATAAATACAGCTCAATGCAAAATAAGGTCATTTTAACAATTCTTCATGCAAAAAGCTTCATTATAGTTATAATTCAGCTAATCCAGTTTAAACTTCAAAGTCAAATGGTCAAAGATTGAACAAATTACTTAATTTTGTGAACTTATACTTTACAGGCTTTAAAATGATATGCATTTTGTGAACTTTTGTGTATATGATTCAGGCTTAACCAAAACAAAGGCGTCCCTAGATAGCAGATAGCATTGTAGCTACATTTATACAATACGCTGTATTGGTTTGTGTCTGAACTATCTGAAAGAGATATCTCAATCGTAGTGGTCTAGTGTAGGTATAGTAGCTATTCTATAGACTGGCATGCTTTTGGCCTGCTTTCGACCTGGCTGAAAAGATAATCAGTTCAAACGTCGTGGTCAATTGTAGAGTGCAGATATAGTTTTTTGCAAAAACTGACAAGGTTTTAACTGACTGAAATCACATATTGCAAATATGTTTCAGAATGATTGCTATTTTCGACCAAAAACCAAACGTCTTATAAGACGTTTTCCAGACACATAAAAAAGGAATTTCAGCAGCATTTTATGATTAACAAATCGTCTCTTTTAAGATTATACAGTTGTTTTTTTTATATGAAGTATCAATCATCCAAAATACTTGGCTTGTCGTCTTGTGTTAAGTTGCCTTATCAATTTCACAAGCGACGGCGAGAGATAATAGAGCACCTGAAGGGTTAATCTATATCATGCACTCCATTGTTTCCGCCGTTCAGTACAGAACGAAAGCAATCAGATTTTGACAACAAGGATTCGTTTCGCAGGAAAGAGGTTTTAGCTACATGACCTGGTTTCCGGGACCAGCTAGTAGATCTTTGAACTTTAGCTATATTAAATATCAAAGTTTCCTGGTTTGATTTCGACGGACGGGAAATATTTTCTATTGACCCGGTTGGTTCATGAGAGAACATCGCACAAATACTTTAATTCCTACAGTAGACATAAGCTCATATCGCGACAGCGATTATAAACGATAGGATAATGCAAACTACGTAGATTGTATGCGATTACATAAATATATAGACATAACAATGTCGTCTATACAGCTGCATGTCATGAAAAAAAAGCCAAAATAAACTTCCAAAATAAAAGTCTAAATGAAAAAGATTTTGAAATTTCCAAATTTTTATACAGATATCATTACATGTCAATTCGTCATTCACCACGCTTACAGTTGATCAGGAATGAGAGAAATTCAGTTCAGCACTGAATTTCACCGGAATTTTTTTACTAATGAAATTTGCTATACCCATACTGTTTCCATACTGTATCCATAGCGTAAAAATGGCAGGAATCTTGATATTATTATAATTTCCATACTATTTCTAAACTAAAATGCATGCTATTTCCATAACATGAATTTTGAAGGTATATTTGTGTTCGCTTGCTTCCAGCATTGCACATAACAATAATATTTTCCGAAAGCAAACCCTATATTTCCGGATAGGCTGACAGTAAAATGCTATTAATGAAGAATGTATCAATCTCTCATAATCTCCACCCCAAACAAATCAATGATCAATGTCAAAACGCTGATAACGTCAAACATTGAATAATGCCTCCTCAAAGAGACAGTTTCCAACATTCCTCGCGCGATTAAAAACAATCCGATTAAAATTTGTTAAAAATTTCGACCAATGTTGAGCAACGTGGAAACTTTCCATATTTATATATCTAATACTCAACGTTCATTTATATATCATTATTCGTTTTTACGATATTCGATGGAATGAACCCAGTATACAGTTCTCACTTCTCATCGACCCTAAAAAAAAGCAATTAACGCATCTGCTATTCATTGTTGAGACTAATTCTGATTTGTGACGAGCATATTAGATAGCGCACTCCAAATAGGAATTTCTCATTATCCGACTCTCATTCTTCCCAAATTTGTTGGCGATAACTAATGTAGGTGATTATGCACTACCGGTTGATGAAACAGTCAAAACTAATTTGACAAATTACTGGTAGCTATTCTTCACCAATCGCACATGCATGTAAACATATTTCTTTCAAAAGCTAGACCTTGAAGACTTGCATTTTTGCCCATTCTCGCGAGAACGCTGCTCCTGACTAAAAAACAGTAAGCAATTTGTCAGAGCAACAATGTAACTCGAAATTTTAACAACGATCCCCGTTTGGTCTTCAAGGCAGAATCGCCGCTGATCAATAATCCAACTTTTGTTTTCGGGTCAGCGGTAAACCATATCGAAAAAAGGATAAACTACAAAACGTGTTTTTCTTTTTTGTTTTAGCAATGAAAAGTGTCGATATCCTTTCAAGTTATTTTTTGATCGCTTTCACCGCACTCTGGATTAACGGCTCACCGCGTAAGAAAGACATTTTCTGCTGTGGTTACTTTTGCCATTCCAAAAAAAAAATTGTCAACCCTAAAAAATAGTTCGGAAAGAAAGTTGCGATCTAATATTTCCTGCATCTTTTAGATAAGATTTCTCCAGAAAGATGTCGCTTGTTTTTTCTCAATGCGACTGCAGCGTTTCACAAGGACAACCGTCAGCCGACCAGGGAGAAGCTTGAAAAGATTATCCCACTTTTGACCCCCGTTTATCCAAACTCCACATTTTCGTGCGAAGAATCCACAGTTACACTTGAAGACATCAAATTCTCATCTTGTTGCGCGCTTAATGCAACGCGACTGGATTTGGTCTTCAAAGTCGAACCCAACAATGCGGACGTGCAAAAAATCTTCGCGTACCACTGTTCTGAAAATATGCTGACTCAGGTGAGAAATATTTAAACGTTACAGCTCAGTTGGCGTGAGGGGCAGTTCCCCCCTGCCCTGTCGGCAACCACTAACGCGACCCGGGGGGGGCGAATACCCAGGACTGATACACGCTATAATGGATATCATCTTTGTATACACGTCTATCTACCATGGCCTGGGGAAAAAGTCAAAACAATTCGTTCACAGGAAGATATTTTTGGAAATTCATAACAAAAAAACATTGTTATTAAGAAAACAGAAGAAAATGCACTCTTTGTGTTTTCAACGTAAAAAAAAGAGTTCGTTCTTATTATTATGTTATTTCAGGCGTCAGGAATGTTTACAGCTGTGAAGGTGGAAGAATTGTTAAGATTTCGTGAAAACCGCAGCATTTCGGCGCCGACGTATGTCGTTGATGAAAAATCGTGCTGTAAAGAGCAAGACCGTTATAATGAGCCGTGTTGTAGGGCGGGGTATACCCTCAAGAATACAACTTGTGGTGAGTATTAAAACCAGTTAATACTCCCAGTTTTGAAGCTGGCTTTACTAGATTCAACTTACTATTTCAGAAACTCTTTATTATAGTAAGTGGAACTGGAAGTGGCAGTCACGTTCGTGCCAAAGAAGGTAGCATACAGATGGAGGAGACTATAAACGATTGTGAACCAAGTAAATCTTCTTGCCAACCAATTCTCTTAAAATTCATTCTAATAATTGCCTTATTGCCCACAATTTATAACGTATTTGTAAATAGTAATTCCCGTTTATGGAATTATGGAATACTCACCCATTGGTCGAAATATGGTATACTATGATAAACTATTTGGAAATTTTGACGAATGCAATCGCACGAGTCGCATAACTCTGGATCCGCCCCTGTTTGTCGCATCAGATTGATATCAACTTCATGCTTCATAGAAGTTTGGTTTGGATTTTAATGGCAATTAGACACATGCAAGTGCAAGTCTCAAATGGTCCTAGTCTAAAGTGGATTGTGTTTGAATTCCACACGAATCATCCTTCTAGAAATCATACTGTACCGAGCAAAGATCTTCTACAAATTCATCAATATATCATAGCTCTGAGAATGGTTGCATGCGTCTCATGCGGGCTGGGGGTTTTTTGGCAAGTTTACGTTAACGTTCCCAAACAGTTCCACGATGCATTGCACACCTTACTAGTACAAGGCTTATATTTGTCGCTAATTTTTCTTCTCATCTTGTTGTCAGACGTTCCTGCACTTTCTGTCGGCGTAATAATCTTCATCACGTGTGGCAGTCTTGTTTTGTTCGTCGGCCTCGTCTTGGCGGGGGTGAGAATATGGAAATCAAAACGTCGCCACGATGGGAATGGATACGTAGAGGCAGCTGTGGAGACGAACCCTGGACCACAGGAAGAGCCACACGAGGTATAAAAGACACTTCCCCCCTTCTTTGCGAAAGGAATAAGACGATTGTCACTGCACTAGAACGCCTTCGTCATGAGGGCAGTCAATAAGTCCAAGATAATAATTTCCGAATTTTTTGCATGAAAAAGTGTCTATTTTGGTTTATATAACTTTAACAAAACAACAGACCCATATCTTAAGCTTAAACGTCTGATCCTTTATCAAGCAAACCTCTTTATCTAATTTTTATATTTCAGGACACGGCAGCCGAAATAACAGTTTCAGTACAAGCTGCAGAAGAAACAACTGACGGTTATCTGAGCATGAAAGGACAGACGACGGAGAATACAACGATAGATCCGAACATTACTACGAACAGCAACACAAATGCAAACACCTCTACATCGAATGAAATCCCTAACCACGATGATAATAAACAAAATTCACTAGCCCTCTCAAAACCTGTTACACGGAAACGACCGTTATCTCGTCAAGAAATGCAATTCGATTTTGACATGCACATCGCCATAGAGGATATTGATTTCACGAACAAAATGCTGGGACGAGGACAATTTGGACAAGTGGAATTGGCCAATGTTCTTATCAAAGGCATCAGAACAAAATGCGCCGTAAAAATGATTCGAGGTAGGCTACACACTTTGATATCATAGATCTGTTAGCTAGGTTTCACCAAAACCCCCTCTGACTGTAGTCTTGAATGTAGACTAAGTATGATTACATTGGAAGTATTGTGATTTTTACCATTTAGGCAGAGGGACGTATGAAGATGAACGGGAACTCTTTCAGGAACTACAGATGCTCTATCAGATCCCCTATCATCCTAATGTGGTCAGTCTACTAGGAGGATGCATGGAAGCGAACAGTACGTGAATTTGTTTTCAGTACATTCAATGCACAATATACCATTAGCGATGGTGGAAGAATAGATTGCAATAGTTAACATAACATTGATGCAAACAGTTTGCTGCTGATGTTGTTGTTGCTGTTTTTGCCGTTGTTGATGTTGATCGTGCTATTGCAGTTTGTTATTGTTCGTGCTGTTATTTTTGTTCACATTGTTGTTTATTCACAGTGCTGTTAATTGTTGTTGATGTTTTGTTTGCTTTGCTGTTTTAGACAATTTTCTTGTTCCTGACGTTCTTTGTTTTTTGCAAAAGTTAACTTCACACTGTTGTCTTTCTTTACAATCAAGGTCCATTGTACGTTATTGTCGAGTACTGTGAGAAAGGTAGTCTTCTAAAATACTTACAAAACAGCCGCAATAATTTCAATGAATATGTGAATATGAGCATACAAAAGTTGGACTTTCGCTGGAAACTAAAAAGAGCAATGGAGATTTGTAGCGGGATGATTTTCCTCAGTCAAAGACAGGTAGGAACGATTTTTGTTGCTGTTGAAAATTATCATTCTGTATCGAAAAGTGGTGTCCATGTTTTATTTCAGATCCTTCATCGCGACCTGGCGGCAAGAAATATCCTTCTGGACGAAAATGAAGTTGCAAAAATAGCCGATTTCGGAATGGCGAAAGACGTATACCTCAGGGGGATGTATTGTAAAGAGACTTCGGTAATTCTTATTAAATTCATATTAATCTGACACTGCAGAGAATTCGGAAGGGATTTCTGAACTCTCAAGTCAACGTGCGTGGATTGGTAACGAGCTTTATCCAATTTAAAGGCAGATTATAATTGAAATATTCAGATTAATCAAACATTGCCAGCAACAACAAGAATAACGTTCAGAAAATGAATAATAATCGGTCATAATTTGACAATACCTCATTTTTTATCACTTCTATATTCATAGGGATTTCTGCCCGTCAGATGGATGGCGATCGAAGCAATTGAGTCATGCATTTACACAGTCCAAAGTGACATGTAAGTCAACACAATAAGTAGAAATCCTGTCTCGCAAGACTAAGTCATCTCTTGAAATCTGGAGATAATAAGGTCAAGGGTTTGTCATGGGACCGCTTGAGACACGTTAGAAAGTGTCGTGCGAAAGCAGTCCTGTGGTTATTAAGTAATGCAACACATAATGATAAATCTGTACAATAGAATATGGAAGCCATTAAAATCTCGGTCTCTCTTTTTTCTTTAACAAAGATGGTCTTTTGGAATATTGCTATGGGAATTGTACATGGACGGTAGGTTAATTATTGAAATATACCTATTGCTATATTCATAAAAATACACCTTCACAAAATTTCGAATAGTTTTATAAAGAATAACAAAATATATAAGCGATTATAAATACTGTAGAAAACATTTCTATTTTGACAAGCCTTGACAAGTTTGATTCCTGCCAGATACCTGAGTTGCATGCTTTGCCAACTGCCGAATTTAGTCATGAATAATGTTCTTAACAACATTTCAGGAGTTCTCGCAAATAGCTAAGTAAATTTTTAACCTGTTGAAGCAGGTGCAGCTTATCCAAAGACACCGTAACCTTTCATTAAATGATCCGATCTATATTATTAGGTGTCAATCCTTACCCAGGAATTGCTAATGGAAACGAATTGCTGGAGAAATATCTGAAACAAGGTTACAGAATGGCTCAGCCAGAAAACTGCCCAGATTCATTGTAAGAATACTTAAATAACGTACACATACAAACTTCATACATCATTACAAGCCTCCTCTCAAACGTTTAGAAGGACTTTTAAGATACTAAATGGTTCAAAATACGCCTTCTTGATTCAGATTGAATAAAAGCTTTAGGGATGCACGGAATCTTATAGATATAGGTCACGTAGCTATTTCCCGCCAAACAAGCGGCTAAACCCAGTGCCAGTCTTCTACTCTGAAAGGGAGATTGTTAATTGCATTATCATGCAATAGAAAAGAAGTGCTGGTAGAATACTAAGTTTCCACTTTTTCAGTTATCAGCTGATGCAAAGGTGTTGGTTGGCAAATCCAGAGGATCGGCCGAAATTCGCTCAAGCGTTACGCGAAATGGAACTGATTGAAAAAGAGGAGATGGTGAGTGACATTTCTGTTCAAAACCAAAAAAACTCCGGCCGCCAACTTTAAATCTTTCGACCTTCTTACAGCGCAGGGAATCAGAAGCCAGTCGAATGACACAGTCCAGCAGAATGACTGAAGATAGCGACGATTTGCCGGTTTTTGAAGAAGACGAAGAACTTCTAGAAACACCTGAGAAAGAAGCAAACGTTCCTTTAAAGGTTATTCGTTCATCTCAAGAAAATGTCGAAACGTCGAGTGAAAGCGAGTGCCCAGCGAAGGTACCAGAAATTGGGATAGTGAATCGCGGGCGTAGTAGTGTCGACAGCGGCACTAATGCCTTTGAACTACGTAGTTTAAGGAGAAACTCGGACGATCAAACCAGTCATTGTTAGTAATAAAATAATATCGTGCCGCCCTGTTCTTGTAGGGTCAAAAAGAGAGCAAAATAATCATGATAAGTTTCATAATTTAATATACATGCAGAGGCAAAGAAAATGTAAACATACCAAGTGCATGCGCTAACCGGACTGCAAATAACCTTTTATAACATTTATAATACTTAATGACATGGGCAGGTCCTATGTGTATTTTCATAAAGACACATTTCACATTCCACATTTTAAAGACACCAATTATTCCAGTTTTCCGTTTTAAAAAGATGCGCGAGGGACACAAAGTTCATAAAATTCCTGGAACTTTGATTCATTGTATTATGTCGCTCTTAATTAAAACTCATTTTAATGTTGATTGATCAGGATTGATAATGATTGATGGTGATTATCGAAACTTTCGTTTTGTCTGCGGAGGGCATTCGAAGTGAAACTTCCAGGAAATCGAGCTTCGAGTATTCCTTTTATTTTTAGATTGACCAAAGATTTAAAAACAGCAAACTAGGTTAAGTCAACTTTCAGGGCCTTTTAAGCTAGAGTTAAAGACATGCAGAGTTGGCAAAAAACCCTTACACAACCGATCCTTGCATGGAGTTTGGACAGTGAAAATTACCTTCTTTTAGGTCCATTCGTGGTGTTTGATATATAGGACGCATGCAGTATTTAATAAATTGAAATACCTTGAATGTTACGACATGCAGGATAATAATATATCACAAATTTTAATAATGAGATAACAATGTAAACGTAATACTTTTAAGTATATTCATATGTACAATAAATATATCGATGTATATATATAAATATACTTCTTAATTTAAGTTTTTCGCTAAGAAAAACGATATGTAAAGATTTACCAAAGGGCAATTTACAAATAATTGGTGTTCAGATTAAATCAGACGTTTTATATAAATATAGTTTACAGTGTTATGACTAAAATTTTCTATTTTCATCCGGCAAAGACCTAAAAAGTTGAATTATATATTCTAATTCAGAAAGTCGAATTCAATGTGCTATTAAAGAAAAAATCAGTGCATGTAAATACTTATACACAATTTTTCGAGTAAATCCGTAAATTACACCCACGATATGGATGCACGCCTTCATACTTACATTCAGTGCCAAAGAGGCACCTTTAAAACTATGACGTTGCATGATAATTAAGGCCAATTTTATATATCTGCTTTCGCACAACAGTTAATTTCATTGTCGTCGTTAAATAGTAGAATAAAGACTGCCTTTGCTTAAAGGGATCTCTCATTCTCTCCAGTTCGAATCAACAAGAGTTTTTATCCACGTGTAAAATGTGACGTAGAAAAGTTTATATTTAGACGAAATAATTCACAAAACATTCGCTTGGCAACCTTTTAGGTGTGTTGTATTATAGAGGAAGTCAGGCGGTACTCTTCAATAAACTTAATTCCTCTTCTCTGCTTTGCAGTTTTTACATGAAGCGTTGGTATCGTTCAAAAAACTAGATTTAGCTTATGGTTAATCCTAGAAAAACATTGGAGCTAAAACCTTGGGAATAGAAGAAAAATTAGTCTGTTATTTAAGCTAATTAAAATTGCTATGTTGGTGTGGTTATGACAAAGAACTTGGAGGTAAATGACTTTGTGATTAAATATAAAACTACGCCTCATTGCATTCTTCGTGTTTTGAATTCATTTGAAAGAAGGAGGTCGAGATATAAAGGCAAAACTGGTAAGAAAAAGTAGTGATAACGATGAATCTTTATACGATGAATCTATATAAGATTTATACAGCTATAATCGTTTAATAAAATGATTAGTTTGATATCAAATCATTGCGATGTGCCATATAAGAGGGTCCATAAAGTGTCCTAAGAGCAAACTCCTTGATGTTCGTATAAATAGTGACACGGTCAACATCTACATACATAGTACAGTCCACAGCGTGCGTGCAACCAGCTTTTTCGACTGCCTCCCAGAGGTAAAATTCTGTCGACGCCAAAATATGCTATTTTGTATTATATGTTTTTTTTTATCAGCATGATCAAATTAATGCCAGCCTATCAGGAATGATATATTTTTCTTCGGACCCATTCTCTACCTGTTTCGCATAAAATATAGTTAACTACATGAACGAATTTACTACCGTAGTGAGTTGTGAATGGCTTCTCTTCACAGGAATTAAACACACGCCTATTGGTTTCATTCATGAGGATAAGATAATACAAAGCTCTCGGCTACAAGGTTCTTTTAAAGAATAGTGCATGCTTTAGCGTGAAAATAAAATCAGTTTTCTACGTAAAGGAAACGAGGAGTTTTCAGTATAACACGCTTTCAACCTTTCAATCTTTCAATCTGTTCTTATAACTGCAAAAACGATTACTCAAGCCAGATAAGGAAGAACGGAGATATTTTGGCCCATAGAAGTCGTGCGTCGAAAGACAACATAAAACTCTTTCATCGTCGTGTTTTTTATTGACATGTTTTGCCCTATATTTTCAGAATGGCCGCCTACAATGTGCTTCAACTTCTTGCAATCACAACAGTCGCAATAACATTAACTTTTGCTGTGCTACAAGGTGAGGATTTGTAAAGGTAGCTATCATTATAATGAAAAAAAGAAAGAGCTTAAATTAGACTTTAAAACCACTTCAATGAAATAAGATTCAACTTATCATATATGCTTTATTGGTTTCATTAAAGTAGGCCGCTCAAACTTGAACTGAAATTGAGTAAATATTTAGGAAAAAGTCACATTCCTATGAAATATACGTATAATGGGTACTTTTTACATATTTTTAGAAATAAAAGAACAAATGAAATTTATGCATCAACTTCACATCTGCATGCCAGTTTTAACGTTCGATTACTCGGTCCAATTTACCAACTTTTAAATACAATAGAAACTGTGCAAAAATGTAAACATTTTTAATTACGGCTGTTTACATCAAACGAAGTTTCTGTTGTTCTATATTGTAATAAAATGCTCAGTGCCTCCTGCATAATAACAATCATTTTTGTACTCGTACTTCTCTATCTAGGGTCAGAGCCAAAAGTAACATGTCAATTTCTTATATTCGACTTAAAACATCGATTCAAAAGCGATCCAAATTTTGACATGAATGCACTGACGTCGAACAACGAAACAATAGCACGTTTAAAACAATTTATCACTTCAGAAGAGGGTTGCTCAGTTGTTGGGGATATAGAGATCTATCATGTAACATACCACAAAAATATCGACGATGGCATAGCGACGTATACAGAAAGGATAAAAATCCAAGTTTCTGCGAAAAGCGATATCGGCGAAAAGTCTATCGAAAAAGTGGAAAAATTAGCAATATGTTTTGATGATGTAGTTAATGCCATTGGGGAAGACAGTGATTTTGAAAATTCACTAAAGTTGAATGTGTCGGGAGAATTGAAAAGTGGAGATGTTAAAATGTTAACTGTAGGAAAAAAATCATGTTGTTGCGTGATTTATGGACTTCCCGCGAGTTTAGAACAGTGCTGTAGGCCAGGTCTTGTCGAAGATGGTGATAAGTGTGTTCAGTACCATCCTTGAGGATAGAAAATGGCAGCGCGCCACACGCATTCCTATTTTGTAAAATTGCGTTAGTGGGATTTTTTTTTAACATGTGAGAGAGGAAATGTAATCTTAGAGTATATGTATGAATGTAATCTTTATTGAATATACAAAGTAGTTTTACATCCAATATATAGTCTTTATCGTCGCTCTTTTGCTTCCTACCATAAAAGAGCCACTCACAATGTTATTAAACATAACCAGTAGTACCCAATCCCCTCGCTTTTCCGTACAACTTGTTGAACATTTAAGCAGTGTTAATTTATCGCCAATTTCCACTTTTAAACAAAAATAGTTCCTATTCGTTACGTGTGTATTTTCACACCACCAAATGAACAAACAATAATGCTGGGCGAATTAGCCATTTGTTTAAATTTCAGACAAACTGTTTCGAAAACCATTTCTATTGGTTAGTTAGGCAGAAAAACAGACACGTGACAAACTATTTTGTATAAATTAGTTATCGAGACCATAATTAATGTTGATTGATAATGAGCCTGTTTTTGGACGTAGTATTTGAGCCACGCGTGTCCTTTTAACACTGTTTCAAGTAACAATTGCAAAGAATAATTGGATTTTGAAGACTTGACTTCTCTTGAAAAGTTCTTATAATACAAATAATCTCGCTTTCTGTACTTGTGCATGCATACATACGACAGCGAACGTACTCTACGGTTCCATTTGTTGTTTTGTCTGATGATGGTCATCTCGAAATCAGGACTCGGTCGTCAGTTAGTAAGTTCTTCACTTTGCAAATCTTTGCGATTTCGTATCAATGGCTCTCTCCTGTGCTGTATAATTCGGGTCGACCAGTCGACCTATGAAAGAATGAACTAATGACACAGTGATTATAGACAGATAGAGACGCCATAACTAAAGCATAGATTAATCTTTGTGCCGAAAAAATTCACACCACTTAATGGAGTTTAGAAAGCCATCTTTTTGGTCTGGTGAGATTCGCGAAGGTTTGACCACAGTTAATGGTTTGGCCGACGTCCACTTCAATAATTCAAAGCATCGTCGCGTTACTTTTAAAGTTGAAGCCAGTGTGATCTTTACATGTAGCTCTTGTAGCTTTCCTAAAATCTCTTCCGCAGGCGACAGGCAAAAAAAAGGGCAACATCCTCGATAAGTTCCCTGACCTGTATCTTAGAAGATATTTTGTCACGTCTATCACAGTTCATTTGGTGGGAAAAATGGGCACAAACTGCATGTATAATTAATTTATGACAAAATTGATGAAACAGCATTGGCTAATATTATGCACAAGTCGTCTATAAAGTCCCTTTGCAATCCTTATTGACGTTTCAAAAAACTGAACAAATGATATTCAATTAATTTGTTAATTTAAGTTTAATATTTCAGCTATTTTTCTTCCTAAATTACGACCTTTCAAACGACATTTGATGACACGTAAGTCTTTGAATTATCCCAATTATGGTTATTAAGCGACACTTGATTATGTAAATCGATGAATTTGCGACATAGCATTCAAGATGACAATGTATGTAACAATTATATCTGATTCGCTCTCGAAATATCGCTGGCCATTGTTCGGGGAGGTCCATTATTGGCTTGGAGGTGCCGTCTTCATATACTCAGCATAAAACTAATATTCGTTGGCAACAATACGCTTCAATAATATGTATAAAAATATCTATTAGTTTTTAGTCGTAAAATTCTAGAATAAAGAGCTTTTTATGCATATCGGAAATTCTCTTACACACCTCGCAAGGGCTTGCATCCATATATGTCGCATACGCGAATTCCGAGCCCTTTTAGCTAGCAACCGCATCAGTTGTGTGGTATTTTTGCGGAAGCCAAGGCTCTAGAAACAAAGTTTTTTGTTATTGTCCCCATTTTTTTGATCTCCGCGAACTATGTGGCTTTGGTTTGAAAACAACGACTAGAATAAGCACAGTTTATTGGATTGGATGGAAGTGAAGCATTTTATGGTGGAACATAGGAAGGAGTTACTTGGATTCAAAGCAGTATTTTTGACTGGTAGACTTTTGGATCGAATGTCGTTTTGATGGTTGAAAGAACTTAAAAGATTGGGAACTAAGGGAAAATATCACAGCACTTCGCTTTGTATCGACGGTGTTCAAGTCGTCATTTTCTAAGGTAGGATTGAGGCATTGAGCGTTGTAGCTACAGCCCCTAGATGTGGTAAGGCGGTTAGCTATATTTATTAAATAAGGTAAAACCACAAAACAAGATTTAAAAACATTTGTAGTACTTCGGCTTTTTAGATCACGACGAAAGAGTCTTTTAAAATGGGCTATTATCATTATATATATATATATATATATATATATATATATATATATATAGAATCGAAGCAAAGCTTCTGTATTATGTCATATATTCTCTTAAAGCAGTATTGAAAACCATTTCTCTTTTGTAAAATAGTTGATCGTTAACAGGCGCATTGCCGGTGGCCTTCAAACGATTAATACTATATCTATATAGGCTTAAATAAATCGTTGACACCGTGCATGCAAAATTATGCTTAGAAGTATTCTGTCCCGAATCATGCAATCATTTTGCATTCAATCTACTTGATAGTTTGCGAGTGGACGTATAGTTCCCCTCTCTATTTGGACAACAGCAGATAATCTTGTACTCTGTCTATAACCTAGCGATTTTGTTCGTAAAGTGAAGAGGTGTAATGGTTGTATAGTTTCAGCATACACAGTCAGTGCTAATAAATTTGAACGATTCATACTGTTCATGTAGATTTGCTACAGTGGACTAAAACAAGTACAGAATATATATTCCAGAGCTTGTCTAATCTATAGCCAGGCGATTAGAATATTTGGTAAAGATATAAACATATGTAGATCTCTATAGCCATGACTGGCATTGTAGGCACCGGCCAGACTCCATAGGAAATTGGAACATTGCCTATATAGGCACACCTTCATTGATTTACGGGGTTGGTTCCAAGATCACACCAAAACAATACCCTAAGTACATACATAACTACACGAGGTTGTCCATACGATTTCATTGGGATTTCCCTCAAACCGTGTGGCTACATTGTGTGTTATTCCAGCATTATTATTTACGAAAGATAAGGAATCTTAAGGTGTATTGTATCTGCTACAGTACACGAATACTTGTATATTGTAATATATATTATTCCAGCATCCTGCATTTTCCAAAACACAACGAAGGGAAAATTTCCGTTTACGACGGCATTGCGAGACTTGCTGTTGTTATTGTTATGATATAAATATATGCCTAGGCTAAGGGCCAATATACCTCATTTATATAAACAAAATCTTCTTAGCGTTTGTGACTTTTGACACATTGCGACGGTTTAAAGCCATGTTAACAGCGAAGGAATGGTATTTTTGCAACTATGAAACGAGTAAACTGCTCTGCGTAGTTATGATGCCGTTACACAGAAACTGCATGTGTATTGATTCTGTGATAAATTCAACAGCGTTCTTGTCAATTTGCATTTTGACAACAATAGTTGGCCTACACACACTAGTCTTCAAGAACTACCTAAGAAAACTATACGAGAAGTGAATTTAAACATTTTATGGATGTTTTTTAAAAGGCGAACTACAGTATAGCGGCAATGCGGTTTGATCTAGTATAGTTTTAAAAGATTCGTGTTTGCAGCAACAAATATTTATATACAAGAGAACAGTATACATATCGAGTTCTCCTGTCAATTAAGAATCCTTACACGGCTAAATTGATACAATGAGGGCTTAATTGCTGAGAATATGGAGGCATCCAAGAACATTTAAAATTTCATGAGATATACATACTTGGCCACAACTCCAAGTCTCACACCCACGGGATTAGGGCGGGCGCCGCCTGTTGGGGTGGTGCTGCCCATTCTCATCACTAATGCCACCAAAGTTCATGCAAGATCAATGACAATGTGCGACGACTCCGACTTGGCCTCCTATTGAGATTCCTATTGATACAATTGTTTGCAGGAAGCTGAATAATTGGATCGCCAATCCCTTCCTATATAAGAAGAAAGCAAAGTGCAGGCATACGCAACGCTTAGTTCCTCTCTTATGGCAAAATTTGCATTTTGTTGTCTGCCTCAAAAAAAGCCTGTTTGTCTCTCGAAGAATAGGCAATCTTGGGTTTATGTATCATGAAAATAAGATTAAAATAAGAATTCTAGAAAATGAACCTAAACTTGTTTATTTTACTATTTAGCTCGATGGAGTGTACTAGTTTTAGGAAACTGGCGAAGTTTGTTGGCGAGATATTGTGACATGTGGGAAATAAATCTTGTCAAAGCAAACTTTGAATACGAAATTTATACCATATTGGAGGAAAATGCCAAAAGATTTCTTCAAAGATTCTACTTGAGTTATGCACATTTTACAATATTTCGTTACCAAACTTTGCGATATACTAAATTTCAAGTAGATTTGAAATGAAATGAAATGAAATCAACTTTAATCAGTTTAATCAGTTTAACACGTCAGCTCAGACGAACTGGTAACAATATGAGCCTTTCCAAACTTTGTTTAAAAAGTAAGCTTAAACTGGGAATGCCTTCTCATTGCACTTTGCATTTATGATAATATAATAAAATTATAGACCACATAGCGCCAAACATGGTATCATTACATTCAAAGTGTCTCTATTTAAAGAATTTGTAGAGCAACAACTGGGTTCGGCTAGAATATTTCCCGTGATAAGAATATAATTTCAGTCATTATTTTTCATGCCAGCATTGTCCAGAACCCACTTTGCGGAAACAATTAAATATATTGTTTGTGATTGTTTGGCATTTAAAACGTCCTCGAGAATCTCGTTATGTAATATAAACGCAACGAAATACACGCAACACTACGTATAAGGAACCAGCATAATTATGCAAATTATTCCATAATTATGATCATGCATATGAGTATAGTGCCAGATATTTTGCTCTGACTTTGAAGTAAACAAATCATATTTAATGCATGTCTTTTCATGTTAATATAAATATGTTTTCTTTACGTCAAACTTTGGAATATTTCTTTACTACGTTCTTTTGCGTTGCCGGATAGTTTTTGCGAGGATAGTTTAAATAAATGTGCACAAGCAATGGCCGATTCTCTAGAAGCTTAATTGGGGAAGTGTATATTGATATATTCAAAAAAACAATCGCAAAAGAAATCAGTCGTGCATAAGACGGATATATTAACATTCATCCCTCCCCAAATACGTTGCTAGAAACTGACTGACTGAACATGTTGTCGTCGAATTAAATCTTGTAATTTCTTGAATTGGATCCGAAAGCGAAATTTAGTTCAGTTGGCCAGTGTCACCACAAAAAGAATGTTAGTTAAAGTTTTCACGAAAGTTTTTTTCCTGTTGGGCAGAGATTTTTTTTGGAAACCGGTGTTGATGTGAAAATATCTCTGGAATACAACATATTGGCATCATTATCTATTATCTTTACATCATGGTGTATTCCAAGAATTGGTGCACCAAAATATTTTATAAATTGCTGCGTCTTTCAACGATTCATTAATTTAACTTGAATTTCAATCGAAGTAAATTTTATTCAGGAAGATGATCCTCATCACTCTACTACTGATTACAATAACCACAACAGAGTTCGCCGTTGGCATGGAAGGTAGGTTTATTCACATCCATGAAGATTCATTTTTAAATATTAACCATAACGCTTTGTTTTTAATCGGTTTAGATTTAACTACTCTAGATTGTGTTTAAAATTTTCAACATACGTTCTCCATTCAAACATATTAAATAGAGCTATGACAAGAAAATTTCAGGCTATGCTTATAAATGGCCATGATTTAAGTAATATACATCATTCCTAAAGCCTAAAGTGAGATTAAAACCGTATCGAACGTGAATATGCACATTTAATACTAAAAGACATCACAATTTCTTTATAGTTATTTTAACTGTAATACGATATAATTAAAATACTATGTGAATTTTGAAAGAAAAGAAACAACCTCAATCAGATTTTTCTTCTTTACTTCTTAGGTACAGTACCGGTAGAGACCTGCAAGTTCCTATCTTACAACTTCAGACATGTGTTTAATGATCCAACGCATGATATTACCGTCAACAAAATCAGCCCAAACAAGGAAACGCTGGATAGTTTGAAAACGTTCATCGTCACAGCCAAGAAACGATGTTCAATTTCTGTCAAAAATATCACGTATGATGAGAAGAGGTTTGAGCAATTCACGGAAATCACGGAAAGGACGCAACTCCTGGTTTCGGCAGATAAAAACATCACAAAAGCTACAGACAGATTAACGGAGCTGAAACTGTGTTTGGATGCGTTGATCAACGGAATTAGCGCAAATTCACTGAAGCTCAATGTGTCGGGAGATTTAAAGGCGGGAATTAATGGAGGTAGAGCGAGAAATGCGGTAGAGAAGTCTTGCTGTCATGTCTTATACCAATATCCTGTGATCATAAACAAATGCTGCAGACCTGGCTTTGTCGAGAAGGATGATTACTGTGGTAAGAATACGTAACGACAGATGAATCTATAGCAAATCATTGCTACAAAGGAAAGACTCTGTTTCGTATAAAAGATGAAAAAGGCTTGTTGTTTTAATAATGTAGCTACCACTCTCCCCACATCAAGTGTTGAAGACTTTTTAAATTGATGCTCTTTTATTTTTAGCTTGCCCGAAAGGACATTTTCTGAATAAAAGTCGATGTGACGCCTGTCCAGAAAATACGTATCAACCGAAAACTATGAGCATCGGATGTTTATCGTGTCCAGATGGGACATTAACTTATGGAAGAAGAGGAGCTGAAAGCCTTTCCTCTTGTTTGCAAGGTAAACAAGTTTATGCATATCTAAAAAACCTAATTGGAAACGTTGAGGTAGAGCCCTTTAATAGCTCTTAAGAGTGAAATGGAAGAGGAATCACAATGAATTATTCAAGATGCAAAAGTAGGGAGGTTAATGCTACAGCGTTCTGGCTTTCTTTTACAGCGTGTTCGCCTGGGAAGCGATACAATTCTACGTCAGAAAGATGTGAAGCTTGTGAAAAGAACACTTACCAACCACTGGTGGGGCAAACATTTTGTACCGCTTGTCCAAACAACACAGTCACGGAGAAAACTGGAAACACAAAGAAGGAGGATTGTGTGGAATGTAAGTGGACTGACTGACTCAGAACGAAACACAGTGACATTCAAATCTGTTTTGAACTCTGAGAGTGATAGGAATGGGCTCACACAGGTGCAACAACGTACGCTTTGCGTGTCGGGCCCTGGAAATCACACAAAAGTTAAACGGTCAGTGTCTAGGAAATGACCTCAACAACCTGTGAAAATATTTCATTGTTTAGATTGCTCAGAGGGTACGTTTTACAGCTTGGAGAGTAGAAACTGCGAACTTTGTCCAAAGAACACCTTTCAACCAGGAAAAGGACAGTTCAAATGTATATCATGCGAATCAGATAGGATTACCACATCCAATGGATCGAAGATTGAGGCAAACTGCATAAAAAGTGTGTATTTTGAAAGAATTGCAATAGTTTAATCTTTTTAAAGCAAATAAACAAAATAAATAAATAATCATTTCGTTCAATTTGAACGAATTTTGTTCCATTTTATCAATTTTTTGATAATAGATTGTTCCCGTGGGTTATTCTTCAATCAAACCACACAGGAATGTGAAGGGTGTCCTCTTCACACTTTTCAACAAACTTTTGCCAGCACAAAGTGTAACGATTGTCCCAATGGAAGAATTACAGTCAACACTTCCAGTAAAACGCAAGATGATTGCATTCAAAGTAAGTTAAAGTATACATGCAGTACCTTTTTGTCTGATCATTGCAGCGGTTAATTTGTACGCGAAGCATCATTCGATATCGACACTATTATATAGATCAATGAAGGAGTTAATTAAGGCCATGTTTACACGGTGCAATTTTTCTTGCATCTTGTAATGCAATTCTTCTTTCGAAAGATGTAAACATGGCATCTACCAAACACACACGTCACACTTTATAATACTCTTGTTACAGATTGTCCAGCTGGAACAGCGTACAACTTTACAAGCAAAAACTGCGTGAACTGTCCGTTGAATACGTTCCAGCCACACGCTGGTCAAACAGCATGTCTTTCTTGCCCATCGGGGAAGATTACCGTTAATACTTCAACTGTCAAGAAAGAAGATTGTATAAAAGGTAAAAAGAAAGATAGTTCATTCTTCTAAACAAACGGTGATGTAAGAAAAAAAAAATTTTTTCGTTTTCCGGCGGACTCGACCATGGTCGAATTCGCCATTTTTCGGCGGACTCGACCATGGTCGAATAAATCGTGTAGAAAGTTTCAAATGTTGACAAAACTCCGGACAATTAATTCTTCCCAATCTTCCCCACACGACATCGTCTTTTCGACATCATAATTATTTTGAAAAAAACAACCATGACACTTTGTGTCCTAGAATGTGAACCTGGATTGATATTCAGCCATGAACAGGGAATGTGTACCTTTTGTACATACGACACTTACAAGCCAACCAGAGGACAAACGGAATGCATCAAATGTCCAAACGGAACAGTCACGTACAAAGACGGGCCTAACATTAACATAACAGATTGTGGAGAAGGTAAGCCTCGTCCAACTCAAAGAATCACTGGAAAAACCAATAAATTATTTCATTGCTTGTCAGTCGAAGCAGTGTGTTCGAGCTGGTAATCGTAAGAGTTGCCAAATGAGGCCACCAAAAAGGTGGTTTGCAATTGCCGGCATCTTGGTTGATTTTTTAAAATACATATTTTAAAAATACATATTTTTTATCGTTATGATGTATTTTAATACCCACCAAATAATACGACAGAGATGATAAGCAGTTACAAAATAAACAAGGAAAAGTAAAACAACGCAGTTTGTTCTCTTGAAAAGCAGAAGTAAACTTTGTAGAATCAACCAAGATGGCGCCTAATGACAGATTATGACGTCATATGTAAACCAAGAATAGGAAAAATGACAAAACTTCTTTTAGCACAACACATTAAAATACTTAAAATGCACGAACTAAATTCATCTATATAGAGTGCAAGCCTGGCAATCGCTTCAACAGGGCCTTGTGGAGATGCGAAAAATGCCCACGAAACACGACGCAGCCAAACAAGGGACTAGAAATCTGTATCACATGCCCAGCTGACCGTCCAATCACAGAGCATGAAGGAACTGTTGAAGAGCGTGACTGCATTGGGGGTAAGAACATTTTAAGTTTGAATGCACTTTAGCCTGCTCTAAATTTTTTGCAGTTCAGTGAATTTTACATTTTATCTTATCTTAAACGTCTCATCTTATCCGTCTTATCTTATCCGTCTTATGTTATCCGTTTTATCCATTTTATCTTATCTGTTTTCACGAGTTGTGGTGCTTTTTGCAGTGTGTCAACCCGGTTCATTTTACGACAAGACTCAGCAAAACTGCAAATCGTGCGAAAAGAAATCATACCAGCCAAATTCCGGGGCTTCTCGCTGCGAAAAATGTCCTCAAAACCACACAACGTTTGAAACGGAATCAACAGCCCTAGAGCAGTGTGTCAAAGGTGGGTAGCCAGTGTAGAACTCCTATTTCTAAGAGCACAGCACTTGTTTGCACTAGAACCATTTGTCAGTGGCTCTCTTTTTGGTTTTTCGTTTAAAAAGTAATAATTCTGTGAAATCCTGAAAGAATATGAATTGAAATTTTCACCATAATGGCTTTAATCATATTACATATTTGGCAAAAGGATTTGACTTGATGCGATTACTCATGCATGAATGGCTGTTGAGACATCCCACCAACCATCTCATTCATAAATGAAGACAGTGAATTTTCTTGAAGATAACACATCAAATCGATGCTGAATATATCACTCTGTTGTTTGTCTTCCCCCTAGAATGTTCGCCCGGATCTCATCATGTCAATAAGACGGAGAAGTGTATTTTATGCGAGAAGGATAGTTATCAAAGCCAATCGGGGCAAGAAAGCTGCATAAAATGTGAAAATGGTGAAATGGCATTTCACGAAGGAAGCACCGATAAAGCGGAGTGTTTTGCAGGTAAGAAATCTTGTTTTTTAGAAAACAACGAAGTTTGTGTGATCACGACATATGGGTACTCCATCCTCCCCTTATCTTTTCTCATCATTTCTGTAAGTTAATATATTGTGAAACAACAGCAGCCAGAATTGATCTGGGCCGGTTCTATAGAACTCTTTTACTAGATTTTGCGTAGTAAAATCCTAGTCAACTCAGAAATACACGACTCTGATTGGCCAACTCTGTCCTTAACTAAACAGTCAAAAGTTAACTAGCCTTTTATACAACTGGCCCCTGAATGCTACATAATCATACAAAGCTATCATCGTGAAATAAAGAAATTGAAATGATAAAACGAAAACGTAATGTTAATGTTAATGTTACAGTTTGCACAGCTGGTCACTACCACAACAACGTCACAAAAATTTGTGATCCGTGCCCGCGGAACACCTACCAACCGTTGCAGCGGCAGTTCAATTGTACGGCCTGTCCTCAGGGGACAGTGACGCAATTCAGAGGGACTACTTCATTTGAGAAATGTCTGTGGGGTAAGTTTATGAATAAAACTGTAAACAAATTTACACCGCATACGGTGGGCGGGAAGGAAGATGATTGTCGGCATTAGGTTGTGCTATATAACATAACTTATTAATAGTTAACATTTTTGCAGAATGATTTTGCACAAGTTAATTGGTTTTTCTTATTTGGGCGATAGAGATAATATCTTAGAGGATAATACCTTCATCATTTAATTTCAGAATGTGACAAAGGATTTTACCACGACAGCAAGACAAACACATGCAAGGAATGCCCTATTGGGACGTATAAAGACATAACAGGACGTACAGCCTGTGTGGAGTGCGGTTCTGGATACACGACAATTACGAATGCGACCGTCAGTTTCCTGCACTGCATCGAAAGTATGTTCCTAAAACTCATTTTCTTGCATTACCTTTAGTCAAAACCCATACGTTACAAAGAAATTAGAAACAATCTAGTCTTACAAATAAATATGTTAACGAAGAATGTTGTATTTGATAATTGAACTGAACATGAAACGACGCCATTTTAATTTGCAGACTGTGGCAAAGGACAATACTACAACACCACCCGCGGAAAATGCCTGCCCTGCCCGCAAGACAGCTATCAAGATCAAGAGGGCGAATTATCTTGCAAACTTTGTCCGAATGGTCGTATAACAAATGAAACAGGCGCTAGAAGTATCAACGAATGCTTTATTTTAGGTATGTCTAGTAGCTAACATGAAAAATTCAGTTCTGACCTGATTTGCTAGTTAGATAGGAAGTGGGGAATGATAACGGTTTATAAGATGTTGTGTATTTGCAGAAGGTATTAATTTTGTCAATACAAATTTAATCATGCTATTTTCGTTCTAGAAGAAATCGAGCAGTCTTCAGAAACCTCCAGCGGCGAAGACCTGAGAATAGTTGTGGGTATTCCTGTCGTATTGACGGTTGTCGTAATTACGGCTTGCTTGTTGGCACTCTTCAGCTATCGAAAATGGCGAATAAAAGAAAACATCAGGGTATAGGACTGATATCTTTGTAATAAATAGTTTAACATGAAAACAGAGTTACGAGGATATAAAAGAATCTCTCATGCAAAAGATAATTACATTGCAATATTAACAGTATCTTTAAGGCGAAAAGAAGTGGAAAAAATGAAACCGTAGTTTAAAAATGCCTTATTGGTGATCTAAATAGTAATCAGAAAACACTATACGAAGTCTTTCGTCCTTGACAGAGTCACACACGTGTTTACAACAGGACACAAATTTAACGAGAGTTCACTGCTCTAAAACCACGAATAACTTAATCAGAGTTTCATTGCAAGATTACAAAATGGCTGATAAACTTTCTGCTTTTTCAACAGAGAATGTCCGGAAGGCCTTTGGATCCTCGCGGAAGAAATTTCACTGACTCCGACCCTGAGACTGGCGAAAGACCCAAACTAGATTCTATTGCCTCAAACCATCATTACAGAATGAACGGTACTGGCCTCAAACCAGATACAGTCAGACCGAGCATAAGAATCGCCAACATTCCGCCAGAGCTGGAAATTCCGAGAGAGAACCTGAAATTCCTGGGTCAAGTGTTGGGAAAGGGAAACTTTGGCAAAGTCGAGAAAGCGATTCTATTGAAAGACGGGACGGAAAATGTGGTGGCCGTGAAAATGATTAAAGGTATAACCAACGCAAGACGTTTAAACATAAATGGCTTTCCACGCATGCATATCATAATTCTTAATGACAATTTACTTTTAAAGGTGGAGGAACATTTTCGGATGAGAAGGAACTGTTCGATGAGTTGGAGATGTTGGCCAGTATTTCTCCAAATCCTCACCCGAATATCGTCAACCTTGTTGGTGGAAGCACGGACAGTAATGGTAAATAATGTGATCTGTTGAATTGAATGAAAATAATGTATAATGTTTTAGATCACGGGAATCATAAATAATGCAGGAAACAACACTATATAGACTACAGGAACCACGACATTCTTGTTTCATCATCAGACAGCACTGAACTTTTCCATTATTCGATACATAGGTCCATTATTCGTGGTCGTAGAATATTGCGGTGAAGGTAATCTCTTGAAATATCTCCAGAAACATCAAGTTCAAACGAGACAAGAATATGTAAACATCATTCCCAAAGCGGGGAAAGCTGGCCTACGGTACGAGTGGAAACTGCAAAAGGCGTTGGAAGTTTGCCACGGTATGGCTCACTTGGCAAAATTCAAGGTAATTCTTTAGCATGTTAGTTGGATGATTCGATTTCAACTTCACTGAAGGGGATGAAATGTTCCCGATAATCCATAAAAGTTTATTCACAGTTTATATATACCGAGATGGATTGCATGAAGGAATGACGATTAGGAAAGAAATAGGCCAAACTAATTGCCTAAAGAACACGTTTTTTCACCGAAAATGATTTGGTCCAAGAATCATGGTTATCCAAATGGGTCTAAACTAAAAACCAAGCTAGGGTAACCAGACTCATGTTGCAATATCCTTTAGATCATTCATAGAGATGTCGCGGCAAGGAATGTTTTACTAGATGATCATTTGGTGGCTAAAATTTCCGACTTTGGCATGGCCAGAGATATTTATGTCAAACAAATTTACCGTAAGGATACAGAGGTACGGTTAGATTACTTTATTATACTGTGTTGCAAATTTCCGTCTTCTCAATCGAATGCCGCACCTCCAGTAACAATGCACCAGACAGTCCTAAAGCATTATATTTTTCATTAACCAGGGATTTCTGCCTGTACGCTGGATGGCTATAGAATCTTTGGAATCATTCATTTATACCACTCAGAGCGACGTGTGAGTAGAATTTAAAATTAAATCGTTACGAAATTGTTGGCAGTGGTTTTAAAATATACAAGACTAACCAACTCCATTATACTGAATCTACAATCCGGCACATTATCACAATGACAATAACAATAACAATAACAATAATAATATACGTATTTTATACAGTTGGTCATTTGGTATTCTTTTGTGGGAGATTATTTCGGATGGTATGTATAATTTTGATGGAATTTCAAGTCGTGTAAATAAAGATATCAAAGCAATTGAACTATGTGGATTTATTTCAAATAACAGTCAAGATTTGGGACTGAAATGATGTAATGACAGCTAAAAACTTACAGAAATTTGTTTTTCTTAACCAGGTCGTGTTCCGTACAACAACATTCTGGATCACACGCAGCTCTTGAACTTTATCAAATCAGGAAGGATCATGAAAAGGCCGAAAAATTGTCCGAAAGATTTGTAAGTATAGATTTTGGAGTTTGTGGGGAGATCTTAATCCATTCAATTGGTGAATGCATGCATTAAGTAAGATAAGGCAAATAGAAGAAGATGGGATTCCATGCCATTCGAAATGAACGCAATGGATTCAAAACTCCAACTACAACACAAATAAAAGTCACAGGCATGAGAATTGCCGAATAATATTTTTTCTCATATAATTGAATATAGATATCATATTATGGTGAAATGTTGGTCCACAAATCCAGAAGACAGACCATCATTCAAATCTCTTGAAGATGCGTTGGAAGTTCTTTATGAAGACGAAGTCAACAAGGTAATATTGACGAGAGATAACGTTCGATACCCTCACCTTGCATGCTTCCGGTATTTAAGAAAAAAACTAAATGTGGCGATTTTCGTGATAATTTTAGGATGAAGCGCTACCACAAAGAATCTTTCGCAAATTCAGCAGCCGACGAAAAAGGCGGAAAAATGACGGTGACAACGACAATTCCTCAGGCGGAAAATCGCGCGCGAAAAAAACGCTCAGCAATTCGTCGGGAAAGAAAATCCCTAAAATCGAAGAAGAGGAAGATCCGGATTTAAAAACAAACAAAAGAGCCGACAAAAATTCGATAAAAATGGGTGTTTTAGAAGCAGAAAAACCCAAAGAAACAGTGAGCAATAAATTTGAAAACCAAGGCTATCGTAAATCAAGAAGCTCGACTTCAGAGGGTCCTAGTAGCCCAAACAAAAACAATACGACATTAAATGCAAACACTTCCGAATTGGGTAGAATTTCGGAAGCGCCTGCGAGTAGGCAAATGGAGGGAACAGGAAGCTTTTCTCCGGAAGACAAACCTGATGTCAGAGAGAGAACTTTATTTGATAATGTGGAAGCATCAGCTCTCTCGTCACGGCAAGATATTGGAGGAAATGAACACATTACACAAACAGCTGATGGATCAGACCGATTTGAAACAGGGTATATATAGTTCAACAATAGCCGAAGAACACTCAGGAGACGGAACGACCAAGGATGTTCTCCACGGATTGTTAATATGTTTTATACATTTTCATAATTTATATCTGTACAGAACTGACAGTTAGCGCAAGCATCCTGCGTATATATTACATCCATAAAAGCTGCGGCACAAACCAGAAGTTATAAATACAATCAGCATAGTACGGGAAATTCGACAAAGTGTTACCAACTATATTTAACACACACACAATGTATCAAAATTAATTGTGCTCCATGAAAAATTAGTTATTAACATGACAGGAATTATACTTCAGCTAGAAACCGTAAAATTTTGCATAGAGAAATATACTTAAACAAAACACAACTATTTTATTTTATTTTACGAAATAATCATCCTCTTTATGCTGTTTTTAATTTTCAACATGAAAATGTATAGTTGCACGCGAATAGAAGAATCATTTTTCGGAGGGATAGTTCAAACTGAAAATGAAAGTGCTTTTACGCCCCCTGTTTTTACAAGTCATGCACTTTTAGACAATGACGAAGCAATACTAAAAAAAGTTCAAACCCAGCTTGAAGTCACACAGTATGGCTAAAATAGCTATATACGCGAGAGTTCACGAATTATGCCGGGATATACGTTTCAAGGTTTAGGTACCAATCGAGGTAACTTTTAAACAGGCAAAGAAGAAATAGTTTGTGGTAACAAGCCGAAAACATATTAAAGAAACGCAATAGAAGGTAGGCCTTCCAAGAATATTGTTGAATACGGTACTTCGGAATCAATCAAGCCTGAAAATATAATAAGGCACTCTGAGACGGCGAAATCTCAAGTGTAACAGCACCAAATAATTTGGTTAAAAGTCCACATAATTTGACTACATCGATGTACATAAAAGAATCGCTGGGTATTAAGTAACGAAGGCTAAAGCAAACTGTTAGTATGTAGCAATTCACGAAACGATATTAATGTAATATGCGTACGTGGGAAACCAAAAAATTCATGCGACAGCAAAAAAATAATATACGTTTATTTAATAATAAAAGCCTTCGACAGTCTTTTGCTACGTTTTTTTTCATGTATGTCTAAGATTTCAACAAAAGATTTAAAGAAATTTTACATTCAATTCGGATTAAGATTTGATATGAAAACGCACAGGGAAACATTAGTTGCCAATAATTGCCGAACGGATAAAAAAACACGGGTAAATTGCGATGGTTCGCTGAAGTAAATTTTCTGCGCATGGGATAAATATATTGTAACTAAACTGAGCCTTGTTCGCATTTGATGGGTGTATCTATATAGGTATATTTATAATAGGTATATTTATAATGTTCTTGTATGTTTGCATGGAGACATCAAATAAGTAATATAGCTTGTAGGTACACCGCGTATTAAGGCCTGGGTTAACGGACCGAAAGCTTTGCAGTATGAAATACTTATATGTGGTGTACCTACAAACTAATTTATATTTAGATGCTGTTACCTACTTCTATCAATCGTCACGAGAGGCCATTGTGAATTAAAATTAATTGCAACTTTTAAATGAGTTATTGCAAAGTGAGACAACTTGCCAAAAACAAACTTGTCAGTAATCACAAGTCAGTCATAATAACTTCTTGTTTTTTTTTGCTGCGTCAGTATATCGCCTAATAATTTGTGGTTGACAGCGCAATTTTTTAATGCTTTTTTCTCGATGATAGATCTAGAATAACGATAAGTGATCACTTGCTGTGCCTGACATTAATTATTAAGACCTGATTGTTTATAGTCATATGTATGACCCACGCACTGGTCAATATTAAATATAACGGTGCAACTTCATTCCAAAAAGGCAGATAACTCGCTGTTAAGAAAATGTCTTGAATGCAAGACTTGTCTACACTCCAATTATTTGGGTCATAGGCGAATACTTTTCGGAAAAATTGTACTAGCTGACACACCACAATGAAAAGGTATATAACATAAAAATTTCGAATCGCTGTCTCTAGCTGTTTTCAAATATAATTTCATATATATTCACAGAAGATGTTGAAGTCAACAGGATTAATTATATGTTATCTGGTAATACTCTTTTGCCACGTGAAAAGATCATGTTGCGAAGAAGCGACAGGTATATAAGCAGTAAGAATAGTTAAACGGAACAAATACGAAACAATTATTCAAAATTAGTAAGCTTAAATGACGTAGTCTCTTAAACGAATGTTTCTCTTTCACAAGATACCAAATTCGAGTCGACAAAAAAGAAACAATCGCAAACACGCGAAGAAGGTATTATCAATATTAGCAAATTTATAGACATATGGCATTAATTAGTTAGGGGCGTCACAGTGATTTGTGTTAAGGTCTGTTCACACGATCCAATTTTGTTGGATCCAATTCACTTCTGATGGATGTTTTATAGTGTGTTGTCTTGTAATGTATATGAGCAACAAATCAACTGAAGCCAATGCACTACTAACTGCTTCATTGATAACCGACTATATTCCATACGTCAGAAGTGAATTGGATCCAACAAAATTGAATCGTGTGAACAGACCTTTGCCCATTGAAATCTGTTACCCCTCGGAGAAAAACACCCAAGACAAAGTGTAGCGAAACAAGTGCCCTATCGCGAGTATTGTATACCGGTAACAAGCACAAATTTTATACTACGCAGTATATTTATGAACTACAATTCCTATCAATGCTGTTTATAGGTACGGCATGCAAATAACTTTAGAACTAGAACTCGTTTGTGCGAATATCATTTTGGTGTATCAAAAATTCTTACAATTACATGCTCGAGCTGCAGGCGAAGGTATCGCATAAATTCCGGCCTGCATCCCCACCCAGGGTAACACAAATCACTGTGATAGCGGTAGTGGAAATCAAATCTGAATTTCGCTATCGACTTTATCGAAATCAACAAAGATTTTATATGATTTGCCCACAATTTTTGTCTAGTTCACCAAACCAATTGACTCATGTTTAGAACCAACAGTCTTAATTGCTATAGTCAATGGTTTATGATAATTTTTATGATGTTACGTTTAAGGTGAAGATTATAGCCTCTTATGGTCAGTAATAACGCCAATCGGTGTCGTTTTCTTTGTGCTGTTAGTCTACTGGGTGATAGTCGCGTGCACAAGACCACGTTCTTTACGTTCATGGACTCCACAATATCATGTATAATGCACCCGCACTGTAAGGGATAGCTCGGGCTACTGTATAAAAGGGTATTTACGCTGCCCGAACAATCGCAGGCTCTTAAAATGAAAAAAATATGCTTTGGCTGTTGGTTTTTTGCTTTTGTATTGTAATACCATATAATGCGATAAAATTATTACAAATCGTCGTGTTTTGAAAGATGTAATTGAATAATTTACACCGGTCTATTGGCACAAATCGTATAAGTAGTTCTAAACATGAATTTTTCGTGCCATAGCTGGATTCGCCTAACATATGTTTTATTTTGTAGTTTTAACGATTATAAACGTCGTGAAATTGTTGAGTTTGGGGAATGTAATAAAATGGAGTAAAACCTGTGCCTTGAATGATCTTGTTATTTATGTCCCAACACGCACGAAGACTGTTATATAATGATTCAGCGCGCAGTGGCAATAAAAAATACAAAAATGAGGAACGAAGACAACAATTCATGCAGCCGAAAATCAATACAGTCTGATTTTTAGCCACTCTACGCTTACATGTTTTTATTTCTATTTATGTATGATACCATATGGTTAAGTTAGGTGGGTATATTCCTGCAATCGTTTTGAATATTATTTATTTATTTTTAAATAAATTTTTTCACACTGAATTGATTTACTGCATGCATGACTGTTAATATTAAAAAGCAAATTATCTTTTTATGTAACTAGCCCGGGAACAGTAGCCATATATCCTAATAACCAAGGCGCAGCCACCTTGACGATTTCTTTATAGACTTGCCAGTCTGGCTAAACTATTGCTGAGAATGTTAATTTAAACCTGTATAGAACTTGAGAAAAAATTCCGAAATATTTGTGCTTTAAAATACACTATGCACAGTCTATAATCTTAGGGAGAGAATCAAGTTACATTCGAAACACAGCCACGTTCCCGATTTAAATTCAAAATGAAAGTATTTTCTCGTCAAATGCCTCCCACGCCTTAGACTGACAAAATAATAGCACAGTTTTAAACCAGCATGAAGTCCGTAAAGCTTATTGTATGCAATTTCAAAGATCTCAAAGTTTACGTATAGTTATTGAAATAAATCTAGAAGAGAAAGTTTGTCGCCAAAGTTGAAGACATATTGACAAAACGTAATATGAGGTAAGATTTCTGAGAATATCACTGAATATCACTGACTATCACTGACACTGATGTTCTAGCAAAAAAACATAGTAAATGCACCCTTAAGATTATAGCAAGTCAAGTATATCTGCACCAATTATAATTTGGTCGAAATTCGTCATACTATGCAAGTATATTTAAAAAATGCTCGAGTATGCGGTATGATCGATACTAGTAAAAACCGATTGATCGTAGTAATTGAACGAATTTTCAGAAATTGTTCTGAATTCATGAAAAGTTATAAAATATAATCTATATGCATGAGTGACACGTGTACAGAGAACGCGACAAACTTTTCATAATAAAGGCTTTCGACAAGTCTATTGTGAAGATTTTTATGTCTGGTTGAGATTTTACAAAAGAAAGACATTTTATTCAATTGAAATTAACTAACCAGATCATCGAGTTTTAGTGGCAATGTTTGCTCAATCAATTTCATATGGCGAAATTTCTATGGTTGGCGTGATGAAATACAGTGTAACTCAGTTGAGCTTTGCGAGTACTTGCTGCGCATAAGTCCGAATCGATGGACTGATCGACTCAATATCTAGCAGTCGTTGTTTAAGATTGTCAATTCAATTGTGGTGAGAAGAAAGTCATTCGAGTTTTTACAAGTACAATTCATCAAGAAAATTACTCTTAACTTTCTGTTTTACCATAACCAATCAGAATTACTCATGAAACAAGATAAAAATTCTGATTGGTTTATGCATATATGAAAGCGACTCTTTTTCCGGGAATTAATGAAATGAATTGCTGGAATTGAGCGAATGAATACTTTCGGAATGTTCACATTAGCCGGCCCGACGTAAAAAACCTTTGTTACATGAATAACAAACTTAACCACGAAGCCATTGACAAAATTTCCAACAGCAACAAATTGTCAACAGCGTTTTGGAAAGAACTTCGTCAGTGTATCGTTTCTGAGTCACAATTGCCGGAGAGTGCAAGCCCACTGAGCATGTTTGTTTAAGCTGATAGTTCATCTGTACAAGTGATCACTTGTTGCATGCGCATGCGCCTTATTCAGAATAATTCACGGGAATATCTTTTCATTTTTCGTGATGGCTGTGCACAGGCCATCGTTCACTACCAGTTTGATGAATTTATAACATGTTAAACTTGGATAATTATTCTTTTTTTTATTTTATAACAAAAATAGACATGTACAAAGGATATTAAAAATTGAAAATCCCTAAACTATTTTTGCAAGAGACAAAATACCTTCCAAGTGTTATTTGCCACTTCCCTCCAGTGTTATTTACCCCTGAGATGATTTGCCTGAAGCTCTTTTGTTTTAAAATACACTTCTTGCATATATTTACAGAAGATGTTGAATAAAATTTATATATATCCTCTGGTATTAATTTTATGCCAAATGGAAGGAGTATGTTGCGAAGGATCCGCAGGTAAGCAGTAAGAATAGGAAAAACGGAACTAACTTATTGAAATATAGGATTGATACTAATAAAATAATAAATACATAAAATTTGTCAAAGTGTCGGAGTAAAATCAGTAGGGAGTTTTAGACTTGACTACGGTAACCCACCAGGGCTACGAGATTCGTCAACGAAACGCAGTTTCCTTGCACGCGTGTTTATACTGTCAATGAAATATTTCAGAAATATCTATACTTATACAATTTCGAAAAATACACATAATGAAGGCATGGTCATGAAAAACAGTTTTCTCAATTTTTTTCCAAAAATTAATTTGATGCCCGCTGATGTTTATCACGCGTAATCATGGAGATTTAAAGCCCTCCAAGCGTGGACCTCTTGTCCAACAGAGAAGCAGAAAACATGAATTTTGACACTAGGTATATAGCAATGCTTTTTAAATCACGCAGTGAGCTCTAAGAAGTTTTCTCAAAGATGAGCAGCTACAAGTCGATATACGAAATATCACGAACATCACGTCGATATTTGACGAATCTCGTAGCCGTATAGCGATAGTTCTCTAGTAGCTACGTACTTTTAGCCAATGTGTCATAATGCTTTGATTACTCAGTTGCACAAAAAAAAAAATTCTTTCAAAGATTGTTAATTAAAAATGAGAATAAGTAGAAATTCGAAGTTTATATATAAAGTATATAATACTTTTTATGATTTCACGTTTCAGGTGGAGATTTAAACGTCTGGACAATACTGTCAATAGTAATATTCTGTGCTGTAATCTCGTTTGTGTTGCTCGTCGTCTGTTCTATCTCATGCAAAATACTACAGTGCCAATCATAACGTGGATTACTTGATGATAGCTAATATTTAGTATAAAGCACCCATGCACACAGAGAATCTCCAAAACAGAAATGCTGTTTCCATTTTTCAGTAACCCAATCAGAATGCATAAATATCGTATCATCACATATCATTCAAACCTATATGAACCAAATCAGTTTAAAATGGGCATAGATAGATTAATCAGACGATTATCAGACACAATTAATCCGTAAAAAATGAGGTAGTGTGCCTGTATAAAAAAGGTATATAGCTATAGTAACCTGCACCGGAAAAGCACCCGCCTACTGATCGCCGACAATGCGTTGATCAAGAACGCAAGGCTAATAATAGTGATGCTATTTATTTTATAATACAAGTCAATAAAAAGATTTTGTACAAATATTATAATTCGATTCAATTACAAATTCTCATTACATTACTTCGCTTGTCAAATTCGGCGGGAATACACGAGAATACACGTGAATAGAAACACGCTTCTCGACCAATCAGCACGCGCGTACTATAAATGTTATAATCATAAATATATCTATGAACATAGAATGGCCATTTTTCAGTCTCGAAATAACACACAAAGAACTAATCCTTTGTTGACAATTACTCCAACAATATTTGAACGAATCGATTTGATGACAAAGAAAATAGGATTGAATTATTTTTAAGTATGCATAAATAGTCCGTGCCCAAATGCAGGCAAAATAATAACGGAAATTATAAAGTAACTGCTCAGATTTTTTGTCAAAATATAATGGTATAGTTTTGATCATCCTGACGGCTGGCCACTTTGCGTTTAAATGTAAAATTTCGTAACGTTAAACAAGGTTTTAAATATATAGATATATAATCCTATGTATTGTTGGCAGTTTTGCATATAATTGCTTTCACATTACAACCAAACAGTAGTTTGCATTGTATATTGGGCATTTACATATATTTAGCTTGTTATGGGATGTTGTATCAACGATTTCTTCATGTATATTCTCATCTGGAATGGCAATGCGTTTTCTCACCTTAGTCGTAAACACAACACTAAAAAATTAGCTGATGAAGTAAGTATAGCTATATATGTTATACAATTACACTGACAGAATTTTCCAGTCAACCAATCAACGATTTGAATTGAATGTTTTAAACGAATCAGAATGCTTGTACATTAGAATGCGTGGTTTTTCGGGCAGACTGAGAGGGCTTTTCACATTATTTTCCATGCATGCTGTTATATGGAAGCTCCGCGTGGCGTAAACAAATACTGTTTTGTTTACACAATAACCGTCGCCAGGCATTGAAACCACGGAAAATGCGTGGTAGACTATATTCAGGGGCCGGTTGTATAAAAACGTAATTAACTTTTAGCTATAGTTAGTGTCAGAATTTACCATTCAGAGTCATGTATTTCTGAGTTAACTACAATTTAACTACGCAAGATGTAGTTTTACACAAACGGTCCTGGCGAATGAATGTGTCTATAGCTAAATAAAGTTTACACGCATTACATATAAACTAAAAATGCACATTGATAAGTGGGAATAAAATAAAAGTCTCTAATTTCAACTTTTTATACTTTACCCTCGATTGTCACTCGTCAGTCTAAACACGGAAGAATATCAGGAAAGTTTTAACGCGCCGACATACTGAAAGTGCTATAAAATTGTTCTGATGAAATATTCTATTCTTACATATAAACACAACCTCAAAAAAATTAACCAGCAACTAAATACACTAGACATAGAAGATTTCAATTTCAGCTTTGTTTGTTTATATAGCAATGGCCTACTGCGACGAAAAACATACCAAGCGTACGTTAGTAAGGCGGCTTAGGTAACTTGCAGAAACCCGTAGCTCCATAAGTTTCGAGTCGTGTATGAACGAGGTACCGATATAATTATACGTTGCCACTAAACAATGCTATCTTTTATAATCACAGCATGAAGTGGGGCTCGAACATAGCCTACTGTGTATAAAATATGCAAGAATTTCATATGGGGAAGGTCAAAATTGACATTGGATAAAATTATGCAAGGGTAAGGATTACGCAGTGTTTACCTAATTTATATAAATTGTAGACGGGCTCCTGAAGAGGAAATAGGTTGTCGTACTAGCAAGTTCAAAATATCGAATCAAAGATTGGAAAATCTTCTAAAAGAAACGAACGGTAAGATTTAGAAGATATGTTACATCTTAATTAATAACTTTGATATATTTATAATGCATTCTTTAGATAAATAGAATTTAATTTACCGATTCAAATATATTCGAATAATACTAACTTTGGCTTTGATATATAAATCCAAAAAGATATATAACATACAGGGCGATGTCAAAATGATGACCAATTTATTTGATCGTAAGTTTCTTTAAATATTAATACGACATACCTGTAAATGATATACTGTATGTATTCTCAGTTGTAGTATTTGTCCATATATATATATTCTAGGCCTACAATGTATGTCATATGTTGTGAGCTTTGACCATAATGTGAGATCATTACGTATTGGTGATGATAGCTACTTAAGACTGTATTTACTTGAACAATTTACTGAGCCTCTTTATAACTAGACAAAATAACGCACCCTGTGGCATTTATACATTGTATATAAGACACAGTATTCGAATGGTGAGATGATATCTTATAAGATATGGTGAAAATATTTCTGGCGCCAGGATAGAATATTCCAGAATCGAAAGTAAGTTAGTTCATTAAACAAAATTAAGCAAGTATCCATCATCCTAAGAATTGTTTTAGACGAAGGTCAACAGTACGTGTGAACAACAAACGTGAAAGACAGATATATGTTATGTTTTTGACCCAGTTCAATTCAGTACATTTTGGTCATGCAAAATCACCAGAATTTATCATTCTTCTAAGAACGCCATAACGTCAGCGTTAACGCCATTTTTGAGGGTTTCTTAAAACGTGAAGTAAAAGAAATGGAAGTTTATATCAGCCTGATCAATGATTATAGCCTGCAGGCTATTAGAAACTCCGTAATTCCATACGTAAGGGTTTAATTAGGGAACAAGAGGGTACTCGAATTTCAATCGTAGCCATAATTATATTCGACTATACATGATCAATATTTTACTTCAAGAAGAAATGGGGATTTCTTTTCGTCGGTTACCACTACTTCGCGATGAAAACGTAATGTTTCAATACTGAATTAAACTTATATATCAACGCTGTTTTCCAGAATGTGTATAGTACTGCTTTGCTATATCATCTTTCGTGTATAAACTTGTTGATTTTCCGCTATAAGGTTAAACTGTCCCGCGTCATGGAAAGCCTGTGATAAAGCTGTCTGTTACAACGTGTAAAAATTACCAATATAGAGCGACAGCATAGGTAAGCTTTAAACTTTAGATAAGCTTCTAAACAAATCGCTTGTCATATTTTTTAGGTAGGTTTAAGAACTTCCGAGCAATGAGACACAACAGGGTCCAACGCAGTTACAGGAAACTCGTATAGTCCAGATATCAAATTGAACGTGAATTCAAGCGTCTGGCTTCGAGGTAAGCTTAGCGCCTTTTTGACCTATAGCTAGGATCTGGAGTACTGTACATCTGTAAATTGAACTAGTGAAATTACATGTGAATCAGGCATAGCGTGAGCGGATCTCATACGAAATTTACAAGAATTTGACCGAAACATATTGTGCAATATTTACATGGAGATTTTCATTATCCTATATAGACAAACATACAGCAATCATTGCTCATTTTTACCTGTTTCATAAGATATATACAAATTCACGGTTTGCTCAATGATATGACGCAGAACAAATGATTTGTCGATTAAAGATCTTAGTTTTGTCAAGCTAACAACAAGGGTTGGTTCTATGCGCGAATAGCGTTTAGGAATATTACCGTAATTGTATACCGTACAAATTGTACATATATGGGGAGGCGAAATGGAAATTTAACATGTCGAATTTTATAATGGATTGAGTCAATTAAATCGATTTAATTCTAACACAAGAAAGAGAAATTTAGCTTTCTAACAATACATTTTTCATGCCCTATAGGAAATAGAAATAAACAAACAGTCGTTCATGGGGTGAAAAAAGTCGGTTAAAAACCTGAGAAAACCTTATCGCTAAGAATTGAATCATTTGAATGAGCATTCTTACTGGCATATACACAAATTGCGATCAGAGTAAATTTGAATTTGCTACGTTTTTGAATTCAATCGGTCGGTCAGATTTCGATCAATGATTTTCATTTTAAAAGCTCTAAAAATATCTTCAATACTGCATAAAGATAAAATTATCAAATTTAATATGTTCTGCATAAAAGTATGTTAATTTCCATTGGCTTTTTTTTTGAGACACACGGAAGACGAATGTGAGCATCACAGCAGGTATTTACATTGCAATGGAAAAACTTGCAACAATTTGAACGTTTTGAGATTCGCTAAAACTGACATTGTTTTTAGAAACAAATTGTGACATTGCAAAACGAAAACAATTTTCTAGAACAATTCATAAGCGAATGTCGTACATAGTCAAACGTTTTGCTCAAAGACTCTTTGGCAATTGTCAGCAAATGGGAATAATCCGCATTTGAATGATAATCCGTGAACATAAACTTAATAGAGAAATGTTGTGAAATTTTGACTATGGCTATATAAATAGATAATTAGTGACAGAATCGTTGCATTTGGAGTTTGCAACAATTTATCTTTTAAAAGTGAGGTTTTATGTTTTCTAAAATCGGCGCTTGGTATGGGCGCGCAGTCAGTGCCGATAAACCACCCGAGCAGGTGTTAATTTGAAGCATTTATATCTGATAATCGGAAGAAAATAGCTTTTATTGTCTTGCCTGGACAAAAGCGCTTCGTTCCCTACACTGAAATTGCGAGCAAATTTTCGGCATATCTCATATCTGCTTTTCGACGATTTTGCACCGCGGGAAAACTATTTCAGAGACCTTATGGAAGAAAAACATGCTTTTGACAGAACACCGAGACTAAAAAAACTCTCAACAACTCCCAAGGGGTCAAATTGCTCATGCTGTGGCGGTCTGCGAAGGAGTATCTCAAATGATACAATTGTCAACAATCAATCAATCAATTAATCCATCAATCGATCAATCAAGCCTTACCAGCAAGAAGATGAAAAATAATTTGACAATCCGTGATATATCTAAAAACTATTTTTCCTTTCAGAAGATCTTTATCGCTATTCGTTCCTGCTGTTGTGAATTAAGAACGATAACTGCTTTTCTTTTAAACGCATCGAGTATATTTTCTACAGTTGAGAATACTGATAAAGATAAACAAGCTGGACAAGCATATTTATGATCTTGCGACTATATGAACGGAATAGAATGAGTAAAACTGATGTACAGAGTGTCCCCCAAAATAGCCCTTTCCATCCACCCAGCACACGAATTATTATGCGGCGGCGATGGGTTATATACTTAGCTGGTTGCCGTGAACCTATAGATTATTAGAACTTATTTTTGAGTGGCACAGGAAAGAAAAACAAAGTAAGCAAGTATTCTCGAAAAATTCATCTCATGAGAATGTCATGAGTACATTATAAGTATCAGCTGCAATTCCGCCTACTCAGTGACTAGAGTTTTAGACTAGAATTTAGTAAAGACCTCGTTATTATGATATCATTATAACAATAGCACGTTTTGCGACAGCTTTTTTATGCTCTCTTTATGACATCGAATTAGGTTGTTTGCTACCTAACTATAGCTCAACGGGGCGCGTGAATTGAGTAGGAAATAGTAATCACTGGTAGGAATGCGGAAACAAAAGCAATAAGGAAACTCGTAAACATCATCGGCCTTGACCAGCAGTGATATATTCTGAAATATGAAATATGACAACCAGTCTAAAGACTGAACGTCCAACATTACCACGAGCAGAACCATTTCGACTATCTTATTCGTGATTGCCATTTCGCCGATACTTTCTTAAAACTATACATTTACTTATAGATATTTATACACAGATGTTCAAACTATTTACATATTGCCTGGTGGTTTTCTTATGGCTAAACGAAGGAACAAGTAGCGAAAAAGCAACAGGTAACCAATAAATGTATAATAGAATAAGCATTTTTTTTCAATAACTGATTATAATGTATTTTGCCATAAATAAGTTGCTCCTGCTGTTGACGAAAATAGGACTAAACAATGTGTTGCATGCAGCACCCCACAAACATATCAAGTATTTTCTAGGCTTAACAGCTCTTAACATGCATGAATGATATGTTTTTTAGTTCCCGATAAGATATGTCAGCGGAAAATCGTGCACCAAATGGACTACAAGTTCAACTCAACGCTGAACGACACAACTATATTTAAAGGAAGTGAATTTTTTTTGTCCCTACTACTGCCTCATTTTACAAACTCAGGTTGCAACGATTCATTAATACGAGTGACAGTTAATAGAACTTTAGTTCAACAAACAAAAAGTTCTCATCTCGTTATCGCAAACTATACGATATTAATAGAAGTCAAAGAGGAATATCGACTTAACTCCAGCATATTAAGTGGAAGCACAGGCAAGAAAATCGACAAGTGCTATGACACAATAATCGATGACGCTATTCTTGAAGAGAGGTTTCTTTCGTATTTTGCGCTGAATATATCTGGCGATAGACTGAAGCTGAATTACTACTTTGTCCACGAACCAACACAAAACTTAAAGTGCAAAGACGGAATGATATTGTGCCCAGACGGATCAACAAACGTCGCTCAAATGTGTGGTGAGTCAAGTGATGAACGTTACCATTAAGGCTGTTTTCCACTTACGCGTTTTTCATACGCTCGTACACGCACGTAAAAGTCTTAATCCTTATATAGCTATGGGCGTTTTCCAATAAGCGGCCAAAATGGTCAGACCGGTCATATTTTAAATTGAAATAAAGTATTTAGTTAAGAATATAGCGGTGAAACTGCATTTTCCGTGCTAGTCAGATATAAATAAGGATATACTTGAATGCAGAGTTCTTGAAACACTCTAAAATACCAGTAATCTGTCTGCACCGAAATACAACAGGACCGGTCTGGCCGTTTTTTCCGTATAAAGGAAAGCGCCTTATGTCATATTTGAAAAAGCTACCGTTTAATAATTTCAGCATATTTTAGTATGCATTTGTTGATCCATGTATTAAATAATGAAAAATTGGAAGCATTTACAATTTTCCACACGAAAGTTGAAAGCAGCCCTTATACATAGTTGTCTACCGTTTACCGTTTATGAAATGTTACGTAATCTGATTGACCAAACTACTCCCGCATATCGTCATCTCCGGAGAAAAGTCATTCAGTGAATAAAATCTGTGTTACGCGAAGTTTAATTGTTCCCTTTAATCTTTACGAGCCAATTAAACTGCGTGGACATGCATTTGCACCCTTATGAGAAAGATTTCTTAATTGAATGACTGTACTCATCTCAACCATGCAGTATCCAAAAATGTTACCATGACGTAATGATATATATTAGTATATCAACAAAGCTATCTTTCTTGGCAACACAGGAATATGAATGAATATATCTTATCTACTTTAAGAATGTTCAAAAGGCACATATTTGGATGTAAATCTCAAGAATTGTAAAAAATGTCCTGAGGATCAGTATCAAAATATGACGGGGATGTTCAACTGTACTGCCTGTCAACCAGGACACACTACCTTTAATAAGACTGGAAGCAATAAAAGTGAAGATTGTCAACTAGGTAAGCAAATGTCAATTTCTACAAGCTACAAGTTATACACCGTCATCCCATTAAGATTATTTTAAAAAACGTGAATCTCAAACCGTTCCCAGTTTGCTTGGTCGCTTGAAAAATTTACATCCTTTTAATGTAGTTCCAAAACACACCACAACAGCCACTTCCACAACAACAACAACAAAAACACAGACAACAGCCACTCAGCCATCGTGTAACAGCGGCGAATACCTGAATACCACGCTAAATGAATGTTTGTCTTGTCCAAAAAAATATTATCAAGACGAGGCCAATAAAACATTATGCAAAAAATGTACAAGAGATACAGAACTTTCCTTATGTAAAGAAGAAGAATCTGGTAATACATTTAACAAAATGATATAAACTAAGTTCTACGGGGATCAAACACCAGTGTTTACCTGAAGTTTTCAAGTTTCTTAAACACTATATCTCACGTTCTTTAGCAAAAGTTTTCGGAAGAAAATAGACTGAGCGACTAAAGAGATTTTGCGCCATTGCTAGAAATTAATGCTCCGATAACACAGGTTAAAAATATCAATCAAGCGATGTGTATATATTTTCACGTGTCATATAAAAAGAAATGTGAATTTCATTATTGTACTTGGTAAAGGATTTTCTAATAATCATTCTAAACATATTTGCGTTGACTTTATGTTAATTCCATGATTTTACATTTTAGGTAGAGATGTATACGTGCTGGCCATTGTTTTACCCGTCAGCGTGGTCGTACTCATTATTTTTGCCGCGATCGTTATATTCGTGTTATATCCTCGGAAGAAAAGGCAGGAATATAGAAAAAGTTTCGGGGTAAGATCATCAGTTCTAGCTCACCTATCCCCCCCCCCCGAGCAGAGTTCTTTGTATCTTGCTCCAAAAAATAGAATCTTCACTGAAATAGCTCTCGGGTAGTGCCAGTTGGGAAAGTTTCATTGGCGGAGAGCAATTTACCAAAAACGAAGTCCAATCGCTTTATGAATTAGGTTACTGTTTCTAAAGCATGACAACTTTGCGCAACAACCTACTATTCACACTGTTGTCGGATTACCGTGGATTATTCTTAGGAAAAACGATTGCCTTTTTTAGCAAATGTTTTTAAGAAAAACAGTACAATATCCAACAAAACGCGACGTTGAAGCGAATAATTATCAAGGTCCAAAATCGAGAACAACCCAAAACGAATTCTACGAAGAGAGCCCGAATAACTCCGATAATGAAATCGAAGAAGCCTCTAGTTCAATCCTTGGATATTTAGCAGAGGATGTTGCGAGATGCGATCTGGAGATTCCACGTGACCAAATCACGGAGACGAGAGTGAGACTGGGGCGAGGACACTTCGGCGAAGTAAGACAAATCATCCTGCGAAAACCGGATCAACCAGAAACGCTCTGTGCCGCAAAAATGTCGAGAGGTATGGAATCGAATCTATTTTAATGCCGTCTTCAGCAAAATGTCACTTTCATTCCCTTAGAAAATGACTTTGAAATAAAAGTTGCAAATCTATCGTTTTAATCCTGTCTTTTATGAATCATATTGATATTGTATTCTCATGATGAATTTGGTAATATTGAATTTGGTTTTGTCTATAGCAAGTTTATAAACTATTGAAAACTTTCAAATTTTCGTTTATAGGTTCGCAAGCTCCCGTAGCTGATATGCTGGATGAACTAGAAATTCATCTTAAGCTTGAAGACGTTCACGAAAATGTCGTTAATCTGATAGGCGTTTGCTCTAGTCAGGGAGGTAAGCGTGATAATTATGTTAAATAATTATATTATGATAATTATGCATGCCTGTATGATAATTTAATATGCTTTTTTACTGTGCCCATTCGCTAGAAAGATTGGAGCAATTTGCAATGGGAGAGTTTGCATCGTGGCTTTCTTCTTTAAACGTCAACTCTTGGTCTAAAGTCTGTTCACACGATCCAATTATGTTGCATCCAATTCACTTCTGACGTATGGAATATAGTCGGTTATTGAAGTGAATTGGATCCAACAAAATTGGATCGTGTGAACAGACCTTAAGTCTTTATGATCTAAGTCATTGTTCCATGGTAAAACACGCAATTAGATTGGTAGCCAAACGCGGTCTAGGTGGTAAATTTGATTACAAAAAAGTGAAGCCAACTATTTACACTTCACTTCTACCCAAATGGGGAGAAAATGAGAGGCCGCACTGAAACAAAAGCATTGAATTTTGCTAAATTTCCAGGACCATTTTACCTTATTGTGGAATATTGCGACAACGGAAGCTTGTTGGAATATCTTAGGAAACATGAACCTATACCAGAATATGTTAATCTGGAAAAGAGGGAGACGCTATCTTTGGAGTGGAAACTGAGATGCACCTTAGAGATCTGTAGGGGCATGGAATATCTTGCGAAGAACAAGGTAATGTAAGGGATAGTTGGTCAGAATGGATCAACATTGTTGTGCTCATCGTATATTGGTGATGATTCAATGATTGATGAAAACAGTAAAAGAAATGAAGAAACTTTATACTGAATATTTCAACGTGGATCTAGTTTTGAGTTCCTACGTAAAACTGAATCAAAATGTACGCTACAAGAACTTTACAGCATAAATTAAAAACGCGGGATCCCTTTTACTGTATTTTCAGATTGTCCACAGAGATCTTGCAGCAAGGAACGTTCTGTTGGACAAAGATACGAAAGCAAAGATTTCTGATTTTGGAATGGCGAAAGATGTCTACCTTAAAAGTTACTACACACAAACACACCAGGTATATAATTTCCTGTTTCCTAAGTTGACAGCTGTATGTGTTGGTCGAGACCGAACATTGAACCAAATCAGTAAGTTTGTGTGTTTGTTCATGTAGGGTAGCTTTCCGCTACGATGGATGGCGTGCGAGTCGATAATGAAGATGGAGTTCACTGAAAAAACTGACGTGTATGTGTGAGGTTTTTTCCGCTTGAACGAATGCAAGAAAAGACGTTAAAAATACGTAAATTTCACATTTTATGTATAGGTGGTCGTTTGGGGTTCTAGTTTGGGAAATTTTTACCGACGGTGAGTGTCCAAATTGTAGTTCCCTAGTAATTGCTGGTGGAACAGGAAGTGCTTTTGTGTCCGAAAGAAATTTCACTGGACCTTGATCCTAGACGTCATCTGTTTTATCACACAAACTATCAAACGTGCAAGGAATGTAAGGTCTTAATTCCATTTTTTTTCAAATTTTCTTAAGGAACGCTTCCTTACTACCGAATTATCAACGACGAAAAGGTGGCACTCTATATCTTGAGTGGAAAGACGTTAAAACGACCCGAAAGTTGCCCAAAGATCTTGTGAGTTTAACCCATTTTTGGTTGATTGGTTCCCCCAAAACTGTCCTTTGATAATGAATGACTTAGCTGTCACTAGGTAGTTCACGGCCTATGACGCGGTTAGCTCGACGTCTCTAGTCAATTATTTTGCGTCGTAGAGCTGGACGCGTCGTGAATCGTAAACTGCCTACTCTCAATAAGACGAGGACCACCCTTAAGCAATGATTATATTCTCTCAAACTAGATACAGCAACATCATGTTAAAATGCTGGGGCTACAAGAGTTTTGATCGACCAAAATTCTGGGAACTTTGTAAGACTCTTGAACAAAACACTAACAAACTACTGCACAACGTAAGTACTGAATGATTTTGTCTTAGAAGAAAGGAAACATGAAGTAAATTACATTAGATAGCGCAGCAAAGTAGTTCCTGATTAGAGATAATCTCTTTTACCAACTACAGTTCTGATTATAAGATCATACAATATATTTCTAGGAAAAAGGAAGGTCTCTACAGAGTCGATTAGGACGAGACGTGTTCAAGAGATTCAACGAAACGAAACGGAGTTTGAAGAGAAGAATGTCTCGTAAAGGTTCAAAGCAAAGCGTAGATGCATTGCCACACGCAAGCTCCAGAAAACTATCCCAAGCATCACTTGATCGGCTTAGCAACGACAGTGAGTCGCAGAGGACGCGTGAATTGAACACGAACATGTTTTTTAATCCAGGAGCGGACAGTGATATCCCCCTGCAAGCGAGCCCCTTCCTGAAGAAAAAACCGATAAAGACTCCAAAGAACAATGACGAGAATATCGAGATGTTGGATGTGATGCAAGAGAATGGCATCGAAGAAAGCTATAGTAAGGGACGCAAAGATAGTACAGGAATTGGACCGCAAAGTTCCGCAAATGATGATACAGAAAACGATTCATTGAATACCAACGAAATCGGTTTACAACCGGGAGATTCATGTGATAACAATGATGTTAATAACAATGACGGCCTGCGAGAAATAACTCCCGTACCTGAGAGCATAACTGCAGCAGCTGATTCGTTTGACATCGAATCAAACGATGAACAATATGCGTCTAAAGATTTAGAAAAGCCAAATTCCAACCGTATTAGAGACAATGAATTTGGATGTAATGATTTTCTTTCAAAAACGAGCGAACGTTCATCTCCGGTAGATACGAATCGTTTTCCCGACACAGAAAGCAAAAATATTGACATACAACGTCCGGAGATTCCCTCTGAAAGTTCGTCGCACACAAACGATGACAATGAACACGGTAAACAAAGCATGACAAATAACTTAGACGAATTATCGGATAATTCGTGCGAGGATGTAGAAGAAAACTACGGCAAATGTTCTGCGGACATCACAGATACTTTCTCAAAGGGAATGTCATCTTATTCCGAGACAGAACTGGACGATAGTTGTCTAACTGACCAAAACATGGATGAAAACAACGACGAATACGGAGATATCAAAATAAAGAACGATGAAGACGAGTCTGATTCTTTTGAAGCACAAGACTTGGAAAACGTACCTCACCAAACAAGAAGCGAAGATGCAAAACAAAGTAGCGAAGAAAGTGACTCTTTAAGTGATGTTTTAAACGCCGTGAATGGTGGTTTTCAGGAACAGGAAGAGACGGTAGAAGACACAGCAAACAGTAGTTCCTGTTAAAGACGAGGATAGTAAACATTCCTTGTTCAGTTGAGCAGACAGTTTTGCCAAAACACGGAACTGGCATATTGCTCAAGGCTTTATTTTGTTGAACAACAAATAGCTTAGAGCAAGCTACTTACGGAGAAAAGCTTTCGTATCGCAAATTCAAGATTCAGTTAAAATGTGGTTACATCACTGAGGTATTGAAATAAGTCATTTATATGTTGCTGCTGCTAGGAACAGTCTAATGTTGCTATTGCGTGTGTTCGTTTGGTTGCACATATGTTTATTTCAATACCTCAAAATCAGGTAATGCCTGTTAAAACTCAGATAAACGGGAACGTCGGCATGAACGACTCCTAGACAGGTACCACGGCAAATAGCTACTTCATTGGAGATAAACATATTAAAAAGTTATATCATGCAATAAATCTTACATATTTATAAAAGCATAATAAATCTATAAATCTATAGCAATATTGATAAATCAACACCTGAAAACGTTTTCTCACACTGTGTACAGTAAATTAAGATTGAAATAAATCTTCTAGCTGTACAATGCAATAGTTTGTCAAAAGTCAATATATTCGTCCCACATGAGTTCGGATGTTCAAGATCGAGAGAGGCGACTTCTGTACGGTAGTTTAACAGTTTGATCTATGCTTAGAACTTGCGTTCATATAATTTTGCCAAATCCGCGCGCCCGAACAGTATTTCCAGCGGGTTTCCTACATAAATTATACCGGGCGCACACGAACTTTCTCCGTCGCCATGGCTACAATTACGAGTACTGGTGGACACGTGGGGAACAAAGAGTTGTTATCAGGTACAGGTACCATGATTATATTATACGTTCCAATGTTGACACGATTGTATAAGATATAGAATATAATATTGAAACAAAATTGTGTTAATATTTGTTCTACATAGAAACATATTTTCGATCGAGTTTATGAACAATTTTAAAATGTAGAAAGGGACAAAAAGGTTTAAAAATTGGTTACACTGTTGTGTAGACATTTTGACAGCAGATGGGCCATAGAATGGAGATTGTTTTTCTAGCTGTCCTTACAATTTGGTTTGAAATGTTTGGTAAGTGCTTTGTTTATTTCACGGCACAAATAATTTTGCATTTTGAATAATAATGTATACGGGTTCCTATCGCTACCAAACATATAGGGACCGATAGTATTGACCCCATCTTTTTTTGCTATAAACTGATCCTCGTCTTGTCATACTCGAATAAATAACTACGAGTTTGTTGTTGATGATGACACGAAGTATTACGGACAAGAATTTAGAATTCGTTATTGACGAACTCAATTTCAATCTATTTCTGTCTATATGAAACGGTAATAAGACTACGAATAACCTAAAGTTAAGTTTTAGATAGCGATGATCAACGCAGAGCTAAGATGATTACATGAATAGCCACATTTGCGAAAACCTGGAGCCGGTTGTATAAACCTCTTAACTACATTTTGAGTAGTTTATTTGCAGTTAATTACAAACTACACGATTCTGATTGCATGGCCAATCTTGTCAATAGAGATATTGCCAAAAGTTAACTACCTTTTATCCAACAGGATCCAGTTGTTCGACTTCAGTTTGTCTAAATAGTGATAAGCGAGAACCAACTGACAGTTCTAATTTAAATGACTGCATGAACTTCAGTATCCAGCCACAAGTTGAGTAAATACATAGTTGCAAAAATACAACGCGCTATTGCAACATATGTATCTCATAAATGTACAGGGATTATTTACATGTCCAAACCAAACCAAACCAAACCAAATTTGCCTGTGAGAGAGCTGAATGATGACTTTAAAATTGATTTTTACCAATTAAAAAAAATTTTAAACAAGCGGGTTTTAAGTGGCGTGTTTGGTATAGTCTCCATTGAGCCTCAAGTTATTGAATTCAAGTCTCTCTTTTAAAGTATTGGTTACATTTCTATAGTTTAATTGACTTTCGAGCCATTTAAACCGGTTGCAAAAATTAACATTCGGTGAATAGGCCAGTCCAGACGTCCTACTGCAAGTGCGATTCCTGTAGTTAATGATGGATGCTATGGGAGATTCTACATGTATGTTGGATGCAATCAATATGGCCTAAACTGGTAAAAAAGCGATTCGATGCTACATAATTCATCTAACTATTTTAGCCGGCACAGCCAGCCACACAGTCCTGGAGGAGTACAACTGCGGTCAGGCTGACGTCCAGTACAATGTCACCCTAAAAGGAGGCACGATGGCAGGCTCGTTCAGGAACTACGGACCCGCGAAGAACATCCAGGAATGCATACACAATTGTTGCATGGCCAAGAAGTGCGATGTCGCCATGATGGCTAGCAACCGTTGCTACGGAGTTCGCTGCTATAATTCGACCATGTGTAGCACTGTACCGGCCGAAGGGAAAGCCGCTGAAGAGGACATGCAAATTGCGCATGTCACGCCGAAAGGAAATGTGAATATTGGTAAGTATCATATCAAGGTAGGAATCAACTCAGATGGACACTTCGACTTAGGATATGTTTACATGCGTAAAGAATAATCGGGCTGATTTAGATAATAGGCAGATTTAGCATGAAGACGTGGACGTCAAAGATGACGTTCACGTCCTTGTGCTAAATTGCCCTAATGATATTTGAACCAAATCGTTGCAAACGTTTGCATGACAATATTATCGACTACCAACATTTGCCATTAACATCAAGCGAAGTTAAAACGGAGGACTTGCACTGGGGGAGATATTTAAAGGATAGACCCATGCTTTGTATAGTAGGAGACAGAATTTAATCGAGCTCCTTCGTGATTCAGGCTTTCAGGATTGTACCCAAGATAGATTAATCCAGAAAGTTTTGAGCGAAGATAGACTTAATCTGGTATACGAGTTAATTGTAGTCGAATCCGGTTTAAAGTTCTAAAGGCTTAAAATGATATTTCAATCACTTTCCTGTGTTTAAATCGATTCAAAAAGTAAATCAAGTGAAGACATAGGTTTATATTTCTCGCTGCAGACAAACTGGACCCGAAGGATAAAGAGAAATTCGATCTAGAGGCAAAATGCCCGCACAACGAGGTCATGTACAACGTTAAATTACGAGGAGGCCTTTTGGCGGGAAAATTTACGGATATTGGGAAAGTGCGAAGCATCAAAACATGCATCAGATATTGTTGCCAATCACAGAAGAAATGCGATTTGGCGTTTTTGCTGAAAGATAGATGCTATCTGGTGAAGTGCTATAACGAGGAGAGATGTCAGGCTCTTCCCTCGCCATCAGTGGATTTTAACTTCGAACAGAAAATGGCATTCGTGGCTCCGTGGCTTTATAAGGCAAACAAAAAGTTAGGTAAGATACGGATGTTTTTTTAGATCATTTCTCGTAACGTTTCCGATGGTCGTATATCTTATTGGTGTTTCTAAATATATGTCTTAATCATTCATCGATGATTGACGTTTCTACCTCTGAGTTAAGTTTGAACAAATAGTATGAAATTAACACCGCAAGTAGAAAAAGCATTATAGGATTAAAAGAAATGACATACAATTCGTTTTTTGCTCACCTAACAAACCTTTTAAATATTTTCTCAAGTGACCGTCCCGTCTGGGCAATCACCACATCACATCCAATGTACACAAAGTAAGGTCTACAACAATGTCAAAATTAACGGCGGCTCCACAGCAGGGGACTTTACGGACGTCGGAAAAGTAGGACGAATGCATATCTGCACGAGGTTGTGCTGTGAGGAGCCTGCGTGCGATCTTGCCTACATGGTACGACAGTCTTGTTTTTTGGTCAAGTGCGCGGATGAGAAGAAGTGCCGGGTTATTGGAGCCGGAATAGAGGACAAAAAACAAAACTCAACCACAGATACGTCTGTTCAATATATCATTAAAAGAAAATACAACGTTCAGTTCGGAAAAGGTATGTTTACTGCAATTCGAGTTAAATCCAAATATCGAAAAGAGTTTTTGTTATTTTGAACATGATTTCAAGTATGGCGTCAGAAATTTTTAAGATCAACTTTGAACCAAAAACTGTTGTTTTGCAGACGGCGTTCCCATGACAACGAAGGAGAAGAAAGAGCAAATGCGATGCCGGGTGAAAGGTCGGGTTCAAAAGAACGCTGTCCTGCGCGCGGGCATGATCTCGGGGGACTTGACAAGACATCCGAATATAAAAAGAATAAAACCTTGCGTAAGGAAATGTTGTCAGGATATCAAATGCGAGGTTGCTGTAATGTTAGAGGATATTTGCTACACAGTTAGGTGCGTCAACAAAGAGTATTGTAAGTCAAGGCCCGCACCACCTTCAGCTTATTCCAAGAAACCAATGGTAGCTTTCGTGGAAAGAGAAAACACGTACAAAGGTAAGAATAGCAAATCTTGGTGACACATAATAAAAAGATATAAAAAGTTTATAAGGAAAAACTGAAAGACGGCAATTAGCATTCGCCAAATGATTAAGATCCATAGATCGTTTTACTTTTGAAGGCATTGTTGAGGCTAGGTCACTTCAAAGTAGAAAGAAGCATTTGAATTTGGAAAAGACTGTTGTAGAAAAGCCTCAACCTTAGAGTAAACGTTTGACTTCTAACCGATGCTATATCTGTCATCTGTGTGATGCCATATTTGATTGCAATTTTCGATCTACTGTTGTTGACTACATGATTGCAATGCTATGGAAGAAAAGATAGATCATCTTCTCTATCAAAGAAAAGCCAAGTGTCTTTCCCGCTGGCAGGAGAGTTCAGCAGTTTATAGAACTCCGGGGATCCGGGGACATGTGGTGCCAAACACTATCTAGGCCCCATGCCCATATAAGCAACTCTGAATTGCGTATCATCAATTTCAAAATGTCTTTAATTATTTCAGATCCATACGAGGTACAACATAAGATTGACAACAAGAACTTCAAAGATGAAGATATCGATGATGACGAGGAGGATGATGAAGACGATGAAGATCTTAGTCAAGCCACTAAAACTTAGAACAAATCGATCAAGGAAGTTTGCAGCTTAGATTTATGACAACGCGATCAGGAAGGGGCAATACAAGTCTAGATATAGTTATCATTTGATTGAAGTTATTAAATAAAAATAATTTTTATATGAAAACACGAAGAATAAAAAGTCCTAGGTAACTGGTCTGATAAAATGTCAGTATATACGAAATAACAACAACAATACAGTAACCTAAATCATCATATCATCAAATGGACTCAAATGGGAATACTATATCAATGAATGCCAGGATGTGATGCGATTTAATCTCAGTGCAGTCTAAGGAACTATTGGAAAATAGACGTGATCATGATGAGTACATACAGAGATTCTGGGGAATAAAGAAAATGGAAATGAAAAATAATAAAATATCTCCTATATATTTGCTGTGTGCAAGAAACCTGATTTTATGTAAGGGCTTACTCACAGTGATCTCAAATTCAGATAAACAAAATATTGACAAAGGGAAATAAAAATTAACAATATTAGCAAAATAATATAACCCTAAAACATTCTTTAATCGTTTGGAAATCGAAGGTTTCGCAAGCAATAAGAATGATATCTTCAAAACATGATGCTATAGTCGGCTTTTCGATAGGGTTTAGTCGGGTTTTATGCATAGCAAAAGAACAGCTCTTATATGGCACCTGTTACTTCAAAATATCGTCACCTGCCTTATTTTACCGGTGGTAATTGCTACAATTAGCGTTCAGTATTTACAAACTATTTAACCCAAATGAACTTTGCTTCAACCGCAAACCTCAAACCGCCGAACTCCCTCAACTAGCCTACCACCCCCCGCGAGGAAGAGGCGCCTGCGCAGTAAGTTAATAATATTCCCTCCTATGCATAAGTACAGAAATATTAGTCACACTCCCACGTTGAAAAGAGTTTGTATAAATTTCTTAGAGTAAGTGCCAAAACAAAAGAAGAAAAGACAATCAATATGCGATAGTCTCTAGCTTGCTTCTTCTGCCTGAAAACTATTTGGAATACAGGGTATTTTCAGCTTGAAATATAGAATGACATGAACGTATTCGACAGACAAGAGGCAAAGGATGGAGCTAAAGAATATATTAGCCGCCGTAACAACAGACGTCGTTCAGTTTGAGAGTTCTCTGGCCGTCACAGGCCTTCTCTTCAGTCGATCAAATAGTACACAGCCTTGAAGGGCCATGTTTGAATGAAGCGCGGCTATATGTTAACCATGCAGTTAATAAACAAAAATAAACGCTTTTCTATAACTGAATAGGCTTGAACCCAATCGTTCCTCTAAAGCTAAAAGCTATCTTGTTCGAGGAATCTATACGTTTGCATTCTACTTTCAAAGCAAACCACCGGTCAACTTAACGAGATTGAAGAAATAAAAAAAAGTTTGTAAATATTACTATAAAGCGCACGTGAAGCCATGCTCCCCGCAACACTAGGTCGTAAGACAGCGAAGAATAAAACTATTATCCGTAGATAGATTTAACTTTCAAAGCGAATCCCTTTGCCATGAATTCCGCTTAATTTAAATCACATATTCTGATTCAATTGATTCATTAAACACCGCAGTGAAAACGTCGCAGTTTCACTGCGAAAAGTTCGGATACTTATCTTCATTGCGCTGGAGTCTAAATTTTTGTTATTATCAGAAATTTAAAATACTCACGCGTTAAGGTTAAACTTCTAAAAGCTCAAAGTATTTCACACTGCGATACCCGGTTCCTTATTTTTATAAGTTAGCAATAGTGGTTTACCTTACCTTCTGGTGTTGTGTTGTGCTCTGGCTTGTGATTGGCTGAACGAGTTGTCCTTTTGTCAGCGCACCGAGTTCATTGTTCCTGTCGAGCGAGGGAAATGGAAAGATTATACAATTTAAAATGGCAAAAATGAGTGAAATTTTTACTATTTAACTTTGCTAGGACATGTAGTTCGAGTGATGTTTACGCGGACAGATTCCTGTAGTCACAAGAAACCATAGAAATCAAAACTGATCGGGAGGGAAACGATGATTTATCGCCAAGGGTTTCTTCTATTGTTGGTCCTCGCAGGTATGAACGAGCACTTAACACTAGCCTTTGGAAGAAGCATCTATTATAAATATATTTATTTCACTTATTTCATCTTCAAGAGACAGCTCAAAGCTTGGGTTATTAATCCGAGGATATAATTCTAAACAGCAGAAGGTGTTTGGGATTATATATGACACGTGTGTTTAAAATATGTCCATACTTGCAAATAGCTACTTTTTATAAGATATATATATAAAAAATTATGTAGTCGCGTGCCGTTAAAAATTGGAATCACTTTGCGTGTACAAGAAGGATCATTTCGATTGCTTTATCGATTCAAGGATAGACACAGAGTGACCTTAAATGCATTCTACTATGCCCAGTTATACGAGGGCATATAATTTGTGATGACACTTAACTAGATAGGACGAATCGCTCAGAATTCAAAAGAGTCTACGTGAAGAGCTGAAAGCTCTGGGTTATCTCCGAACAGGAAATGCTGACAAGTTTTTAGATACTAAAACAGGCCAGAAAGCTCTGGTCGTGGTGGTGCTTTCTCTGTATCCTAAACAACAGACATTGATTGATAGCTTTATTAAACTAAACGGATCAATCAGACGGCTGCTGTGATGCTTCAATATTGACTAGCAGTAGAAACTGCGAATTTCCATCAGTGCTACTCGTGGAGACTGAAGTAACTTTTCAGTCCGTTTTTTAAGTAGAAAAATGTCAATTGTTTACAAAGTCATATACGATACATTGCATAACAAGAGACGTCACATGTAAAAATGATTTTACCGACAGCGAGCATAATAATCTGGGAGTTGACAGAGAACTATATAATATTCAAATCAAACAAGGTTTAATTATTAACAAACAGACACCAATTTGACACAACTACTGTTGTTTTTATGAGTTCGAAGATTGAGAAGCCCAAGGTTTAATCGGGACCTAAAAGTGCATAGAAATCTCAAAAAATATCAACTTTCTTTACTCTTGTGAATAAAAATGCATGTCCGTGAATGTTCACATAACCATTTCGACTTTAGAAAGAGAACATTTTCGTAGTTTAGGGGCGTTTTAATTCTTGGTTGTCTCTAAAGGCATCGTCGCTTAACTCGTGTACTTTACTGACCGATGATTTCCCCCCTAGTTCCGTTGCTAGCTGACTACCTTCAACAATGCCTGAAGACGCCGATAGAGGAGAACGTCACGTTGAAGGGAGGAATTGGAGCTGGAACGTTCAAGAAGATGGGAAAGGTGACCGAAATGAAATCATGTATTCAGTTATGCTGCAAAGAACTGTCGTGCGACGTCGCCTTTATGTCCGCGCAGAATTGCTACGCTGTAGAATGCGTCAGCGATGACGAATGTGAATCGACAACAACGGATACATCAGACGTACAAGTTTTGATTGCGCATGTCAAAAAGAGGGCGAAGAAATCATGTAAGTATAGCACTGGATAACAACACTGATCTGATAATATAATGGATAAATCAACCATTCGAAGCCAGAAAAGTGAACCCCAGGAAAAGACTTTCTTAGTCAAAATGCATTTCAGTAGCCAAAGTTTCATAATTTGCATTACGTTCTAAATAAGTATCCTAAATCAATTTCCAAGTCGTACGGTGATAGCGATGTCGGTAAGACATTATTTATTCTCGGTTTTAGGTCTCTGGGAGTTCAATATTTCTGGCTTCGAGTGTCTTAGAGATATCCAGTGTATTATGAGATATCATCACCCTCGTATTATCACACAGATCAGTTTCAAATTAATAACCTGATATTATTTTCCTAGGAACGCCATGTGTATTTATTGATATGATCATGAAGACCTTTCGGTCCGTTAACCCGATCAATTGCACTCGGCTCTATGCACATCATAAATACACATGGTGCTCCTACAATATGATTACTTAACGACCTGACAGATAAGACTTATCTTTTTACCTTAGACGGCAACAACAGCAATGTTTTGCAGTAAATATATGGACCATATTCCCTCGACGTCCCGCCTCGCTTGATTAATCCTGACTCGGCGAAGCAATGCATAGCGACAGTATTGTTTGATAAAGCCTAAACAAAAGCCCAGTATATTCCTGTTTTACCAGGATCGTATCGGTCTTCACTTTATGAAAGTTCTCATCGTAAAATCACCATAGATTAGAACTTCAAAGTTGCTCGTTTCTTCGCTAAATCTCAACTCTCTTTCTAACCACCACGAGGCAATTTCTTAACAAAAAAAACTGCACAGGAATGATTAATAATACAATTATCAATTCAAGACTTAAAACTACAATCCCTAACGTGGCGTTTCGGTGCTCGCGAACAATAGTAAAGTACACCTACTTTAAGCAGATGTACACAATGATTGCTAACAATGATCCAGCCTACCCAATCGAGGGGTAGAAGTATTGAAATTAGTCTTTATGAAACAAAACAAGCGCATGCCATAGTATTGTCAGAATGATTAAATCATTGCCAGGTTTATGTTATTCACTTATTTCAATACCTCAAAGTCCTCTCACGCTACGTTGAATCTCGGGTAACCGGACTCATGTAAATAGCCCCTCAAACCTACCAGGAACAAAGATGAACAAAAGAATACAGGATACACTTTCCCCGTTATTTGAATATTTACTCTAAGCAGTAAGCTGAGTTCACTCGCTAATCGGTCACTAGCAAGACTCCAGCAATAAACAAACACAACAAAAAAATCTTTTGCAACATTTCACGCTTGCATCAAGTGTGAAGATTGATGCATGTAGAAGTGATGAAATTTGCGCTTAAAAATTAAAAAAAAAATTAATGGAACAACAGTCTAATTAATAACGAACGTCATTTTTTTAGCAAACGCTACGCTGGACGTTTTAGCAAATCCTGGACTTTTGGCAAAGAAGAGCCCTCTTGCAACCGGAGCTAATCCTGCGATGGCTGGAATGGCCGGACAATGTAAGGCCGGGAAAATATACAAAGAGGTGAGCATATCTTGTCTTGAGAAGCCAGAGCGAGTAATTGGCAAAGCTGCCACACAACTATTTGAGATAAACACTTGATGTACAATTCTATTGCTGAAATTGTATGCAAAATCCTAGGTTACTCTGCGAGGAGGGATAAACGCAGGTACCTACAAGGACATGGGGATGGTCAGTGGGATGCCTGAATGTCAAAAGAAATGTTGCGGGTTTTCAGCCTGCGATATTGCCTTCCTTTTGGGCGGGCGATGCTATCTGGTCGGCTGCGCTGATGAAAAGAGTTGTCAGATGAATAAGGCAAAGCCCTCAGCCTACGCTCCCACGATATCATACGTCACAAGGTGGAATACTGAAGGAGTGAAGCATACAGGTATTGCAGCAGAAAACTAGTAGGGTTGTTCACACTTCAAATAAAAAACCCCACAAAAACCACGAAATTTTTGCACGTTTACTGCCATGAAGTCTAAAGCAATATAGGCTGGTGATATCCAATAATGTTAGACGATTTCTGTTGAATATAAAGAAAGTGATCAAAGCTTTCGGACCCAAACGGGAAATTAGAGAACACCGTTTTCGATATCTAGTAAAGTAAACAATGCCTAATGTCTTATTTTCATTCTAGTTCATTTCGAAAGCCCAAGTGGTGGCACTCACTTTAGATGTCCAAGGATCACACCTTTGACGAAGGTCACGCTCAAGGGCGGTCTGAAAGCGGGCGACTTCACTGATGTAGGAAAAGTTGGTAAACTAACAGACTGCTATGACATCTGTTGTCGAAGTGCGAAATGTGACCTCGCATTCATGTTGGGACAGAATTGCTTCAATGTTAAATGCTACAATCAGGATCTGTGTACAACGATCCCCGCTCAGCCGAGCATATTCAACCCTCAGATCGCATACATAACTTCTAGAGAGAAAATATCGTTTGACACAGAAATGCAAGGTAAGGATAGTCAAAACGAGCATAACGCAAGCCCTGATCGGATACACGTTGATGATATTCAGAATAAACCTTAGAAACGTCAAAATGATGGCATTACTAAACTGCAGGTTTTCGTCATTAACATTTGGCAAAAGCAGAAATCTCTCCCATAAATCGCAAAAGTGTGAATGTACCTTTGGTAATTGCCAATTGCATGAAGGTTAGGTCAATACCACGAGAAATACCAGTGGTTGTTACGAAGAACATTTTTTGCATGAAGAATTTTTTTGCCGAGTTTCGAAAAGTACAACATTAATTTTGTACTACAATAAATTTTGTAATGTGGCCAATGATTTTATTGTTTCCATTATCCCCAGACAAAATTCAGGGAAACAACGTGCAGACAGTAACGCACGTGACTTGTCCGAAGGGACACGTGGTAAACAAGGTAACACTCTCCGGGGGTTTGAACGCCGGGAGGTATAGAGACCACGGGAAGGTGAAGGACATTCAACAATGTCGACGTATTTGTTGCGAAATTCCAAAATGCAATGTCGCGTTCATGATCTCGGAGAATTGTTTCTCAGTGGAGTGCAAGACAGAACCCGGATGTCGGACCCAGGCTGCCGTCTCGTCGCAATACCATCCGCGAATTTCCTACGTCAGATTCATCGGGTCTTCGAACATCATAGGAGGTAGGTTAGCTTGCTTTGCCTCTTCAACATCTGTGCGAAATTCACCCGAGTGCCAATTGGTGGAAGTGTCATATATAGGTCATAGCACCATAAAACCTTACTACACATACAGCTGCCCAAGTTTTTAAGCTTCAAGTTGCTACATAAAGTTCCAATGTTCCAATTACTAATTACTATTAATATCTACACTGTTCCAATTAAAAAAAACCAGTGATTGTCAAACCAGTATCAGTAATTGACTCATTTTACGCTCTGCTCGTACAGTATTCAATGACATGAATGAAACCGTCAAAAACTCAACAAAAAGTTTGGACGACTTGTTGAGTGCCGGGGCAGCTAAACAACTGGTCAAATCCAAAACAACGCCGAATCCACAGGGGGAAAACGAAGATGATATGCCTGTAGTTCCTCCGCCGAAGAAAAAGCCTGGTAAACAAAATACAAAAGCCACCGAAAAACCACAAAAAACAAATATCCTTCTGATGAATGGAGACACGACAGGTAAGACATCGATTGTTCGCAAATATGAATTAACTATTCAGTTTTTAGAATTGACAAAAAAACTACTTACGATAAGTAATATTCTTTTTATTTTCATAGATCTAGCTTCTGCTTTACAAAGTGCCAAGACTACCACACCAAAGCCACGTAACAACAATACACTTTTGACAAGCCAGTTGAAGAATGCAAAAGCAGGTCAAGCAATGTCACTTCAAATGGTAAATGGTGAACTAAAACTAACCTCGACTCATGGCGAAAAATCCCACGGCAAGGAAGATAACAAAGATCAGCCAACTTCAAATGAAAAACAGGTAGAACGAATTGTTTGTAATCCTACAATACATCTTGTAATTTAGGCAAGGTATAGATAGTCCTAGTTTTTTCTAGAGTTCATAATCATATTCTCCATTATCATGATATTTAGGCAGAAAGCCCTTTAAACCAGTGGTTAGGTTTGAATGGATCCAGGTTTGAGTGAATTCAAACATTTCTCTCGCTATTATTCAGGAAGCAAAGGGCACCAAAGAAACTGAAAAGAAGTCAGGAAGTTGCAAGGCTGTGAAGCTGATGAAAGATGTCACATTATCCGGGGGTAAAAGCGCTGGAAAATTCACAGAACACGGCCAAGTTGACTCGATGGACAAATGCGTTGAATTCTGTTGCAAAGACAAGAAATGCAACATGGTGTTATTACTAGGAAAAGCCTGCTATTCCGTAGCATGCAAAAACAAGAAATCATGCGGGACTTCGCCAGCTCCACCGTCAAATTTCGTTCCGAAACTTGCCATTGTGCGCCCGGTAGAGGAAAATGACAAAAAAGGTAAGGAGATGAAGGGTGGTAGAAGGGAATCGCAATTGCAATAGAAAGAAATTGAACAAAATGGGATAGGATAGGATAGGGATCCATTGTATTAAGTGGAATGGAATGAAATAGAAATGAATAGGACAGAATAAGTTTACATTGGATAGAACATAGGGTGTCTTTCTATCCGTCGAAATATCACATTATTCCATTCTTTTTAGTTGAACGTCTTAAAATTCCCGAAACGCCCAAAAGCCTTAAATGCAACTTCAAGCCGACTACCAACGATAAAAAACTAACGAAAGGCAAAGAAGCAGGAACATTTAAATTGGTAAAGCATATCACCTCAATGGGAGATTGCATGAAAAAATGTTGCGACCAAACCATTTGCGACCTGGCGTACTTGGAGAATGGAAAGTGTTTTACCGTCACGTGCAAGACACCAGACAGCTGCGCCACAACTGTGGCTAAGGATAATGAGAAATCACCACTGATTGCCTTCACAACTCCTGTGGAGACGCCTTCTAGCAAAGGTAGGAATTGCATTTTCTCCGAATTTATCCATTGTAAGTTTTCACAGAGAAGCATAACATGGTACAGTATTTTCAGTCGACCAGAGTTCTGTTGTTGATAATCGACCTCGTTTAAAACCAACACTACGATTACCCTTTAGCTTCTGCTTAAGCACAAGCAGAAATTGCAATAAACAAATTCAATTTCAAAATAAAACATTGTAATAGATAGTTAAGGGATGAATATAAAGTACATAAACCGGTTTTTGGTTACATGAGTCAACGGTGACAACCATTCCTCATTGTTTCTAATTTTCCATAGAAATCACCTCAAATGCTGAAGAAAACGAAGCTACACCCAGCAGGGATCCTCGCTGCAAAACCTCTAAAATTATCCGCAACAGCAAATTAACCGGAGCCAAATTAACAGACATGGGTACAGTAGATCACTACAGTACATGTATCACTCAATGTTGCCGTAAAGAAAGCTGCGACGCTGCTTACATGGAAGATCAGAAATGCTACGCGGTTCAATGTCAAGATTTGGAATGTCAGAAATATCGAAAGCCTGCAAATAAAGATGAAAACACGTTTATTGCATTCATGCACAGAACTGTTGATGACGCAGAGAAGGAAAGAGGTATTGAAAGGAACGAGTTGGGAAAGGATTTGGGATGGGTAAAGGGAGATGGGGTAGAGGTGTTAAAACGGGGGGTATTAGTGATGAGGGGAAAGGGGCAGTAGTTCTGGTAGATATAAGAAAAAGGGTCGGGTAAAGAAAACTTGAAAGAAATTTGGGTAGGATGAAAAATAACTGGTATTAGGAAGAGGGAAAATAGGTGGAGAAGGGAATACGGAGAAAATTAGAAGAAAAAGCAAGGAGGCAAAGAAGGCATATGACCCTTTACAGGCAATATATACGTGTAGTGGAAGGGGGTGAAAAGTGTAATTTTGTAATGTTACTTTGCAGATTGGGTTATAGTGTATGTCATCGTGGGATCTCTGGTCTGTGCATCTGGTCTTAGTGGAATCATCTGGGCTTCCTGTATTTGCGTCAAAAGGTAACAACCTGGAATTTTTGCTTGGATTACTTTGATTTCTTGTCCATTATACATGCTATTGGACGATGTATAATCCTGTTCTGTCTAGTTCTTCTTTATGGTTGACTGTTTAGCACGACCACTGTAATAAATTACGTTGTAAAATCACACTATTCATTCATTCTTCACGAAGGAATCGTTTGAGGAACAAAAGAAGATTGATCGACGACGCAAGTGAAGAAGAAGAGGAAGAAATGATTCCAAAACGTAATGGACGTTTAGCTACTAAATTAGAGGAGGGGAATTACAAGTGTATTGATAATTCATCATCTCTCGTCAGTCCCTACTGAGTTTTTCGTAAAAGCGAGCCCTATAACTCTTTCATAATAGCGAGATTTTGGCTTTGAGATGATCAACTAACTGAAATTCCAAGTAACTACAACACATATGATTAGAATATGCCGCAAATTGAAAAATTTAAATCCATAATCATTAATCTTAAAAACAATTGAAATGAATCCGGCTGATTTATTCAGGCTTTCGGTCTAAAATTCAGTCTATTCAGGTATCATTTCGGTCTGAAATTTGAAGCGATAGCTTGCCTTTGACGTTCCAAGTTCACTGACACGTTATTATACATTATTCTTTCACAGAATATACAAGATACAACAATCCCGTACCCAGGAGATACCGCTAGGTAATGAAGATGAAGACGAATCTTTAGACAACAAATATATGAAATGAACATCTATGCTGGAACTCGTTTCATGCTATTATCGGCAAAGATATCTACGATCATACCAGAATTATATTATAAATACAATGTACAGATCTAGAAAACGAAAAAGCATTCAGGATGTTTTTTTAGGAGGAGAGAATAAACTAAAACGACTTATATAAATACACAATCCACAAGAATATATTATTTATTCAACTATCAGGCTCAAGTAGTATGGAAAGAACGAATAGACGAAGGCTTCAAAGACGAAAGATTTTACCGACAAGATCACTATAGGCTAATAAAGTTTTTCAATTTTAATAGTCCAAGAGTCCAAACATCTGTTTTTAAATATGAAATTAATACCGCTTCTCATTTCCTGATCCACTGACCAAAAAAAAATAGAAAAATACCGGGAAGTTATAATGACGGACTTTGGATAGTAAACAAGCGTACGCTACACAAATATGATGCTGTTAAATGTTTTGAAGAATTGTCTGAATTTGAATCGAGGATAAATGCTGCCATTAGACCTTAGGTGGTTTTCAGACGTCGAACTTTTCAAGGGCCGAACCTAATGTTAATGACTTAAAGTCTTTGTTTAAGTTCATTTGCATTCGATTGGGCACATGAAAAATTCAACGTCTGAGACGGGCATTAGACGTGGATCTTCACAGAAGTTAATAATGAGTCACTTGAATATTTAAAGCCCTGCAGGGGTCCCAGATGTCGTCTCGCCGTAAAAAAAGCGGCAAATGAGGTTGGATCTAAGACAAGCGCAGCTAAACTCCGTTCAGGAGGTTTTTTTTAACCACAAACCGCGTGATCTAAAAATGCAGAAAGGACAAGGAGAAATGTCAAATGAAAATTCATTTCTCGTGCAGTTAAAACAAAGATTAGCAAAATTGTTAAATCATGTGTTTCCCACCAGACTTTGAACAGATTTGTGACAAGTCTTTTGATTCCACAAATTTGTTACATTTGATTCAGCAAATTTGTTACAACTTGTTAACAAGTTAGTATGCATGCAAATGAGCACACCTTGTTTGCAGGCTTGTTACAAAATGTGATATTTACGACTGTACCCGGAACTCATCTGAGAAAGTCAGAATATTTGCAAGAAGTGTCGTACGAGACTGAATTAATCAAATCTAAAACGCGTTAAAGTTGAACGCTGAAACAAATACACAAGCAGTTGGCAAGTCCTTTACGACTAAATTTTTTTTTTCAAATATTTACAACTCTGTCAAAATTGTACGGAAAATTTCTGAAGAGGAATTTTACACTACGATATATAGCTCATAATGTACGATATAACGGATTGCAACGTCTTACGTAATTATATTGAAATCTCTAATTATCGAAGAGTCAAAGACAAAGCATGTTTATATCTTAACTCGCCACAAATGGGTCTTCGTGCTGCCCCCCATAATGCGTTTACGTAAAGAAATGTACTAAAATTGAAAAATATTTGAAGGAATACGTTTGTCTAAAATTCTAGAACAAAGCCGTTCCTTAAGCGACTTAATATATTTCATTTATCCCTATTCACTCTATCATATATATATCAATCACGTCGTTAGATTTTCCAGAAAAATACATACAAAGACATCTTATATGTAAAAACACATCAAGATTAAGCGTTTAAGATTAAGAAATTTTGTGTTATAACCAATTTAAATCAATCGACCGATTAAGCGCTTCACTGATACTGGATTTAAGCATGTTCTTTGTGAATATGACACCCAAGCATGTTCTTTGTGAATCGCAAATGCTCCTGTTGGCATCGTGAATATAGAAATGGAAATTGCTTCAACTGATATCATCTAACAGCTATAATAATAATAAAGAACTTGTTTCTAAAAGACTTGTAACTGTAGATACGTCAATTTTATCATAACATCTTTGAAAAATTATCCTTCTATATGACTATGCTATAATAAAGAGCTTTTAGTTACGGAGCTATAAGACAGATATTCATTATTTAGCTATTGTTACAGCTCGCTTGAGATACACAGTTATCACAGCAAAGTGTTTAAACGTACTTCACATCATGCTGTGCACGACAATGAATCACTTAGGGGCTTAAAACAAAACAAAACACGAAGCTTCTTTTACATGCACCACACGTATTCGAAATTATCGCTGGAATATGCGTTTGTATACTTTTCTGCCTTCTTTCCTCAGCGTTTCGTTTGCCCAGAAAAATATCAGGCAATTGACGGTCGAACTCATAAGTACAAGAGTCACCGTCCATATCTTAGATTGCACCCAACCATCAACCACATGTAGTCTATCATGATGCAACGCAAGACCGATGGCATTCGGTAAATTTAAGACGAAGCTGCTGAACACCACCAATAAGTACATTTTAGCAAGTTGTAAATCGTGGAAAAATGAGATAGTTTTAGAATTTTCTTGGACCTTCTCGCGAGGCGAAGCGCTGTTGCTGTTAATATCGCTGAACTGATCGGTTTTTGAATTGCTCTCGTTAATTCTGTCATTGATATGACTCGGATTATCAACAGGGCAGTCGGATTTGCCATTCTCAAGCGGAACTTCGAAATTCTCTGTGGTGCCCGTGCTGGTGCTGATGCTAAGGTTAGTATGGCCCACGTCTTCAACGACAAACGCGTTTGCTTTCTTTCGTTTGTCTCGCGCTGCGTGCCTTTTCTTCCTCGCGATGTAGAATATGGCGATGTAAATATAACATGTTCCGAGTATTATTACCACGGCAGCGAACGTGAGTATAAATTGCCCGTTGTAATTTACCACGTACGCAAACGGGCCGCCGAAGATCGTTAGCAGCCAAAACACGCTGCAGACGATGATACAACGAAATTTGGTGACATGGCGAAGATGAAATATGGGATGAACTACGGACAAATACCGCTCGATGTTCATGACGAAGAACGTTAGCAGCGACATACCTGACAATACTATCGATGCGATGTGATAAAAAGCTTTGTACCCGCAACGTGGCTTTCCAACCATCTCCGCAATCGACATTATCAGATGCGCTGGGTGGACGATTGTCGTGACTAATATATCGTTGGTTGATAAGACCATGATCATGAAATACGAGACTTTGAATCGTAGTGTCGGAGTCCTCCAAAACACGTAAATAACCAGCGCATTAAGAACGGTTCCGACAAAGAAGAGGATTAGATTTACGGTACAGCAGATAGCACTGTTAATGATGTACGATGTTGTGGCTTTCGTTACGATGTACGACCTGAAACAATCTTCCAGTTCTCTGTAGCTGTCGTTCAACATTCCTGGCTGTTTCCGAGACGTGACGGGTTCAGTCAAAAGCGGCGAATAATATATATTATAATAGCGGTGGAGATTTCAGTTAATGTGTGGAGAAAACTTGTGTATTCAAATGTACACAAACCTAATACTTCCGTGTTTTAATCCCCTTGATTAACGTCAGTCGAAGGTGGCTCTACTTTCACAATCGCTCAGCCATGCTTTTCGACGCTTCACGAATGTCTCAAATATAAAAGATATATGCAGTTATGCACCGGCATTAAGGGGGCGTTTGATGTTGTGACATACACACAGGCGTGCATTTAATTTTAAATATGTACCGCGCATTTGTATAATGTTTTGGTCTCAATATTCAGATCACCTGTTGAGTGTCTTTGTCAATTAGCATTGTACAAGATACCGTGTAACTTGATAGCTATACTTTATTTTTAACAGCTAGAAGAGAAATGAAATAAAACCTTCATCAATCATCGCCAAACATCGGTGAGGGTACTGACATACTAATATTCATATACCCAGTTGTCTTTACATTGTCGTATCTTTTGCGCTTAACGGCAAACTCAAAATGAAAGACAGAGAACAAGTATAGGTACAAAGTGACATTAATGTAATCTGAACGAATCAGTAAGTTTCCTTTTGTTCAGTTTTCAGTGTAGTATACACCAGAACAATCCAGTTACAGATGAAATATCGCTATTTGCAGTTGTCGATTTAGTAAATGCACGAGTAAATCTACATATATATGAAAGTAGCATAGCTGAATGTTTTTGAAAGCGAATTATGATATATTATATACACCGCGTGTTCGTATTCCCGCTAAACATGGATTTCAAATACTTCATTGTTTGCTACACACGCGCTCTTGTTTGCTTTCGATAGAAGCGATTAAGGAGGCAATTAGAGAACTATACGATTCTTAACCTGGCGTATGTGAATGTATGAAATACAAAACAACAAATTTTAAATTCGGTATTTTACGAAATGAAAAAGGTTGTGGCGTCAGCACTCGTTTCCATTTGTCAGAATGATACAACTAATTGTATAGTATAAACAGGCCTTTAGATATTTGTATCTCTTTTCACACCGAACAAAGTTCGTGAAAGATTTCGTGGAACAACAACAGAAAACCCGTGATCGTGTAGACATTTCAAGACAAGCGCTTTGTAAAACACACTGTATGAAACAAATGTCACTCATTGTTGTGGAAGAATTACAATACGTCGCGATCGTGATACCGCCATTGCATCTTCATTACGGCAAAATGGATGAACTTCAAAGATTGCAAAATCACGCAAAAACAGATTACCGTTCCCCAAAGCAATATATTCTGCGGTATTCTAGGATTCAAGCATGCAACAAAGTCAACAATAACAATAAATGAATTAGATAAACAATTAATGTAAATCGTCTTCTAGGACTAATAAGTTTGCGTTTCTTTCCTCCTATGGTTCTTTCCAGGTTTGATATCCAACGATTTTCAGTTTATTTCTCGCGGGCAAGGCGACAGCAATCTACATAAGACTCCCATGCAATCCTAATGACGCAGGGACATGCAAGTACAAACAATAAACAAAACAACACCACTAACATTATTTCCTTAAAAATTACATGAATGAAGTCAGAAACGATCTGCAGAGTCCAGCCACTCTTTTGGGAGATACACTGAATGTCTGTTCACGCTGATTTCATTCACCGGGTTGTTTGGATGTCTTTTCAAAACGCAGATAATACCCTTGACCCAGGCTACGACTATAGGCTTTCCAATTCCGCATGTTGACACATCAGGACAGTAAAGGACAAAAATAACGTTGTGGCGTTTGCGATCACAGGAATCAGTAAAGCTTTGCTTGACTGGCGTCTCTCTTATTGCTCTGAAATAAATATTTCTCGAAGATATAGTGACGCGTGTAGGCGCCCGCGAGGGTGATATAATGGCGTTCACGTAGGGAGTAAGACTTGTGACTTTAAAATACAAAATAAGCTGCGAAGCTCTCTTATCCTCCCCGTTAGCGTCCTTCATTAAACATCGGTAAGGCCAATCGTTCTCGCCAATGATTCTACGTTTCAGCCAATTGATAATTGTACGCTCATCCCGTTTCACGTGTATCAGAATTTCCTCCTCCAAATCAATCTGGAGTGCGTTGGTCTGCACAGTGTCTGTCATTGGTCTCTTCAAAGCTTCCTTGAAAACACTCACTTTCTTCGCAAACGTGTAGAGTTTCTCCAGCCAAGCATTGTCGATTTTAAACTCACCTCCTTTATATGAAGCTTTAAGACTGTAATACGTGAAGTGGGATTGTAGACCAGCGTACGCGTAGTAGAGCAATTCATCAACCAACTTCTGCACAAGATGCGGTTTATTGTGACAATATGCTACCATATATGGTCTTAAAAGAGACGTTGTTTCAGCCAGTTCACCAAACTCAACGCCGTAAAGATCCAAGAGGCAGTTGTCCACGTCATCTGAAAAGAGCAAAATGTAATGCAACTGGACCAGGCTCATCTGATAGAAGAGTTAATGGACCATTTTGCAAACGAGATTAACTTATGATTGCATAAGCAACAAAGAGGATACTTTTTAAAAAGGCGCGGTAAATCCACTAATATTTCGGCTGAAAAAGTTGTAAAGTACAAACAAAAAGTTCTAATAAACAATAATAATAATAAAAAAAGGAAAAGACTATTCGTGCCTTGTGGTGGAGTTGCCGTTTCATGTGACCAAAATCAACTATTGCGAAACATAGCTTCGACGAGGTAGACATGATCACGCACGATCTTCAGCAAGCGTTGCATCGTATTTTCGGTCAGGCATGCATGGGTACAAATTAATCGAAGGCTTTGAATTTAAAAATATATTTTGCGCCAAGACGCACTTGGGACGACAAAAAATAATTAAAAGATTTTTAAAGCCGGAGTAAATAAAATACACTTTGTAAACTTACCTGCTTCATAGTGTCTCATGAATTCCGCCACTTCCTTCATTTCAAATGATTCTTTGTCCCCACAGACTGGTCTTGTCGACAATGCATTCATCATGATACCATATTTTCTGGTGGAGTACCGGAGAGCTCTTATTTGCGCCGTCACTCCCAGGACTCCGCTCTTGGCCTCGATGAGACGTCCCAAATCTGCGATGTCCGCCTGTATATAAAAAAGCTGGTCGTTCACCTGTTTGAACTGGTCATCCAAGTACTTGGCAAGCTCGTCAAAGGGGTTCGGGGTAAGAAACGTTGTTAAAATGGACGCCAATCCGCCGAAGATGCCAAAGACGGGGCCAAGAGTGCTGATAAACGATGCGGCTGTTTCGAGGGTTGACCCAAGTTTAGAAAGTTTTTGAAAAGGTTTAACATTTTTTCCAGCTCTATAGTTCTGTTTCGCCTCAGTGATGGCGCCTCCGAATTCAACAATCCCAGTAGCAATTGCCAACGATGCTCCGGCCATATCCCCGGTGATGTCGTACACGGGGGGTTAGCCACGTTTCGGTTCTTCTCTGGGCGTGTCTGAAATCAACAACTTTTTAGTTAGCAGATCCTTTACTCTCTGGGGGCAGATGAAAAGACTTGACATATCTATAGGGGTTCCAAGTAGTTTGCAAGGACGATCTGGAATAACACTGTCCGTATCTGTAGGGCATATTGTCTTGAAATCCGTCGGCTGGTCCACGACTACAGCTGTGTTGACAACAAGAGCGTTAACACAAATATAGTCGGAGCTTGAGGTAAGTGTCACTTCCTTTAGAGCGGACTGTTCGAACTGATATTTGAATGCAGTGCTTTCTCCTAAATCACCTGTAGTAGGTAATTCAGCCTCGTAATTCGTCTTTCCTTGCGCAGTTTGAATGTTGACCTGGGTTGTTTCGTCGTTTTGAGCAACAACTTTAACTGTAATTTGAATATCTGGTACACTATGACATTCTAAGTTGGCCGTCAAGGCGGACTTAACGCTCGCAGGATGAGACTGATGAACTTCGTGCCCGAGGATTATTAGGAAAGAAAACAAAAGTAGCGGAGCTGCAGCCATTGCGAGTATTAGCGACCAAATAAAGATGACTACCGTATTGCGTCAGGTTTAAACTTGACTTGCGCCTAAACGGTTCGGAAAACGGACGAATCAAAACGCTGTAAGAGGAATTGTACCCGTGATTATAGACATTTCCAGGCATTTTTTTGAAATATAACCTTCATTTAAAACGGCTCCATGAAAGGTATCCGTGATCATAGACATTTCTGACAAGCGTTTCGAAAAATAAACAATAGTTAGAAAGGTTGAATGAATAAAGAACTCATGATTTTAAGCACGATTGATTCTAACAACAATCGTTTTGCAAAGTATACTATAGTTCTTAGTAATGGAAACATGGCACACGTATCCTTAAACATTTCAGACAATCATTTCACAAGATAAAGGTATCGTTAAAGGATAAATGGTTAAAACAGCTCTATTAAAACATTTCCGTATTTCTATAATTTATACAGTTATATAGTGGAAACGTTATTTCGAGTTCTTCCAAACTCCCACAAGTGTTTCTATGAGTTTATAGAAACAAAGGAAATTTTTTTCTATTTCCTTCATAATATAACTCAATAAAAATATTTTTAAAATGTTTTAATTCGATTTAGTTAATTAATTCGATTTAATTCTCATAAAATGCTTCGCTTGTCAATATTTCTTTCATAATATAACTCAATAAAAAGATTTTAAAAATGTTTTAATTCGATTTAGTTAATTCGATTTAATTCTCATAAAATGCTTCTCTTGTCAATATTTCTTTCATAATATAACTCAATAAAAATATTTTTAAAATGTTTTAATTCGATTTAGTTAATTAATTCGATTTAATTCTCATAAAATGCTTCGCTTGTCAATATTTCTTTCATAATATAACTCAATAAAAAGATTTTAAAAATGTTTTAATTCGATTTAGTTAATTAATTCGATTTAATTCTCATAAAATGCTTCGCTTGTCAATATTTCTTTCATAATATAACTCAATAAAAATATTTTTAAAATGTTTTAATTCGATTTAGTTAATTAATTCGATTTAATTCTCATAAAATGCTTCGCTTGTCAATATTTCTTTCATAATATAACTCAATAAAAAGATTTTTAAAATGTTTTAATTCGATTTAGTTAATTAATTCGATTTAATTCTCATAAAATGCTTCGCTTGTCAATATTTCTTTCATAGTATAACTCAATAAAAATTTTTTAAAAATGTTTTAATTCGATTTAGTTAATTAATTCGATTTAATTCTCATAAAATGCTTCGCTTTCAATTTCTTTCATAATATAACTCAATAAAAATATTTTAAAATGTTTTAATTCGATTTAGTTAATTAATTCGATTTAATTCTCATAAAATGCTTCGCTTGTCAATATTTCTTTCATAGTATAACTCAATAAAAAGATTTTAAAAATGTTTTAATTCGATTTAGTTAATTAATTCGATTTAATTCTCATAAAATGCTTCGCTTTTCAATGTTTCTTTCATAATATAACTCAATAAAAATATGTTTAAAATGTTTTAATTCGATTTAGTTAATTAATTCGATTTACATCTCATAAAATGCTTCGCTTGTCAATAATCGTTCATAATATAGGGTCGAAACGGCTGATAAACGGGAAATTCAGCACCCACGATGTTGGATATTTTCAGACAAGCGTTACAAACGTTACGCAATGCCAATAGTTAGAACGGATGCATGAATAGCACCTGCGATTTTGGACATCTTCAATTAAACATCTTTGAAAGATACACTATTGTCGAAGTTTCATCTTCGAGGTTGCCGCGGGCATTTCGTGAAGATTGGTCGACTGTTTCGAATTGTTTAGAACTGTATCATATTATTGTTTCCATCAAATTCATTTTTGTTTGATAGCTTGACACCATTTTGTCATTTTTGTTTCATAGTTTGACATCATCCTTGGTTGGCGATAGGAATTTATCGGAGGGGAAACAGCGAGATATGATTGAAATATAGCTATCTGGTAAATAACATATAATTATATATATTATCGAGGGTCTATAATCCTTGGCGATACACTACCATGTCTTTAATTAAGTATTTGTTTCTTTAGAACGTGCATGAGGTTTAAACTAACGGAATGCAGTCATTTCTATCGAAGAGGATATGCGACGCGTAAAACCAATTATGAAAGCACATTTTACACTACAAAAGATTTAAGGTCCATTTACAATATGCGATTTGTTGTATACGATTCTTAACCTGGCGTATGTGAATGTATGAACACGCGTACAAAAGAACACATTTTAAATTCGGGATTTTACGAAATGAACAAAGTGGTGGCTTCAGCACTCGATTCCATTTGTCAGAAAGATAATCGCATACAACTAATCCCGAGCGGGGGCGGAGCGCCTGCGAGGGTACTAATTCCGCTCGGAGATTAGGAATTACACCCGGAACCCGGGAGAACCTAGCTGAATCCAAAGTTGTGCAAATTCTATGTCATGGACGGTCGACGTTTGGTTGTTTTGTAAGTTATGCGCATGCGCGAGTAACGACTGGTAATCAACAAACCTTCCGATTGGCTAAGACAGAAAGTTTGTATTTCTATGAGAACGTACGTCAGCAATTTAACTGTTATTTCGTAAATCTTTTTGTAAACGCGTTTCATAAATCATAATTGATATTCATAAACTTTGCGCAAAATAAAACGAGAAGAAACAAGATATATGAAGCGGACTCGTCCCCTCCAGGTACTCTCAAGTCACTTTTGAGATTTTTCTAAATTTGAAGAAAAAAGTAGAGAGGGGTACAATGATTCTAATTTCCAACAGCCGTGTAAATAAAGAAATTTTCGAATTAAAATTACTTTTGATCACATAAAGAATAACATTAGAATAACATATCAGCATAGAAAGAGACATTGCTGATAGGATTGAGTTGGATACTCTTGTTGACACATTTAGATTACGGCTAACAACAGAAAGTTGCCCTTGTGAAAACTGTTTGTTTCTAACAAAAATCGCCGATCTGTGGCTTTCACATTGTCATAAAACTTGGCTGGAAATGTTGGAAATAGCGTTTTACAGACCCTAGAAATAAAAATTTTCTCGCGGGAGAATGCCCCCGAACCCCCCTAGAGGTCTTGCGCCTTTAGTCTTTACATCGTTTCCCTCAGTCTGAACAACCTGGCGGACGCCACTGCAGGCGCGAACGCACTTTTTCACATCGAACCAAAAGTTCGTGAAAGATTTGGTGGAACAACAACAGAAAACCCGTGATCATATAGAAATTTCAAGACAAGCGCTTTGTAAAACACACTGTATGAAACAAATGTCACTCATTGTTGTGAAAGAATTACAATACCTCCCGATCGTGATACCGCCATTGCATCTTCATTACGGCAAAATGGATGTACTTCATAGATTGCAAAATCACGCAAAAAAAGATTACCGTTCCCCAAAGCAATATATTCTGCGGTATTCTAGGATTCATACATGCAACAAAGTTTACAATAACAATAAATTAATTAGATAGACAATTAATGTAAATTGTCTTCTAGGACTAATAAGTTTGCGTTTCTTTCCTCTTATGGTTCTTTCCAGGTTTGATATCCAACGATTTTCAGTTTATTTCTCGCGGGCAAGGCGACAGCAATCTACATAAGACTCCCATGCAATCCTAATGACGCAGGGACATGCAAGTACAAACAATAAACAAAACAACACCACTAACATTATTTCCTTAAAATTTACATGAATGAAGTCAGAAACGATCTGCAGAGTCCAGCCACTCTTTTGGGAGATACACTGAATGTCTTGTCACGCCGATTTCATTTGCCGGGTTGTTTGGATGTCTTTGCAAAACGCAGATAATAGCCTTGATCCAGGCTACGACTATAGGCTTTCCAATTCCGCATGTTGACACATCAGGACAGTAAAGGACATAAATAACGTTGTGGCGTTTGCGATCACAGGGATCAGTAAAGCTTTGCTTGACTGGCGTCTCTCTTAATGCTCTGAAATAAATATTTCTCGAAGATATAGTAACGTCCTCAGGCGCCCGCGAGGGTGATATAATGGCGTTCACGTAGCGAGTGAGACTTGTAACTTTAAAATACAAAATAAGCAGCGAAGCTCTCTTATCCTCCCCGTTGGCGTCCTTCATTAAACATCGGTAAGGCCAATCGTTCTCGCCGATGATTCTACGTTTTAGCCAATTGATAATTGTACGCTCATCCCGTTTCACGTGTATCAGAATTTCCTCCTCCAAATCAATCTGGAGTGCGTTGGTCTGCACAGTGTCTGTCATTGGTCTCTTCAAAGCTTCCTTGAAAACACTCACTTTCTTCGCAAACGTGTAGAGTTTCTCCAGCCAAGCATTGTCGATTTTAAACTCACCTCCTTTATATGAAGCTTTAAGACTGTAATACGTGAAGTGGGATTGTAGACCAGCGTACGCGTAGTAGAGCAATTCATCAACCAACTTCTGCACAAGATGCGGTTTGTTGTGACAATAAGCTACCATATATGGTCTTAAAAGAGAAGTTGTCTCAGCCAGTTCACCAAACTCAACGCCGTAAAGATCCAAGAGGCAGTTGTCCACGTCATCTGAAAAGAGCAAAATGTAATGCAACTGGACCAGGCTCATCTGATAGAAGAGTTAATGGACCATTTTGCAAACGAGATTAACTTATGATTGCATAAGCAACAAAGAGGATACTTTTTAAAAAGGCGCGGTAAATCCACTAATATTTCGGCTGAAAAAGTTGTAAAGTACAAACAAAAAGTTCTAATAAACAATAATAATAATAATAAAAAAGGAAAAGACTATTCGTGCCTACAAATTAATCGAAGGCTTTGAATTTTAAAATATATTTTGTGCCAAGACGCACTTGGGACGACAAAAAAAAATAAAAAAGAGTAAAAACTACAAAATTAGAAAAGAACCTGGGCTATTTTTAAAGCCAGAGTAAATAAAATACACTTTCCATGGACCTATCAACTTACCTGCTTCATACTGTCTCATGAATTCCGCCACTTCCTTCATTTCAAATGATTCTTTGTCCCCACAGACTGGTCTTGTCGACAATGCATTCATCATGATACCATATTTTCTGGTGGAGTACCGGAGAGCTCTTATTTGCGCCGTCACTCCCAGGACTCCGCTCTTGGCCTCGATGAGACGTCCCAAATCCGCGATATCGGCCTGTATATAGAAAAGCTGATCGTTTACCTGTTTGAACTGGTCATCCAAGTACTTAGCAAGCTCGTCAAAAGGGTTCGGGGTAAGAAACGTTGTTAAAATGGACGCCAATCCGCCGAAGATGCCAAAGACGGGGCCAAGAGTGCTGATAAACGATGCGGCTGTTTCGAGGGTTGACCCAAGTTTAGAAAGTTTTTGAAAAGGTTTAACATTTTTTCCAGCTCTATAGTTTTGTCTCGCCTCGGTGATGGCGCCTCCGAATTCAACAATCCCAGTAGCAATTGCCAACGATGCTCCGGCCATATCCCCGGTGATGTCGTACACGGGGGGTTCGCCACGTTTTGGTTCTGTTCTAGGCGTTTCTGAAATCATCGACTTTTTAGTTAGCAGATCCTTTACTCTCTGGGGGCAGATGAAAAGACTTGACATATCTATAGGGGTTCCAAGTAGTTTGCAAGGACGATCTGGAATAACACTGTCCGTATCTGTGGGGCATATTGTCTTGAAATCCGTCGGCTGGTCCACGACTACAGCTGTGTTGACAACAAGAGCGTTAACACAAATATAGTCGGAGCTTGAGGTAAGTGTCACTTCCTTTAGAGCGGACTGTTCGAACTGATATTTGAACGCAGTACTTTCTCCTAAATCACCTGTAGTAGGTAATTCAGCCTCGTAATTTGTCTTTCCTTGCGCGGTTTGAATGTTGACCTGGGTTGTTTCTTCGTTTTGAGCAACAACTTTAACTGTAATTTGAATATCTGGTACACTATGACATTCTAAGTTGGCCGTCAAGGCGGACTTAACGCTCGCGGGATGAGACGGATGAACTTCGTGCCCGAGGATTATTAGGAAAGAAAACAAAAGTAGCGGAGCTGCAGCCATTGCGAGTATTAGCGCCCAAATAAAGATGACTAGCGTATTGCGTCAGGTTTAAAGCATCAGGTTTGACTTGTAGACGCTTCGAAAAACGGACCAATCAAAACGCGGAAAGAGGAATTGTACCAGTGATTATAGACATTTACAGGCATTTTTTTTGAAATATACCATACATTTAAAACGGCTCCATAAAAGGTACCCGTGATCATAGACATTTCTGACAAGCGTTTGAAAAATAAACTATTGTTAGAAAGGTTGAATGAATATAGAACTCATGATCTTAAGCACGATTGATTTTACCAACAATCGTTTTGCAAAATATATTATAGTTCTTAGTTATGAAAACAATAAAGCTCTTTTCATGCCACACGTACCCTAAAACATTTCAGACAATCGTTTCACAAGATGCACACTGTATGGCTAAAACAGCTCTATTAGTTAACATTCACGGAAGGCGTTAAACGAACGTAAATTCAGTTATGTAAATTTCTAACGTATGAAATCAAATTCTGATGGCAGCATTTGTAATATATGTAAATGTTCATATGCACCTATCGTTTATATTGTAGAATGTGCAAACTCTTAAGAATTTATTGTGGTTTCAATTCGCTAATATCAATTTTGGATCGAACGTAGCTATGTCGGTACCTGTACACGCCTAATCTATAGATCATTAGATTTCCTAACTTATCGTGTCTTACATGTCAAGTTGTTCATAATCGTGCAGAGTTTAAACTGATATTAAACGTTTCTAGGCACAGCCACTTAGAGTCGTATGGGAATAAGATTGGTTATTTGTGCGGCCCCGACAACGTAATAAAGAGCAATAAAACTTTCTAGCGATCCCTTTCTATCGAGTTATATAAAACTCGTTTTATACCTTAACCCCCTGGGGCCGGTTGTATGAAAGCCGGATAGCGCTATCCACCGGACAGTGGTTTTTTCAATCGCTTCAAAATCGCCTGTTATTTGCTACGACTTTGATTAAATCTTAGTATTCCTAAATCGAAGATCCTCTTTAATAATTGTTGCTTTCAAGCTGAAATTTTATCGCTTTTCGAGAATTTTTAGAACGGTTGAAAAAATCACTATCCGGTGGATAGCGCTATCCGGCTTTCATACAACCGGCCCCTGTGAAATATCGATTTGTTATCACTACGTGTACAGTGTAGTAATATCATTTGATTTACGATAAGATTTAAGAATTCCAAAATATTCAATACTTTCGCTGGGAATAGAAATATTTTCGTAATATATTCAAGCAAGTACTATGATTTAAAACTGGGATACATTCGCACAGAGCTACATGCACGACGATCTTCGAAAGTTAGTGAGTAAGCTATATACCGTTTTCCCGACTTGTGAAATATAAAATTTGTGACATGCCACATGTCCAGAGTTATGACATCTCATGCTAGCAAATTCCACGTTGGCGTTCCGTGTACGTAAGCAAGCAAACAAGCAAGCAAGCGTTCAGTTCTCCAAGCTGGCAACTTTCGTGCGAAGAAATTAAGCCGGATGTCCAATAAGAGCTTGCTATTCTACGGATTCAGCGCTGTTAGCCAATGGGAAACTGTATTTTAACGATTGTTTCGTTCAGTAATTAGACTTTGCGTTCGTTTAACGCCTTCGGTGGATGTTAACTATTGAAAAATTTTCCGTGTTATATAGTAGAAACGTTACTTGAGTAATCGAGTTCTCCCAAACCCCCACAAGTGTTTCTATAACTCTAGAACTCTATTGCGCTTTAGACTAACTTTTGATCGAAGTAATAAGAAGAAAATAAGTCACTTAAATTAGTGCAAATGGAAAGTTTGGTTCTGAAATTTTGTAAAATGCGGAAAATATAGCCATGCGAAGTTGGCAAACTTTGTATACTTTTGTATTACGCGTGTAACTAAATTAGTTACAAACTTCGGGCCGTAATACAAAAGTATACAGAAATCGCAACTTCGCATGGCTATATTTTCCGTAATTTACTACAATTCGCAGTCAAACCTGGTAGTTTAACTAATTTTAGTAAGCATTTTCAGAAAGTTTCCTCTTTACCGCTGAGATAAGATATTATAGTCTGACGCAAGTCGTCCATTTCAGCGGGAAAATTTCCGTGTTTCTAAACAGTTATAGAAACACGCTTCCCGACCATCCAATCAGCACGCGCTTACTGTCGTGAAAATGTGTCAAATGTCATGTTTTTCTGTAGAGTTGTTGTGTATTGTATATTCATATAATTATAATCATTTATGTGGAAATAGAGTAAACTTGTAAACAGGGGAAATAATGCGCGCAAACAAACGCACGTCCAACCACGAAGAAGGAAACCGCCTGTCCCACACGCTAACGCGAGCGGATGGAAGAATGGGGGCCAGTGCGGTTAGAGAGTTAACCGCACGTTGCGGGAAAAACATCCTGGGACGTGCATAAATTGCGCAAAGGAAGTTCAGGTGAAAATGGAATAATATCCCCTATAGCTTTAGTATAAATATAGGTAGAGTTGTAAACTTTAAGTTAGTGTTGTTAGGAGAGTTGTACTAAATATACCTGTACATAGAGTGTTAATTAATAAAAGTTAAAAATACAGTCCCCGAGGTGTGGTATTCGTTGAATCTGGTGCCAGCAGCAACGTAGCAGAGAGGCGCGACAGTTGCGCGACACTTACTATATATATTAGCTAAATGCATATAAGTATTTGTGAGCGTATTAACTCGGTTATTATAACTTTTCAATTTTATTCTTTTGCGCAATATTTGTAGTATTAAAAGCGAAAATTAACCAACGTTTAGTCGATCCTCTAACCTGGGCCTTGATCGGTGCAATTAACTTTCAAAATCTGTGCTAACGCACATTACGATAATCTAGTTGTGGTCTGGGTGTTTTATTACATAAAAGCCCATAGAAGGCAGAGCTTAACACGACATGGACGGACAGAATTGCCAAGTAATTAAAGGAGCCTAGGAGGTGACAAATCTCGTCCTCAGACTTCTCCCAAATCTAGCAAATAAACTTCCTGTTATTGACTTGTTCATCGTCATAAAATACTGGCCCGCATTCGCAACTTGTAAAGTTTTTGTAGCGGAACAGACAACATACTCTACGGTAAGATTTATTATGTTAAATTTATCGCCAAATCGTGAACAAACAGCCAGAGTTAGGTTGACTCAGTTAATTAAGGGTTAGAGACTGTTGTGAGTGTGTTGTTGACAAATATACGAACGCGCTGACCATGCAATGAATGAGAAATTTCAATATTGCATGACACCGTAGGCCAAGTGTAATATTGAAATTCCGAGTTCATTGTATGGTCAGCAAGTGCGTTTATTTGTCAACAAAACACGAACATAAAGTCTTTAACACTTCTAATATATAATCTGAGTTAATTGATTGCTGCATTGAAGATCCAAGCTTCGTTGCAGGCTGTCATTTTTGAATAAACTACGATTTTCATGGGTTATTGCGAATAAATTATGATTCCTATGATTCGTCGCCAGGCAACAAGAAACCACGTGATTGATTTTGACTAATCGCGTGAGTAGATTTAGGCCAATGCACGAAGATTGTATATTAATTAATAATAACCTAATACTCTAAACGTATAGTCTTTGTTAGCTTTAGTACCAATTGAAATTCGGTGTATTTTTAGTCGTTTTTTAGTTGATGTTCTTTTCTTTCCCTTAGCATTTTCTGACTGCGAATCATTATGAATTGGTATTGGATATTGACAGCGATTTGCTTTAGTGTAGTCACTATAAGTAGCGCAAAGCCGAAGCAGGTATGTCATTTTTTGTCGAGCAAATTGAACGTACGTCACATATGTCACATATGAGCATGCATGTGAGCACGATACTTTGTATAGCAGTAGGTCAGAGGTTAATATGTTCAGACGATAGTCCCCCAAGTTTCAGACATCCTGTTATTAGTGATTCTTTGTTTTTAGCGACGTATTCCGGTTTCAAGCGGCTACGATCCAGGCCCTTGTAACGACACAAGTCATGGAAGCTTAGTTTTGGTCAAAGATAGAGATGACGATGAAGTTATTCTTGTTTGCACCAAGAATAAGGATGGTTACCGGTGGAAGTCAACAGATGGTATGAAGACACACGATATCTTTTCGGCTGGCTTTGAAGAGGCAGTAAGAGATGGTCAAATAGGTTGGCTCGTTTCTCCCCTGACATATTGCTATTTATTAAGGATTAAAGAGCACAGTTGGTGAATTCTTCAACCCGGGTTACGATTGTTCAGACATTATGAACAAACGTGAAAATGCAGGAGATGGCTTTTATTGGATTACTTTAAAAAGTCCAAATAACTACCAGGTAATTTTACGTTAATTTAAACCTCAAACGATTCTATTCTGCCCAATTCTGTCACAAACTGTAGCTATAGGTTGAATACCTTTGTAAACAACCGCCCTCCCTCCTGATGTAATAGAAAACAACCTCATGTTTGTAATTAAGGTGTGGTGCGACATGAGTACGGACGGGGGAGGCTTCATATTAGTTGGACGGCAAAACGATTCAGTAACATGGTCGGTCGCATCCAATGGAAATCCTGTTGCGCCATACGGAGAACCCCATTGGTTGAGCTCGCTTGGAGATGCACCAATCATGGACTTTCGAGTACAAATGGCAACAAGCGAAGATTTAAAGTCAACAAAGGCACATTGGTATGGGTGTTTATTGCAATGCTAGGCTTCAAAACAGACATTGTTGGCGAACGTAAATAAAGATGTTGTTTTCGAATCTCCAACATTGATCAGTGCAGAAATATTTTTAATAAATAGTTACCCTTGTGTTGAAATCTTAATATTTTTTCTGGTATCTTATTTTCCTTTTGTGTTTGAATTTAGTATCATCGTAGTCAAGTTTGCCTCCTCTCTAGGTCACTTAGATTGAATTCCAAACGTCCGTTGAAGAACCTGATGACAACAAGTGATGGTTGCGACCAAAGATCAGCTGGGATTGGAAATATTGCTTATGTCAAAGACTTGCTGACAGAAAAAATCGTCACTACAAAGCTAAGATGCTCCAAATTCGGTTTCGCTCATCATATCCTGCTAAAGTTTGGATGGGTATGCCTGTATTTATGATTTGCTAAATTGTACTGCAAATTACAGTCTCAAGAGCAAGCCTTATAGCTATTTTAATGCTTGATTAGTGTTCATGACCAATTTTTGATAATCCTGATGATTTCTTCTAGGCTATGATGAACTCATGTTTGCAAAAACCATGTCCCTTTGGCTTCGCCTATCATCCTCTTGTAAGGAGTGCCCAAACGGATACCTATGGGGCTTTCAGGTACTACTTCAACCTCGGAAAAGTTAGTTTCACGCATACCTATATACCACTAGCAAAGGTCTTTGATTATTTCTATTAATCATCCAAATAGTTTTAGCAAAACTGAAGTGATATCAGGCATGGAGAAAAACGCCACGGCCTTTGTCGGCTGTGACAACGGACATGTAAGTACTAACCTTGGGTTATACTTCTATCTTGAGTTAGATATCCTCTATCTTATTTATATAAGTTATATAAGTGAAAATTAGTCGCCCTTGCGGTTTTTCGAGGCAGCGACGAATCGTATTGATAGTCAAATTAATTCAGAACATTTCTAAGCTTTTATAGGGCTAGCACTCAACTTTGTGTTAATTTAAACTACGATTAATTTTTTTCTCATATAAATGGTTTGTATACATGATTGTATGATATTTCAGTGTTGTGGATGTTTCGGTCCAGTGGGTGGAACAAAAAATTACTGCGCACAGAACTGTAAACCAATCAATGGAGGTACTGTTTCAAAGAACGTGTTTTCATGGTTCTGGATCAGAACCAGTCTTCCCAAAAAAATCTGGAAAAAATGTATGGATTATCAAGTGACAAGAGCTGATGGAAAATCGATTTCGTATAAGTTGCTTGGACACAGTGTTATCCCGGTTGAGGTAATTATGTTCCACAGCTCGAGTTGACTAGAGCGATTACAGTAATTGTTTAATATTCTATATGCCTTCAGTTAAATTTTTGTTTATTTCTCACTTCACAGGGGCGTTGTGACAAGGCCTTTCCTCTTCTACACGACGGAGTAAGTAAAATCCTTGCTTGTATGGATATCTAATACTCACTGTATTCGACATATACATATGTAGTTCACAAAGTAACGATTATAATAACCGATTACATTTAACAAATACAAGAAAAACAACAGTGAACCATAAATAATACCAATCAGCGACGGGGTGCAAAATTTTAAAACATTGCCTACAAGTTCAATGATACATATTTCTACTCAGATTGTAGTCGTGCCCGACTCTGCAGTCGCACAAAAGGTCCCTGCTGTCGATGGCCTATTGGAATACCGCAAAGACAAGCAAGAACTTTATGTAAGATCGAAGAACGAATGGAGCTTGCTTGCTAAGGAGGCGGAGGTAGTTATAGAATGACTTAGACAGAGCGTACGATCAGACCTCACTAATAACAAACGCGTAAATATGTCCTAGGTCAATTGTTTCTAATTTCTCCACGTGTATTGCCAGACCATCTCTAAGATCTATTTGAAACGAGAATTTTTTAATAATCAAATCTAAAATTTTAACACAATTTCAACATCTATTTGTAGGTCAGCAGAAAAATTAGCACATTGGAAAATATGATTAAACAGATCAACGAGAGCCTCCCATTTAGTACGTTTATCATTGGAAAGTATTTTTCTTCAGCCAGCAAATATAAATTTAAGAGATAAAAATTTTCTCAATGAGAGAAGATGTTTATATTCTACAACTGCCTTTCCAGTGTCTTCCACACGTTTTAACAAGAAAAACACCTGGTCAAAGCCAGACAACAAATCTTAAAGAATAGCAGACCTCATGGCTGTATGGTCGTCGTTTGTGTCTTTTCTTTGTAAAGGACAAAATTCTTGACTTTGTTTTAACGAACAAATGACCAACATTGCGTATTCAATATTTTTCAGTTCATTACCCGGAGTGCTCTGCATACACATGGCTGACAGAAAACAGCAGGAACAGAAATCATCTCACAACTGCGCCCAATTACGGCTCTCTTAAGTGCGACAATACTCTTTCCACTGGATGGCACAGGTTTGGAGGAGGTGCTGGCGTAAAAATGCCAACAACATGTGTTGGTGAACATAGATGCTTAGGCGATTTTGCCGGTTGGATGAGAGGTATGAAATTTTTCTAGACTTTCTGAAATCATCCTGATTTTCGTAAGTATTATATCTAATGCATTATGGCACAGAAGAATGTTTAGGTTAATATACGTTCTTTCCACAGGCGATCATCCAACAATATCTGATGGAAAAGTCACGCGTAGTGTCTGTTTTAGCCATGGTTCCAATTGCTGTGTCTGGTCAGATGATATCGAAGTGCTCAACTGTGGAGGTTATTTTGTTTACAAACTTTCCCCCCCGTCTCGATGTAGAGCGAGGTATTGCGGTACTTTTTGACTAAGAGACAGCGGTTTAACGTGGGAAATGCAATTCCTGTTTCACTTGGCATGAAGATTAAGAAACAAATAATTTCAACCACCGATAAAATAATTTCAAAAGATGATGAACTATTCTTTTTTAGTGTAATTGCATGAATATATATGATTTATAATGATTGTAACTCGTATAGGATTAATTCATTGTATTGGTTACTTAAGGACACATTTAGAAGTGAGAAACATCATTTTACAAATATATTTTTATTAAATAAAAACTTTTCTAAAATTGTAATGTATCTACTTGTTTTCAGTGCATAATTTGTGTAACATGTCTTCATAACTTTGAAATATAATTTTTTAAATTTTATTTTTATTACTTCTTAGTACAAAAGTTAGTTCGAGTTATTCAGTATTGAGTAACAAAATATTAAAATATTACAAACTTTAACTGCTAAATTTAATATTAACTTAATGTTTTTAATTTCCTTGTTTAGTTTTCGCTCATCTTTTACTCCAACCAGGTAAAAAGAACGGTTTTATCTCCCTGTCAAATAATGCAACAGACTTTATATGAAAACTTATTTTAGTAATTTAAGTTTATCAATACTTTAAGAAGGTTAAGTTTACTGCGTTTAAATCTAGCTCGAAATGGTTTATTGAGCTAACGCAGTGATGATTTTCATTATACGGTATTCCTCCAACTGGGAAGGAGCCGCCAGAGAGTTATTAGTGTTGTTTCTCATGTGAAAACGAAATTCATTCACACTGAAGTTGCGTTTAATATGGAAAAATAACGTATGTTTTAAAAACATCTGATATGAATGGGTGTGAATTTACACCAAATTATTGTCTTCAACCCAGAATCAGGGTGATGATACACATCAAAGAGTAGTTTCACACCCGATGGTGTAATTCTACCACAAAAGGATACCACACATTGCGTGGGTGTTTTAAATAGCACTTTCATGATTTTGCTACCTTCTTCTTCTATTCTTTGTCTCGCAAAGTCTTGATAAAATAAGCTAGTCATCACGGCAGGTACTTACCGGTTTGACTGTATTCTCGTCCCCATGACTTTGCTCGTCCAAATCAACCCTTCTTTTTCCCTTATAAAAGCCACCAAGAAGCATTGCGATTGCAACCATAGAGAGAATGCTAACTGCAAGGACTGAAACCAGAGCACCAATCGCTTTTGTCATCGATGCGTGTTGAACCTTTTTTGCAGACGATGCAACCGCTAGAGACATGCAAAAAGGAATGCTTTATTAGTGGATACATTGCCTATCAGTTCTTACAATGATGCTGCTTCAACTCATTTGTATACCTTTGTTTTATTTATAAAACTAGCAATCAACGTTTACCACTAGTATATTGAAAAATGGAGATAAAATTGTACTATTTTAGTATAAGATAAACAACAATAAGTAAATATTATTGAATTACATCGACAAGTCGTATTGTCCAATGCCAGTTGGTAACCTTCTACACACAAGCATTGATAACCTCCTTCGGTATTTCGACACAGTTGAGAGCAATTGTGTGCGGATGTATTACATTCATCTATGTCTAAAATGGAGTTAAGAAGAGAGTTTATCATCTTCAACTTCATCTTCCTTAACATTTAATGGATACGTTAATAAAGAAATCTTAAGTAAGAAAAGGTTCAGATAATATAGGAAGTGCAATTGAAAAACATAGCCATATGACATGTAGCCCTGCGAAAATGTTGATGAACCATTTAAAGGTAAGATTTGCGTGCATTTAAAAAAACTTGGCTTCCAAGGAAAAAGGAGTATCGGAATATCGAAGTCACTGTAGGCAGTTTTTAATTTTTTGCACAAACGTGTGGTTACCTGTGCACTCGTGATGACCATCATGGATAAGATGGTACCCAGCAGGACATGAACACATGAAACTACCCATCGTGTTGTTGCATGTGTGGGAACACGTGTGATTGGAAATGCTGCATTCATCTATGTCTGGGAAAAAAAGTAGTTTACGCCCAACTTGTTTTGACTTTTGAGTCAATCACGAGAGGAGATGAGGCAAAATGATAACAAAATGAGTATAAAGAAAGGGGCGAATTTAAGACAGGAAATGTCTTTTTGCTACGTGTATTTGAATGCAACACAATACCTTCACAACTATGAGAATCGTTACGCAATCTGTAACCATGGTGACAAGAACATCGATAGCTTCCTTTGGTATTGACACATTTGTGCTGACAGACAGGATTCTTCTTTCTTTGACATTCGTCATCATCTATAATGTCCAACTTCACCGACCTAAATTCAATAAAAACAATTTTATAATGCTCAGAAATACACTTTTGCAAGTTTATGTAAATCTGAAACAAGAGTTTTTGCATAGCAAAATAATAAGTAGAAGATATTGTTAGGTAAGGCTGCAGAAATTCAGGAAGAAGGCAATATATACTGTCTTTCCACGTAGCCAGAGAAAGTCATGGAAATATACCACAATATACAGACTTCTGGCATGAATTTTATCTGAGATATAAGTATTCTCTCACAAAAACAACCAATGAAAGTGATGACTTTAGTAAAGCACACATCTCTACAAACCTGGATTTACTCTCCATAACATTGGACGCAATACAATAATATGTTCCACTGTCACTGATGTTCGTAGCCTCGATGAGAAGAGAACTCTGTGGAGTTATCTTCATCCGTGAATCCGTTGGAAGTGGAAGAGCACCATCCTCTCCGCAGGCCCACTTTATCGTTGGCGCAGGTATGCCGCGTGCCCGGCAGTTCAACATTGCATCTTTTCCTTGAAGGACTTTCATTTCCGAAAACTGAACCGCAACTTCTACTGGGGCTGAAAGTATTGGAAACACATTGTTTAAATATTTGAAAATTTTTACTATAACCGCTTTAATATCATGATAACGTACCTGTCAATACATCTCTATTCAAATGGCTCTTGGTAGTTGGGGAGTGCACGTGATTATCTAGAACGATAAAACAATAACATATCACACTACCTCTCAACAAAGAATGATTAAGGGACACGTACAGCAGCTAAGAGGTCTCTTAAATGGTGAGATGAAAACAGCAAAAACGCTGTGAATAGATACATATTGTCATACTTTCGCAGGTCTTTTTATCCGCTTTGAGTGAAAATCCTTTCTTGCAACTGCATGAGTAACTTCCTGGCAAATTTTGGCAGTGCTGACTGCATTTTCCTATTCCCAGTAAACATTCGTCTATATCTAGAAATAAAGTATTTTATTCTTCCAATACAAAGCTCACAACATCTTTATTATTACGAAATGTAAACCAAACTTGGCTATGTACTTGAGTATTAATGTTTACTTACCATCGCAATGTCGGCGATCTTTATTTAGAGTATAACCTGTATCACAATCACATCGGAATTTGTTCCGTAACTGTATACACACTTGTTGGCAACGATGCCAGCCAAAGACGCAGGTATTTTTTTCTACAGATAAAACAGTCAAAAATAATGATCAGGTACCCATAAAGTACGAACGTAATACATCCATATGCCTCTCGGGTTATGGCCAGAAAAGTACCGATCCCAGCAAACTTTCAACGGTTCTGTTCGTATTCCCAATTATACAAACATTGAAAAGTAAACATGGTTGCGTAGTGTATGTAATTGTTAAGAGAAACTACTGTGTCTCAAACTAAATTAAAAACTTTAGCAGTTATAAACTGTTTTGCAATTCATAAGGCGATTTATGAAGTGATACGTTTGTTTTTCATTGTTTCCACGGAGACTTACTAATACAATGTTTTCCATCGAATGCCAGGATTTGTCCAGCCGGGCATGTGCACTGATAGCCAATATCTGGTATGTAAATGCAACTGTGTTGGCAGCCAAACTTTCTCGGACAGTGGAAATGTGCTGTAATAAAATACGGTTTCTTGATGATTTATTCTGACGGAATTGATCATTGTTTCGCCAGCGTACAGAATAGCATACATGTTCAGTACTATGTCGTTTTGTATCGGTTGAATTTAGATAGATTAGATAGATATAGATGTGATGTTATTGTGCTAGGTATAAAAAACATTAAATAGCTACCTTTTTTAATTATTATGTTATTGCCATGAACAGAAACAGCTTTCTCTTTACTTTTAATCTCGTGGCTTCGGTTTTTCTGCATAGCATGGTCGTGCCTTGTTCCATTTCTGTTGATAATTTTTCGATGGTGATGGAGGTGAAGATGTTTACCGTCTTTCAAAACTTGTCCCTTACTTCTAATCTTTGTTGCTTCGAGTCGATGCTTCTGTTTTTCCTCGTGTCTTGCTTTCTGGTCCTCTTTATGGCTTGTTTTATGCCTCGATTTATGACGAGCCATCTTCAATCGTTTTTTCTTTACCTTTTTGTAGTGCTGAAGTTGCCTCCAAGCGTGTAGCAAGTTTTTCAAACGTGGCCGGCCTTTGTGCCGGTCTCTCTGTCCCGGCTTGACATAATAAGACACTAAAAAAACGAATTAAATTTGATTTTCCAAATTGGCACAAAGATTGCCAAAAGAAAATTCTCAGAGAACGTAAGTAGGACTTTGTTAAAACTCACTTTTCAACTTTTCCTGGCGAATATGTGCGATGGTAGGACTCACTGACAAAGGTAAAGCAGGGACTGTCTTGCAAAGTTTAGCACTATGGCATCGAACCGCAAAGCATTTCTTTCCGATCATGTACGTCAGGTTGCACTGCGGATCATTGCAGCACTTGATTATACACGACTTTATCCCTCTGACAACACCATGATCCACAAACTCCCCTGCGCTCAACTCGCCTGCCAGTTGAACATCGGTTTTGATCGAATCTACACGACATTGTGTTACGTTTTCAGTGGTCTTCCTCAGCCTTTGCGAAATCCTCTCTTTTTCTGCTCCTTTGTGCTCTTTTCTGCCGGATTTTTCAGCCTTTTCGTGGCTTTGTGACACGTTCAGGCTAATTTTCTGCAGAATAGTTGAAATATCGGATTCGTTTAGACCCAACATTGCATCATGATTAGTATGAACGATATCTTTAGCTGGCGACATCAAGGCATTTTGAGGATCACTAAATAACATTACGCCGCTTCTGTTGACATAAACGACTTCGGATGAAAAGTTTGCACTCGGTGGTGGTCTTAGCTTGCAAAAGTCTTTAATAACACAAGCTATGACATAGCATGTATCTTGCACGAGAAAAGCGGTGTTGCATTTGGGTTGTGAACAGCATTGTGATACACATTCGTCTATTTTACTAATGTTTCTGTATTGGACAACCTGCCCAGCTCCCACACCCGCGTTGATGGTAACATTCGCAACTCTCATGCCAGGCATACACGTTTCGTTGCTAGGCAACATTACCCTCAGATCCGATTGGCCAACTACTCTACCAGATGATGAAACGCCTTTATCTGATTGGTCTGTTTTCGGAGTCCGTTTGACAAAAGCGATTTTTAAGTCAAAAGTGGGTAGTTTTGCTGGACGAAGCTCGCACAGATCTTTACTTCGACATGTTAAAGCAAAACAAGTCCTTCCTTTCATAATTGCAGCATCGCAGACTCTTTTTTTACAGCACTGGCTAATACAGCTTGTCATATTACTTATATCAGCTATTTTGAAGAATCTTCCTGAATTCAATCCACCACGAAAGGTCCGTTTCTCGTAGACTGTTCCGTTAACAGAACACGAAAGCTCAGCAAAATTCGCCCCAGTGGCCGCTTGCAACTCAGAAAACAAGCTTTGGGATTTGGTGTCGTTTCGTTGTGATGGAGAGGTTTTGCTTTGTAGTTTTTGTCCAGCATGAACTTTGGATGAGTTCTGAGGTTTACCATCAAAGTTTTCACCGGTAGTATTCATGCCGACCGATGTATTTATCGGATGATCAGAAATCTTCAACTTCACAACACTTTTGTAGCGCCCTTTTGTTGTTAAAGCCCCATAATCTTTCCCATTATGCGACTGTCGAACTTTGGATGCAGTATTCAAACTATAATTCCTAGAATCCATGTTGAACAAATACTGTTGAACTTCAGAATTACGCAACGGTCGCTTGAAAATATATATTTCATCCAGAAAGCCATTGAATGGAGTTCCCTTCCGATCGGAACCGAAATACGTCATGTCACCTAACTGGCCAGAAAGTTTTCCATGACCTTGACCGACGGCCTCAACTTTGCCGTTAACCAATACTTTCGCTTTCTCCGAAATCGAATCGTACGTCACAACCACGTGACACCAAATATTTGGACCAATCACAAGAGGTGAAACGACCATGAACACATTTTTACCAATTTCGTTCTCGTGCGCCCAAAGAATACGGCCATCTTGGAGTCTCAGCTGGTAAAAAGTTTTACTAAGACGTAGTTTGCTGCTTGTACTTGTAAATATATCATGAGTTCCTTCGATAGCAGACAGCTTTATCCATGTCGCAATAGAGATGCCTTGTTTAGGTTTACCTTTAAAGGAAAATCCCTTTAGAAACACGCCACCTTCTGTTAGATCCAGTCCAGGACCGTGTCTGCTGTATGCCATAATCTGATCACCTTGGACGAAAAGAAAAAGTGTACTTCTAGTCTCTTTGATTCTAAAAATTTGGTTTCATAATTATGAAAGTTTGATTAAGAGATTAGAAACAGCAGGTAATAAGCAATGAATATAACCTTTTATTCACTTTATACAGTACTCACCTTTACTTAGTTTTCCGTCGTTGTTGCTACCAGAGCCATCATGGACGATATTTTTGGAAACATCGTGAAAACCAAAATATAGAACGAGCGCTTTTCCTTTGTAACCCGCAGTCGTATTGGTGCCTTGAGAGCGGATATAAGATTCATGTTAATCTCGATTTTTAGAACTCCACATTAATAGGAGTTTCATTACTTGTATGTTTTTTTTTTCAATCGTGCTTATAACATTCACTTATTACAATTTTTACTTAACAAAATCCATTTATTGTACCTGATGTCTGTCGCCATACTCGTGCCAGTTTCCCAACGCCGTCTACGACTTTGCACATATCACGTGTACTGCAATGAATGGCAAAACAGTCGCCATCTTTGACAAATGCCAGATCACAGTCACTCAAATCACAGCAATAACCTAAACAAGACTCCATGGATGAAACGTGTTGGTATCGTCTAAAACTGTTTGCAGTCAGACCTCCTTTTAGTTCTACGTTGTAAAACACCGTTTCGCCTTTGCATTCTTCCAAATTTGCCTCGTTGTTAAGAATCGATGTTTCTTGAGCAAATGGAGCGATATGATTGGCAGTTTTATTGCTCTTTCTTTCAATCGTAGAAGTAAGATTTGTCGTATGTTTCTTTTTTGATTGTGCTTTTGCTGTAGGGGATTTAAAGAATAATTGTATAATTGTGACAGAATGAAATTCTGAACTTATCCAGAGTCAAGAACAAAAAGTGTTATTCATGTCTACCAAACAAGTAGCAACTTTAGGTGAAAGCTCACTATCTGATAAATAGGACTGGATGGATATTTCCAACAAAATTTAAAAATTCAATGGCTACATTGAGAAGATGTTTACCTTCGGTTAGGTGTTTCTCTCTGGAAACAAAGAACACGCTTGACGATTCCCCTCCAATTGCGGGAACCGCCTTACAAAGTCCCTTTCTTTTACAGTGTACGGCATAACAGGAGCCTCCCATGTCAAGATATGCTAAATCACAGTCTTTCACATTGCAACATTTTGTGACACATTGCAATACATTCTTCACCTTCCCTTTGAAGTCAAATCTTCCTGCATTTCGACCACCCTGTAAGGTGCTGTTCACGTGAAAGGTACCTTGCGAGCACGTGTTGGGTGTGATCGAATGAGTGGTTTTGTGATGAGATGAGGGTGTTGTATTGCCCGTTGTAATGGTCGATTGTTTCAATGAATTGGTTACTGAATCTGCGTTTTTCTTTTTTGATACTAAAGGAAGTCAAAAATATGGTCAGAGATATACCTTAACTATTCCTCGTGCATGCAAACGAAGCTTTTGATTTTAGATTAACAGTATTTGAAAAATTCTTACCCAAAAGAGTGTGACACTTATGTCGTAATCGGCTAATCTCCGGGGTGGTCAAAGCCCGGTCGTATAAATAGAATTCGTCAACGTTGCCATGGAGACTATTCAGCAGACCGATTCCTACGTCACCTAGCCACTTTTGTGATATCAACCCGCTTGCCTCATCTTCGTTAACCAGTCGACCATTCACCAGGATTTTTACTGAATGAACCTCGGCATCGTACGTCGCTGCGATGTGAGCCCAATGTCCAGCACTTATCAACGAGGATCTTGTTGTAGACTGGAATGAAATAGGATTAAGCAATGGTAAGAACAGCACAGTATACTACGAATAACAGCGGGTTGAAGCCAAATTGAAAACTGTTGACAATTATAAAAGAAATCCGCATTATGAAGAATGTTGACATCTGTGTACTGGCTGTGTAACTTGTGATCACTATTCATCATATAAATAAAAAATAAGCCGTATGATACCTGTATTTTTTACTTACGTCGAAAATTAACTTTCGGTTTTCATCGACGTGAGCCCACCAAACATGGTTAGCAGAGACCCGCAAATCAATTTTGCCTCCTTGTCCGGAAGGACTTCTTTGCACACTGAACAACGAGATACTATCTGTAAATTTGTCAAGTTTTACCCAGAGAGCAACCGTTATCGCCTTGCGTGGTTTTGTGCGAAATGTTTTGGGATTGAAGAGTATTTTCCCGCCATTAAAGTTGGCAATTGAGCCGCATTTTCCTCGGAATGGGCGAATCAAAATGGCGCCTGAAATTTCCCCGTCGTGGCCTGTGCCCGAGTCGTCCATGACAGTCAGACCAGATGTGTTTTCAAAGCTCAGGTGGACCAGAAGATTGGGAATTTTACCTGTGTGTGATAAGGAATTTAAAAATCGTAAGGGGACTTGTCGAAATGTTTCATACATGAACTTGGGCTGTAAAAATTGGAAAGTTTTGTCAGGTCTGTCAGATTCTTCAACCTTGATTGTCCTAGCGAAGTCTCCGTGGCTAAACTTTGACTAAAAATCTACTTTTTTAGGGCCAACTTAGAATTGTGAATGTCAAACGGGGCGAAAACAATTGCCAGTATCTTTCATATAGCTGAATTGGTCCCAACCAACCATTTCTGTGGCAGAATAGAAAATTTCCACACATTTTAAACGTAACAGCTTTTGACTTCGTTGTGAACAATCCCTCCACGTTGAACAGCTTCTCCCTTTTCTGCGATTTTTTGCTTCTGTAGATCCAAGTCAATTTTCTGATCAATGTAAAACCGACATCGATGGAGAGCATAACATGCAAGAGTTCACGAAACTGATCTCTTACAATGTTATGCTACCCAAAAAAGCCGTACATGTCTTGCCCACCAGCGACCAGCTGTAAGAAAACCAGCAGTGGTTTCGAAATCCGTTCCAGGGATTCCAGGAAATCCATAGATTCCGTTCGCGCGATTTGGCAGTTGAATAACTTGGTTATCGGAAACTGCAGCGTGGCCGTTTAATTGAAATTGTTTTCCTTCTCGTGAAGTGATGACTCTATATTACCTTTTTTTGACGATTTTTAAAACTAAATATGCTCAAACTCCCTTAATCTAATGACTAGTTTACATTGGCAGGCATAAGGGTAATTCACCTTTCTCTATCTCAAAATCAAGCCCCATTTTGTTTATTAACCACTTGTGGTATATTTCACAGATCCCGTGGAGAAATCGTTTTGTAAAAGTAAAAAGGTGAAGAATTTGTCACAGAATGTAGACAAGAAATATTACGGCATAAAAGCTCCTCAAACAAAAAAATATTGAATATTCCTCGGTATTCATAAACATTGAGTCTTATAATGCATTCACCATTCATTGGTAATTTATGAAACAAAAAACTTCACTTTACCTTTTTTAGAGTACTCTTTTCGTTTTTTGTTAAACTCTATCATATCATGGATATCTTGAAAGCTCGGTTGCTCTTCGGCAGGATCCGCTGGCGATGGAATAACTGCCTTCAGTTGCCTGTCTTTAGCCTTTCCTCCGGACATAGCATCGTGGTGCATCTTTCTTAAAGAAGAATATCTTGACAATATATCATCTCTTTCGTTTGAAAATGGAATGAATGGATTCTGTGGGGTGTTTGGCGTTCCTCCATTCTTTGTATGAGAAAAACGGTACCCAGTTGATTTGGTGTGGATTTTTGATTTGCCGACCGGAGACATAAGATTACCAATGGTTGACGGGTCCAACTTTGAGGTTTTGAGTAACGCTTGCTTTGGTTGAGGTATCGCACTTTTCTCTGCCAGTCGATCGTGGTGTGGAGTTAGGGTAGGCAAGGGGGACTCTAGTTCCGGCATCTTGGGTGTGGTAGATATATATTGTTGTTTGCCATTTGATAGCTGGTGGCGTGTTGGAGGCGCCACAACTTCTCGTCCAAGATTAGGAAGGTTTTGATCCACTGAAGTAAAAAGAAAATTAAACTTCAAAGTAAGTACATTTTGTACTTTAGACGCCCTTCTGAAGTGTAGTAAAAAGTAAAGATAAACATAAAACTTTGTTTCTTAACGAGACAAAAGTTAATATTTCAGACTTTCATAGTTCATTAATGGTGTTAAGCTAAGCTTTTACACATCGATCCGATTACAAACCAGCAAATATACAGCGGGCCTCTCCATCCCTGGGATTAGAAATGGTCACTTACCTATGTTTTTTACCTTCACGCTATGCGACCGAGGATTAATAAAACTATTTCGCCAACCAACGCCTTGTAATTCATGTTTAACTGTAGGTCTTGGTATATGTGAGCGTTTGTCTAGGAGCCAGTCTTCTCCGAGGAGTTCACTAATCTCGTCGCCAATGTCGTCCATCTTGGAAGGATCTTTACTCTTTTTTGAATCCTCTTGCTTTTTCGGCTTTGAGATATTCCTGATTTGGGTTTTTATTTCGTTTAGCTTCTTTAAAATCATATCATCTTCGGATTTAACAGCGTGTAATCCGTCAGTTTGGTTTAACTTTTTACCTTTCGTTTCAAAACCTAGTTTGCTCACATCCTTTAAACCAGCCAAAATATCAACAATGCTTTGCTTATTTTGGTCACCACTTTTGGATTCTATTTTAGATGTTGTTGAGTTTTCTGGTTTAAGGATCTCATGTTCAGATATACTTTGTGCCTTTGGCGGACTTTTTATGTCAGCAATCTCGTCTTCAATCTTCTCTAGCTCTCCCATAACCAAGTTCTCATTTTCCTGGCCTAAAGGCTGTTTTTCCTCGCGAAAAGCCAAAGGGTTTCCACGCTCAGAATGTGGACTTAGGAAGCGGCCATTATTCCACAAAATGCTAGGCTTTCCCTTTGAATCTAGGCGAGCATAATCTAGCCTTTTTCGGTATTGGTTCCTATGCATTCCGGGAGAATGTGAACTCAATTTCGTTGGGTGGGAATGAAGTAGCTTGCGTTTTACTCCCAAAGTGCTGTAGTAGTCCATGTTTGGTTCATAATCCTGAACACCATCGTCATATTCGGAGACATTATCGTCATTTATTTCGTCATTTTCTCCATATTCATTTTCATTTTGTATGCCCACGTCATTCAGATTATCAGAGATGAAATCAAGATCTTGGTCCAGGACCTTTTTTCCCACCCCATGTCCTGCATTTTGCATATTATGCGATTTTTGATCGGAATTTTCACGAATCTCGTCAGTTTCACTACCCTCATTCTCATATTTTGGTGTGTCCAGGTCAGCTAGCTCATCTTCAATAACATTAGCATCATCGTAGTCCTTGTAATCGAAATTATCCCCATCCTCCCTCAATTTAGGCCGATTTTTGTGCCCGAGCTGAGTTGCAAACTTCTTAGGATGACTGTCCTTAATGTGAGCATTGTTGGGATTCCTGCTTACGTAATCTTGGTCGAGATAATTAGAATAATCATCCTCCCCATCGTTTGGGTATTTTTGCTGATTGTCTATAACATTGATCTTGTGGCTACTAGCCTCTTGGTGGGGACGGGAATGTGATTCAGAATTTTGCTTTTCCTTGGGTAAGTCATTAATAGCTGTGTCTTGTTCATGCGAGCTTCCCTGGTTATTCGGATTTGGAGCTTTAATGTTTTGTTTTACAAGATTATACAATGTTTCTATAAGTTTAGATTGATCATCTAGGGTACTGCCAGTACTAGGATAATCATTAGGTGTACCCTGACTACCAAGATTACTGCCACTATTCCCAGTAATACTACCATGATCCCCTTGAGATACACTCTCTCCCCTAAGGTTATCGGTGATGTGGTTTTGTGACTGAAAAACATCGTGACTCCCCGTTTGATGCAGTTCTTTCTCAATCTTCTCCGGAGTGTTAATTTCTTTTGCTCTACTGATCTCATTCTGCAAAGGGTCTTTATCATGAGACCAAATGGACTCAATTGTGTCATGCGTCCTGTGCTGTAAAATGTTTGATAATATATCAGAAGCCATGTCCCCAAGCCCTTCTCTTTGCTGGTTATGCTGTCGTTTTCCTGCGCTATCGTCAAATATCAGAGGCCCTTGCCTGCCTTTATCTATGAGTTTTTCAAGATCTGTTTCGCTCTGCGCCGTAGGAGTAGGAATGTCGGACGTGCTTCGCAATTCATATGACTCATCTTCATTTCCTAAATGCTTCTTCTTTTCAATGTCAGCAATTGCATCTCGCAAAAGGTCCACCTCTTCTTCGCTGCCATGATCGTTACGAGAAGAACCAGAGGGTATTTCGTTGCCTCTATACCCGTTAGGTATGGTATCCTTTCTCTCCAAGTATATTCTCGATTTTTTTAAAGGGTCTTCATCCTCCCGGTCAACCAGGTTGTCACCCTGAATTTCAATATTACTGCGCACACCTTCCCTTCCAAGAACCGCCCGATTATTACCTCGAACACCGTCGATATCCCTAACAATACCTTCCCCAACGCGGGTATCAGCATCATCACGGATACCACCATTAGCAACCCGAATGCTGCCAATACCCTCACGAGTAGCTCTGAAATCATCCCTACCATCAGTATTTACATCGCCATTGAAACCATCGCCAACAAAACCATCATGAATAGCACTGAAACCATACATATCCTTATTACCTTTTCTACCACCACGTATGTCGTCACGGATGTCTCCAATACCATTGCTATCCCAGTTATCATGGATTCTGCCATCAAGCGCTTCATTCCGACCCGGATTCACATCCTCTTCGGCCACGCTAGACCTTTCTTCGCGGAAAATATGAGAGATGCGCGTGTTCTCTGATGATGTACTTGTTTTAACGTCCTCACACAGCTCCCTGCGGGGACAAGTGACCAAATAACATCGTTCTTGCTGCATCATTGCAACATCACAATCCGATTTCCGACAGCAGTACTGTTTGCACACTTCCATGCTGGATACCAGCCCGATGTCTATGAAATAACCAGGATTCAGTCCACCACGGAGTGTTGTGAAGTACCGATCAGATCCTGGCGTGCAAGTCAAAGAATGACTTTCATAGGGTGGGGCATTAACATCGGGGGTGAAATCGCGGGCAGGTGGGATGGAATTGGAAAATGATCTGGTACGAATAAGTTTATTTGAAGGTCGAGGGTTCTCAAAATTTCGAATTGGTTCTCTCTCAGCTTCATATAAATGAGGTGGATCTGGGTTTATCGGTTTCAATTCTTGATAAGGTGACTCGATATTTGGATTACGATCCGAACTTCGAGAACTTGGCTGGTTGTCAGTGACGAAATTTGGTATATTTCTAAACCCTTCGTTTTTTTGGTAGGGCACGGGGAGAGAAGACATGTGATTCATGGAAGCTTTATCCCATTTCATTAGCTTATTGGTATCTTCCTTGTAGACAAATGCGACTGCTATTTCCATGTCGGATGTTGAAAGCAATGGCTTCAATGCGCACGAGTCATGGTCGTAACACGAAATCAGGTAGCAATAATTACGCATCATGAATACCAAATTGCATTCGTCGTCATGACAACAATGGCGAAAGCAGGTGTCGAAGTTGTCGACCCTCCCCTGATCTTTAAACTGACCCGATCTCAAACCTTGACGTAGCGTAACATTGTAAGAAATCGGGTTGTGCAGGCACGAGGGAGGGTCGACATCAGTCGACATCCCTAAAGGCCTGCGGGATGCCTGGCTAGGCTTAATGTTTATGTCTCTATCCCTTGAGACATCGTAAGTAGCTTTCCAGGATGGCGCAGTCCGTTCCATTCCTTGATGTTTATATGGAACATCCGAGCTCTGTCCTCCTGTATCCGTTGATAAAAACTGATTTCCGCTACCTAAAATAAAAAGAAGCACATGATAGGTGTTTGAGTTTCATGCAAGTTGCACATTATTTGCTTCGTAAATTTCCTAGAATGAAGACTGATTGATCGTATTGCTCTTGTGGTGACAACGAAGGGACTACAATTGCTCTATTCATACCTTTTTGTTCCTGTAAATCTTCTGGCTCCCTTTGCTCCGTGAGCATGTCCACTAACTCATCTTCGATCTTTGAGTTATCACTCTGGAAATTCGAGTCCTCGACGAATGACCCATGACCGGTCCTCGAGTTTTCTTTCGATCCTTCTACAATCTCTTGAAGAGATACATCATTATCCGTGTCTGTACTGAGATAGCCATCATCATGTACCACCCCTCGCTTCACCCTTCTCACATGAACCAAACTGGGATGGTATTGTATCCTTCTCACCGGCACACTCACACAGCTTTTTCTGTCATAACACGTGACAGTATAACATATGGCCTTAATCACCATAGCAACGTCGCATTTCCGCTGTTTGCAACACCATTCGACGCACTCATCCATGTTCAGCACCTCTCCTTGCTCAGTATACGATCCTGCTTTTATTCCTCCTCCCAGAGTAACATCATGTTCAACCTCTCCAGGAACACAGACCCCCTTCTCCTCATTCCTAGCAGAGAATTTAGGCTCCACGGCGGCTTTCACGTTGATTTGAGGTTTAATACCATCACCACGCTTGTCTTTAGATATGGTCGATTCTTCTGATGTTTCGTGCGGATAAATTGTATTCAAGACTGCATTCTTTATGACACTCGTAGGTTCCTTGGAATTGTAAGTATGTTCTGACTCTCTTGATGGCTGCAGGCTTTTATCATTTAAAGCTGTTTTATGAGAAGTTTTTCCTGACGCGGACATGTCTTTGGAAGTGGACGACTTCATTGTTGGTACGTCTACATTTCGTTCATGATAACTGGTAGGACCTGTATCAACATTGCTATCAACAGGCTCATTACCAAACTTAAAAGCGTTCTCAGCATCGGTATTTTTATGAGAGGTGCTTGGAACAGTAGACCTGGATGAACCTTTTGAGTTCAACCAATGAATAACATCACTGCGTCTTTTCATGTAAACAACTTTAGACTGAAATGTCAAATCCCCACTAGGAACAACATTGCAATTATTTTCACAAGCAACACCAAAGCAACCATTGAGAATCATAAAGGACATATTGCATCGTTTCCATCGACAACAGAAATCTACGCATTCTCTGAGCAACTGAACTTTTCCAAAGTCTTTGTAATGCCCAGGTCTCAATCCACCATCTGGTACAACATGGGTAATCGGATCACTTCTCAAACAACTAGATGAAGGTTCTGTCTTGTGACGTGAATCATCGTCAGCCGGTTTCTCGAAAGTTAAAACTTCTTTTCCGGAGTTCAATGCTTCCTTAAGCTCATCACTTGGTTCTGGAAGTTTTTGAAAGAGTTTTTGAGCACTAGCCTTGAACAGTCGCACAATTCGTGGGTTAAGTGCAGTGGACTCGGCTTGCACACTTTCGCACGAGTGCTCAGACTTGCACACGAGCAAGAAACATTCGTCTGAAAACATAAACGCAATACTGCAACTATCAGACTTGCAGCAAAGTGAAACACAGTCGTTAATGTCTGCTACTTTTCCTCCGTATTTGTAGTCAACAGCAGCAAGTCCACCTCTGATCGTAGTGTTGTATTCCACTTCGGTGACGGGGCAAAGTTTTGGTTTCGATGACGGCTTTTCCAAAGGATCTCTTTCCCGACTTTTTTGTGCAAATTTTCCAGGCTCTATTTTAGACGGCAAGTGATGCTGCTTTTCAGAACCCGTTGTTATCTTACCACCATTTTCGTCAAGTTTGTCGTGTGTTGTAAGCAAGTTCATTTCATCAATTAATGCTTGTACACTCGGATTGCTCACCTTACTATTCTCTTTATCTTTTGAGAGTTCTTCCTTCCTAGCAGAATTCAACAGCGATAGATCTTCGTCCTTCTCTTTAGGTGATTCCTCACCAGCGGATGAAGACAAACCATCAACTATGTTATCAAACATTTTCAACTCCATATTCGTTTCGCTATCTCGATTCATAAATGTTAGCTTTGTATGAAGACTATTGGTGGGCAATTTAACTGCCTGACAGAGTTTGGTGTCTGTACAAGGCAATAAGAAACAATTATTCTTGAGCATAAATGCAACATTACACTTCTCGTTTCTGCAACAGCGCTGAGTACATTCATGCATATCCGCCACAATCCCTCCATCTTGTACACCTTCTCTTGCGATCCCACCTTTAAGCGTGACGTCAATTTGGACATTGCTATGATGACATGTCCCAGTATCACTTTCGACATGGGAAGGATGGTCTTTCGGGGGGCTAAAGCCTACGCCATTATGACCTGCTGCTTGTTTTTTTTCTTCAGGACTTTCCCCCATCGTGTTTTTTGAGAACTTTCCTGGGGTTTCTGCTGATAACTTTGTACCATCTTTTTCCGACTCTTCCGAAGAAATATTGGTTTTGAGAATTTTTTCCGCCTTTATTGACAAAGACACGTCTTTCTTTGGCGAGATTTTGGTTTCGTCAAATTTACCTGAAGCAATTTCTTTGTCCTTTTTCGCTTCTGGGATATCCACTGCAGTATCCAGCAACTTATGCTTTCCCGAATTACTTACACTAATTTTCTTGGGGACTTGTTGTAATACTTCAGCATTCTCAGCAGCATGTATTTGATTCTTTTTGACACCTTGTTGATTTTGTAAATGATTATCCCCTCCGCTAGACTCCAATGCTTTCTCCATTTCCGCAACAGCATTTGAATACAAACGATTAAGATTATGCTCTAATGCAACTTCTTTATTTTTCATCATGTTTCTTTCTACAGCTGCCGGACTTCTAATGGTCGAATCCGGATTCTTTGAAATCGGAGAAACATTTGGCTTGTTGTGCTTGAGTTCTGAATGCACAATACTCCGTAATTGTTCAATAAGATAAGATCTATCATTATTCTTTCTAGGCGATTTAAGTCTTTTTACCGGAGTTACTATCTTGCTTGATTCATTGATCTTGGGAATTTTTTCAGATGTTTTAGTCTTGACGACTGATGGTTTCATCTTGAGTTTAGTTTCACTAGCTTGAACGCTTTTGTTACTTTTTATTTGGTGAATTTCGGACTCAAGATTTCTTATACGTTCATTCAATGAAGTCTGTATATCCAGTAGTCCTTTTATTTGCTTGCTATCTTTCGACTTCTTTAATGGCTCTGTAGTAACCTCTTCTGGTTTGGTATTCTCAGAATGGGCAGTTTTTTGTCTAATTTGCTCTTCTAAGAAATTTAACAAGCGCTGAGCTGCCGGAATCGCCGAAGACTTTCCTTGTGATTTCGACTTCGGCAATGTTTTCTTCACATGTTTTTGTTCGGCATAAGGATTTACCACAATAACTGAATGTCTTTGGACTGGTTTTATAGGAATCATTCCTGCCTTCTTTAGTGCTAGAACGACTTCCTTGCCTATATCTGTGTTTTCCCGAGTATATTTTGAAAGCTCGTCAGAGTGAGACGTCTTCACCGAGGTGGTCGGAGCTCTAAGACTGGTGGATCTAATCTGCGGTAAACTAACCACTGAAGGAGATGTAACTACCGCTGGTGGTGACTGAACCAGCTTGGGAGTTGGAATTATTGTGGGCTTTTTTGTTGATAATGCTTTTCCTGGGAGTACTGGAGATATAACAGAAAAGTTGCTGAAGTGGCGGTGTTGTATAACAGAATCCTTTATTTCTTTAGAACTCGTGTTTCTTTCAAGATCACGTTGAATTTTGCCAACTATCTGGTTAAAATCGGGAATATTTTTCTTCAGCTCTCTCTGTTCAAGAGACAAATTGTTCATTTTTGAAATGAGTTCATCGAAAATGGATGTCTTTGGGTCAATCATTTCAGACGACTTTTCGGACTCAATCTTTCCAATTACTTCCTTGACTTTGGTGTTTTCCTCCTTCGTTTTACCGACATGATTTTTCAAGTTCGACGAATCTGGATTTCCATCAGACGTTTTTCCCTTTTCCAGTCCGTATGTTTTGCCTTTTCCATGATGAGTGTTTAACTGATTTGATTTGTGAGAACCACGTACTGCATCCAAATCGTCCTGGTGTTGCTCAGCTTGATTTAACTTGTCCAACCCATCTTGTATTTGTTTAAGTATCTCTTCACTTTTGAGTTTATTATCGCTTTGTGGAGTATGTGTTTTCGCAGCATCAATTACAGACGATGCAGGGTTTATTTTCAAACTTTTGGTGTTAACATTGCTTTCAACTAGTCCGTCGAGAGTGAAATGCTGCATTTCCTTTTGCGCGTTCGGTGACCCAGTGTTCGCATCAGTGGGCGAATCGATCACCAAAGTGTGAGCTGAAGGACTCCCTCCTGATTTCATTTCTTGTTTATTAGTTTTGAAAACCAAACTGCTATGTGCTGTGATTACCTTCGTTGGAATTGGCGTAGCAGAGATTATTTGTGGGTGTGACAAACTGGAAGAAACTTTCGCTTCTGAAGAACTATATTTTGAACTCTTCTTTTCATCCGACGTTAAGTGGTATGTGTTTCCTGGAGAGATATTTTGCTCCATATGACTTCCATTTGAACGCATAAATTGAGGCTCACTGTTTACGGGTTGTAGTGGCGACAGATAAGAGAGCGAGTGGTCGGCAGATTGTCGCGTGATGATTGCCACCGACGATGGAATGCCCGAATCTGATACGACAATCCTACAAGACTCTTTGCTGTAGCATCTAACAAGAAAGCATTGATCTTCAATAACAAAGGTAGCATTGCAACCGTTATAAGCACAGCACTTGGATATGCATTCATTGATGCCACCTTTGAGTCTTCCCTCGACAACAATTTCTCCAGATTCAAAACCGTGAAAGAGCTTTGCATCAGAGGCAATAAAAACAGCAGAACATTCACTGTGAGTAGGCAACGGTTGTGAAATGTTCGCCTTAGTATCAGGCAGTTGATTTATTTCAGATTTAACAGAGGGATTTGGCATTCTTCTTTTCAATGTCGGAACTAGTTCTTGTTTTACCATGTCAGCCTCCAAAGAGCTTCTGGCCACATACACCAGTGTGCTTTCAAATACGTTTGAAAAAAGCGGTTCATTTTGGCATAGTTTATTGCTAGTGCATGTCACTAGGAAGCACATGTTTTGTAAAACAAACGCGACGTTACAATCTTTGTTCCTGCAGCAATCATCGACGCAAGTCGAAGAATCGCGAACCTTTCCTCCGAATTTGAAATTTCCGGCCGAAAAACCAGCGCGCAATGTTACATTTGACACAGAGAATATTTGAACACATGTATTTAGGGAAGTGTCATTTGCAAGACCGGATGTCTTAGGACCACGAGAGGGCGTAGGTGCATCCGATGCGACTAAATGAATGCCTTGGCCTTTTTGAGTCAGTTTGTGTTGGAAAGTTGAAGAGTTTACACTGCTATCCTTCTTGTTCCAAGCATGTGACTTGGGTAACTGACTACTAGTTGAGCTAGAAATCAGCATCGTGGATGCAGCCAAAACCTTCGGGGAATTTTTTATTACACTTGTAGCAACCGGCGGTTCTTTGATCCCAAGTGCTGTTTGAGTTGGATGAGATTTAACTTGTGGCTCTTTTGTGCCCGTCCGTCGCACGAATGCGAGTGAGGTTTTTTGTCCTTGGGAATGTTCGAATTCAAAACAAGGACCGTCTGATTGACACGACACAATGTAGCAAACCCCTTCTTGGATAATTGCAACGTTACAAGAAGTAACTTTGCAACATTCAATACCACATGACCAGGCATCTGTCACGTGTTTCAATACGGTCGCGTTTCCTTTTAACCCACCTTCACCAAGGACGGAATCTTTAATGAAATGGGGTTGAACCTCGCACTTCGCTGCTGGAACATCACTGTTGGGGATGCCAGAAAACCCAATATCAGCTGAAATACGCTTAGTCAGAAGTGCTATGATTGACACATCTGTCTTTTTAGCAACAGGAGTTAGAAGGCATGTTTGGTGCTTACAGTCGAAACCAAAACACTCACGATTCATTAAGAACGCTAAATCACAACGTTCACTTCTACAGCAAATCTCGACACAATCTTGAATAGTTTCAACAATGCCATGAGAAGTATGTTTGAGTTCACCTAAACTCCTAGTAAGGCTCATCTTTTCAAGTACAGAAGATGTCAGCTTGCACGTTGCTAGTTTCTCTTCTTTTAGATGTTTTTGAAAAACCGATTCCAAATGCTTCATTTTGTATATCATGTCAGACATCTTTAAGTTGTGGTTATCAACAAAGTTTATTTTTTTTGGAGCACGATTCGCAAGGTCATTTGATTTGCTTGACGTCGTAGAGTTCTTTCTAACATTACCTTGAATTTTCTCCATCAGCTCAACAAGGACAGTAGTAATATTATTTAGTATTTCACTTCCACCTGCAATATGCATTCTCTTTTCAATGCCACTTAAACGCGAATCAATATGTTTGGCAGCGTTTAATACAGACACATCACTCTCTCGGTTTATATTAGGCTTCACAAACTGGGCTAGACGCCCTAAATTGTGAACCAGTTTGCGCATGCGTTGAATATGATTTCGTCTCGAAGCTCGCGACTTCCGTAACATTTTTTCCACGCGTTTCAACACCTTTGCAAATTTATTCCCATCGTCTGATTTCAACTTTGCACTCTGTTGTGTTGTTGTACCTGCGAAACCCAAACTGCTCTGCAAATATTTTGATGCAGCCGTAGGCTTTAATAGAGTAGCTGTACTTTTATAAATCCTTGGTTCAATTTTAGAAAAGGGATCAAATTCATTATTTCGGTCAACAGAAGATGTATTTTTGAATAATTTCTCGTGAGTTTTCGTGACTCTTTCCTTTGGTTTCGGTTTCAAGTACGAATAACCTCTACTAGGCGGATGCAACCCGGCATTAAAATCAGCTGTTTTTGTATTCTTTTTTGATATAGTATCGAATCGCCTACTTTTTCTAGAGTTTGTAGAATTCACATTCGATATTTCCTTTGAATTTCTGCTTTCATGTGTCTTTCTTCCTGCCGTCTCAGCGCTCTTGTTATTTTGAAATAGAATTGTAGGTTTTTTACGCTCATCATTTTGAATGTAAGAAGCCTTAAGATCATCACGGGACGTTGCCTTCTTCTCTTCAAAATGAAAATCTTCAGGCTCTTCTTTCTCGTGGTTCATGGCATACTCATTCTCAACCAACGTTGGGTTTTTCGACTTCTTTCGGCTATTGTTACTATAATATTTACCTATTGAAATATCTTTTTTCCCATCTGGAATTTCATGTCTGAAAACTCCTGGAATTTCTTCAATCTCTTGGGTACTATTCGCACTAAAATTTTCCTTCAGGTCGAAGTATCCTGGTCCAGTTTCGTTTACGGTCAGCTCAGCCTCCGTTTCGTTGGACACAGGAATTGTATCATTCGAGGTAACATCCTCGCCATCCTCTTCAGAAGGAGACGACTTGTCACGGGCTGTGACCTTTACCGAAATCGTAGGGTTGGTGGGATAAAGAGGAGTGTGGAGCAGTGGAGAATTGCTAATCATCGCTTTCGTTTTTCCAGTTACGGTTTTATGCTGAGTGCCCTTTTCTGACGCTTGACCTAAAACGATCAGATTTGCATAAATATAATTACTACATCAAAATATTATCCTTAAATGAGCCTAACATTACATCTCAGTAATTAGCTCCGCAAAAATAAGTAAGCGTTTAGTACAGAGAAAATTACATAACGCATTTAGATTTACCAAAAACTCACCATCTTTGGTCTCTTGATTCTTGGGAATCCTACTTCTTTTCTTGTTTGGTAGAAGTATTTTATCTCTTTCAACATTATTAGCAATAACTTCAGATCTTCCATCGTAGTTTTCATCACCCGAATTCGGGCCTGAATCTTTAATATCATCAACTGACAACCATGAACTCTTTGAATTTGCCATGTCGTCGTCGAGTGCATCTTTTCTTCTTGCCTCTATTCTATCTTCAAATCTCTCATTATTTTTATCTTTGTGCTCCTGATCTGTCATTCGTTCTAAGCTCGAAATATCGTCCTCCATATCATCAAGCGATAACCAATCATGATTTGTCTTGGGAATTATATCACCATCTTCATTTTTCCCCCACAGATTGCTTGCATCGGGATTTTTTTTGCTTTCAACAACAATTGACTTGGTGCTTTGGTTTCCTTTGTCTGACTTCGGTACTTTACTCTCACCTTCACGTTGTTTGACATCATTTATATTGTTCTTCATTTTATTCACGCTGAATGATTGTTTCCCAGTTAAGTCCGTTTCAGACATATCTCCATCCTTTCCAGGAATAATGTCACCATGCTCATTTCGCCCCCAGAGTTTACTTTTGTTCTTATCAACAGGTGGTCGAAGAGCTTTTCTCTCAATTTCTTTTACATCATTGTCATTCGGACTACTTTTCGTAGTGCGGCTTAAAGCCCAGGGATGAATAGCCGACGAATTCCGCTTCCATTGGGAAATATTACCACTTTTTAAAACCCTGATTTTCTGATCTGCTATACGACTTTCTTGCTTCGACGCTTTTTCAGTATTATCAGACAATGAATTCGATTGCATCTTTGGGGATTTTTTATCAATAGTGTTATTTTCGGAATTATGAAAGCTCAATTTGTTCACCTTCGTCGGGATCAAGATATTTTTCGATTGTCTTTTTTTCCCAGTTTTGTTGCCGTGAATTTCTTTCTCTGTGGTAGAGCGATTACCACCGGAATTATTCGCACTTGATGAGATTCCCCCCTGACCAGAATGGGTTGTAAATGTGTTTTTCATACTCTTTGGAGAGGAATGTCTTTGAATATTAAAATTCTTCGGTCGCTTACTTTTATCAGGATATTTATCAGCTGATGGACGTTTAGTTAACTCGAATTTGGTGTCAGCTTGACTGGCGGCGTCTTCGGCGACATTCATCTCATCATTAGCGTTGTCTTTGTGCTTGACCGTAGAATGTAAAGAGAAATTTTTGCTCTCTTTCTCAACAGATCTATTTAGAGAAGAATTTCGATATTTCGGACCATCTCCTGAATACTTCATCGACATGGACTTTAGATCATCTTTTCTAGGCGTATCTTTTATTAAGTCACCAATTTCATCGCCATTCATTTTATTGTTCTCTATTCTCCAAGGAATCAAATTTCCTTGTGTACGGTTTTCTTGGCGATTAGTCTCTTTTAAATCTTGACCATGGTTTGCGTCTTTTCTCCCTCCTTCATGAACTTGATGTACTTCGTTGCGATTCTTCATAGTTTTTACCATATTATTTTTACTTACAGCACTTCGGTTGTTTCCCAGCAATTCATCGATATCTGCGAGAATCGCTGAGCTGCTACCAGATTCTTTTTGGTTTGTAGCAGAAGTCTGATTTAGTTTCAAAGAAATTCCACCATCACTAGACGTGTTCTTCAGTTCTGCATTAGGAATGTTGACACCGGAATGACTCGTGTTTTGAGTTGTACGGTTCTTATCAGCCACCCTATCAGCCTTAACTTTTCCTTGACGGTCATCCGGTTGTGTATTTCTACTTTTATGTATATGCCGTTGATGACCTGATCTGTTGAACATGATAGCTTGATAAATGCTTTCTAACTTTTTAATCAAACTCTGCTTTTTCGATTTCTCATTTGTCGCCACACCGACTTTCGATGTAGCATTCGTATTCAAAGCATGTTTCGCATTTGCATCTGGTAATGTCCAAACCTTCGGTTTCATTGATTTGCCAGCCGGTTTCTTACCGATATGGACACCATCATTTGTCTTTCCTAAATATTCCAACGCCAATGGTTTCTGATGCCTCTTTTCGCTCTCATCTTTGGCATCAGATTTCACATTCCCATCGTTCAATGTCCTCAAAACTTTCGGTTTCTTTAAATTGACATCACGTTCCTTGCCGATGTAGAAATTATGATCAGTCTTCCCAGAATCTTCTGGCGCCGTAGATTTCTCAAAGCTTTCTTTGTTTTTTTCTCTAGAAGTTTTGGCATTCAGTTTTTCTGCATCGCTTACTTTCTCTTCATTTTGTCCCTCGTCTGTGTCGAAAGGCGTAAATGGGTTTATTTCTACAGAGCTGGCGCCGGAGATTCTATTTGGAATCCAGAAGGGCGAATCTGAAATTCCAGGATTGTCTCCAAGGTCCTCACCACTGCCTAAGATCCAGAATGGATCCTGACTTCGTTCGTTGTTTTCTTTTTCAGGTTGAGTAACATCAATCGCTTCCTGATGTAAAAACGAATTTCTAATATCTTTTGCTGGAGAATGTTTTTTCCCTGTCTTTTTTTCTTCTTCAGAATGATGAGATCTCACAACTTGTTGTTCATGTAAAACGGTTGGATGATCATGAGGCTTTTGGCTCATCGATAAATTCTGCATGTGCTCTGTATGGGAAATATTACCAGTCTTATTTCTCTTGGGAGCCTCATTTTCTACTAAATTGGAATGGTTCAGCTTTGACGCAGTCTTGATATTACTGTATGAATATTGTTTTTGACTTTTCGTGGAAGCTTGAGCAGAACTATTATCAGCTTTCGATATAGGGTCTCTTTGTCTTCCATTTGCACGAACTTCAGGCTTGTGATACGACTTATTCAAAGAGCCTGAACTTTGTACGCGATTTGAAAAAATATTTCCATTTTCAACACTGTTGCCAGTTAAAGATGATAAGTTACGATTCGATGGCTTATTTCCTCTTTCATTATGATACGATGCTTCCCCAAATCCAAAACCTGAGTTTTCTAGAAACGTATCCTCCTTGGTTGGCCAACGAGGAACATTGTCACCCAACGGTATGATATCCCAAGGCCAGTTGTTATCACTATCTTTCTCAGAAAGAACTTTACTATTCGATTGAAAGTTGTCAAACGGATAGTTCTCATTACTCTCAGTCCTTGGATTACTGTCACCCCGAACTTTTGGTTTCGAAATTTCATCTCCTTGGTAATTTCTCCCACGGGTATAAGACTTAGAAGGGAGTACTACATCATGTTCCAAATGCAATGGAGTACTTGAAATATTTTTGTCCGTTCCACTTGTTGGGATTATATCACCAAAAGCATTCTTTGTGCGAAGTGACTGTAAATTTCCACTCGTAATATCCCCACTCGGTTTGCCAACGAGAGTTTCATTACTTACGTCATCTTTTTCAAACGTCAAGCTATTGTTCGAATCATTATTAACATGTATTGTTTCAATTCTTGAGTCTGTATGTTTCCTGATATTGTTTGTTTTGTTTCTCTGAGAGGTAGAAACAAGAGATTTACTTCCTCCTGCAATAGGAAATGTGTCCGAGGACTCGTTTGTATCTTTCTTGCCGCTCTTTACTCCGGTTGAAATAATGTTTGTTTTATTTTTCAAGATCCTGTTCGTTTTTTCATGCTCTTTATCCAACTCTCTTTTTGGAATCACACTATTGTTGAAACGGCTAACACGTATTGGCGAATCAGTCACATTGGGTAATGTAGTATTTGAAAGAAATTTTTCAGTATATTCTCGACTGGTGTTTTCCAAAGTAATATTTCTGATACTATGTTTTACTGGAGGTAGTTTCCCAGAATCTTGCAAATCTTTTCGTGGCATATCATCTCTAAACTCCTTTACATTAGTTGAAACATTCGATGAATTCCTCGATCCATTATTTAGCGTATTACCTTCAATATTATCAGCATCATCGTACATCACATATGTTTCGCCAGGTGAGTCCTTATCTTTCAAGATTGGCGGTTGAAGCGATAAATATGGGTTGTTGTCTTTAGAGGGTTTGGCCAATGGCTTATTCTCGTTTTTTCTTGTTTTATTCTTGGGAGAATCCATCTGGTTGGTTACAGGAGATGTCTTTATTGAGAGCTTTGAAGTTTGATTGTAATTTGCGCTAAGATATTTATGCGCGTTGTATTTTTTTTTCTTAATGCTGTTTTTGCTATCATTACCAACCTCCACTTCATTGTGATGTTCCTGATAACCTTTTAAATCATCGCCATTCTTTTGGTAACTGGTATCGATCAAGCGTCTGTTATCATAGTCATCGCCATCATAATCTCCATCGCCACTTTCGATTCTGTCATCAAAAATGTCACCACTGTCATCAATAACATCATCGTCCTTTTCATCATCGATCACTCTTTCATAATCATTGTTTCGACCAACAGTTCTTCCGTGATCTTCATTTTTTATCGTGTTAACCGCTTTAACATCAAATGGGTCGATGTTTCTCGAATTTTCGTTTCCCTCTTCTTGTTCTCTTGAGTATTTCAAATTATTTCTATATTCCTCATTTTTCTTAGTTAGGTTTTTCTTAGTTAGGTTTTTCTTACTTTGAAAATGGTGTGTTCCTACTCCCATCATTTTTTCCATGGATATGATCCTGACTACTACTTCTGTTATTTATAAGCACAACAAATGAACGATATTCCGGATTGTTGAAGGGGGCCGGTTTGCACGAATCCATGTCTTTGCATTTGACAAAGAAGCAAATATCCTCCACCATGTACGCAACATCGCATGAGACAGAGTCGCAGCATTTATGAGCGCAAGTATTGATATCGTTCACGTTTCTAGCTCGTCGGAATTCCCCAGCATTGTGACCTGCGCTAAAAAACGTGTCCCTTTTTGCACTGTATGAACAAACTCCTTCAGATTCACTAATCTTTTGATCGGGTTTAAGATTCACAGAGTCATCCATAGAAGCGATATATCAACATTCGTTCCGTTGCAGAACTTTTTGAAACAACGTTCTTTCTAGATGGCTTTAACATGGTTTTCTTTAGATCATGGTTTCTGGACAACATGGTGTGATTAGGATTTTCCGTTAACTTATTGTTCGAAACATGGGTTGCTTTTGCGACTTTCGCCAATTTTCGTCGCCGTTTTAGACGAAGATATGACAGACCCACCGGTATTGATAAAGGGTTACATCTACGACTGTCCTTGTAACAAGCGAGTGAGTAACAAAATTCGCCAATTTGAAAAGCCAGGTCGCAACCATTTTGTGAACAACATAAATCGACACATTTGCCGCTGCTGTTTGTCGTTCCACTCAGTAGCCAGCTACCTGGCTTAAGATAACCAGTTCCATTCGTCGAAGAACTACGACAATTTAATTCCTCTCGCTGTACATTTTCAGTTTGTGGTCTATTTGAACGGGATTTTAGATTCCGAATTTTATTCGGTCTCTTAGAGTATTGTGACTGATTTATTGGCGAAGAGAGAATGTTGGAGTTGTTTAAATTAGTCTTTGTCGATGGCCTTTGTGCTTCGACACTTGATTCAATAACAGGCAAATACTTCTTGTAAACGTTCTCTTTCTTCGATTTTCTTTTCCGTTTGCTCTCTTTCAGTGGTCTGGAAATATTTAATGAATCATGTTTTCTTGTTGTGTGCGAATTCTCCATACGACGTCTTCTTATGTCGATGATAGTCGATTGGAATTTGGATGAGCCTCTATAAGATACAACTTGGCAGAGCGTCCAATGAAAGCACTCCACTTTGTAACACTCCTCGTTGACGACCAATGCCATGTTGCATTTTTTATCCTCACAGCATCGTGTTGCGCACTCACTTAACTCCTTCACCTGGCCTGTTGGGATGAACAAACCTGCGCGCATTTTACCACGTAAAGACGCATGACGATGAATAGACCCGAGAGTGCAATTTTGATTCTCTTGTCCTGAGTAAGACGAGGTAGCAGACATACTACCGTTGTTTGACTTTCCTAGATTTTCAAGACTACCATTTATACGGGAAGTATGGTTAATCAAATTCTCAGATTTGACTTTGGAATTTGATTTACTTCCGTTCCTTGATGGATGAAATTTTTGCTCCTTGATAGACGAATCTTTGGAAGAAACTTCCCGTGAACTCAACGTCTTTCCTCTGTTCAGGAGTTCTTCTCCAATAGTAATAAGATATCTGCCCACCGAAGTCACATTCTTTGTCCCAACAATATCGTAAATTTTTTTCTCATCTACGTGAGATTCTTGCGCGAAAATCATGTTTTTGCCTGCCTCGATTGCTGCTTGTCCGACTTCGAATATTCGATGGGTCATCGTTTGTTTGTCGTCGAGTTTGTGCTCCATGAATTTATTTGGAATAAACGAGTTTGTATTGTTTTTGCTTTTTCGCATAACGACGGATTCCTGGTGTGCAGGTTTCTCCTGCGCCCCCTTTCCAGGAGGCGACTCTTCATTAGCTAGCTTAACATTGTAAGAGATCGCTCCCGGAAAGGTTTGGAGGAGCTGGGAACTTGGCGTGGGGGTCTTTTCAAACTTCAGAGCAAAGTCTGTGTAATTTTTCTCCACACTTTTAACTTTACTTTTACTACTACTACTATCTTCATTTTGAAGTAGAGAAGTATCTCTAAGACCGCCTATTCTTTGAGGGTTGTTTAAATCTTCATCTGCTGTTGCAGGCACCCCACTGCGCGACCTGCCACCAGAAACAGCTTTCTCAATCGTGTGGTGAACATTCGTATTTTCAGCAGGTACCATACTATTGCCATCTTTTGCGATGAGTTTGTCATCAAGATTGTAAAAGAGTTCAGTCTCATCCTCTTTTAGGCGACTAACAGTAGAATTTACTGCAAGTACTTCACCTTTCGAAATATTCGAAGATGATTGTATTAAATTGGTATTATTATAAGAGTCAATGTAACTGTTGTCTTCGCTATCATTGTCTCTGCCGGCATTTGTCGTTGGGGAAGGATGATCCTGTAAAATATTCGTGATCATATCAAGAATATCTTCATCTGTATCAGGGGTTGTCCCAAGATGGTAAACACCATTGGGTTGTGTGTTCCCCGCATTGTTCCTCTTCGTATGAAAAGGTGCATCATTGGAGTTTAAACCATCAGGATCATTTAAATGATCTTTTGATTTAGCGCCATCAAAACCTATGTGATCATTACTACTTAGAGCAACAATGTTTTCTGGTTGCTGGCTATGCATATGCGACTCGCCTGAAAAATCAGACCCAAGTTGCACCAGTAGATTATTCACCTCATTTTCTAAGTCATCCTCGAAATGATTCAATCTTTCTTCACCTGATTTTTTTTCTCCTGTATCTTGCACAACTTTGTCGACGTTTTTATTTTGTGGCAAAGAATCATGTGAACCTTCAATTCTATCATCAATATGGTCATCATCACCATGGTTACCATCACCATGGTAGCCATCATCATGACCATCAGAATTACTCTGGGAATTAAAGAAGATTTCTAGAATTCTCTGGTGGTCTTTTTTTTGAGAACTAGAATTTTTGTTTCTAGAAACGTCTTGCTTTGGTGTCGAAAACTTTCCGCCGCTGACTTTAGACTTTTTCTCACTGTTCGAAAAAGTGTCCGATTTTGTTTTCTTGTCCAAAATCTTAAGAATGTGATTGACATCGTCGATGATCTTGGTGAGAACAGTAGCGCTATGAGCTAAAAAACACGTATAAAGATTGCTTAGAAAAAATAATCAGATGTTGCCAGGAATTAAAATCATTGAGAGAATAAATGTTTTATCATCTTATTTCTAAAGCATTAAAATATGAATACCTTTGGGCATACCATTACTCGCTTGAACTTTTGCATTTTTATTTTTATCTTTTCTTTGCTCCTGTTCAGATTTAACACTCTCTCGAACATGTCCATGAAAAACATGCGGTTCAGGAGCATCAGGGTGAATCTCTTTTACCTTAATAAACCTAATTCTAGTCAATCTTCTTTTCCTTTTGCTTGGATCGCTTGGCAGGATTTTTGAAGAATCCGATAAAGATCGCTTTTCTAAGCGAGAAACTTCCGACTGAGCTCTCTGCTCTTGAATGAACCGTCCTTTTGCTTTGTTTTCTCTGTGCGTTTTAGAAGGACTTTGGCCTGCAAATTTAAGTCGAAGTATACAATATAGACCATTATTAGCCATTTAGTTTTTTAGAATATCATACTAGTTAAATTAATTTAACATCAAAACTGCAAATATAGCGAATATGTGATTCTATAGATATGGCAAGAGGTTTCCTAATAAAAAAAAAAGGAAATATACACACATTGCTCTTTAGAATAAAGTCATATGGCATATAAACGTTTATTATCAAACGTGGTGACGAATTATAATTAATTAAGTTCTCATATGCATGGAGATCGTGTTTTACCTATCACATCAAAGCAAAGGGCATGAAAAACTATTTGTAGAGACATTTGTAGATAATAGAGTAATGCGCAAATAAATGAGATCATTGCCCATTCTCTAAAGAATGTACAAAATTGGGGTAAAATCTAAAATTGAAATGCGCGAAATATGTTAATCGAATCATGTCGGCTTAATTGGTCCTAATTTTATGGAAGCTTGTACTTTCGATCATGTATTACTAATATTTTATGTTTAACTTGTTTCCTTTGATTTGGAGTTTTCTTGATTGCTTGTATAGTTGCCATGAACTTCAGAAACGACCGAAATTTACGCTTGAACGAACAATAACAAACATATCCTAATGTTGTTCACAATAAATGTCAAACATTCGTGTACAATAAAAACAGATATAATTATACAACCGCAAAGTATTTTGATATTATTGTAGTCTGATTAAACTTCAAAGCAATCACGCATTTTCCATGAATGTAGTTTTGAGTTTGCCGTGTATTCAAGACAAAAAAATCAAAGTATGAAAACAAAACTAAACTCTATATCACTACAAGGGATCAATTATATCCTCACTGGTACCCGCAACTCAAATGTTTTACAAAAATGACTGAGTTTAAAGACTTTAATATTGCCGTCAACTATCGAAAAAAAATAAGAATATTGAAAGTTCTTCTTCAGGTTTCTCTCTGTTTTTATATAATTCGACAGAAGCAAAATACCGATTGAAGAAAAATATAATACAATACCATGTCCAAATCTCGATATTTAACTTTGCTATTATTGTGCACAAAATGTTAAACACGTTCAGAACCTCATGCAAAAGCTCTTTGCAATTGTACGTAACTTCTAAACTTTAAAGCTTTCTCTATAAAAGAGTTCTTTATAAATTATACGCATTTTCGGAAATGTTTAATCTTCAAGGAAAATCGGTTACCGTAGTTAATCGGTATATAATTATTGTTTAAATAAGTAAACTAATTGCCATCAAGTGTTTGGATAAATAACCGATTGGAACCAATGAACACTAAAATTATTTGCAGGAAATGTTATGCCATTGCTTATAGACAGAATAAACAGTTAGTGACACGACTAACACGGCTTTTAATAGATAACCCCATGGTAAATATATCATGTATTGCTATAATTTACGACTAGTTTACATTTTTTTGAAAGGAATATTTGCAGAAACTCGAAACATTGATAGGATTTAAAAAGAGAAAAGCGAAAAAAGCATTAACTACAACCAAAACAATACAAAATGTCCATGTCTCACACCTCTACATCTAACCACAAGGCGGGTTGATCGATTTAGACAAAGTGGAATTGAGTTGCTATAGCTATAATTGCACTGAAATATTTCGCTCATACCATAATAGAAATAAAATAATAAAGCAAACTACGAGAGTATTCTCTGCTGATTCCTAATTTTCTTTGGACGATCAGTGTTTTGACTATGCATTAGTTTGTTTAACTTTTAGTCATGATCATAATTATTCTTGAGAATGACAAATGTCTCAGTACAATGTACAATGTCGAAATGATATCCAAAATCGATGCTATGTTCATATTTATATACACGTTAGCTAGACGTAAATTATAAAAAAATCAACGGTCAGCTTAATATTCAAATGAACATCTTACCTTTCAAATTATCCTTTTTTAGAAAGGGCAACGATCTGATCTTTGCCTTAAAGTTCCGGACATTTAGTCTTGAATCTTTCTTGTGTTCTTTGCACTTTTTTCGCGACAAAACGGTTGTCCTACACCATTTCCGGTCACAACAAAGCTCGAGACAAAGGCCTTGCAACAAATCGCTTTTTGATTCACGCGTGAGGTCCTTCACTGTCCCGATGTCACGGCCGGCTTGTCTTCCTGCGTACCCAACAAAGCGAACACTGCTCGTTCCGAATCGGCAAATATGATTTCCATTATAAACAAAACTTATACTCTCACAACAAACATCTATAATTTCGTGGAGAAAAGAAAATTAGTCGATAGAAAAGAAAACGCCTCAAAAAGCGAAAAATTTAAAAACCTTGACTAACCTGTCAAAATCGACAAAACAATCAAGTAAAAGAGATGAAGTTTTATCCTCGCAAAGTTGAACAAAAATCTGTTCGACATGGCATTGCCACGCGATACAGAGCGGCGCTCCCTTGAAGGGGGCCTTGTCTTCACTCTGCCAATATTTTCTGTACCTTCAATGCCGTTTTTTGTATGTTTTAAAAGGAATCTTCATTTTCAGATGATATTCTGAACTCGTTGGAGCGCAGTGGCGCGAATAATAAAACCGTTCAGGACATGACGTCATGAGCAATGAAGGGTGACCAAGTGTAAATATGTCACGCCCAAGAATACACGAGCTGCGACGATTTGAACATGATGCCGCGTCGTGGCTTTGCAAAAATACCGCAGAGCGCTTCACTACGAATATGAAAAGCATCATTGACTGACAATTAATTACAGACACAAAAGATTACAGACACAACATTCTGAGTGATTTTTCATAGCGAATTGATAGTTTTATTTAACAATTTGTATGAACGCCACGTATTTGTTTCTCCATTTATGTTTGCGCATTTATTCGTTTTTCATTTTGTATTAATATATACTTCTTTTATTTACATGTACGTCAAGATCTGGGTTAACGGACTGAAAGATCTGCAAAGTACTACATATTACATTCGTCGTTATGATGGAGTCAGTGGGTCAAAATGAACATCGTCGTCTTTGGCGCAAATGCTTGCAACTTCTTTTTTTGTAAAAATCCATGTTAGCCATTGAGTCCACGTGACCATTTCGAAAAATGACTGACAGCCAATAAAAACATCGAGGAATATTTCAATCAACAATAATAACAAACACTTGCATACAAAATACAGTACAATTATAGAATACCAGGCCAATAGTCCATTATGCTAAAGATCTGTTAGAATATCAATTTTAGAGTATAGAACTGCCCTGTTCTTTAAAAATTGAAATTATTCTTGTTCTCTGGAAGTCTAATTCACGGATTAACTAACATAAAACAAGGTACATGCATCTGAGAAGACTATATGACATTCACTGTTAAGACTGTGATTTGGCAAGGTATTCTATGGCTCCTAAAATGTTAGACTACCGATACATTTCGAAAGCTTTAGCGTGGCGATTGCACGGAATCCTAGCTATAAAATGTTGACAATTTCAATGAATTAGCTTATAATACATGAACGACTAAAAATTAAAAATTACAGTACCCATACGTTCTGAAACTATAATTCATTCATAAATATAACACACCTCGATCGTTAAATATAGTTTGGCAAATATATCTAGATTAATCCCACTGATCGGCGAAGATTTCTTACCGTTTTCAACAATATCAAAATATTCCACACCTGGCCGCCGCCATCTTGAAAATGGATATTTACATTTCCTACGTGTGGTTAACCCCCCGGGAATTCTACTCAATCCACCCCCCGGTACACAAAATCAAAACAATGGGAATCGATTTTCTATCTCGCATTTCAAATCGAAAAGACAATAAAATCTTGATCTTCATTGGAATTGGCATCGCGATACTCGTTGGCTTAAAAACCTACCAAAGCTTCTCGAACAAAGTAAGCATCTGATAAGTTTTTGTCACGTTTCTATAGCAATTTCAGTGCATATTCTGTACCTGTTGAGATAGCATTGTTCACAGTAAAAATATTTCACATGGCTGACTCCAACAGTAAAGACGAAGCTCTTATTTCAGTGGAATTTTATATATTGATCGTGAGTTGGCGAGGTATTATTTAGAGAGGACTCGATGGAGTTTGGAGGTAAAATGATGGGGACAAACGCTCCCAAGTTGACTGAATAGTCATTAATTATTTACATTTTGGTGATCTCTTGCACTAAGTACAGTTGACAAGCAGTAATTAGTATAGATGTCATCAACAACAAGCTCTAAAAATCTTGCTCAATAACTGGAATAACAGCAGATTATTTGTCTTTGTCAGAGGTTGAATATTGCGGCAGTTGCTTTAATAGTAATGCTTTAATAGTTTCTTATATAGTAATGCTTGTTAATTAGTTAATATGGCAGGTTGTTAATCAGCTGCCTTCAAGCTTAATTTCTATTCTCCAGGTTACAACTAATGAATATTATGCTGACACGGCAGACACAGCTGAAAAAAAGGCAACATCAGCCGATAAGGTTTGCCACATATTTAGCTCTTGAATTGAGTTTTTTTTCAATGGACGTTATTTAAGATCCACTGTTGCTCTAGCTAGCACATGTACTCTACTGGTATGCATATGAACTTTAATAAAAAGTCCACATTAAGCTTGTCTGTGATTATTATTATTATTATTTAAACATATTTAAACAGGATAACCTCTTCAGTTAAAAGTAACTGCTATCAATGAGGGTCCTGGTATTGCCAAATTGCCAATATTGCCTGGTACTGCCAAATTTATGTTTCTTTACAGTAGAGGTTAACATGTCTGGCATTTATCAAAATTGTTGATAAATCTTCTATCAATTCACCTCAATTATATATTATAGCCACCTCCCTATGACCAGGATAAAGGGAAAACAAGCAATTCTATTCACAGGTTTGTGAAAGTCAAGTAGCATAATGTACATTCAAATAAAGTAAACCCCACAATTGTTATCGACCCCCTGAAATCAACTACCTGCCTGAAATCTCCCCATATTAAGGTGGTCCAATGTTGTCAAACATTTTGTAGCAGCCATATTATGGGAAGGTCATTAAAAAAATACAAATTTCTCAACACACAGCCTAAGTAAATCAACTGGCACCTCAGATGGCTCAAATCTCAAACTTCTTTGCTGGAATCTTTATGGAGTGGACAGGAGAGACCTTGAAGAAAGAACAGCAGCCGTAGTTGAAAGCATCATTTCAAAGAAACCAGATGTTGTAATGCTGCAAGAAGTTGTTGCATATTCACTGAAAGTTCTTCAAGAAAACTGCAAAGGGTAACTAGGCATCAAATTTCAAATAGTAATGGCTTTATTAAAATGAGAGGTCACTTCTGGCAATCTCCATGCATTCGTTTTGATAAATAATGTTAATAAAACCATTGTCCAGTTTCATATCGCGGTGTGTGACGCGCGCATATTTTTACAATAGTGTTGTCAATCAATGCGCCCGCATTAGGTAGTGAACTCTATATAGAGACTGGAATGATTTTTTTCCGCCATATTTTTTGTCGATTTGAAGATCAGTCCCAGTCCCCATTTCTGTTTTTGTGCACGCGATCATTTTTGTCTGCGCTAGTCCTATTCTGTTTCAAGATTGTAGCCGATTATTGCTCCAGTTTCTGCTACTGGGTTCACTGTTTCGTCATCAACACACGAAATTGGTATAAATTGTGTCTCTGTTTTTTTCCGTAGGTACATAGTGTTGCCAGGCAACTATACATTTCCTTATTTCAATGCTATCTTAGTAAGAACAAGCACAGTTCTAACAAAAGCGTCTTCGCTCCAATCTGTTGGGTTCGAAACCAGCAAAATGGGCCGCTATTACTTGATTCTTCCAATCAAATTCGCCGAGGCGAAAATCATTGTGATGACGTCACATTTCGAAAGCCTTTCTGAGAATGGCGCCGAAAGAAAGAAGCAGTTCTCGGAAGTATTGGACTACATGAAACGGCAAAGCGAAAATTTTAACGTGCTTTTTGCCGGAGATACGAACCTTCGCGATGCCGAATTCAACGCCGTGGGCGGTTTATCCGGTGGGATCCTCGACGCATGGGAAAGTTGCGGTAGTGCACTGACCAGCAAGTACACATGGGACATGGTGGAAAATGATAACACGGGTAAGAAGTACCAGAAACCGCCAAAGTTTCGATTTGACCGAATTTTTGTTCGACCAGCCAAAGGGCCGAAAGCAATCAAGCCTATTTCGTTCACACTCGTTGGAAAAGAACGTTTAAAAGGTTGTAAGAGATTTGCCAGTGATCATTGGGGGGTATGGTCAGAGATTGGTATTCATTAAAAGGATACATTTTATTTTAATTTTCCCGAGAAAAAAATGCTTGTATGAAAACTAAAAAACGTTGGATATATATTACTTTACGATACATTTTATACCGCAATACTAATATTCCGTACTAATATATCACTAATATATTCCGTAATAAATTTATATATGATGGAAATAAATTAAATAAAAAAGTATTTTTTGGTAACTTTCAAGACAAGAAAATTTTGCCATGGTACTACGCTGTCGTTTTTGTTTGAGTTCTTGTCTATTTCGAAATGTTGGATTTAGAAAATCATGTCGGGTACAATGTTGCGCGATGAACATATGAGAATCCAGAAAAAGTCGTACACAAATGGCAGTTGGATAAATAAACACACAATTACACCTCAACCCCCTCATGCAATAATAATTAACGAATTGATTTACGCTTAGCATCAGATGTGGTATAACGACTGCCTAAAATAGACAGAACACTTCTTGACGTTACTTATTTTACCGGCTGCGAGGTCCAGTTAGAAAAATATTTTCCCGAGGTATCAAAAACGACTGAGACCGAGGGGAAATAATTTTCTATCCGGGCCGAGTAAAAGCTAAACTACCGATTCATTTCAAAACCTTAAGTGTGGCGATTGCACGGAAGCCTAGCCATAAAATGTTGACAATTTCAATGAAAGCTTATAATACATGAATGGCTAAAAATTAAAAATTACAGTACTCCATACGTTCTGAAACTATAATTCATTCATAAATATAACACACCTCAATCGTTAAATATAGTTTAGCAAAATTATCTAGATTGGTCCCACTGATCGGCAAAGATTTTCTACCATTTTCAACAATATCAAGATATTCCACACCTGGCCGCCGCCATCTTGAAAATTGATATCTACATTCTCTATGTGTGGTCACCCCCCGAGAATTCTATTCAACCATCTCCCCCCCCGTTACACAAAATCAAAACAATGGGAATCGATTTTCTTTCTCGCATTTCAAGTCGAAAAGACAATAAAATCTTGATCTTTATCGGAATTGGCATCGCAATACTCGTTGGCTTTAAAACCTACCAAAGCTTTTGGAACAAAGTAAGCATCTGATAAGTTTTTGTCACGTTTTTATGGCAATTTCAGTGCATATTCTGTACCTGTTGAGATAGCATTGTTCACATTGAAAATATTTCACATGGCTGACTCCAACAGTAAAGACGAAGCTCTTATTTCGCTCAGTGGAATTTTAAATATTGATCGTGAGTTGGCGAGGTATTATTTAGAGAGGACTCGATGGAGTTTGGAGGTAAAACGATGGGGACAAACGGTCCCTCATTAATTATTTACATTTTGGTGATCTCTTGCAGTGAGTACAGTTCACAAGCAGTATCTATGCAGTATTTAATCAGAATAGAGATCATCAAAAACAAGCTCTAAAAATCTTGCCCAGTAACTGGAATAACAGCAGATGATTTGTCTTTGTCAGAGGTTGAATATTGCTGCAGTTGCTTTAATAGTAATGCTTTAATAGTTGCTTTTATAGTAATGCTTGTTAATATATGGCAGGTTATTAATCAGCTGCCTTCAAGCCTAATTTCCATCCTCCAGGTTGCAATTAATGAATATTATGCTGACACGGCGGATACAACCGAAAAAAAGGCGACATTGACCGATAAGGTTTGCCATATATTTAGCTTTGGAATTTAGTATTTTTTGAATAGACGTTATTTCAGATCCACTGTTGCTCTAGCTAGTCTGAAAAGTCTGCATTAAGGTTGTCTGTGATTGCCAAATTTATGTTTCTTTACAGTAGAGGTCAACATGTCTGGCATGTATCAGAATTATTGATAAATCTTCTATCAATTCACCTCATTTATATATTATTATAGCCACCTCCTTATGACCAGAATAAAGAGGAAACAAGCAATTCTATTCACAGGTTTGTGAAAGTCAAGTAGCATAATATACATTCAAATAAAGTAAACCTCGCAATGGTTATCGACCCCCTGAAATCAACTACCCACCTGAAATCTCCCCATATTAAGGTGGTCCAATGTTGTCAAACATTATGGGAAGGTCATTAAAATAATACAAATTTCTCAACACACAGCCTAAGTACATCAACTGGCACTCCAGATGGCTCAAATCTCAAACTCCTTTGCTGGAATCTGGATGGATTGGACAGGAAAGACCTCGAAGAAAGAACAGCAGCCGTAGTTGAAAACATCCTTTTAAAGAAACCAGATGTTGTAATGCTGCAAGAAGTTGTTGCGTACTCCCTGAAGGTTTTTCAAGAAAACTGTGAAGGGTAATTAGGCATCAAATTTCAAATAGTAATGGCTTTATTAAGATTAGAGGTCACTTCTGACTTCTGGCAATCTCCATGTACTGTATTCGTTTTGATAAATCTTGATAAAACCATTGTCCAGTTTCATATTGCGGTCTGTGACGCGCGCATATTTTTACAATAGTGTTGTCAATCAATGCGCCCGCATTAGGTAGTGAACTCTATTGAGACTGGAACGATTTTTTCCGCCATATTTTTTGACGATTTGAAGATCAGTCCCAGTCCCGTCTTCTGTTTTTTTATTCTGCGCGATCATGAACCGTGAAGAAAAAGCGATAGAAATGGACTGGTGCTAGTCCTTTATTTCTGTTTCAAGATTGTAGCCGATTATTGCTCCAGTTTCTGCTACTGGGTTCACTGTTTCGTCATCAACAGACGAAATTTGTATAAATTGTCTCTGTTTTTTTCCGTAGGTACATAGTGTTGCCAGGCAACTATACATTTCCTTATTTCAATGCTATCTTGGTAAGAACAAGCACAGTTCTAACAAAAGCGTCTTCGCTCCAATCTGTTGGATTCGAAACCAGCAAAATGGGCCGCTATTACTTGATTCAACCAATCAAATTCGCTGAGGCGAAAATCATTGTGATGACGTCACATTTCGAAAGCCTTTCTGAGCATGGCGCCGAAAGAAAGAAGCAGTTCTCGGAAATATTGGACTACATGAAACGGCAAAGCGAAAATTTTAACGTGATCTTTGGCGGAGATACGAACCTTCGCGATGCCGAACTCAACGCCGTGGGCGGTTTATCCGGTGGGGTCCTCGACGCATGGGAAAGTTGCGGTAGTGCGCTGACCAGCAAGTACACATGGAACATGGCGGAAAATGATAACATGGATAAGAAGTACCAGAAACCGCCAAAGCTTCGATTTGACCGAATTTTTGTTCGACCAGCCAAAGGGCCGAAAGCAATCAAGCCTATTTCGTTCACACTCGTTGGAAAAGAACGTTTAAAAGGTTGTAAGAGATTTGCCAGTGATCATTGGGGGGTATGGTTAGAGTTTGGTATTCATTAGATGGATATATTTTATTTTATTTTTCCCGAGAAAAAAATGCTTGCATGAAAACTAAAAAACGTTAGATATATATTACTTTACGATATATTTTATACCGTAATACTAATATTCCGTACTAATATTTCACTAATATATTCCGTAATAATTTGATATGATGGAAATGAATAAAAAAGTATTTTTTGGTAACTTTGAAAACAAGAAAATTTTGCCATAGTACTACGTTGTCGTTTTTGTTTGAGTTCTTGTCTATTTCGGAATGTTGGATTTAGAAAATCATGTCGGGTACAATTTTGCGCGATGAACGTATGAGCGTCCAGAAAAAGTCATATACAAACGGCAGTTGGATAAATAAACACACAATCACACTTGAACCCCCTCGTATTTCACGGATTATATTCTTGTTTCGACTACTCCGTCTTACGTTAATCATACATGAAACATGCAATTATAATTAACCTATTGACTTACGCTATTACATTATTGGCTGACTTTGGAGTTTTGAACCCTTGTTGTTTTTTATGTGCTATATTTGTTCAAGTGTCAACAGTTCTTCATGTCTACGTACGTAAAGATAAAATGTTACTATCGATACCTATTATGAATGATAAAACAAAATGTTTATCATAAATTTAACTATAATATTATTGAATGTGACTGATCCTGGGAAAATCACCAAAGTCATGTAATTCCATGAATCATCGTATCAACGATCACTTTTCAGCCGTTTCGCGTAAAATCGCCTTTGCTGCACTTTCCATTTCCAGTAAAACCTGTTGCAAGAAAAGATCTACAAACCTAAACGGTTTCTTCGTTATTATAAATGGTTTGTGTATTCTTATATTGAACTCGTTAGAGTGATCAATTGACTTCATCCACTTCACCAAATCTCGGCCAGACCTCCCCACTCTTTCAATGTCAAACCTTTCCACTCTTTTCTGTAGTTCTTCTGACAACTTCTGGAATTCTTCGGAATCAATTTCAGGAAATCCAAGTTGTGATCGGTAGAAATTAACCCTTTTTTTTATCCGTTTCTTGTCAATGAAAAGGGAAAGTGGCCCGAAGCCAAGTTTGGTCATAATAGAGGCAACAGAAGCCATCCATCTCCTTTCTGCAAAATATAAGTGGAGGTTTATATAAGAAACAAAATATAGTATAAGAGTATGGCTGATCGCTGGTTGCCACACAGTAATGTTAAATCGCAATTTCGTGTTAAAGGCATGATGAAGAAAACATTTACCAAAAGAATGGATCCAGACCATTCTTCATTTAAACTGAGTAGAAAATATCATCGATGCAGCTAGAAAGAGCATCCCAAAAATTGATGAATTTGGAAATTTTGGTTACGAACTATGTCGAAAATGTAGAAAATACGGATAGTTCAAAATATCATTTGAAGTTTGAGAATTAAGTGTATTAGTCTATAATTAGAAGCAACAGAAGGTCGCTCGCAACGGTCTGCATGAAAGCCTAAAATGCAAAAACATTTCCGCTAACTACAACAGCGCGTAAGCGTGTAAACAATGGAGGTGATACGTTACATTAGGGAGCTTTAGTAGTGACTACGAGTACGAGACTCGTCATTCTCCCGCGTTGTTTGCTTACGCCATCAGCCAAAACTCGTAGTCGTTGGACTTTATTCCAGTACGTAGTCCGGCGTCCTCGTATTGTCACTGCTAAAGCTCCCTAATAATTAAAATCGATGGAAGACTAATGCATACATACCTCCGAGTACTTCAATCTTAGCGCGCAAGATTTCTTCAGAGCTAGCACGCAACGAAAGGATAAATGACTCTTTCATACTGGCCGTGAACTTATCGCAGATAGCAATCTTCAAACGATTAAAATCCCACTTATCTTGATGGCGGTTACTTATTAGGAAAATGTCCTCTTCGCTAGCGATTGTGCCTTGCAAGCTTTGTACACAATCTTTTCTCACTTTTTCCAGCGTCTGGTTTTCATCAAGGTTATTGTCCAAATTTTCATCGTTGATGGCGTTATCGATCTTGGAGCGAACAAAGAAATACGGCTTCTCCATTGATGTAACTTTTTCTGCAAACTGGCGGTGGAATTTTGTGAAACTCTCCGAGGCGATTATCAGAAAAGTGTCGAAGTGATTAATTTTCATTTCTTCACAGAACTTTCCGACTTTGGGATGCGTTAGAGTTCCAATACCAGGAAGATCCCAGAAGAGGATATTTGGGTTGGTTGGATGTTGATAGGATTTTGGCACTTTTGTTGTTTCTGTTGAACCAGACCTTGCTCCGAGGGGGTCACAGCTTCTCAATCTGGTGATTTGAAAAAATGCAATGTTAATCGTATATATATATATATTATATATATATATATATATATATATATATATATATATATATATATATATATATATATATATATATATAAGAGTGCTCAATACTGCAAGCAAATATATATATATATATATATATATATATATATATATATATATATATATATATATATATGCTTATTAATTATTAAACAATCAGAAATAAGATATAAAACTCTACTTAGCTGAAAATGCTGCTATGGTATGGCTTAGGCGTATTATTAGTAAGATAATATCAATTTTTACTCTCTTATAGCATTGATAAAGCTAGATTTTCCAGAACCAGAATTGCCTAGAATAGCGAGGTTGATTTTGACATCTTCCCATCGTTTCAGTCTTTCGTCCATCATGTGTTGAACACCCATAATTCCACTCTTCGCAAGTAATTTTTCAATTTCATTACCACTAGGTATAATTTTCTTTTCCTCTTTTTCTGAGAGAGTAATAAGGTAATAAATTAAAAGACTCAAACTATTCTATTTTGGCCAGTTGTTTAACATTTCGAGGAAAACCGACCGCGTAAATTAAAGTAGCTACCTATTGCCAAATGTTGGCAAAACATCAGAGATAAACTAACATATCGTACCTTTCACGAACTCTTTAAAATAATGCATGGCCAATAATTCTCCGACCTTCGGAATTTGGCTGAAACTTTCCTTTTTAGAATACGGTAGAATGTCGGCGATCGCTTTCGTTAGTTCGCAAAAATGATGCTTGTATTGTTGATGAACATCAATACGATACACTTTAGAACTAATATATTCCAGTTCCATGCGAGAGAACTCGTGCCAGATGGTTGCCTTTTCAGCATCGCCTTGCAAGCCAATTTGGACAAAAAAGATGGGCTTGTGGCGGCTTTTAACTTTCTTTGCGATTGACAAAAGCTGTTCATTGCATGAAGCAGAAACGAACAACAGAAAGACATCGTACATCTCGACCTTGGCATTTGTCAAGTAGGATTGGGAAGATATGACATTATCAATACTGGGTAGTATGCAAAAATGGACATTGTTATTTTCCGGTGGAAAGTAGGACAAAAATCGTTTTACTTCGGGCGTTGAATCTTCACGTTCCTCAGGTTTCGCCGCATTCTCGTCGTCTTCTTTTACACTTTAACGAAAAAAGACGGAGACTTTTAAAGAGTCGCCCTCGATAATAATTGAAATAGAAATTGGGCAAGCCTAAAAGATACATAAGTTTAAGTTATAGTCAAAAGTTTTTGTTCTACACATGAAATTTTTAGGTCGCTTTGATCAGAACTTTTGTAATGTGTATTACATAGGGAGTTTAGGATGTTGGCAACGAACTACCCACTACGGTTGAATTGCTTTTGTCCACTGCTTGCATATCAGTTATAAATACTTGTCAATTAAAACCCTATTCGCGGAAGCCTCGTGTTTCGTAAGTTTCAAACTCTTTCCAGCCTCTCCCTTAATTGTTATTGTTGTTAACAAAGCCATTCTCCACAAGTAACGTCGCGCGCGTAGCCTGTTTCGTTACTACATTCTTCATTCCGCTCTTACAACAGAACAATGCGGTTATTATGTCGTAGACAAGGTCGCTGGTGTGAAGTTTACCATTAGTAATATGCAAATTTTGTTTTCCCCATCCATTGAAAACAAAGTTTACCCTAGTCAGTATCCGTTGTTGTTTTTGTGTAATCTTAATTAATGCCAGTTTACACCTGCGATTTTCGCTGCGAATTTTTCCTCTTTTGATGGATTTGAATTAGTAATTAGTTATGAATGCTCGAATGCATAAGAGCTCTAATTAAAAAATCAGTAACTAATTCACTCTTTCACATCTATCAAAAGAAGAAAATCGCACACAATTTCCCAGCAAAAATTGCAAGTGTAAACGGACCTTTAAACTCCCTAAATATGTGTCAACAGCACGGTAAAATTTTACATGACTGTTGTGCTGCACAGACCAGGGACTGCGGAGCAGGGTGGGTCGCTGGGCTTTAGCCCCACCAATAATTTTCCCATACTGATTAGTCCTTAATTTCAAATATTTTTTAGTTCGCTCAAATTTACAAGCAATATTTTATAGAAATTTGCATTTTTTGCTTACTGCTTCAACGTATATTTTAATAACCAATTCAAAGAAATGAGTATTCTAATTTCCAACGATATCTGTCGTAATAAATCCGCCATGTTTACAAATGGATTGAAATTAGTTATGTTCAGTACATATGTTTGGCCAAAATAAAAAAAACAGAGACAATAATTTGATCGTTTCGCCCAACCACTACGACGTCATGGTCGTGAGAGGAGCCTCTTTGGTTGTTTGAATTGTTTAATGTTTGTATATGAGCGTCAAACATGCTGGAAACTTTACATAGGACAAGCATTTGACCATTAAAACAGCGTGGTTATCCATGTCAAAATATTTGACACCATAAACAAAGCATGCTTAGCTATATTGCTTAATGTTTGTTATAAGCGCCAAACATGCTGGAAACTTAGGACAGGCATTTGACCATTAAAACAGCGTGGTTATCCATGTCAAAATATTTGACATCATAACCAAAGCATGGTTATATTGTTTAATGTTTGTATATGAGCGTCAAACATGCTGGAAACTTTACACAGGACAAGCATTTGACCATTAAAACAGCGTGGTTATCCATGTCAAAATATTTGACATCATAACCAAAGCATGGTTATATTGTTTAATGTTTGTATATGAGCGTCAAACATGCTGGAAACTTTACACAGGACAAGCATTTGACCATTAAAACAGTGTGGTTATCCATGCCAAAATATTTGACATCATAACCAAAGCATGGTTAGCTATATTGTTTAATGTTTGTTATAAGCGCCAAACATGCTGGAAACTTAGGACAGGCATTTGACCATTAAAACAGCGTGGTTATCAATATCAAAATATTTGACATCATGACCAAAGCATGGTTATATTGCTTAATGTTTGTAGCTATATGAGCGTCAAACATACTGGAAACTTTACATATAGGACAGGCATTTGACCATTAAAGCAGCGTGGTTATCCATATCAAAATATTTGACATCATAACCAAGGCAAGGTTATATTGTTTACTGTTTGTATATGAGTACAAAACATGCTGGAAACTTTACATAGGCCCAGAATTAGACCATTTAACCAGCGTGGTTATCGATATCAAAATATTTGACATCATAACCAAGGCAAGGTTATATTGTTTACTGTTTGTATATGAGCACAAAACATGCTGGAAACTTTACATAGGCCCAGAATTAGACCAAATAACCTGCGTGGTTATCCATATCAAAATATTTGACATCATAACCAGAGCATGGTTATATTATTCACTGTTTGTATATGAGCACGAAACATGATGGAAAACTTTACATAGGACCTGAATTAGACCATTTAACCTGCGTGGTTACCCATATCAAAATATTTGACATCATAACCAAAGCATGGTTATATTGTTTAATGTTTGTATATGAGCACAAAACATGCTGGAAACTTTACATAGGACCTGAATTAGACCATTTAACCTGCGTGGTTATCCATTTCAAAATATTTGACATCATAACCAAAGCAGGGTTATATTGTTTAATGCTTGTATATTAGCGCCAAACATGCTGGAAACTTTACATAGTATCTATTATTTCCCAATAATCCTTAAATTGGGAGGCATATGCGGCGATTTCAGATACCTTTATTTCAAAATTTTTCCAGACTCTCCAAGCAGGAGCGCGGTTCCGAGCCCCAGCAATACGAAAAACGCTCCGCGTTCCCGGTAGACAAAACGCCTATACAGATACGAGAGCAGTAAAACGTCTATACAGACAATTCAGACTGTAGTTGGATACCACACACTTCAGTCGATTTAAGATTTCATACAAGTCGAATACATTCGGTTGTTAGAAATCACGGTTCAAAAACACCTACCGCCCGTACTAGATAAACTTATCAAATAAACTGTGGACATGCAGACCACAAAAGTGGTAATTAAATGTTTTACAACAAGCGCGTGAAAGATTTTTAAACGTGCTCAACCATTGCTTAATTAAATCGGTTGCCTTAATACGCGCCGAGCAATCAAAGACAACATTAGTTGCGGGTTCGTTAAAAGTTATACTATAATACTAAGTAATAGACTTTATTACATACTCTCTTATAGCGTTGACAAAACTAGATCTCCCACTTCCAATTTTTCCGACGATAGCTATGTGTAAGTCAACTTCAATGCGAACGTCTGGTGTCTCCGAGACCATATGCAAGTATAAATTTTCTTCAGTTGCCTCTTCTAATTCGATATCTTCCAATCCTGCAGTGTCCTTCGACGCCATTTTTACCCTCAATTCGTCGTAAATACACCAGTATTTTATTCGATCGTCTCGTTGCTATAAATATAATGGCTACACAATGTTGGTTCAAACGAGAGCTACACGCAATGCTTCCAAGAAGTTGCGGCATACGTTTGCGTGCACATGCACAAGAACGTAACACTGACTGTAACACGAGCACGGGCTAATTGCACCACAGGACGCTAAATATTTTGCATGACCTAAATTCATTTATCTTTATTTTATGGCGTGAGAAATATGATTATATTACAATGTCTAAGTTGGATTTAAATGGCTGATAATGGCTTTCTTAGGAGTTATCTCAATTGTTTCCTGGAATCCTTGTGAAGGTTTGTTTCCACTTAACGTCAAACTGAAAATGCAAATCTATCCATATTCCGTGCAGGTACGTAATTATAATGCTCATCTCCGGCATGTCTCGACAACGACACGAATACGATACGAATACGACACGAACTACCTTATCTAAAAGTAGACACGAGCGACCACTAATGACCACCATTGTGTGAACACAAATTATTTTTGCAAGACATACTACTTCTATAGATTTTTGTGGTTAAAATAAGAAAAATGTAATATCATTCTGGCCGGATATTGCACAAGAGTTTTAGTAAATGCGTATTAAAACGGCTTTGTATACGATTTGTGTATTTGAAATCGGATTATGTTTTGAAAAATTTATTCACACGTCACCGGAAGTTGCGTGTACACTTGCTTCTCACAAACAAACACGGACATGTTATGTTAGAAGGCAATCACCCTGCTGGGAATATATAGAAATATAAGTACAATTAAGTTTAATAAAAAAGGCCAAGTGAGCTAGCTCAGGTAAGTCAAAGTTCAATTCAGAGTTTGAGATAGCTTATGATATACATTCAAGTGATTCAACACTAAATTAGTCGCCGAAAACGATTGAATTGCATGGCATTGTCTATTGACTGTTGACTATTGTTATTAATTGATGTTGCTCCCAACTACATTTCCTGCTGCTGTATGTGCGATCTTGAATTGCAAAGAAATAGCTAAAAGTATATCACTATATCCGGTCACTTTTCAATCATTTCACACAACATTTTGTTGGCGCCTTTGTTTTCACACATTCCAGAAATTCCTAAGAATTTTCAGCGATGCCAATAGCTAATATTCTTTTAAAAAGCAATAGTTGTTGCTTTGAGGATGAGCAAAAACTATTTAACAATTAGTCGCCTAAAGCCTATATTCAGGGAGCCGAAGCCGAAAGCGAAGTAAATATAGGCTATAATCACTGAGCAACGATACGCAACACGAGTTCTGAACAATATTACTGAAATTTGTGTTGGTTTAAAGCTAGAATTCCAATATGCAAGACGAAGCAAGTCGTTCAAGCAACGAGAGGTAAAATTATATGAAGTATCTCACAACTGTGATTCACCACATTTTTGAACCGCAAACATTCAATATCGTTGCTACAATTGTAATTACTATACTGCATATCATTTATCTAGTTTTAAACTTCTGTCTTGGAACATCGATGGTCTTGATGATGAAAATCTTGTAGAACGAACCCAAGCAGTGGTTGCAGCCATTCTTTCAAAAGTCCCTGATGTTGTTCTTCTACAAGAAGTCGTGGAAATGTCTTTAGGAATTTTTCGAACGGAATGCGCTGGGTAAGTGAAACATAAGAGTCTAGCTCTGCAACCAAAATTATACCAAACAGAAATTACAGAATGATATTGTGTATATTTTTAGCGATTATTGTAAATGTAGATAAATTATTGTTTTAGATAACACGGAACTTTGAATACCAGCGGCCAGTTGTATATAAAAGACTAGTTAATGTTTAACTGTAGTTAAGGGCAGGAGTGGCCAATCAGAGTTGTGTATTTCTGAGTTAACTAGGATTTAACTATGCAACGTGTAGTTAAATCATTTTATATAACCGGCCCCAGGCAACTTAAAGGCCACCGTGTTTTTAAATAAGTTTAAATAATAATACTAATAATACATATATAAACAATAATAATAATAGCATTGAGCTGCCAAAAGCAAATGCAAATATGAAGTAAACAGGGAATCAATATTTGAGTTAAATAAATATTGCCTTCAGGTATGCTGTTTTGGCTGGTCGTCAATCTGGTTACTTTAATGCCATTCTTGTACGATCAAGCACCGTCAATGTTGAAGAATCCCAACTTGAGTCCTTTGTGTTCGAATGTAGCGAAAAGGATAGACACTTCCTTGCATATCCAGTGAAATTTAAGGAAGCGCATATCACTCTGGTGACATCACATTTGGAAAGTATGAACAAAAAATCAGAGGAACGAAAAAAACAGTTTAAAGAAATTCTATTGTATATGAGAAGACGACCTAGTCGCGCCAACGTCGTATTTGGCGGCGATACAAATTTGCGGGACAAAGAAGTCGCCGACGTTCAGGGCTTGCCAGAGGAGGTGTTCGACGTGTGGGAATACTGTGGTTCCTCTCAGGATGCGGAGTTCACGTGGGACATGAGCGAAAACGACAACATAGATATGAATGGAGGTACGCCAAAGCTTAGATTTGATCGGATCTTCTTACGATCTGCGAAAAACGGCGAGGTTAAACTTAATCCAAGCTCATTTACCCTGATTGGAAAAGAGAGGTTGCAATGTGGTAGATTCCCAAGCGATCATTGGGGAATATGGCTGGAATTCAGCGTGGAAAATGTTTAGCGTAAACTCCCAGCTGAAAAAAAACTTACTTCTTTTAGTTAATATTCACGAAGGACAAACTGATCATCATAGCCTTCGATATCAACAAATGTTTTGCTTTATTAGTTTATTTTACAGCGCGATGTAACATAATTTTTAATTAAACATAAATTGTCAGTATCAGTCATAAGAACTAAAAGCTTTATACACTTTTTATTAAACAAAATTTAATGGCAAGCATGGAATGATTCCTTAGTTTTGTGTTGTTGTAAAGTTATCATCACTACATGCAATCTGGGAAGTTCATTCATGTTTTTCTGAGTTAACTAGGATTAAACTATGCAAGATCTAGTTAAAGAGTTTTATACAACACCGACCCAGGACCAAACGATAAGCCATGTCAAAGTTTGAGAATCCTCTTCCATTGAAAACTACACTATTTACAAATAGAAATAGTTAAGCTCTGTTGTTCAATAAATACGCAATTTTGTTTTCCACCTAAGCTAAACACAAATTCTTAACGATACATTTGCGTGGTTAAATTATAGTTGACTTCAAAATAGCCGATTCTGATTGACCAACTGTAGTCAGGATTTAACTACCGTTTCATACAAGCGTGTCTACTAGTTGTAATAGACACTGCATTTGCGAACTAGTGAGAGGCCACCCGCAAGGGGTATGGTATGGGGGGTAGGGAGTAGAGGCGTTCGGTCGTATTATTTTTTTGCAGTCAGACTCAGCAATGGCGACAAAAACATAAACAATCAAAACCTGTACTGGTTAATTTACTTCATGATAATTATTTGGTCCATATATTTTAAAATGGTTGAGAAATTCCGGCCTAAGAATTTTTTTAAGAAGCAATACCAGATTATATAGTTAATGCTACTATATTAGTATATTAATGCTACATATTTTTATAAAGGATATCGGAAAGTCGGAAAAATGTTGTGAAAGCGCAAAGGGTAATCTAATAAAATTTCAAAATTTTTATTCTCTTTGTTACATTTGCACTGTGCATTGCGTAATTTGCTGTTACCAGCATGTGGCAAACGTCACTTCTGGTGATATGAAGCTATACATGCATGCGACAGTTAACGTTTTCCTGCAGTATCACTGAGGTATTATTGGCTCTATTTTTTAAAGAAAGTCAAAATATGTTATCGTCGATGAGTAAGTTAGCTGTAACTAATTCGGTCGAAAACTAAAAAAGATATATCAACATATCACATACTGATAGTGGCATGCTCTTTAGAGTTTAGTGTGTATAACAGTTATTGTTTCCACGATCAGTTTGCTGTCCCATGGTCTATAATCGCTTTTGCTGTACCTTCCATTTCATCTAAGACCTGATCCAAAAAGAGCTCAACAAACTTGAATGGCTTCTTCGTTAATATAAGCGGTCCGCATATTTTTATATTATAGTTGTTACTGCTGTCGAAGAGCCTCATCCACTCCAAGAAATCTTGGCCAGAACCCTCCTTCACTTTTTCCAGGTCAAACCTCTGTACTCTTGCTTGCAATTCTTCGGGCAATTTCTGGTATTCCTCGGAGTCAGTCTCGGGAAATCCGAGTTGCAATCGATAGAAATGGATTTTTTTCATAATCCGTTTCTTATCAATGGAAAGGGAAAATGGCCCGAGGCTTAGTTTTGTCATAACAGATGCAAATGAAGCCAAAAATCTCCTTTCTGCAACGAAATAGAGAACGAAATAAATTACTGTTCAAATCTACACCAGCTCGGATGGTCGCAGATAACAGGCTGATCGCTGATAGTGGTTGCAGTGTGCTGCAGAATTGCTATAAATTTGCATAAAGGTGGTTTTACACTATACAACTTTTCTTGCTGATAATATACATAAAAAATTCTCAATTCTGATTGGTTTAGAGCAGTGCAATTTTTAGGAAATCCCAGTGCCAAAAAAAATCCCAGAGCTGAATTTTTTTAAGACGTTTTTAAAAATGCTCCTGAGTGTTGTTGTGATCATTCTTGTGTCTTTATATAAATTAAATATTTTATGTAAAAACATAGTTCTATTTTGACACGATTTGAAAACAGCATGTGTGATACGACTGCGCATGGATTTTGTTAATTGATAAAATTATTTATCACGCAATTATGTAGCAGGTAATAGCATAGATTCTCGTGCAATTTGGAAAAACATGCACTCGTGAGTTTTTCAAAGACTCACTCGTGCATGTGAAAAACTCATTCGTGCATGTCCTTTCAAAATGGCACCGAAAACCACGTTATTACCTATACAACTTGCAATGCAATTCTAGTCCTGGGGCATCTAGAATTGTCAAATACGAACATCGTTTATTTGAAACAAAGAAAACACGATTACAGTAATAATATTTGGCTAATTTATTCAGTAATCTGGCAACCCTGAACATATGTCAACACAGGATTGACCGCGTCTCACCCAACGACGCCGAGAAAATGCTTTTAACAAGCTTCGACACTATAACACTAGATAAAAATTGCTTGTGGTTAAATTTTGAGGATTTCCTCATTTAGTTAGAAAAAACTTGTCAACATTCAAAGGCAATGAGAAAAAAAGGGCAGGAAAGTAACAAATGCAACACATACCTTTCAGGACTTCAATCTTCGCGCATAAAATATTTACAGAGCAGGCTTGCAAGGAAAGGATTAAAGACTCTCTCATACTCGAAGGTAATCTATCGAATATAGCTTTCCTCAAATCATCAAAATCCCACTTGTTTGGATGATGGTTACTAATTAGGAAAATGTCCTCTTTTTTAATATTTTTGACGTTTTCGACACAATCTTCCCTTACGTTCTTCATCACTTTCTTTTCCTCGAACGTTTCTGGATAATCATGCCTTTCTCCTTCGATGGCCTGATCGATCTTGGAACGGATGAAAAAGAACGGCTTGCCCATTGCTGTCACTTTCTCGGCAAATTGGCGATGGGATTCTGTAAAGCTCTCTGAGGCGATTATCAGAAAAGTATCGTAGATTTCAATTTTTATTTCTTCACAAAACTTTATGAATTCGGGATGACTTGGTGTTCCAATGCCAGGCAGATCCCAGAAGAGGATATTTGCGTTCGTTGGATGTTGATAGGATAATGGCACCTTTGTGGTTTCTGTTGGACCAGTTTTGGCTCCGAGTGGATCAGAGCTTTTCAATCTGGCGATTTAAAAAAAATGCAAAAATGTTTACCAGAACACCAGTTATTTAAGGGTTAGGGATTGCTGCGAGTGTTTTCTTCACGAATAAACGCACGCGCCGACTATAAAATGAACGAGAAATTTCAATATTGAAATTTCGAGCTCATGTTGTATGGTCGCCAAGTGCGTTTATTTGTAAACAAAACACGAACATAAAGTCTCTAACACTTTTAATATACAATCTGAGTTCATTGATTGCTGCATTGAAGATCCAAGCTTCCCTGCAGGCTGTCATTTTTAAACAAACCACGATTTTCATGGGTTATTGCGAATAAACTATGTTTCCCATGATCTGTCGCCAGGCAACAAGAGAGCACGTGATTGATTTTGACCAAACGCGTGAGTAGATTTAGGCCAGTGCACGAAGATTGCATATTAATTAGCATTATAAACAAACCGTAGGCCATATCATAAAGAATAAATCTATACTGAGAGATATCGATGTAACCCGAATGACCACTTCCAAAGTATTTCACAAAACATAAAGAAAAAATCATATAAACGGGTCGTATCATTTTATGCTATGAAGATTTGTCTAAAATATACGTCAGCTTTTGATTGTCTCAGCTAATACGAAATTGTTTCATATGCTATGTCGCAAAGCGGAAATATATGTAAAATTTGTTCCAAGTTCCGTCAAATACTCACGTCGCGATTGTGTTGCTATAAAAAACTTCGTATTGCTCTAGTATACTCTATGTATGATCTCTGAATAGTATATGCATAAGGCAATTTTTATTACAGATAGAAAATTAATATTGTAGGAATTTTAGGACAAATTTACCCTCTTATTGCATTAATAAAGCTTGATTTTCCGGCTCCAGAATTTCCAAGAGTGGCGAGGTTGATTTCGACGTCTTTCCATCGCTGTAATCTTTCGTTCATCATATTTTGCATTCCCATGATTCCACTGCTGGCAAGTAACTGTTTAATTTCGTCACGACTAGGCATAATTTTCTTCGCATTTTTTTCTAAGAAAGTTACAACGTAACAAATTCAATCATTTTCCAAAGATAACGTAGATCAAAATCATCGTTTCAAAAATATTGGCAATACGCCAGTGATAAACCATCTTAACTGGAATGAAAGTATACAGGGTGTCCCAAAAAAAACGCAATTGGCAATTAAAACTTTGTGTTTTGACATAGGTCTCAGCAAGGAAAGCTCTTTCGGCTACAGTTAACAGCACCATGTTATATATGATTGAAGTTTTGCCAAACAGTTTGGTAGTATTAAAAACGAACATGAATTTGTAGTTGGTTTCTGGACACACATGGGACATAAAAAAATGTTCCTTTATGATGCATCTTAAAATCACCGGTTATGCAGGTCGGAAATCTATTTTGTAAATAGATTTCTCGCCTGAAATACTTAAGAAACGTATATCGTTTAGAAGACAAATGAGCAGGCTGTAAATGTCATACCTTTCACGAACTTGTTAAAATGATGCATGGCGAATAATTCCTGGATTTTCGGTATTTGGCTGAAACACTCCTTTTTGCCAGAAGGCAAAACATTGACAATCGCTTTCATTAGTTTGTAAAAATCATACTCTTCTTGTTGGTGAATATCAACGCGATGTAGTTTAGAAGAACTAATGTCTTCTAGCATCAGGATGTAAGAAAACTCGTACCAGAGGGTGTCCCTTTCTGTGATTCGAACAAAAAAGACGGGCTTGTTGCGGTTTTTAATTTTCTTCGCAAGTTTCAAAAGATGTTCATTGCATGAAATAGAAGTGAAGAAGAGAAAGACATCGTAATCCGGAACCCTGACATATTCGAAGAAATTTGGGGAACATGTCTCATCATCAATACTGGGTAGTATCCAGAAACGGATATTTTCATTTCTTGGTGGAGAGTAAGGCAGAAATTTTTTTACTTCGGAATCTGCACGTTTTTCTTCAGGTCTTGCCGCATTCTCGTCATCTTCTTTTACTCTTAAAAAAATGATAAAGACCTTTATTAGTCATCGTCGCTATAATCATTAGAAAAGTAAAAAATTTACCCCCAAAAACGTAAGCTCAAAAATGCAAAATATCTACTCATATGCTATTTATGTAGATATATTTTTTGTTTAAATATAAAAAAAATATTTTATTTAAATAAATATTAAATAAATATTATACATCTCCAACTACGGGGACATCTCAGAACTATCCCGAATACGTGTAATTTCAACACAATTTGATATAAATTCAATGAATTAGCTTTAGATAAGAAACGTTGGTCGGAACGGCAGAAAAATAATTTCCTTGGTTCAAGAATTTACATTCAGACTGACGGTGTCCAGTGGACACACTGTAATCGTGTATGCAGTAGTGTCCTAAACAGGGGATACTTCGCATCTGTTTTTCCCAATAATTGTTTTTGGAAAGCACCTCAACAAAACTTTTGAAAGTTATCAACTGATGGCATGAGTTTGTCCCAACCAAATACAAAATGTGTTTGGGACATAAATAAAATTATTTTTATGTTTTGTATTCGCTTAAGATGACACGGCACGGGCCATCACTCAATTCTACAACAACTTTATTTGTGAATGACTGTACAGAACGATGTAGGCAAGGAAAGTATCGAAATATTTTAAGACTACTCACTACTAAGTAAAGTTAATGTTGAACTGTCTCACACTAAAATATATTGCAAATTTACTATAATATATGGCAAAGTCTCAAGCCTCGGACTTGGGTAAAATGCACATGTTCTTCAAAATATTGATACCGATATTAAACCAATGACTACATTGAATTATTTATAAATTATTCCAACTCTGGATGTCGTTTTGTCCGTCATTTCATCCGAAAAAATAACCTTTTAGTTACATATTTTGTCATTTTTGTGTTCCGCGATTGTGTCAAAGGTCATCTCAGCGCTCAAGTGGTTGTACTTTAACCCGTTCTCAATGGCGCAAATTTAGAGTTACCAAAAAACTTATGGCTTCATTCTAGAGGCCATGAGTTACACTCTAATTGGAAAATAGAACAAGTTTCCAAAAAAATATGTATCATGCTGGATTTATCGCGTTTGAAAATTGCTTAATTCGGGTGTCAGGAAAGCGGAAGTATTTCCCTACCTGTAATGTGATATATTTGGTTTGGCGAACAATGCTGTGTTTCCCCGTCACATTGCGCTGAAGCGCAGCCCTATTTTAAGACCTATTTTCTTGGTCGGAGAGCCTCTCCGCAAAGACAAGCTCCCCCCAGCCTCAATATTCGTTCAATCGATAATAAAATTATTTTTCGTTGATAATCAACCCATAATTTTCGATTTTTTTTATTTTGCATGACTTTGGTTGATTTTAACGCAATGATGCGGAAGCAGTATGCAGAAGTTTATGCAGAAGCAAACATATTGTACGTTTGTATAAGTGCTGTATTAATGATATGAATCTTCTATGATGCTCCGCAATGACACTATACATGGCTTGGGTTGATTGAATAAACTGAATAAACACTTTACACGAATTCTGTGTTGGCTATAACTATAAGAAATAATGATGCCAAAACGAAAGTAGCAAGATTTAAGTTGTATCATACACGAAGCGCGTAAGATTGTACATTTTTACTGCTGAGCCAATGTTTGAGCTACGAAATCGAAAAACCTTTGTCAAGCTGGGCGGCTATTCAATGAAAGCAATACTAAATAACAACTATCATTGGATACAAGTTGCGTAAATTAAAAGCAATGCTAATTAAGTAGTAGACCTTGTCACATACCCAGTTATAGCATTAACAAAACTAGGTCGACCACTTCCAATTTGTCCGACAAGAGCTATGTTTACAATAACACCGTCTTGCGCCTCTGAGACCACATGCAAATAATCGTTTGCTTCAAGTTTGATTTCTTTCAATGCAATGTTCTTTGACGCCATATTCGCCGTCAATAGATCATTATGAAGCCACACGCATGAGGGACTCATGTGTGTGACGTCATAATACAAGCGGTGTATTTGTTGAAAGTACACACGTAATTTGATCGCCTTGTTCCTTAAAGGACTGCAATATTTTGGTTTCCAACAGATTGCTACACACGCGCTTCGCCTGTACACAGACCGTCGCGCACTGCGCGAACGCAGTCTTAAATTGCCGTCGGTGTTTCGTTTTTTTGTTTTTTTTTGTGTTTTTTACGTTTTCGACCCGGTCTACCTGGCCGCGCAGGCCAACTAAGATACTCGTATTTTGAAATCGTTTGAATTCGTATCGAAATATTTTCGTGCTAAACGCACTTCAAATAGTAATCTAAGCCTAGTAACCCCCCCAAAAGAAATATTCTACTGAAACAAAAAATTGAAAAAGTTTGTTGTCGCCGGGATTCGAACTCGGGTCGTGCGAACCAAAAGCAGGAAACTACATGCACGATACACGTCATATAAAATAACACGTACACGAGTCGATGTGCATGGCTGATAGCGCAGGAAATCTAGACGTCTTTCGTTCGAGAAAATACGTACAGGTAATCATAATGCCTGGATTCTTGTCTTGTTTAATATGCTCACTCTGCATTAACACCAGCACACACTGATCATGGTAAACCTACACTAAAACGGGTTTACAGACAACGATCACATGAATCATGAAAGCCTTGTATGCCATGAAAGCCTTGTATGCTATGTAAACCTTGTATGCCATTCTATGCCATTTTTCAATCAAACCGCACTTTCCTTTCAAGGGTAAAAGCGGCCAGACCGATCCTATTGAATTTCAGTACAAACTGATTCCCAGAGTACATGATTCCAAACTCAGCCTTATTCACGTATATCGTTAGCTACATATGCCTAGCACCAATAATGCAGTTTTACCCCTATATTCTGTACGAAGTGCTCTATTTACTAGAAAACCTAAGAAACAAACATTTTTCTAAAGGAATAAATATTGACAGGAAATGGGGCACAGTTGCATGCAACGATTGGCGCGACGCAGTAACCGCCAGAATTGGTGTCTTGTTGATTTTATTTTGTTTTCCCGGAGAATGGAATGCTTTATGAAAACTGTGAAGCAATGGATGTTTATTGTTTTACAAGATGTTTTATGCAAATATTACTCTTTTTAATTACCGAATTAGTTATTTTCTGGCTACAATCTTGGCTATAAAGGTTAAGGGACGGCGAACGCTGTCACTTTATATTATAAACAGTTTGCTACATTTCTTCAAAAAAACGTAGCAAGAGTACTACTGTGTTGTCGTATCGCGGATTACAATTTTCTTACTAAGACAAATAATCTCCTTATATTATATAGTGGAATCCCTGTGAATACTACTTATACTAGTTCTGGTGATTCATTAAACGGAAGCCAAGTCCGTTCTGCGCATCGGTTCTACTCATAACAATAGGGGGCCCTCTCTAAACCACATGTGGGATCATTTTGCATCCGCTCCGAATAAAATCGCATTCGCTGTTTTTTCCATTTTTTCCAGGACCAGATTCAAAAAGAGATTTACAAAATTGTGCGGTTGGTTAGTTCTTATAAATGGTCCGTAGATTCGAATATTGTACTCGTTAGTGTCATCAAACGACTTTATCCATTCCGCCATGTTTTGATCAGGCTTAAGATGGAATTTCTCCACTTCTTTCTGTAGATCTTCAGACAACTCCTTAAATTCCGAAGAGCCTATCTCAGGGAAACGCAGTTGTGAACAATAGAACTTTACCCTTTTCTTTATCCGCTTTGCATCGAAGGTAAAAGAAAGAGGACCCAGGGTAGTTTTTATCAAAACAGATGTAATTGCCACCATCCATGTCCTCTCTGTGAATAAAAGTTCAGATAATGAAGAAAAACAGAGATAATAAAAATTTTAAAGGTTTCAATTAAAAAAACTCGCCGGGAGAGTAACAAATGCTACACCTACTTTTAAGGGTTTGAATCTTATCTTTTAAAATTTCGCCAGTGTCCGGGCGAAGAGAAAAAATAAACGAATCTTTCAAATCGGACGGTAACTTATCGAAGATAGCTTTAGTCAAGCGATGAAAATCCCACTTGTTTGGATAGTGGTTACTTATTAGGAAATATTCTCTTCGCTAAATTTTGTGCCCTTCAGACCTTCGACACAATCTTTCCTGACTTTTTCCATTGCCTTCTCTTCATCGAAGTTATCCCCATAATCATGTTTCTCTCCTTCGATGGCTTGATCGAACATGGAACGGACAAAGAAGAATGGCTTGCCCATTGATGTTACAATCTCTGCAAACTGGCGATGAAATTCTGTGAACCTCTTCGAGGCGATTATCAAAAAAGTATCAAAGGCTTCAATTGCCATTTCTTCACAGAACTTTGCGACTTCCGGATGACTTGGCGTTCCAACTCCAGGAAGATCCCAAAAACGGATATTCGGGTTCGTTGGATGTTCGTAGGGTGATGGCACTTTTGTGGTTTCCGTTAAACCGGTTTTTGCACCAAGGCGATCAGAGCTTTTCAATCTGGTGATTTGAAATAAAATGCAATGTTTACCAGTACTTACTAATAAAAAAATACGAATAAACATAAAACTAAGCCGGTTTTGAATATCCTTGTTCTATACTATAAAGTGTGAAAGTAAATGTGAAAGTTAAAGTGAAAGTACACGAAAACTAATTCAATTTTGTTGAACATGCAATTACTATCCAGACACTGCTAAACGATAAATTAAGACATTCTCTGCATGTCGCTTACAACTTGTGATTCTAGCTTGACATATACGCGAAGGAGATGAATGATACATTAATTAATTACATATACGGTGGGGGTCAAAAGTCAGAGTCCAATCGATAATTTTTCTTATATTACGATAATTTACAATAAATGATATCTTGTGAGTTGGAGATTGGATATGTTGATCTGAACTTGCGTATTTTATGTTAGTAATGCCTTCCATAGATTTCTCGTTAATTCTCATGGTATTTAAGTTAAATAAGATATGCGTAGTATTCTTTTTGTTGACTAAAGATGGCAAAGAGAGGGCCAGCAATGATGAGGTTGTATGTGTCGAACGAAAAGTTAGAAACGTTTTTTGAATCAGGTTCGTATTCAATTATAAATGAACTCTGCGACACCAAGGGCTACTCCTGAAAAGGAAGATGGACAGAAAGTAGAAGGAAAACCAGTGGACCGCCCATAATTAATCCTTAAATTTTGTTTGGAAATGTCGTAACACGCCAAAATATAAAATCAAATTTCTATAATTATTAATTTTTACATACCCTCTAATGGCATTGATAAAGCTTGATTTTCCGGCACCAGAATCCCCAAGAATGGCGAGGTTGATTTCGGATTTTTTCCATTGTTTCAGGCTTTCCTTCATCACGAGTCGCATTCCCATGATTCCTCTGCTCTTGATTGATTCCTCCAGATCGGAACGACTAAGAAAACCTTCCTTTGCCTTTACTGCCTGTTCTAATTAATTATTAATGAGGTAAAAAATCAGTAACTCTGCACATGACATCATCTCGGGAGTAAATTAACGTAGCACAAATTTTCCAAAATACAGAATTTTAGGAAAATAAATTATATACAGAAATTTTACTAGTAAGCTCAGGTAATTGTTTTCATAAGCCGTGCGAACCTTCAGCAACTATTTTTTTAAGCATTGGGGGGAACTCTTATATGGGTAATAACATCAGTGAAATGGATCTATTTCAAAATTTGAAAGAAAATATCGTATATGTGTACCTTCCACGAAATTTTTAAAAACGTTTAAGGCGACTAATTCCCAAACGATTGGAATTTGTTCGAAACACTCCTTTTTACGAGAAGGCAAAACGTCCACAATCGCCATTGAAAGCTTGTAAAATTCATGCTCATTTAGTTGACAGCTATCAATACGATACACTTTCAAAGAGCCTGTTTCTTTCAACTTGAGCTTGTGCCAAGGAACATTTGCCTCTTGCGAAATTTGAACAAAAAAGACGGGCTTGCTGCGGTTTTTAATTTCCTTTGCGAGTTTCAAAAGTTGTTCATTGCACGAAACAGAAACGAAGAAAAGAAATACGTCGTACATATCAAACTTGAGAGATTCGAAGTAGGAATCGGAATAAAATATTTCATCAATACTCGGTAAGATCCAAAAACGGATATTTTGTTTTTCAGGCGGAGAGTAGCAACTAAACTGTTTGATTTTGGACGTTGGATCTGAACGTTCTCCAGGTTTTGCCGCATTCTCGTCATCTTCTTTTACTCTTTAAAAAAAACGATAGAAACCGTCAAACAATCATCGTCTGCCAATCATCAAAATAGTGAAAACACATCACGCTTATAGGATAATATTAGATGTATAGTATATTTGCGAAAATTCAATAAGAAAAGAGAAAGGAGGCGTTGACAATTCTAATATGTTACAAAAGTTATAAAGTAAAAATTCTGATTTATTCATATTTATTCCCTAACCATAACCCTAACCCATTGCTACTCTGAGTTTCACGCTAGATGCGATCCTTCAGGCAATTGACAGATGCAGGTCTATTATTACACTGTATAGATTGATCATGTCCGTTTAGCAGTCCAGCCATTGCATGCATGGCATTCAGAACGGTTACGGCAATTGCACGTGTGGTTAGTATATGATGGTTGGTGTTGGTCGGCTGGTTTCTGTTGGCGCTGTCTGTGTTGTTTGATTGCGGTTGTGCGTTGGGTTGTTAAAAACTCATTTATTACTCGCTCTATCCTTTTGTGATATTGAGCGCTCTTATAAGTTATGTCAGTGCTGAGTAACACACATTAGAAGTATATGACATTAGAAGTATATAAAAGCAATGCTAGCTAAGTAATAGATTTTGTTACATACCCTGTTATAGCGTTAACAAAGCTAGATCTGCCACTTCCAATCGCCCCGACTATAGCTATGTTTACTTCAACACCATAGTTTGTCTCTGGATACACACTCAAATAATTTTCTCCGTCTGCTTCTTGTAATACGATTTCTTCTAGTTCTTGTAATACGATTTCTTCTAGTTCGTTTTTGGATGCCATATTTGCTGCTTAACTACACTGGAATGTTTACCTTTGTCTATTGCACGACTTGAATCCGCAATTGGATCCAAGAATAGATTATATACACACAATGTCTTATTTCCTTAATATTTATTGCGAAATATTTTCGTTTGATGCGTGACGCGTCGTCATTAGGTAAAAAAATTAATAATGATCTATGTACACAGTATATAGGCGATAATCGCTGCTATAGCCTATATACATCGCTACAACAAATCATTTCGTGCGTACATTTGGGTACCAATGATAACATCATTCTACATTGTTCAGAAGATAAAATTTGTCACTGTGACGTGCTGTTATGTACGAAATAAATTTGAATTCACAAACTCTACAAACATTGCCATATTCAAAAGAGGCAATTAGCAGCGGGGTATTTTCTTAAAAGCTCGAAAAAATATACGGTTATCAACTTTTTGGACCAAATGTTCAAGAATTGCTCTACGACCATGTCTATGCAAGAGTGCCTTTGCTTTGCTATGATACCTATAGAAGAAGGTTTCTTCTGGGGAGTAGTGAAGCTTTATAAAAAACGACACTTAATATTAGGTTCAGCGTGTATATTCTAGCTGTTTAAAAGTACCAACTGTTGTTTTACGACATACTGGAGTGATATTCGAGTTTGTAATTTAAACGTAAATATCCTTTCGTACCAATACGGGTAAGGTAAGATGACCTACGATATATGTAAACCATTTGAATTTCAATCTTTCCTCGTCAAAAACATGAACTAGTAAGCCACACACCTGTAACTTCTCGCAAGAAAGGAAGATAAATTACGGAATTACTGTGAAAAGTTCTTTTGTCGGCATAGATTTCTATGATGTTATTTTTTCTATATTTAATTCGATACCAATATAGTATCCTGATAGCGACTTTCTTTTCGAGGAAAATTTAGCAGGAGTATAGTGTCGTCTTTTTTTTTGAGTTCCTCTTCGGATAAAGAGTCATGTAACTAATAATGGATCCTGATTCAAATCGTGTTATACTATCGGCAGTGCATAAAAGATTACTATATATAAACTTATATATAAGAATGTGATATACAGACCACAATTATATAAATAATTTTTCAGGATAAGGTATAGTTTTACGTTATAGTTACAGCTTAGTCTATATATATACTTAAGCCTCATGTAGTCTTACATTAATCATACGATCACATGATTTTTTGAAAATCGAATTAACTGTGAAACCTTGACTGAATTTGCTAAGTTTTTTTGTGCTATTCGGTTAAGGTTCTTCATGCTTGAACAATGAATATACATTAATACTATTATCGATACCTGTTATATAAGTCGATTTTTTAATATTTTAATAAGTAATGACCACCATCATCAAGTCATGTCAATATGAACTGTCTTATTCATCATCATTTGCATGCAGCTGTTTCTGCTAAAATCGCCTTTGCTGCAAGTTCCATTTCCTGCAGGACTTGATCCAAAAAGAGATCTACAAACATGAACGGTCTGTTCGTTGCGATAAAAGGTCCATATATTCTTATGTTGAACTCGTTAGCGGAATCAAAGGACTTCATCCACTCCAAAGTATCTTGGCCAGACATATCCACTCTTTCCAGGTCAAATTTCTCTACTCTTCTCTGTAGTTCTTCTGACAACTTCTGGAATTCCTCGGACCCAGTTTCGGGAAATCTAAGCTGTTCTCGGTAGAAATTAATTCTTTTTTTGATACGTTTCCTATCGATGAAAAGGGAAAATGGCCCCAAGCCAAGTTTGGTTACAATAGAGGCTATTGAATCCATCCATCTCCTTTCTGCAAAATGAAAGTAAATTTCATATGGCAAATGAAATACGGTAATATTTATTATGCCTTGTTGATTGCGCTGCATGGTCGCTCGCTGGTAGCTGCAAGGCATTTAAGAGTGTTTCAAATGCTCTCAACTTTAGGTTAAGCCCGTGATAAGAGAATTGAACCAGGTCATAACAAGTTCTCCGATCCCACTATTGTAGTAGACCCATAGATCATTGGCTCCAAAAAACTAACTGTATTAGTAAATTGTTAAAAGAATACTATTGTCGCTAACTGTTTGCGCCGAACGATTGAGAGACGAGGTAATCATAAAGGGGTCCTTGCTCATTAATTGTGCTTATTGTGCAAATATAATAAGAAAGAAATTAAGCTACGAAACTATGTCAACAGCACCATTACCCTCTATTTGCGAGCCACGCTAGAAGATTGCCAATAATCTCTTGCGATAATTTTTGCACTAAAACAGCAAGGAACTGGGTGAACTATTATTACATTCAAGGTCTTAGCGAAGCGGGTGTACACGGCTTTTTTTTCGAGTGGTTGGTAAATATGAGGTAAATATGAATGTATATTGCTGGAGTTGAAAATCACTATAAACATCCATTTTGCAATGTTCTCCAATAGCAGTTGGTAAAATAGGAAACTATAATGTGCGGGCCGGAGAGTACAAATGCTACACATACCTCCAAGGACTTTAATCTTAGCGCACAAAACTTCTTCAGAAAAGAAACGCATAGAAAGAATAAAGGACTCTTTCAAATTGGACGGTAACTTATCGAAGATAGCTTTCTTCAAACGATCAAAATCCCACTTATCAGGATGATGGTTACTAATAAGGAAAATGTCCTCTTCGCTGAGCTTCATTCCCTTCAAACTTTCGGTACACTCCTTCCTCACTTTCTCCATTGTCCTCATCTCATCGCGCGTATCCCCGTAATCATGCCTCTCTGCCTCGATTGCTTGATCGATCATGGAGCGGACAAAGAAAAATGGCTTGCCCATGGATGTTAAAGTCTCTGCAAACTGGCGATGAAATTCTGTAAACCTCTTTGAGACGATAATCAGGAAAGTATCGTAAAGTTCAATTTTTATTTCTTTACAGAACTTTATGAATTCGGGACGACTTGGTGTTCCAACTCCAGGAAGATCCCAAAAACGGATATTCGGGTTCGTTGGATGTTCGTAGGATGATGGCACTTTGGTGGTTTCCGTGGAACCTGTCTCTGCTCCAAGTGGATGGGAGCTTCTCAACCTGGTGATTTGAAAAAGAATATATAATAGATCGAGGAATATATATTATACGCGATCTGATTGGCTGAGCAACTAACTGTGTACGGGGAGTGGTGATAATAAAGGGGGATATAGGAGAGAATTTGTGAGAAGAATTTAATAAAAGTTTATTCATTATTAACATTAGTTTAGGTTATATTATATAACCGATCCGAAGATTATATAGTAAAGTATAGTATGTCATAATATATTATGTCTGGATCTTTCTTGTGTGTTGCAATATACAATATTTTACCCTCTTATAGCATTAATAAAGCTTGATTTCCCAGAACCAGAATCTCCGAGAATAGCGAGGTTGATTATAACATCTTTCCACGTTTTCAATCTTTCGTCCATCATTTGTTGAATTCCAGTGATTCCATTCTTCTGAAGTAACTCTTTTAATTCATCACCACTAGGAACAATTTTTTTTTCTTCTTTTTCTAGAAAAGTATTTCAGGCAGTTGTTACACTACATTAATATTTTGACGCGATAGTTGTTACACCACACTGGTTATATTGGAACGAATTTACAATCATACTAGATTTTGCTAAACATCATTATTTATTTTTTTGACAAGAAAACGGATAAAACGTATATATATTGAAATTCCCTATTTTGATAATAATAATTGGCAATACACTATAGTGCTAAATCACAGTGAATACACAAGAATTTCATACATTTCATACCTTTCACAAAGCGATTAAAACGATCCAGGGCAAATAATTCGCCAATTTTCGGAATTTTATTAAAACACTCCTTTTTCGGGGAAGGCAAACCGTTAGCGATCGCTTTCGTAAGCTTGTAAAAATCACACTCTCCTGGTTGATGGATATCAATACAATACACTTCAGAACCAATCTCTTGAACCAGGCCCGGATTCTGCGGCGGAGTTGGCCGGCGGAGTCCTCTCCTTGAACCGCCTTGCAGAACGTGAACAAACACGACTGGCTTCTTGCGGTGTTTAATTTCCTCCGCGATTAACAAAAGCACTTGATGATCTTCGCACGAAGCACAGATGAACATAAGAAACACGTCGTACATCTCAACATCTACAGATTCGAAGTAGCGTCGATAACAAGAAGGTGTTTCATTATCAATACTAGGTAGTATCCAGAAAAATATATTTTGCTTTCCAGGCGGATTGTACCAAAGTATTCTTTTGTTTTCGTGCTTCGAATCAGTACGTTCTGTAGGTTTTGCGGCCTCGTCGCTATCTTTTACCCTTTAAAAAAATTATGCAGGTTTATATAAAGAGTTATCGACGCTAATCACTTAGAATGATCAAACCAAACCCGGAAAATCTGCAGAAAATATTGATTTAACATACATATATAATTTATATAACATGCGCTTTGCATTAATTGCTTTTAAACCAAATTAGTCAAGCATATAGGCAAAGTCAACTACGGGCTCATTGGAAACATGCTTGTGTAAATAGTCTTTACCCTTTACTGTTCAAAGGACTGAGCATGCGGTTTAACAGCTTTGAACCGTTGTCGTGCTGCCCATATTGTTTAAACTATTCAACAACATTGACAGAGAATCGGGTGTAACGAATTTATTTATTGTTGTTGACAATATGGGCAGCAGAATCAGATCAAAATCCCATGCAAATGTATTCATATGCAATTCTAATTAGACTTCGAGTATCTATCTATCTATCTATCTATCTGCGGCCAACGTTTTTGCAAATGGGTGTATATATATATATATATATATATATATATATATATATATATATATATATATATATATAACATGTGTAAAACAATGTGCCCTCCCGGCTATCACCAGAGCGCAATGGTGACTCCTGCACTTGGGACCATCGTCGTATATTTGCCATTTTCCGGCGAAAGTATGACCATGGTCGTATATTTGCCATTTTATATATATATATATATATATATATATATATATATATATATATATATATATATATATATATATATATATGTATAGGTTATCACATGAGGGGCGAGGTGATATCAGTTTTATCGCTTGAGGGACGATATCATAAATGTCACGAGTGAGCGCAGCGAACGAGGGTCATTTATGATATCGTCCTGAAAGCGATAAAACTGATATCACCTCGTCCCGATTGTGATAACCTGTTTATCACATACTTCCTTTTTTTCTATAAAGCAATCGACATCGACTGAAACAAACCTCGAACTGCTCGAGTCAGCCATCTTTGTTTTGACAGCGGCAAATGCAGCGGGACAAAAAGCGATATCAGTGACAAAAAGCGATATCAGTGACGATATCGTTTTTATGTCACCCTGTTATCGCCCTGATAAAGGCACAAGTATGTGATAAATATATATATATATATATAGACCAATTGCGAAACTTAGTAGCCGCGCCTTCGCATAACATGGAAGCGAGGCTTATTATGCAAAAAACAATATTTGTATTTTTTGCCGTACAAAGCTATCCGCCGAGTTATATCCCGGTTTTCGCCTTTGGTTTACATATTTTTCGATACCTTTAAAGCTCGGTTTCATCGTTGTTATCATAGTTTTCAGGTGAGGGAGTTTTGCCTTTCATTTGAGGCGTTTTTGTGATGTTTTCATTAATTTTTTCGGCTGCTTTCGTCGGGGAAATATGGAAAAGGCCGACACAAACTCAGGTAAAAATTCAGTTTTTTCCAAACTATTTCGTCTCAAGTCTTGAAAATTTATTTCATTTTTCTTCCTCTTATTTGTGCAAAATTTGGCGATATATATTTGGTGCAAAATCTATCAAAGCCTCGCTTCCATGTTATGCGAAGGCGCGGTTACTAAGTTTCGCAATTGGTCTATATATATACGACCGTGGTGATATTCGCTAGAAAATGGCAAATATACGACCGTGGTCATACTTTCGCCGGAAAATGGCAAATATACGACGATGGTCATATTCGCCGGAAAATGGCAAATATACGATCGTGGTCATTTTCGCCGGAAAATGGCAAATACGACCGGTGTCATGCATATTCGCCGGAAAATGGCAAATACGACCATGGTCATATTCGCCGGAAAATGGCAAATACGACCATGGTCATATTCGCCAGGAAATGGCAAATACGACCATGGTCATATTTACCGGAAAATGGCAAATACGACCATGCATATCGTCATATTTGCCGGAAAATGGCAAATACGACCATGGTCATATTCGCCGGAAAATGGCAAATACGACCATGGTAATATTTGCCGGAAAATGGCAAATACGACCAGTCAATTGGCTAAATGAATCTTATCTCATCTGAATATAAATGTTCAATGTGAATATTAATTGACGTAGGGCTGATGAAAGGCAATACATCTCAGTCGAAATAATTATATTTTTCTCCGAATAATTATACATGATTGTTATTTATGTGGTTTTTGGTCCACTGGTTACTTGATCGCTTCTTGTTGTTAGCTTATGTGAAATGTGGAAAGAAATATAACACCGCGATTAGGAAGATATTAGCCATATCGGTCACAAAGAATTTGTCTTACCAATTATTAATGGTAGCCTACCATTAATACAAACACAAACGATAAAAAACATTATATATCTACTTTATTGTTGCGAAAACAATCATAAAAGTCTAAGACGTGCTGTATGGCACAGCAGAGAGCAATAATTATACATGCAATGTTCATAGCGCTCACTATATGAACATACCGTACATATATCAACTATAATGACAGGCCAAAAACAAAATAGTAAAGCAGTGATATTTCCTCTTCTAATCTACCAAGGATCCACAAAGTACTTTTGTAAATAACATTTATTAACTAGGGAAGTAGGGAGCCTTGGCAGTGACTACGAGCACGAACGATTCAAGTACAAGATTCGTCATTTTCGCGCCAAACCGCGAAAGCTTGCTCAGCGCTTTTGCCTACGCCATCTGACGAAATTCGATGGGCTTTTGAATAAGAAATTAATCAATAAACTCGAACTCGAAAACTCGACGACTTTGAGTTTTGGCTGATGTCGTAAGCGCCAGAATATCAAAGGAAGGTCGGACGATTCTTGTACATTGTTTGCACAAATATTGCTGTTAATATGAAGACAACACTAAATTGCATGCTATAGCAGTTATTACTAGTTGGTGACGCTAACCAGTGATCTTTATTACATACCCTGTAATAGCATTAACAAAACTGAATCTACCACTTCCGTTTTTTCCGATAATAGCTATCTTTACTTCAACACCTCTCTGCTCTTCCGAATAAAGTAGCTGGTCCCCCACTTCGATTTCGACTTCTCCGAATTCTTCGTTTCTCGTTGCCATGTTTGCCACTCAAATCATTTGAACTATATACACCATTGTCTAAGTATTAAATTAGTTAACAAAGTAGCGATATGCTTCGGGTAAGAGCTAATCTCTCGTAGATTCATTAATTTGTTAGAGAACACAAGACGTTATCAAATGGTTTATATATATATAATTATATAAACAGCATCGTTTGAATGAAAGGAATTTTTATCTTTGTTCATTGCCGAGTGAGTGCGTAATTGAATTGAATTCGAAAATAGCTTACTTGCACAATTTCAATGTCTAAGCACAATATTCCGTCCACTTGCTTGTTCTACGAGACGCGGCCGTCTACAGTGATCATAAAAATTAATAACCTATGATAATTGTTCCTTATAATGTTCACTGTATGCATATAAGATTTCAGGCCACTTTTCAGCGGGTCACAGGAATAACTCGGGGGAAATTACAAAGCCAAATTTTCATGTTGGTGAAATAAGTAGCTATATTGAAATACCCAACTACTGTTGAAATACCCAAGTATACTGGAATACAGAAGTACTGAAATACTGTAATTTTCTGAAAAACCTAGAGTTAGAGAAATTTTCTTCTGGGAAGGAATGCAGTATCAAAACGATGCCTGTGTTTTTAACAATAGACTCAGCGTGTATATCCTGTTGAAAATAACAATATCTGCTTTGAAAATAACAATCTCTACTTTGAAAATAACAATCTCTGCTCAAATATTTACGGAATTCATTTTGTATAAGGAAGCCAAGCATATTTCAGACATTGAACGTTTCATGTGCCAAACATAATGTTAATGAGCTGAAGTTCATTTGCATTCGATTCGGCACATGAAAAGTTCGACGTTTGAAACAGGCCTAAGGAAAGGACACACGAATAAAACTATCATGAGACCCCACTATCCAGTGTTAGTAGTTCCTTTCAATCACGCGATACTTTGTGGAAGCGTTACGAAAGATTCATCACTCGGGCTGGGAACTGGTAACCTGTACCTGCAAATTGTTTTTCGTCTCCTGACTCGTACCTGTCGAGTTTTGACGTAGAATAAAGAACAACCAGTAATTTTTTTACAGCCGCTATGCTAGACTTTATATATACAAAACATCGCGGGATTACAAGGAAAATATATCTCTAAGAAACCCTTCAAGATGGCCTGATTTCGCATGGAAATGACTTAAAATGCCTTGAGATTGTTGGGGCGAAGTGAAAGATCCATTTTTGGAGATACATGTTTTCAATTTACGCGATTCTTCACAATGAGACATGAAGCGAAATTCGTGTTATTTGCTCGCAGTGATATTAGTGATTTTGGTTTGTCTTACATGTGACGGCAAGAAAGGTGAGATAAATCATTGTTTCTGCTATCAAAGTACGCATTTAATGACCACAGTATTTCTTAATTAGGTAGCCAAACGTATATTCGTACGGTAGATATATACATTTGTAAGCGAAGTCTCTAAAAATGCTTGAACATTGGTAGAGTTTTTTATTATATTTGTCTTTACTGTGTCATCCCTCTGGAGGGCCAATCAACCAACAAAATGTTCTACGGCTTAATATACACACTCTAAACAACTCTCATTATGCAATGAAAACTATGTCCTGAGTAGATGGCAGTTGTCATAAGTTGTATAACGGAAGTTTCAAAGACAATGTTGCCTGAACAAGGCCTTGCTAATACTTGAGTCATCCAGATCTTGACAAAATAATGCAGATCATTCTTAGCCTATATACAGGAAATGGCTGACCGCAACATCATATAAATTATTTTTGTCTGGCATAGTTCTATTACTATCAGTCTATCCCGGGCAGGGGGGGGGGGCTGAGCCACTGTGAAGGTCTGTTCACGCGATCTAATCCTGTCGGATCCAATTCACTTCAGACATATTGAAAGCAACCTGGTATTAATAAAACAGTACTGCATTTAGTTGATTTGCTCCGACATACATTGTAAGGCAATAGACTATTAAACATCCATCAGAAGTGAATTGTATCCGACATAAATGAGTTGTCTCAACAGACTTAAATGAACAACAAAAACACTTAAACAATTATTAACATTTCTTCATCCAGTTACAGAACATCGCTCAACGAAATCTTCAAACCTCAGCGACTCGTGCGAGACGAGCCCCGTGCGTCGAAATGTCACATTACGAGGTGGGATCAAAGCAGGATATTTTCATAAACTAGCTCAATATGTCGCCATGGAGTTGTGCATTCAGTTATGTTGTCAAGAGAAAGGCTGTGATGTGGCTTTCATGATTGGCAAAAACTGCTACGGGGTGAAATGCTTCAGCGAAGAACTCTGTCATGTTGTACCGGCAAAAAATGCTCCGAGAGCCCTAATAATATCCAAGGTCGACTTCAGAGGCGAAGGTTAGCTTTTGATACCAACGTATAACTAAAGCATGGTTTCCATTTGGTCGTAAATGTCGTGAACATGTCATTTTGACCGATGAGAAATTGCCGGGATGTAACTTCGTCTTCATTCTTCTATTCAAATCTGTCATTGTTGACTGCACACGTATAGACATATTCTATCACATCAGCCAGCTTGACATGTTCACGACACTCACGACTAAATGGAAACCAGGCATAAGCTTTATATATCTTAGTGAATCTTCCAAACACCCACTCAATATGTCAGTTTTTTATCTTTGAAAGCGTTTGTTTACATTACGACCGGATGTGCTTAAGTGGGGCTTAATGATAAAGATAATACTATAAGGAAAACCCCGCATATATCAGGTTAATCTTTAAAGTAAAGTTCCAGTAATCAGGCATATCTTCCTTACACACACACGTATGACATACGGACTATGTGTAGTCGAGATAGTGTTTTGTAAACAGCTAGCCCAAAGGTAGCAACGATTTGCCAAAGTCATTTACTGGCTTAGTTTTGACACTGAAGTTTGTCTCTAATACTTTTCATTTTCAGTTTATCTTCAAAAATTCATGCCAGAAAGATTGAAGTGTTTTCAGACATCGGTGGAACACAACGTCACGTTAAAAGGTGGACTTCGGGCGGGAAACTTCACCGCAGTCGGCCATGTTGATAACATTGACGTTTGTGCAAAGCTTTGCTGTGTCAGAGAGGGCTGCGATCTAGCGTTGATGGTCAACAAGCATTGCTTCATGGTGAGGTGTTTGGATAAGGAGAGATGTAAAAGTATGAAGGTCATTAACCAGGAATTCCGTACCCACATCACGAGAGTGAACCGAACTAAAGTCATAGCGGAAGAACAGCAAACAGGTAAGAATTATTCCTGATTCCTGGCAAAGGTTCTGGTTTCCTCGCTAGGGGCAGCTGCCCCTATTGGTTCTCCCCTACGTGAAAAAGACATTTGCCCTTTGCAGCATATACTATATACAGCTGTAGCTAATAGCAATATCATACATGCACCATTTGATAGTCAAATATGATGCAAGCCTTTTGCAATAAAATCTGATGATATTATTCAGAATACAATAGTGTCATGTCGATGTGAAAAACCTATAAATTTTCAGGTTCTGTGCGTGTGGTTAAATTAATGTGCCTTTCTCTAAAATTCTGTTCCGCTAAGTGAAATACGTTAATTTTTTGTGATTCAAAGCTTGCGCTTGGTAACATATCGTTGTTTATTTATCTGATTGCAGTTCGTGCGTTGAGCTCGGCACCAGGCAAAACTTCAAAGTTAATGTGCAAGAATGGAGCCGTGCAATTCAACCAAACACTGCTGGGCGGTTACGACGCGGGAAAGTTTAAACTGCTTTCACAATCCGCCAACATGTCGGCCTGTATTCGGCTGTGTTGCGGAGAGATGTCATGTGATGTAGCGCTGATGATAGAAAGGAAGTGCTATGGCGTGACCTGCAAGACAATGAGACTCTGCCAAACCATTCCCGCCAAAAATTCGGTTATGCTGAATCACCTCAGCCCAGAAATATCGTTCATTACAAGCAGGAATGAAGAAGGTTTGTCAATACGAAATAACTAGATCATTATGCAATAACTCAATCTCTCCACGAGACCTAGGTTTCCCTAGACATTTCCCCAGCTTCATGTATTTAATCATTATGAGCAGCATTGATTGATTGTACAGTGATAGATAAGATTTGTGTAGTCATGAAATAGATTTTGTGCGCTAAGAATTAAGGTTTGTTTGGTGATAATTAAGAGATTTTGTTTAGTGGTAAAATTCAAAATTCTTCATGAAGAATGTTGTAAAATCAGCACAAATTAGCTACTAAAAGTTTTCCTGAGACTGAGAGTGATATTTACATAAACTTTCGCATTTCTTTCCCGTTTTGTGCAGTGATAAATTTCCCTAACAAAACCCTGCTGTCTGGCCTAATCGTTTTCATTGCAAAAATATATGCCCTTTCTCTTTTGAAAAGAACGTAATATTGCATTCCACGTAAAATTAAATTTCTTTTACAGTAAATTCAGTGAGTCTTCGCAGACAAAGCGAAATATGCAAGTCAAACGTCATATCATATGACGTCACTCTCCGCGGTGGAAGGTATGCCGGGAAATACAAGGCGTTTGGACCAGTTGACGACATGGCGGAGTGCATACGCGTTTGCTGTATGGAAAGATACTGCGACCTCGCCTTTATGATCAATGGCACGTGCTTCACAGTCCGCTGTCATACGGAGGAAGGATGTCAGGAAGTCCGGTCACCGGGAACCGGATTTAAACCCATGATATCTTACGTCATGAGAGAGAGACGTCATCACAGTTCTCATGATGGCGAAAAATTGGTGCACAAACATCATGGAAAAGGTAATAAAGCTAATAATAATGTATGAAGCCTTTGAGGTATAGCGGAATAAAGTAATTTGCTTTGAATGAATATCGGACAAAATCATCAAGTATTATTGTTTGCACCATTGTTATTTATTCGTTAAAAACCATAATGAATAATGTTCCATTAGACTCGACATTAGTATGAGTGTTGAGCCAGTATATGATTTCTCACGTGCCAAATCAACTTAAAAACACTAGAGACCCTATTATCAGAGACACCTCTCATTGTACATGCCTTCAGAACATGCATAAGAATCACGTTTAAATTGGCTTAAAGTCTCGCTACCGAACATAAGCCAGATGCAAGTGCAACTGTCCAACTTATTAGTCGTATCACCTTTTGAGATCCCATACATTATGTGTAAAATGCAGACACGAGAATGGGAATTAAATCCTTGTGTTTAGTTGCAAGGAAATCACCTTTTTGGCAATATTCAAATTCGGTTGATATGAGGAAATCAACTTGGAAGGAAAGCAACGAGCTTATTTAAATCCTGACTTACCATACATATCTTTGTATATCGACACTCGTTTCATCGTTTGCATTCGCACCAAAATACCTTCCACACAGTCGTCTTTCTTGCCAAATTCCTCAAGTACATTTGAACTGTTCGCATGAAAACGGCTTCATATTGAATATATTTAGACCGACAGGCGACTTTCGTTAACGAAAATATCAGCATATTGAAGATCTCGGAAGATTAGTCTTTAACAAGACCGGCGATCGCAATCTACGTTTAATCTCTTTAAACGCAATCTCTCACTTAAAACATCTTGTGTAAGGACTGTACAAACGGCAGAAATTGAAGATATTTCGCAATGACTTACGTAATTTGCATATCGTAAACAGAGTACTCCCCATAATTAGCGGAGAATGTCATGCACAATGGACATTCTTTTGTCTCTTGTTCTTTTGAAAGGGTGCATGCATGAGTGATGCCTTCCTCATTCAAATCTGAACGTGAACTTATATCTTTCGTAATAATACAATTCCCTTATGTCCAACACGGGATAACGAAATTCATACAGTTTATTGAATTTCGCACGATAGGATGCATTTTAAAGAGTTCATTCTAAAAATATGATTTTTGAGGTAAATTAATTAATGATTAACTATAGTCAACTCTGAACAAATATCAGCCGCCGTGTGGCATGTTCGCGCATAAAAGGCATAAGTTTTTTATTCACTCCCTGGTATAATAGTAAGTTGACAGTTATGATCCTGGAATAAAATTGGAAGCCATTTGAAATTCTCAAAGAACTCAATCAACTCTTTTGTGCTCACAAATGAATCAGACATACTTGGATGGTTGAACAAACCTTAAGGGGCTGTTTACATGAGCCCGGGTACCCGAGATTCAATGAAGCGTGAGACGATTTTGAGGTATTGAAATGAGCAGATAACATAATCCTGGCAGTCGTATAATCACCGGCAACAATAGCATGTGCTTTTTTGGTGTCATAAAGACTTATTGCAATACCTCAAAGTCCTCTCACGCTTCGTTGAGGCTCGGGTAACCGGGCTCATGTAAACAGCCCCTAAGACAGTTGGAGATCATTCTAATAAAACTATGATTCATTCTGTTTTCAGCAGCATTCAGCGTTACAAAGAATGAAACATCATCGGACCTTCCTCAAATTCCATCCCCAAGTCTGCCAAGCGTGGACAGCGATCATTACTGCACGAACAGCGAGTTAATGTACAACGTCACTTTACGGGGAGGAATTACAGCCGGCAAGTTTCGCGACCGAGGAGTACTACCCAGCATGCAAGAGTGCTTACGTGTATGCTGCATTGCCAAGTCATGTGACCTGGCGTTTATGCTTAGCAACCACTGCTTCTCTGTGACCTGCAAGAACCAGACCCTCTGTGAGGTCGTGACCGCGCGAACCAGCGGATACAGACCGCAAATTGCATATATTTATGCGAGATCGAATGTAAAAATCCACGAGGTAAAGCAGCCCAGACCTGAGGGTGATGCTTCGAGAGTTTTGCCGACTGCTGATAAAGTTCAGCAAAGCGAAAAATCAAAGGTTCACAATCATAAGGAAAATGGGAACCTAGGACATGAGAAAGCAGTTGATGTTCTTCATCAAAGTAGTTCTGCGAAGAACAAAACGAAGCCATTTAAGGCAAAGAAGTCTCAAAAGAGAAAGCACAAAAAGAAAAAATATCTCAGCAATCAAGCGAAGCTCGAGCATATGTATGCCAGAGAGCGAATTCTTCTTCGGAAATTATCTTTGCTAAAATTGAAAATGGAAATGCTAAAGCGAGGAAAACATGGCGGCGATAAGAATGCCAAAGATAAAGTGCTTTTGGAAGCGTTCGAAGACGAACCAAAGGCTAAAAACACTTCATTGCACAGTAGCGAAAACGATAAGCTGGAAAGTAGAAATAAATCTGAAAGGACAGATGAAAGAACATCGCTTACCTCTGATGTGGTAAAACAAAATAATTTGAAAAAAGAAAACCTTAAGGAGGGAAATCTCTCGAGTGTTGCCGAGCATACGATAAAGAATTTCACAAACGTCTACGCGAACAAAAACACTACTAAGGCCAAAAATATTGATAAATTGTCAGAGAAGAAAAACACGAGTGATCTCTCTTCGATAATCAACAAATCTGGATCAAATGATAATAAGAAAAGTCTCTCAAAAAACCTGTCAATGGTGATAAATGAAGAGCTTAAAAACATTACCGGAAAAACTACGAATTTGGAACGACTAGGATCAAAAAATATTTCGCAGGGAGTTCATAGGACACAGTTATTTTCAGAAACGAAAAGAATTAATGAAATGAGTCATCTTAAACAAAGTAAGAAAAAATACTTATTTGCTTCTGAGGATACTAAAGAATCTTTTACAAGGACGAAAGAGTTGAATAAACAGTTAAGTCAAAAAAATGACGAGAGTAGAACTGCTTCTCTTGAGGAAATGATAAACCAAACAACTGAATTAAAAGACAGAAAAAAGAAACATACTATGTCTGAGAAAAAAAGAGTTGCAGAAGGTTCAGCAGTAACAAAGTTGCCGAGCATTGCAAAATATGTAGGGAATGCTCCAGAGAATAGATTCAATAATACAAACCAGAATAGTTCTACTCATCCAATAGGGAAAGACTTGATACTTTTGGATGCGTTTTCTACAGAAGAGGAAGGAAATGATGAGAACGAACCTTTAGAAAAGCATCCTACCTTACCAAGAAACTCTTCGCAACATATATCTCGTAATAGAAATAAAAAAACAACTGATCACTAGTGTTTTATAAACAATAAATAGTTTGGTTTATATTTGTGTAAAAAATGGAGAGTCGCTGAACCAGCTTTCGGCTCGATTACATATGAAACACTCCGTATACTGAGTGTACTATCGTGCTCATACGGCACAATAGACCAATTTATCCTCATATGTAAATTACCATTTCATTGTTTTTGTGTACTTTTGATAGATGTGATTTCTTGTCAGAACACAATACCATATGTACGCACAATGTAACGAGTTCTGACGACAATATCATTGCAAATTCACTGGCAAAAATGCACCTCAAAAAAGTATAAATAGACATTGAAACGGTATTTTGCATATGGGGCTGAATCGGTTTATTAAAACACGTTGTCCGGCTGTGAGCCGCACCATTATCAGTTTAGCTCTTGTGAGTATTGGCAGTTCAACTATACGATTAGAACATATATATTTTTAAATTACCTGAACTTTAAGAATGATATTAATTGTGGAATAATAATTGTTGTCCTTTTTTGCGACACCCTGTATATAAGTACTTTTGAGTATTAGAAACCGAACACAGGAAGCCTGGGCTCAATATCCGTGCCCGCTTCACAATGGAGTCACAGGCGTTGCGGGTTATTAGAGCCCGGTTGCTATGTAAAAAGCTATTGGACTTCGAAACAGTGATGGAAGAACTGATAGACATAGGTTTAGTCGGGGAGACGGGAAGCGGAAAGTCAAGCTTTATTAACACTTTATTAAGGTACGTGTTCATGCAAAATCAATTGACAATCCATGCCTTGCGCAGATATATTCTTTCCGGTAACTTTTTCCTGCCCTTCCACGTTTACATATAAAGTGCATTTCTAACTTCCGGGCTTCTTGAGTAAAATTTTTATCATTTCTTTTCGTATATACAATGGGTTCTGATATTACACGAGTCAATTTCATGGTTGTGTAGTGGCTTGTATAACTTGTGGCCGCGCACTGAGACAATAATTTTTCTTATCGCGCGATCACTGTGATTTGTAAAATTTTACTTTCGATTTGATGAGAGTCGACTGGGCGAAACAAAATTGAATGCTTCTGCGCGTATTTGTGCTAAGAACATGGCAGTACTACGTAGCGCTTGAAAATTTTATATAAAATTTTATATAAATGATACATTCCTGTTAGCAGATAGTTATACACAGCCGGGGCGGATCTAGGGGTAGTCAAACTAGTCACGTGACTAGGGTAAAAATTGCACAGATATGATAATTCAGAAAACTTCCAAGAACTCCAGTTTAAATATTTCATACAGCGTCAGAAGTCTGCATATTAATTTTCAAATGCTCTACAGTAAGTCCAGTTATATATCTCATGCATCGCTTGAGCCAGCGTGCAGATTTGCCGATAACTGTGTGAATTTTGACTAATGTGATGCAGATTCAAGCCATTTGATTGGTCAATTCGCATTTTGACTAAAGTTTGCCGGGGGTTGACTAAATTGCGTAATATTCTTGCGTTCTGATTGGCTGTCGAAAGAAAAATTCTGGCTTCTGATTGGCTTGATGCGTTTGACTAGTTCGCTGCGTGGGGTAATATAGTCAACTTCAGTCAATAGGAATAATAATAGCATTTTAGTTCGCAAAATTTCAAATTTGCTAAATATTTTTTATCGAATATCGATCGCTTATACGAATTGATAATGCCAGTCTATGAGCACGAGACACTTAGATCGGCGATTCGATTCCTAAAAGGCAGATCTTTCGAAGGAATTTCACGCGGCAAATGCAAAATCAGTCGAAGAGCTTCAAATCAGTCAAAGAACTTCTTATACCGCTATTTACGACACAAACAACATGCTGCCGTGAAATTTCCCTTCCTGGTAAGAAGTGTACAGCATTAAGGTAAATAATTCTGTTGATTTTCATAGAAGCTATCTATTACAATAATAATGAACTCAATATGTTTTGTGCTACGATAAATGTATGAGCCAGGTTTGTTATTGTATTTGCATATATTTCCGTTCCCGGTGAGACCAAAAGGTCATTTTGAGCTGATTATAATTATATCATATTATGTAATGTTTACATCAACCGAAGCTTTCCTGTCAGCATTTTTATCTAAAGGCCGGCGGACACTAGAGCTATGTGCTTAGCAAAAAGTCATTCGTGGCCATTGGCGTAAGCCAGTTGTTCTCGTGTGCGGACGACTTTTCAGGCGACTTTGGGTATTCGTGCCACTTAGGACAAATATCTAGCATGTTTGATAATTTCTGCCTCGCGTGCCAAAATCTTTCCGTGTGGGGCAAACTGAAAGCTATCTGCTTATGGATTGTCTTAACAGCGCATGCGTAATATAGGAAAGTAAACATCCAAGATAGCGGTGCAAACAAAGCAAAACGAATTGGTGGCTGAGGCCATATTGGATGACAAACTGGTTGATCTTTTGCCAGAATACAGGTGTTTATACGATGTGAATTCTACAGATTTTAGAAATAGAGAGAAAGGGGAATGGCGCTATTGAAGAAATAACTGGTAAGCTTTCTCAAACAGGTAATATAATTAATAGCACTTGGATAACCGTGTTTAAAGCGGACGTCTAGTCTAGTTAGACGCAACAGCAACAAAAATAACAACACCTCTTCGTCTTCACTCCATCCATAATTTTGTTTTTGCAATCTGTCCGCCATCATGGATGTTTACATTCGTATATTACGCATGCGCTGTTAAGACAATCCATAAGCAGATAGCTTTCAGTTTGCCGCACACGGAAAGATTTCGGCACGCGAGGCAGAAATTATCAAACATGCTAGATATTTGCCATAACTGGCACGAATGACCAAAGTCGCCTGAAAAGTCGCCCGCACACAAGAGCAACTGGCTGACGCCAATGGCTACGAATGACTTTTTGCTAAGCACATAGCTCTAGTGTGCGCCGGCCATAACAAACAAGTTTAGCACACAGCTTTGCAAATTTCTTTGTTGAAACATGAAAGTCGAAGTTTAAAGCTTATAAAAGCATAGTTTGTCGTATAGTGCGGTGTAATATGATCTGTAATATGTATAATGATTAATTTTGTTTTAAAAATAAAATGCGCACCCCTCCCCCCAATCGTTCCGAAAAAATAATAGGGAGAAATGTACCTGCGGTAGTCGGACCGAAAATTTTTGATTAGGGTAAGAAAATTCCTAGATCCGCCCCTGTGACTAAATAATAAATAGATATAAAAAAAACAAAACAGGACTCGTAACATAGCCTATGTGCAGATGTGCGTAGTATTATTGCAACATTTGTTCTGGGTCATATGGTCAGTTGCTTATTTAAAATCGAATAGTCCATTCTGTTCCGCTAACAATTACGATTTTATAACACGATTCCGAGAGATTTAACGACCAGACAAAACATTTTTAATGATGTAAGAAATGGTGATAACATCTCAACTATGTTTAGATCAAGTTTTCATATCTTCATTGAAAATAATGCCGGCATTCAATCTAGACGCTTTCAGAACTAATATACGAGCCGGTTGAACTGTTCTGATTATACTAATTATAGGAACAACAACAAAGAGCTTGCTGCAACCAGCGTCATAACTACAACATCTGAAGCCAAATGCTTCGATCACCCTACCAATCCAACCATCAAACTCTGGGACTTGCCTGGTCTTGGCACAGCAGCTTATCCCACTACAGAAAGCTACTACAATAAATTGAAGCTTGGAAGCCAATATCATGCGTTTCTTTTATTCACTAAGACAAGACTCACCATTGACAGTAAGCGTTTAGCTCTACGGCTTGAAAGCACCGGAAAGCCATTTGTGATCATAAGAACCTTCATCGACGTTTATGTGGATAACGAAAAAACAAGCAAACAAGGAATGTTCAGCGAAAACAGGACAGTGGAAGAAATTCGCGAAGATATGCAAAGATTGCAACAACTACTGGGTTGCATTTGTGGGGAAGAAATATTTCTCATAAGTAATGTCAAGCCGGAGAAGTGGGATTTTAGTCGCCTAAACAACAACATTCTATTCGAGTTGCCTACACGTAAATCTGTAAAGTGTTCGGAAAAAAACAACTTAGGACTGAATATAAAGTTAGCCCAGTTGTCATTGACTGAAAAGGAAGAACACATTAGTGGCGACAAAGGTAATAGTTTGAATTATATCTCCCCTTAATACGATAGGCGCTTTTTTAGTATGAGATAGGTACATCTTGAGACTTAATATTGTGTGAAATTACCCAGGGCATGAAAAGAAATATAGTCGTTTTTTCCTACTTTATTCAGAGACATGGCCAGAATATTTGAAAAATTTTTTGGATACAACAGTAAGAAATATTCAAGAAAATGGCATTGAAGGCACACAGAAGGAGATTGAGAAAGAAATCCATAAATGGAAAGATGTTAAGATACGTCTGGCCGTCATCGGAGACTCCGGGTGTGGAAAGTCAAGTTTTATAAACGCCATTAGAGGGTAATATTAATTATACGTACATTACGCATGCCTAAAAATTACCTTATTCACGAGTACTGATTGGCCGTCTTGTCACTGATTTCAGTAAATGTGCCCAACCTTTTTAGATTCAAATGTTTCTGAGGGGACACCTGCCCCCTCCCCCACACATGCATGAACGTACAAAAACATGACGGAACGGAATTTAAGAATTTTGTCATTTTTTCACAGAATCGTAGAACACAAGGACTCTAAGGCAGCAAAAACAGGACTAACGGAAACAACGATGGGTATGACAGATTATCACTATCCAGATAACCCAAACATAACACTTGTCGATTGTCCTGGTCTTGGTACGGAAAACTTTCCTAATGTTAAAACCTACGGCAAGAAAATCAAGATTGATACGTACGATGCATTTATCATCATCACTGCCGTTAGGTTTACAATTCACGCCGGTAGATTGGCAAGGAAGGTGAAATCAATGAATAAGCCTTTTTTCCTTGTCCGCACGAAAATTGACCAGGATCACCAAAACGAGAGACGAACAAAACAGGCAGAATTCAATGAAGTTGAAATGCTGGAGAAAATCAAGGCAGACTGCCTCAGCAAATTGAGTGAAAAAGAAGCGAAGGTTGAAGACAACGATGTCTTCCTGATTAGCAATTTTTATCGATATCACTGGGATTTCGCTCGCCTTACGAAAGCAATCAACCGCGGGCTACCCTTTCGTAAAAGCGAGTGCTTTCTGTTGTCCATGAATGTATTGTCGAAGGATATTTTGGAAAGAAAGGTCACAGCTCTCAAAGGTAAATTATTTAAAGTTGAGTAGCTTGGTGCTCATTCAGCTGATCGATCTGGGTACAAAAATTAAAATTAAACTTATGTCACTTATGGGGCAAAGAAATCATAAGTCATTCAAGGAAAAAACTGTTTAAATGCAGTCGAATTTTTTTTCAAATGAGACCTCAAAACATGCGTTTCGTTCTTAATGTAAATTATATAAACATGTAAATTAAAATTGCTGTCACACTGCAGACGTGATCTTTTATTTTGACGAAGCATTTTCTTCAAATAACAAATTTGCGCGCATTAAAAACGAAAAAGCCATATCTTAATGATATAAAAAATTGGATTTCTAAAAAGAATTGCCCTGCATGAGAAGCTACATTTTAGATTTTTAAAAAGAAATGCGTGAACACCTACTTTCTTGCGCTTAACTGAACAGCCTGGGTCTTTTAATTACTATTTTTTTTAGGTAAAATATGGTGGGTTGCACTATTTTACTCATGCATTGGAAAAGTGGTAAGGAAGACGGAGAGTTCGAGAAGAAGTGATTTTAAACTCATTGTTGAGTGTGTAGAATTGTATAGATCGCAACTTGGATTTCCAAAAGAAGATTCCAAAGAATTTAAAAAGATGCCTCCCGAGCGCCAAGATGCCATGAAAAAATTCTTCTTGAAACCGACAAATGAAAACGTGAAATCCTGGCTCGGAAGGTTTGATACCGAACGTGGTGTCGAAAACAATGAAGAATTTCCATCCTGGTTGAGCGTTGATAAAGCTATCGAAGCACCGTACAAATTCGTGTACAGGGCCCTGCATCAAGTTTTAGATGAAATGAAGGAGATAGCGCTAGAAATCGTCAAGGATGCCACAGCGAGAGCAAAAGCAGAAATTAACATGGGCATAGATTGATTATTGACAAATAAGATAATACTATTGTAATTATCGCTACTCTGGTTTAATAAATGAAAGAAATCACCACACAAAGATTAACTTTCACTTTAACTTTAATCTTTGTCTGGTGATTACTTTCATTTATTAAACCAGAGTAGCGATAAGTACGATGGATTATATACCTGGTTGCCGTGAACTCATTAACTTCAAGATAACACCATTTTTAATAGTTAGGTGTTTTCATTGATCTAAAGCTAATTGGGCTATGAAGTAATTAACCTCTTAATTAAGTATTATTAAATGTAAGTTAGCAAAATAGTAGGGGAAAGGGTATACATTTAGATCCCGCATCGTAATTGGGTATACATTTAGATCCCACATTGAAGACATGGTCTGAAAAAGCTCTATAATGAGTTACGATAATATGATGTTTTGGTAGTTTTAGAGGGCACAAATTTAGTGCTCTACTTCAACAGAGTACCTTTGAGTAAGTTAATGTGGAGATGCTATTGGATAACTGCTTAATCATGCAAGAGATCCGATGTCTCAAAGTTTGCATACTCGAAACTAAATACACTCTCTCCACGACCATGTTTCAATTTACTATTTTAACACTTTGCTGCAATGTTTTTTTTTAAGTAGATAAATTTGGTTGAAAATAACTCCATGCTCAGGTTATTAAATCCAATTTATTAGTTAGTACTCTTTATTATAAAATAAGATGTATATAACGCGTGTTCTGATTGGTGGAAGCCCGTGTTTGGATCAGGCCATCCAAACACGGAATTTAAATTTAATTCGCTAATTGAAATCAAACTTGAACGCTACTTCATTATTGTTATTTTATAAAACAATTTATTAAAACAATGGTTTCCCGTGTTTGGTTGGCCTGGGGCCGGTTGTATAAAACTCTTGACTATATTTTGTCATTTTTGTGTAGTCAAATCGTAGTTCAGAAATACACGACTCTGATTGGTCAATTCTGCTACTAACTATAGTTAAAAGTTAAGTAGTATTCTATACAACCGGTCCCTGATCTAAACACTTGGGGATGTTGTCTAAGTTAAAAAAGATGGCAAAATCACTCGCCAAAGGTAAAGCCGTTTGCTTTGAAATTGCTCAAAAAGGAGAAAGGTACTTTAGGGGCTGGTCAAACTGAGATAAGTTGCATGGCGTATTTTACTTCCGTCACAAATTAGAAGGGCGTCGTTATGTGACCTTGTACCCAGGATCTCTGACTCGCGTGTACGAGTGCATTGTCGCGTCGTATTATGTGAAATCCCAAGTCAATAACAGTATACGAATCTATATTTTAACAATCTTGTGAGCGATCGCAACTTTCAGTTTCCAAGAGCTAGATCCAGAGGACTTAATGGAAGAATGTTATTTAAATCTGCCTGCAAATGACGATGTGAAAGTAAACATTGCTGTAGTAGGAAAAAGCGGAAGTGGTCGATCTAGTTTCGTTAATGCTGTCAGACGGTGTGTATATTATATTGAAAGCTTTGAACAATATATAATTATGCCCATGTGTTAGCAAATATCAGAAAAGTGTAGCAGGGCGGGGTAAACTAATTGGTGTTTAAGTATTTGTTTGAACATTGGGGCATTCGGCCGGTATTTGTTATAAATGTGTTTCTGCTACATCATGCAACCCGTAATTAATAATTGATTGCTTACTATTTCGCTCTATCTGTTACATATAAACGAAGTTAATAAACTATACTACTTACAACACAGAAACATATTAATATAAATATATTATATGTGATGTCATAAACAAATTAAGGAGCAACAAATTCAAAATCACTATTATACGTAGGTATCTAAATATTCATTGTGAAAGCCGACTTTCAATAAGCGACTCATTTCAATATTTTCGCCAGCTTTCACAATAACCTAATTGAGTTTGGAGTGTGGACTGCAAGATTCACTACCAATCCTAGCTAAAAAGGAAATAAACCAGCTTAAAATAAAATTTCACTATTTCGCTTGTCAACAATAAACACTTCCTTGTCTGTAGCGATGTTCATATTATATGAAATATTCAGTCATGCACTGATGATCTTATATTAAGCATTTTAAGTGTATGGTCTATGAATTTAAAGTTCGATAATAACGATCGATTCTCCATGAAATTCTAGTTCCCAAGACTTTATGTTTGTCGTCGCGCAGAACGGCAAGACCTTGTTTAGTTTGTTTTGCAATAATCAATATTTCTAATTATAAACTATAAAAAAAATCAGTATCGCGTGAAACATCCATAAATTACGATGAAACAAAGTGTTATCTACGAATGATGCTCATATTTTATATTGTGACCTTACAAGAATTGAAGTTAACTTAAGCAACAGGTCAAGGCTAATAAGATTTAATCAAAATTAAATACGTCATAAAGTGAGATAGAAATAGGTTTTCTTCACTTTCTACTATTTTTGCTTATTTTAACTATAAGATAATCAATTAATGTCATTAAATCGTATTACATAATGGCTCCATCAAAACTAAAGCAGTATTCAAGTTATTTGTGGGTAGTTTCGCCATTGCCTTCGGGCTGGCAGAATGAATTTTTTTCCATGTTCCTAAAACCGTATCTTGATACATTGTCAAACTCGATCATTACGACGGCCGCCTTTCTGACTTCGACAATTAGGTCGTAAATTTTAATGTCCCGATTCACGTCGGTCGCATATTATGAATTCGTAAATCAACCTTGCAATATTTCTGCACCATACTGGCGTCATGCATGCACATGCATAAGGCTTTGCACGAACTAAGTTTCGAGAAATATTGCCTTATCAATTAGCTATATATTTGAATCCTCGCAACGAGCATTTCTGCATGCACTTTACTTAGCCCGACAATTAACACTATGCAAACTAAACATAATTAATTGATTGTTGGTTATTTGAAGTTGAGTTTCTAAGAATGGACAGTGTAAGTAAATTTAACCGTTCATCAATTTATTGTTAGGGTAGCAGAAGACGACGAGAATGCAGCCAAAGCAGGCGAATGTGTAAAAATATCGCCAAAATTTTTCGCTCATCCCGATAACGCCAACATTAGTTTTTCAAAATTACCCAGTATTGATGAAGAAACGTTTCCGGAGTTCCAACTCTACTTCAGTCATGTTGACATTGAGATGTTTGACGTCTTTCTCATCTTCACTGCGGGAATGTTTGGCGAAAGGCATTTGCTATTCGCAAATGAAATGAAATCCAGGAAGAAACTTTTTATTTGGGTTCGAAGCAAGATCGATATGGCCGATGGTAGAAAAGGTGGGGAAGAAATGATGAAAGAAGAGGCTATTGGAACTCTCAGAGTCGAAATTGATAGAAACCTGAAAAAGCTTCATATTCGTGATCGTAAAGTCTATCTTATGAGTAATCAGCACCCGACACAGTTTGACTTTGACAAGATCATGCAAGCAATCGCTGATATTTTGCCTTCTCCGCAAAAAGAGAGTTTTTATAAAATTGTTGAGTGGAAGATATTTAACGATTTCATTGCAGGTATATCTATATCTACAGGATTCTATATACCAATATACGTATGCCATAGGAGTTGACTGCATGCCTACCAGCAGACCTTATAGGACTTCGTCGCGGGTCAGCGTTTTCATCATAATTATGTCTTTGTAGACAGATTTCAACCCGATCAGTGATTTAAAAAATGTCTTCACTATTAAAGAGTAATTCTGCTTCGAATCTGAGTTATGTATTACCAAGCGACAGTATTGGACTGACTAACAGTTTTGTAGCAACTTAAAACATCACTATATACTGTATATAACGGAAAAATACAAGAAAAAAAACATGCCCCAAAAAACAAGATAAATGATAAACAAGATCTCAAAATATGAGTTGTGTAAAAAAAGATATATTGCAGTGATATTTCGACTGTATTTCATCGGTGAATGATTTTGAAATAAAGTCAAAATTTTACAGCAAATAGTTTTATATAACTCATATCTTGAATTTACAAGATTTTGTTTTGCAGAACATGTTTCTTCCTTTTTTCCTTTATTAAACTTTTTTGCTGTTTCTTCATAGTTGATCGAATTCGCCTACATTTAGAGGACATTGAGAAAATAGAAATCATTCTCAATAAGTCGCATCTGTACGTTTCTGTGTTTGTTCTGTAGCGCATGAAAAGAAAGGCAGGATTAGAGGATCCACAATGTCTCGTGGCGAACAATTAAAGAGAACATGCGCACAAATTGGCCTTGTGGGAGTACAGAGGTTGATGCAACAGAGACTTCGCCAATGGAGGGAAGTAACCGTTAACATTGCTGTAGTTGGAGATTCTGGTGTTGGGAAATCAAGCTATATTAACGCTCTAAGAGGGTAAGATTAACACAGTCTATTAATACCTAGGTAATTCGCGCCCTTTTTTACATGCACGCATCAACCTATTTTTATCTCTGTGCAAAATTGGACATGAACCACAACAAGAAACCATTTCAAGTCTATTTCAGCGATTTCTGGCCATGAGCGTTGTGGAATGAGGTAAATGCAGTAACAATACGTAAAACCGGCCGTGTAATGCAGGAAAAATTCAACAGTAAAGGAACAAAAAAGTGAATGCGATAAGTGATATTGTAGCATAGAATGGGGCAAACTGTTTTGCAGGTACTGAAGACATGGGACAAATGTATGGTTAGTGAATCAGCTACAGAAGTTGGGAAAAAATATCCTACTCGTTCGCACTTATATTGCCAGCGCGCTTCTTCTTTAAAGTTGTGATTGCTAGGGGAAATGCAAAGCTTGAGAATCTTCGTCTGTGAATCGCTGCAACCTTGAGCCTGCAGTACCAGCTCCCGACGTTTTGTCGTAAACCATGCTTATTTGTCTACCAGGTTGAAGGACGATGACCCACTAGCAGCAAAAACAGGTGAGAGCGAAGAAACAACAGCTCCAACCCCCTTCCCTCATCCAATAAACGAGAAAATTCTCATTTGGGATCTCCCAGGGATCGGAACACCGACACTTCCCAATATTTCCACTTTTTGCCAAAACGTAAAAATTGAAATCTACGATGCTTTTCTCATAATGTGCGCGGGAAGATTTACAAATCTCAGCCTCGAGTTAGCAAAAAAAGTTCAATCCATGGGAAAGCCATTCTTTTTCCTTCGCACAAAAGTCGACGAAGCCAGACGAGCACGTAGAAGAAAGCTAAAGAGTGCATTCAATGAAGAGGAAATGGTAAAAGAACTTCGGGAATACTGCTTTGGAAATCTACAAGATCTTGGCTTTAGTGCTGAAAAGATTTTTTTGACCAGCAGTTGGTTTCCAGCTAAATGGGACTTTGAACGTCTAAAGAAAGCAATCCTAGATGAATTACCAGAGAATCAGAAAATTTCTTTAACACTTACCTTGCGTAAGTGTTCAAAAGAAATTTTGAAGGACAAGATACAACTACTCAAAGGTATGGGCGTGAACACGCGTCATTAAAATACTGTCAAACGCCGAAAGCCTAGTGTTACACGAAGTTTGATTGGCTGATTGATTTGATTTTTTGTGTATTTCATCAAACTTCGTGTGATATCATGTTTTCTACGTTTGATACCACTATGAGAGAGGTTTTTTTTTGTTACTTTTCAGTCATGCAATGAAAAAACAAAATATTCGAATAGCTGGACTATATCGTACGACATACGTTTTATTTCATCGCCACTTATTGTATTGAGTCCGCGTTAAAATATTTTGTCTTCATTTACAGACAGAATATGGCTCGTCACACTTGCATCCGTTGTGAGCAAATGTACCACAGGTATTTTCTCGTTGCTTATTGACGAGAAACTGATTAAAAAGAATATTGAATTTTACCGAAACCAAATGGGCTTTCCTGAAAGTAGTTCAAACGAATTTAAGAAGCTGCCCAACGCATTGCAGGAAAAAGTAAACAATTTTGAGTTATCACCTGAACAGGATGTTGCCGAATGGTTGAAGTCGTTTGATCCAGGAAACAAGTACAGTATTAAAAGTTTTGGTCCACTAATTCTTACTAATTCCCCGCTGAGATTCGTTTATTGGTTCCTGAATCTGGTGTTAGATGAAATGGAGGAAACTGCAATGGCAATATGCGATGAAGAGGCGACGAGAAAGGAGGATGATGAAAGAAAGGAGGATGACGAAGACTCTGAATAAACCGAACCTTTCCGCCATGGCCTTAAAAACTTTAATATGAAAATGAACATTTAGCTTTATTTATAACTAGTTTGGTGACATAAGAATGCTTTTCTCGGCTTCTAGGAGGCAAATATAGCCCTAGAAATAATTCATTACCATTATCTTATTTCATAAGTATGTGGAGAACTATGCAAAAAATTAAATAATTTTAGGTAGGGATAGCCAACCCTGTGCACGGTGTCCCTTCAAAAGAAAAAAATAACTAATAATCTTGCATCTTTACTCAATTTAAAATGCCATAGCATGCACTAGGTTTAACGTAACGATGTTTGAAACATTGACATGCAGATATATACCTGTAATAATTATTGGCTTTTAAAAAATTAATAAGTAGTACTAGAAAGTTTTCTCTTCTGGGGGTATTTTCTATAAATGATAACTAATAATGTGTTTCGAAAAGGAATGATATATGATGGCAATAAAACGCGGGCCATAGGATGGTGGGACTGATAAGCCTTTATATATAAATGTATATATAAATTATATATATTATGTTATGTCACTTGATCATGCCCTTGGTATCTTTTAGTAATTCTGCTCTAAAATACATTATAGTATTAATTCATATATCTTTGTAGAGAATGTTGATATTCGATTTATCAACATTAAGTCCTTAACTCATCAGAATTGACGCGGCCTTTGTTTACGAAAGGCTCTGGACTGCTAAACGTGGTCTTTCTTCTGATCACTAAACACATGCGGAAGTCTGTAATGCGTCATGCGCTAAAAACCTATATATGTCGAAATAAAGGCCTTTATCGCAGGAAATGATAACTACCAGATATAGCTGATGCATAAATGATAACACATACTGACTACAAGTAAAATACTCCCGACAAATAGGTAAGAGATCGTCCTTATAGTGCTTATCAAACTTTGATGATGTTGGAAACCTTAATGTTCGTCGTCCGTCATCATTTTTATGTTGAAACTTTATTTTTCATAAATTGATGAAACAAAACAGAAGCGTATATATTGAATCAAAGTGACAACAGTAATTCATATCCGTAGAATAGCAAAAATTTAGCAACAAACAACACGAAAACTTGACTAAAATGTCTTGCATCGAGCTAAGGAGAATTTTTCAAGGAATATTATTTGGCAGATCAAAATATTGGGAAACAAGTCCAATCATATCATGATTTCTTGTTTTCATGTTTTGGCTCCCATATATCCTGATGACATCAAAATGGCAGTATACAATCGACGAACAATCAGATACCTTGGCTGTTTACCTTTGCGATTTTTTTAAGTCTCGAAGCTTCCACAATTGTTGTAAAATATGTAAAATATTTCTTGTTTGTCTGCCTTTCTATTTTTGTATGCCGCCCTGGATTGCATCGAACGAGTTTTGTGTTTGGTGCTTAATTTTAATTTTTGTGTCCATATATATTCTTGTTAAATTTGTTGATTGGTTGACGGGTACTCTCATCACTACTGATTTAAATTAAATATAATAACAGGTGAAATATTCTTTCACTTATAACTCCGGAAATCATGATCATGATTACCTTGTTATTCAATCTAAGTGCACTTGCCCCCCTTGAACTTCATAAGTATTTTCGCTTTCCCATATACAAAACAAAGACATGCAATATTTGACCTCTTGTTGAGAGCTGTAATTAGTATAAAATCAGAGTGAAGCAGATGAAAAAAAAGACCAAACGCAAAATTGCTTTGACTGGCGAAACAGAAAGTGGAAAATTATAAAGCCATATACTTGTGTAAATAAATAGCCTAATGTCCATATTATTCCTATAGCTATATTCTTCGTAATTGGGATTTCCAGGAACGAGCACTGGCTGTTGAAATAGCACAATACAAATCACTGGAAGATTTGACGAGTATTTTTACTTTCACTTTGCGCATGAATACTGATGTATGACGATCTCAATCAAACAAATTTATCGTTAAAATTGCTTCTAATCTTATAAAGCTAGGAACATATTTCCAAAACATTTTAATAGCCTGGAATTAGGATGTTGTTACTTTCTAATAGATGGTCTCATTTCAATCAGCAAATAATTTTATTAGAAAAATCAAATTTAATGCCTTGAGTGGTATTCAATCATTAACAATTTTCGGGTGATAGCCTATATTGTTGCCTTTTCTAGGAAGAAAGATATCGTAATTTATTAGTTTTATTAGTAATGGAGCAATGAATGTCGCGTTTATAGTCATGAGAGTGTGATCTATAACTCAATTTTAAGGCATGCTCTGACAATCGTACTAAGGTAAACACTTGCTAATAGACCGCGGGAGGATGCAGTACAGTCAACAAATAACCTAACACTGTGGTTGAGGTTCAGTTGTGTTTAGGTTGCGATCGACCATAAGAAACCACAGACGACCGCAAGGGAAAAAATACCTCCGCAGTGGCCGTTCGCTTCCGAACGAAATGTTATGAACAGCTGAGAACGACAACACAATAACCAAATCGAAAAAATCTTAAGAAATGTCTGTCAGACCGAGTAAGGCCGAGGTTGAACCGCAGTTAGACGAAGGTTAAACCTCGGCCTTACTCGGTCTGACCTCGATTTCGTTCTGACCTCGATTCAACCGCGATAAGACCGAGGTTTGACCTAGGTTAACCGCGGATTTTGTTAGGTTATTTCTAGACAGTACTGTAAGGTTTTGTTGCCAAATGATAGCACGTGCCTGCGAGAAGCTTACATGTACAGCCACTATATTATAAGAGGTGGATCAGGAAGTCTGGCTGCATTTATTTATTCTTTATGTGTGCAATTTAGTCTCCGAGCTGATAGCGTTCAATATATGGTTAGTATTGAAACTTTTTCACTACAATAGTCTTTTTTTATATTTTAAATACGGCCATTTTTGGCGGTTAATAAAAGCTTCCCTTACGTGGCATTAAGATTGCCGTGTAGCCGGGATGCTAACGCAAAGTAGAAAACTATCGAATAAATAAACAAACAGCTTTTTAGGAAACCATTCAATACGATATTTACTAATATTTTTGCTAAAAATCATTTCGTGCACAGCTCAAGTGTCCCTAATCTTAATAGTCGTGCATCGATTATATTAAAAGTGACATCACCCATATAATTTATTGTTTTATACCCTTAAATTTAATGCGCGATCCATTTCATCAATCAAAATAGCGAAAGCCAACTCTTCCATCGCATCCAAAAGAAAATTCAGGCCTTTAAACATATTTCTTAGCGGCTCAAAAACTTTAACATACGCTTCTCCCAACCATCCTGAGAGCGAAGATCTGGACTGACTTGGGCCAGTATCAAAACTTTCAATCCATATACGAAAATCTACTTCCATATCCACTGTCCAATAGAAACTTCGCATTTGTTCCTGGAAATCCGGTTTCATCACTTCAAATTCATACGAACCTCTCTCTGGCAATCCAAGATGATCTCTGTATGTTTCGACCAAGAAATAGATGAACATATCCATCGGTTCTTTGAATTTCGGAAGAGAAAAAATTACACCAGTGTGCTTACATACATCCAAATAAATCTTAATAACAGCTAAAAATAAAATGCAGTAAAATGTTGTCAGTTTTTTTCTATTTTTATATGTAGCAAAAGTTAATGTCAATTTTTTTTGCTTCCTCAGGTATTTGGTTTTTGCTCTTGTTGAATTGAAATTTGATTGGCTGGTGCATTGTTATCCCTCAACTCATTGATTGCTATTTCACATGCAGAGAGTGGATTCAACTCTTGCGTAGACAATTTTGATAACAACCTCATATTATGTGGACGCCGCCTCACTACACTCAATATATTGGCCCAGCACAGTTAAAATGGGTATCCGTACCCAATTCATCACTGGAAATTTTTTTCAAAATCCACATCATGGAAAGAGTAGGGATGCTAGTTCGATGCAAATTTTAGCTGTGTCAATAAAATGGTGTTTGATTCATGATGAAATTAATCTGCTAAGAACCAAACAGTTTCAGGAAAAACCCCCGATTTTAAAGTGAATCATTAGTGACCAGAAAAAAAAACCAGAAAAAAAAACTAGAGGTTTAAATGGTCTTAATTTCGAGTGGAATAATACACCTTCAAATTCTAGCCAGGAACAGTTGATGGAAAAAATAAGTCAGTTATAGGTCCTCCGGCAGGAATCGAACCTACGCTTTTGCGATGCCGGTGCAAATTATTTCGCCAAAAAGTTGATAGTTTTTCCCAGAAAGTTATTGTATTGATTCTGCGAGTTATTACAATGCTTATATGCGATATCAATATTACTCAATGTGTTATGCATGTGCTATAACATTGGTGGTGTATAACATGACTGTGTTATGTTAACATTTGGATATGTTAACATTTAATTACTTTATGAGAAATTAAGGCAAAATCATTTTGACTATATTCTATCATGAGTTCATAGTTCTTTTTATATAGTTTATTTTATATAGTTCATTTATTCCAGTAAGTTAGTTAAATATTCAGCGTCCTTTGTCATATCTGAAATCACGTTTATATCAGTCATATGTTCGATTACGCGATGACTTCAGTTCTCTAAACTCATCGCAGAAGGCTCGCGATGATGTCTAACTGTGTCATCCCAAGTCCGCAAAGCGATTTCTTCCAGCTCGTTTATACAACCAAAAAGATAGCGCGAGGTAAAGAAAACCGATATTGCGGTGGCCAAGATTGTCCCCGCAACAGGGATAAATTTGGCGACTTCTTCTGCACCCAGTTCAGTGCCACATTCACTTGCTATCACAGAAACTAACTGTGCAGCATTCGAGTAACAAAATTTTATGATTTTTGTCTTCCATTCCTCGTCCAAATTATTAAACTTGAAGGAATTTTTTGGAGGAAGGCCAAAAAGCTCACGGTATTGAGAGGTCTCTTTCACAATCATAGCGATGTCCAATGCAGCTCCGAGCAACGGGATAGGAATTGCATTTGCCGGTGCAACTGCAATAGCCAAAAGACTTGCTCGAACTAAAGGATGGAAATTTAAAAATTCAACTATGCATAAAAAGCATAATCACCAGGGGCTGAGTATCCCCGCCTGTTACGTGGACGATTTTTGGGTAAGCAATACTTCCATATCTGCTCGATCTATATGGTATTGAGAGTTAGCACTCTTTATAGTATTTCGTAAACCAAACGACAAACGAGAAATTAAAATTTACCAAAAGAACTGAACTCTTTACAAAATGCCGTCAAAAAACAAATTTTCACATATCACTATTTCAAAAGGGACTGAAGCAAATTCTGGCAAACGTGATGAGAAAACTGAGATGAACTAGCTATGTCATACGATCAGAGGATGAAGGTACAAAGAACCATCAAGCTCAACGAAAAGGATATTGTAACTGTGGTGATAAAAGGGCCTAAATACTGCCCAGTATACAGTTTCATTAGACAGAGGCGCTCCATCCACAAGCACAGCACAGTCAACCTGTTTTCAACTTGTTCATGT